AGAAAAGGTTCAGCGGAAGCCAGGAATACCAGTGAACTTCTGGCCCTCGGGCAACTTGGGACTGCCGAAACCAACGTCAAGGTCCAGGATGATCTTGAGTGCGTTTCTGCTTCTCAAGTAAGGAAGCGGTGCCTTGGCCTCTTGCAAGCCAGTTGCAGGCTCGAGGCTGCCACGAGGTCCGAGCTCGTGCTCCTCACCAGGAAGAGGAAGAAGACCTTGAAGAAGCTCGTAACCAGCGAGAGTGAAACCAAACTGAGGCGAAGAACGAAGAATACGAGCGGGTCCTCCCTTGAAGAAGGCGCGGAACCCTTCTTCTTGCCAGATGGTCTTGGCAGCGTGGCGGAGCGATGTGTACTGAGTTTCTCCCTTGCGGGCTTCGACTTGCAGACGAGTCTTGATAACGTCGCAAGGAGTGGTAAGGTAAGCTGCAGGCATACCGGCGATGGCACCAGCAGACAAGAGTTGCAAGATACCTAGAGCTATACATTAGAATGTGTTCAGTCTTATGATGTGCATCAACTTACCGAGCTTCTTGTTGGGGCCTTCGCCGAAGTAGTCCTTCTTGAGGTGGTTGTAGGTGGGGAAGTAGATGGCAGAGAAGGGGACATCACGCAACAGACATGCGCTGGCACCCTTGTAGAGACCGACCAAACCAAGGTTGCGCACAATCCACATGGCACTTCTCTTCTCGACTGCTTTNNTTTGTGACTTGGCAACCTCACCCTGAATTTGCAGACGAATTTTGACGATTTCGAGAGGGTTTGTGAAGATGACCTGGCAAGCACCGGCGGTACCACCAGCAACGATCTCCCAAGGCAGCTTAATCTCACCAGTTTTGGGATCCGAAGCCTTTCCTCTGACCAAGTCGTTGACGGTCAACTTGATAGCCTTCTCGGGAGCCACACCAACGAGCTGGGGCAGAACACCTGAGTACAAGCCTCTTACACCCTCGTTGCGAATGACTTTGGAGAAACAGTCGATCGAGTTCTTGTAAAGCAACTGACCAACTCGCGCCTTACGCTGGTTCTGCATGCGGGTCTTGACCAAATCAATGGGGTAGACCATGAAAGCACCAAAGGCACCGGCAATAGAACCAAGTGCGAAGTGGTGTGCGGACACGAGGACATCGTGGAAGAATGATTTTGACTTGGAGACGACGGCGGCGGCAGTGTCAGCGGCAGCACCGGTGGCTGCGCCGTAGACTGTGTGGTGGGATGCCCAAGAAGCATCGAGGACGCGTGCGAAGTCGGAGACACCAAGACGGCCAGAGGGTTGGTCCAGGCTGGCGAAGTGGAAGAGGATATCAGCTTCCATGGGGGTGAACAATGAGAAGCGAGTGATGCGAGCGGCCTCGTTCAGGAAGTCGGTACGTGTGATCTTGCCGTCCTCGGTCTTTCCTACAGCGTTGCGGATGACCAATTCGACGAGGTCCATGTCGCGGATGATGTTCTGGAAAGCGCGTACATTGGCGTACGAGATGTGGCTGCCAGGTGAGATGTTGCAGAGGGTTTGGAGGTTGGAGAGAAGGTGGTCGGAGAGCTTGTGCGAGGCAGTCTCGCGAATGATGCGCTCAAACTGTTCTGGGTCAATGTAGCCGTCGCCATTCTTGTCGAAGTGGTGGAAGGCTTGTCTGATTCTTTCTCCTTGCAGACCGCGCAGCATCTGGGCGAACTGCGGGTAGGTCATGCTATGCCTGTTCTTGCGGTCGCCAACATACAAGGAGGCCCATGTGGAGTTCCAGTCAAAGGGAACGTTGTCAGGAGAGCGGTTGGCAGCATAAGCTTCCTTGAACGAGTTGAAGTCGACCACACCGGTGTTGGGGTCGCAGAAGAGACGGAAAGCGATCTCGTACTCGGCATCGGGCTTTGCGAGAAGGTTGTTGAAGGTGGCCCAGTCGGAGAGAGTTACGCGACCAGTCTTGCGGCGGTCGGCAATGGAGAAGAGGACGGCATACTGTGATCGCTTGATCTTGTNGCTGTGCAAAGTCAGTAGTGACACCAAAACAGAGGGTTGAAGCAGAGAGATGCGCACGTAGTCTTCAGACTCTGGAGCAATTGCGTTGACGAACTCCTCTTTACCCATGTAGTAGTCTCCGGACTCGGGATCAATTTTGGCATGTTGCATGAACTCAGCACGCGTCTGGGACGANNGCTGGGGCTCATCTTCAACGCCGAGCAGAGTCTCCTTGACCGTCTCCTTGATGGCCGCAGTAGTGGAAGCCATGGCTGCGAGATGTGACTGGGGAACACACTTGGGTACTCAGACGGACGATGACAGCTGGAGCGCGGACAGCGAATTCGGCGTCACTCGTCGAAGGATCCGGGGACGCACGGTCAAGACAGCGATCCTGGTATACGACAACGGTACAGGGGGTGGGAAAGTGAGGTGAATGGATTGGGAGCCTCAATTCGATTACGCGAAAGACAGAACAGTGATAATATACAGAAGACAAACGACGAACGAGACAGGGGGACTGGTTCTTGATTCAGGAAAAAACTCGAAAATGCTATGACAAGGCCAACTCGGGCCGGTACGGCGACTCAAGGGCAACCTGCTTGGATGTAACTTCAGCCGAATATATCTCGTGCGGCAAATGCGGGCTTTCTTATACTTTTCCGGGGGGTGCCGAACAGGGCGATTGCGCGCGTCGGAAGATGCTTGAGCTGAGGAGGTGTCCATAGCAGTGCATGGGATGGAGCTGCCTCTATGTGCTGAGGACAGTCACACTAGGATTGCACCAAAAGTACAACAGATCCACTACAATGCGTAGTTCCAATGGCTCTCTCTGGAGTGGTGTCTTGTCTGGAATTAACCGCTCATCTTCGTAGCTATAATATGACAGTCTTTAGCACACGAAGTGGTGGTGTACGTAGCATTTCCAGCTTCACTTCCTGAATGTTTCGCTATTCGGCAGATGCAGCCACAAGGGCGGTGAATCCACGAGCTCGGGCCCGACGCCAACGCCGGCAGAATAGATGCATCCGTCATCCAAGCAGTCGCACCCAAACACACCAATCACCCATCTCAATACACAATGGCGCAAGCAGTAGAGCAGAGCCCGTACTTCTCTGACCGAAGAGCAAATGGCAGCCTCGTCGTCTCCGACGCCCCAAAGTTCGACCTGGAGAGTTACGCCGCCAACTATGACCGTACGTTCTGATGCGGCTATCACCACTCTCGCCTGAGCTCACACAAGACAGAACACACCCGAGTGAACCGCTTGAGTAACATTGCCCACCTCTGTCCGCCGCTAGCCCTCGATGCCCTCCACTTGGCCATTCCCGCCTCTAAGAACGCAAAGGACACCCAGCAGTACCTGGATCTTACAAAACTGCTTCATCAAATCAACCCTGAGGATGCCCTGGCCGAGATCGATACTGCATGGGTCGAGAAGACCAACAAGCTGAACGAGCATGAGACGGAACGCCTGGAACATGAGCTGCGCGGCTACAAGAACAACCTTATCAAGGAGAGCATCAGGATGGGCCAGGAAGATCTGGGCACCCACTTTCTCAACATGAACAGGCTGGATCAGGCAACAAAGGCTTACCACAAGATGCGCGAGTTCTGCACCACTCCCAAGCACATTGCCGAGATGACGCTCAAGCTGGCATACATCAACATCGTCTCTCCCAACTGGATCTCGGCCGTCTCGACAGCTCAGAAGGCTCGCTCGCTGACGCTTCGTCCAGAAGACAAGCCCCGCTTTGACTCTGTCTCTCAAGCATGCACAGGCTTGGGCTACCTCGGTTCTGGTAACTACGGTCCCGCAGCATTCGCCTTCCTTGCAGTCGACCCATCATATGCCACTGTTGGCCCCGTCGCAAACATCGACTTTTCGCGCGCCGTTATGACCGCCAACGACATCGCAGTATACGGAGGTCTATGTGCTCTCGCCTCCATGGATCGCCAACAACTCCAAGATTCGGTCCTCGAAAACGCAAACTTCCGCAACTTCCTCGAACTCGAACCGCACATCCGTCGCGCAATCTCCTTCTTCTGCGGCGCAAAGTACAGCCAGTGTCTCGCTATTCTCGAAGCTTACCGTACAGACTACCTGCTGGATATCTTCCTCGGCCCTCACGTCAACATGCTTTACCACCTCATCCGCAGCAAGAGCATCGTCCAATACTTTGTCCCCTTCTCGCAAGTCACATTATCTGCTCTGACCGAAGCATTCCCCAGACAAGGCGGTACACCCCAAATGATGGAGGCAGAGCTCGTCGACATGATCCAGCGCGGCATCCTCAACGCAAGAATTGACACTGTGGATCAACTGCTCATCGCACCACCCAAGGACTCTCGCGCAGATGCACATCGCGGTGTCATGGAGACGGCAGACGAGATTGAACATCTCTTGCGTCTCAAGTTGCACAAGATCAACATGGTGCAGGCTGGTCTGGAGGTCATAGCCCCAAAGACATCAAAGGGATCCAAGAATCCCGTTTCTTCTTCTTGGGGTCCTGGTCAAACGCTTGGTTGAAAGATCAAGTCAAGACCAAAAGTAAAGACGAGAAGAATCATAAGGCTTTTCTACACACGACGGCACGAAACTTTTTAGCAGGGGGTAAGGACAAGAGGTTGCTCTCTGATACAACATGGCAATGCATAGCTCAAGGCGTTTTAACTCGGCGATAACAAGAACGAGACGAGAGGAAAGGCAATTTACATATTCCTCTCGTCTCTCCAATTCTGTAAATCAATCAAACAATTGACCAATGTCACAATCGATGATGAACAAAGTGTGATGAAAGTGTGTGTTTCCTGTATAATGTCTGTTCTTGTTCACCCTCCCTTGGCGACGAAAAGAGTGCTAACCCAGGGAAAAAAGAACGCCCCTATAAACCGTAGATGCCTTTGATAAGCAACAGCAGCGCCTCCAGTGGTATCATCCGCCATGAGAAAAGGCGCCAACCAGCCATCCAGTAACACCACCCATAGACCAAGTTGCGCCTGATTAAACAAGGAAGAAAGGGATGACGAGTTCAAGTCAAGGGAGACTAATAATCTCCCTCTCCAAAGAGCTCGCCCGCTTCACGACAATATCTCGCCTCGCCTGCTCCACCTCTACCACCAGTCTCACTGGCCCAGCAGACAACACTTGCATCCACCACACCACCAATGACGCCTTCGATGGCTCCCAGGACTGCCCACCCGATCGTTGCTGCTATCAGACCGACAATGTACGCATAGAGACTGCCCTTAAAACCGCCGTCTGCCAGCTGCACATTGCGTGCTGTAGACACCCACCCACCAAAGCCGAGGGCAAATGACATGATGAAGCGAGTCGCGTGTAGGAGTAGCTTGGCCAAGCGGTAGGGCATCATGGTACCTCCAGATCCAGGGTGTGCAGCAAAGACGGAAGGATTGAGTGTGGTCGTGGGCGAGGTGTTAGAGACAAAGTGTAGCTGAGACAAGCCTCTAGCGCTGATACTCAATGATTGAGAGTGAATGGCAGCGTAGGTAAGCGTTAAAGGATTGGTAAGGGCAGCCAGCGAGGCTGGTACCATGGAGAAGGCGCACAGAGTCACAAGGCTAGCAATGCGTCGAGGAAGGATGATTAGGGGCAAACGAATGAGCAGCGATAAGAAAGTCGACAGGCAGATCGTGCCGATCATTGAGCCCGTCGCATGCATGAACGAAGCCCGCACAACCGTGGTCGACGATGGCGCAGGAACACTTAGACGATGAAAGTACCACTGCGAGACAGTTGCAGCAGTTGTTGCTCTCTGTACGCCCGCAATGATACCCAAAGTCCAAAGATAAACCATAACGAAGAAGAAACCCAGCCACCACGTATTGAGATCGATGATAAAAGTCTGGAGCTTCGACATGTGGCCACCCAGGAAGAGTCGTGTGAACATGCCCATCCAGATCCAGGTGAAGCAGACTACCACACCTAGTGTACCGAACCCCAGCAAGGTCAGACTTGGTGAGGCTGTGACGATGCGGCATGCGAATTCGAGAATGCCAATTGCCTTGCCGAGCGAGCGACGACCTTTGTAGACCGAATAGACCCAGACACAGGCAATGACTGCTGGGACGAAAGAGAACCAACGCATGACCTTGTCCTGAACGCTATTTCCATGCCAAGCGCCTTTGTAACTCGAGATGAAAGGGTATAGCGAGAAGGAGAACAGAATGACGGGAACCGACACGAGCATCAGGAAGACCAGAACGCGCACATACTCGCGGAGAAGAGCCAACCAGAGCATGGCGACAACTACAGTGATGACGGTATCCCAGAGCAAGAGGTTGATGGAAGACGTCAGGGCAGAGTAGATGGTGTCACCAAGAGGCTTCTTGGAGTTTGGCGACGAAGTATGGAACCAGACCAAGATGAAGGTCGCAAACATGGCAAAGACGCAAATCTTGTATAGCTGAGACCAAAACATGTCATGGCGCGGTGGTTCTGGTGCTGGGAGGATGACGGTGGGCGGGAAACTATCGCCGTCGGGACTGGGCGGCCTCGGATGAGCATAGGCTATCTCAGGATCTGTCTCTTGCGGAAGAAATGTAGATTGTGGAGGAGGCACTGAAGGCTGAAATGTCTGGAACGCCGGTGGTCGAGCGTCAAGTTCTTTGTCAATGCTATCGAAATCCGAATAGTCATCGTCGTGATCAGGAGAGCCAAGCTCGACATCAACCATGGCTGACTTCTGTTCTGAAGCCGAAAGAGCAGGCTGTGAAGCAAGGTTCGAAGATTCGAGGTTGTGATCTTCAATCTCGGACGACTCGGTAAGGTGACTGGGGATGAAGTTGCGGCGAGACTTTTGTAGAGCTATGTAGTCTGCCATCTCACGCTCGTGTTGTGTCTCTTCATCTTCTTGATCGAAGCCCTGGAATAGTGGCACGTCTTCTTGTCGCGGACGAGAAGCAAAGGGAAAGCGAGACAGATATGAGACGGAACCCGAAGGCTGATATGGCGTAGGCATCGAGGTGCGCTGGACGTAACGAGAGGATGAGGCAGGCTGACGTCGTCGATCGAGAGGATTGCGAGAGCGAGTATCTGGCTCATGCTGAGTGAAGGAGAGGCGGCTTTGAGACTGCGCCAGGAAGCGCGAGGCATCTGATGCATATCAGTCACGCGCTCTCGCCTCGCCTGGAGACGGGTAGCAATGATGGACTTACATTCGGAGAACATGACAGGCAGTGGCGACACCTAATCCAGGCCGCCGTATAGTGATGGTATTTTATGTAGTGATCCGAGTGGGATGGCTAGGAGCGTAGGTAGGATGGATAGGGCGGTGGACAGGACGATCTTGTCCAGACTTGACGATGACTCCGGCGATAAGGGCAGGAAGTCACGACCGACTCGATGTGTGATGGACAAGTCAGAGTCCACAGAATTTGTTCAGCTCCGACAGACACTTCCCCAGTGTTGAAGGTTATAGGTGTTGTAGAAGGGCACAGGCAGCAACGGGATTATTCGCAATATCCACTAAGGTCGTAAATGACGTTTCGGGACTGTCCAGGCGGTGTTGCGACTTGTGACAGGCAACAACACGTGCCCACTTGCGACACTTTCAGAGACCTGCCAGTTCAAACAATGTTACCAAGAAGGAGGTCGTCAGAGAACAAGTCGGGATTTCAGTTCGTTCTTGGGCATCCGCAGGTCAAAGACGACGACAGGCAAGTCCAGGTCGGGACGGTCAAGCTGAAACAGCCGCAATCGGGTGCTGCGACAGCTGTGGACCGTGCATAGTTATAGCCGTTCTTATCGCCGCGTCCTGACATTGCGGAGGCCGGAGCTCTAAGGGTTGAGGGTGGCTTGAAGATCATTGAGGACAGATATTTCCACGACCTTTCTTGTTGCTGTTGTTTATCAAGTTTTGAAGACACGGAGTCGCGTCAGTCATGTCTGCAGTACAGCAGCAAGTCGACCAGGGCACCAACTGGATGGTCATAGCATCCGTCGCATACTATAGCACACAGGTCAGCTAACATTTCGCANNGTCGACCGCAAAGTCGGTCGCCCAGACGGTTGGTATTTTCATGTTCGTCAACTTTGCCATCAAGCAAGTCACCGGAGGCGTTCAACAACAGAAGCAAGCTGAGAGTGCCCCCGCTCCCACCGTCGCCGCTGGTACGGGCCAACAGGTGCTTGGATCCTCGTACAGCGCCATCCCCGAGATGATCATGCCTCTGTGGCAGCAAAACGCCTCCATGGACATCAACATGTATGTCTCGCCTTCGTTCGCCATGCCCGCCCTCAGCCAGATGCCCCAGGAATCCCTGGTTCTCCAAGAGCGCAACTTCCACTACGGAGACTGGTCCGACAAGCGCCAGGTCCATACCACAATCGCCATTCCTCAGTCCGTCCAAGAGAATGGAACACTCTGGGCACACATCTATATTTCTCAGTCAGGAAGCGTCATGGATCCTACTCTACCTGGCTACGATTCCTTCAAGGCTTACCGCGTCACCCGACCCCTGACAAACTACCTGGCCAAGAAGAAGGTCCACAAGACTCGCAACCTGCTTGACTCTTCTGACGCCGAAGAGCAAGCCGAGGACGAGGCCTCAGGTCCTGTCATCTCCAACTACTACCACCCCAATTTCACTCTGTCCATCATCCCCAACATTGGAACTCCTGTTTACCCTCAGATGCACCCAGCAATGCGCCAATTCGTCTCTCTGGAAGCAACCGGTGCCCGCGATGATTCTGGCAAGAACGCCTGGTACTACCCTGTTCTCTATCTCAACACCTTCTGGCAGCTTCGTTCTCAGATGACTGAGCTCAACTCGACTGTGACTGAGATGCCTCTCAACCTCGATTTGCAAACCGACCCCAACTGGAAATTCAGCATCATGGCAAGCATGGACGAGGGTATGAAGGAGAATGCCAGAAAGATTGCTCGTGGAGAGACTACCCCTGGAGGCGGTGACGGCAGCGAGCTCGAGATGATCAAGGAGGTTCTTCTTGACACGAACATGTACCTCCTCGGTCTCACAGGGTTCGTCAGTATTTTGCACATGATCTTCGAGATGCTGGCTTTCAAAAACGGTAGGTATTTTACTAGTACTTTCTTCTCCTTGCTGTGCTGATAACTCGCCACCNNAGACGTCTCGCATTTCCGCAAGAAGAAGGACAACGTCGGAACCTCAGTCCGCACCATCCTCGCCAACGTCTTCATGCAGAGTGTAATATTCCTCTATTTACTTGACAACAACGAAAACACCTCATGGATGATCCTCTTCGGTCAAGGCATGGGCATTGCCATCGAAGCATGGAAGGTTACCAAGACAGTGGACGTACGTGTTCGCGCGGCCCCTGAAGGCTCCCTGATTCCCTACCGCGTCGTCTTTGAGGACAAGCACAAGCTTTCAGACACCGAGAAGAAGACCCAGGAGTACGACGAGATCGCTTTCCGCTACCTATACATGGTTGCAGTTCCGCTTCTGCTCGCATATGCCGGATACTCGCTCGTTTACGAGACACACAAGAGCTGGTACAGCTTCATCATTGCCACTCTGGTCGGCTCTGTCTACGCATACGGCTTCCTCATGATGGTCCCGAGCTTGTACATCAACTACCGTCTGAAGAGTGTCGCACACATGCCCGCAAAGGCAATGACTTACAAGTTCCTCAACACGTTCATCGACGACTTGTTCGCATTTACTATCAAGATGCCTACACTGCATCGTTTGGCAACTCTGCGCGACGATGTCATCTTCTTCGTATACCTCTACCAGGCTTGGGCATACAAGGTTGACCACACCCGTGTCAACGAGTTCGGCCAGGGAGGTGACGATGAGGAAGTCGAGGAGAAGAAGGCTGCTCAGCCTTTAAAATCTGCACCTGAAGAAGATGTGACACCGGTCAAGACTGAGGCTTCGAGCTCTGGCGCTCAGAGCAAGGCTGGTGCCTCGAGAAAGAGAAAGTAAACGACTCTAACCACTAGAAGATCTTTTGGTTATCAGAGGGCTTGGGCATTGTAGCTTTTCATATACTAATTGAGCATTTGCGATCCATTGTATATAATATCTATCTGTGGTCATGCAACATTTCGTTTTTGCTCGAGTTGCAGATCTATCATCCTGCCTCGGGCGCAATCCTCCTTCAATCTGCCAACCACAACAACTCCATCAAACATTCATCGAAAATAGAATAATGTCTTCTATTCTTAACTCCAGCGACGTAAAAGGTAAAACTAAACATGCATTATTGCCAGCCAAAAGATTTACTGATACCTATCCACCGAAGTACCAAACGACGACGCACAAACTGCCTTACCAGAAGTCGACATAATATGGCACAATATGTACGCCCCCAGCACTTTTATCACATGGCGAAAACACTCCCGCCGCTCGGTAGAGGAACTCCTCAACGACTTTACCAATCTTGTCAATCGTGGTGTTTTGAGTATCATCAATTTGAGTGTTAGCAAGGCTTCTTTTGTTGCTGTTGTGGAATGTGAGAGGGATTGGGATGAGATTGAAGAGGATGTTCTGCAAGCGATGAGATAAGAATAAATTTCAAGCTTGGAACAGGGTGTATACATTTTCTGGGGGATGGTTGTGAACTTCGACTTTCGGTCTCTTTTTTGTTCTGCGCTGCGTCTGCATCCTCGTTCGTGGTCGTCATCATACATGCTTGCTACGTCTTTTGCACACCTCTGTTTGCCATTATCCTCACGAACTTCTGCTTAGTTCATGCTTCTCATACTATACTGGTCTTGTTCCTCAGCAACGGGATGTTCAAGCTTTTTGAGCAATGTTTCTGCGAGCCTTGACTGTTGCATTGTACAAAGCGTCCTTGAATGCGAACAGGAAAGCTGCAGTGATGACACTNNCCTGAGTGACCTTGGGGCCGATGCCNNTGAGAAGAAAGTTAGTATCGATTAATGGTAATTTGGTGAAATTCAACTTACCTCCGTAGAGACCGGCCCAACCTTCCTCGCGCAAGATTCTGGAGAAGCTGTCGAACATGCCCTGCTTCTCTCCACTGGCAACATGGGCTCTAGACTTGACTGTGATGTAAGGGTATGTGATGCTGGTGGCTGCCAACTTGCCCAGAGCACCGAGGTAGAAGCTGTCCTTGGGGGTAACACGACGACGCTTTTCGAGCGACTGCTTCAACTGCTCGAAAATGGTGTATTGAAGGATAGGGTTGATGACCAGCACAAGAGCTGGCAAAACACCTGCGAAGAGTCTCATGAAACCTTCATCCTTGATGATGGATAGAAGGGTACCGATGGTGCTGGGGCTGAGCTGCTTCTTGGGCTTTGCGCCTTCCTCGGTAGGGAGGGCGCTCTCGTCGCTCTCGTTCTTGCGTGCTGTCATGCGAGTGTTGACTACCCAGATAGGGTTGGTGATGAGCACAGTCGCGCTTCCGGCAAGAGCACCGGCAAGCATGCTCTCCAAAGTGCTGAGCTTGCTGGCATTGGGGCGGTTGGAAGCCTTTGCAGCCTTGATGAAAGCAGCGCGGGTCCATTCGTACCAGTAATAGTAGACAAAGTTGGTTACGCTGATGCCGAAAAGGGCAGACTCAAGACCGGCATACAGACCGCGAACACCTTCGCGTGCGATAATCTTGCGAGCTGCTTGGAGCACGTTGGTGTCGGCTTTCTTGGACTCGACTTGGGCGCGTGTTGACAAGGTGATCAGAGGGTAAGTCAGAGCCATGGAGATGAGACCACCACCCGAACCAGCCAGAGCGTGAGCGACATTGTCAGATTGCTGAGAAACTGCATCTGGAGGGGCAGTGGCGGTCGACTTTTGCAGCTCGTCCTTGACGGAGATGGATTGAGACATGATCAAAGGGCGTAGCAAAGGCTCAAAAATTACGCAGTGAGGCAGCTGCTGTTTCTAAAGGGCAAATAAAGGTATGGCTGAATGTTTCAGGAGCTACAGCAAATGTTTCGAGGTTTGGATAGGGGCGGAAAGGAAGGGAAACCTCTTATGCCTGGATAAGTTATTGTATCCGGGTGCGTCAGGTGTAGCTTTTACCTTGGAGAGGGTCAAGGAGCCGAGGTTACCTTCCCCACATGTGAATGAACGAGATCGGCAACTGCTCAGGGTCTTTTTGACAAAATTCGTGACAATAGTCTGTTAAGGCTTGCAAAGGCAAAGCAAGGTGAGCAAAGAACTTCCATGAAATAACGGTTCGGATGATTAGCTAGATGTACAGTTGGGTCAAGAGATCTGCTCCAAAGCTACTATAAAGTCATGGAATATCGACACAACACCCCTGCACATGCAAGATGCACAATTGTTAATTATAGGTAGGGCTACAACCACGACTTTTGGCTGCATATCTCACAATTCCCCCTTTTCTCCAGATCATCAGCCAGAATCAGTCAATTGACCCGTTATTCGAACCTCTCACTTACAGCAAAAGCCGACTAAGTTGGACGTCACGTCTTGAAACCGGAAGCCAAAGTCCATCAATCTCATCCTCGGTCTCGACGTTTGTTTTATCGCAGGCCTTCATCGGAGCCACCCGGCGACGTTCGGGTATCCGAAGCCCCTGGAGCTAGAGCTTCCGAGCTTGGAGGTCCTGCACACTCTCTCGACGAGAGCAAGTAAAGAAGAGAAGGACTGGCGCATATGGCGCATAGAAATGTATCCGAGGACATGATGGAGAGCGCTGGCAGCTCTCCGGCCTCGTCGAATGCCCATGAGGGCAGCATAAGTCACGACTACGATATGGAGTCAGCAAATGCGACGCCCAACTCGCTCTTCACTGGTACTGCTGAGAGCGACATGCCACATGACTCGACTCCTGCATCCCCAAGGCATGTCGTATCGTTGCCTGCTCGCTCGTCTGCACCGCCCACTCAACGTGCTTTGCCCCACCGCGACGTGTCAGAAGAGAACATAGTCGACGCATATGCCGCCTTCATTCTGTACTGTAATCCGTATTTCCCGCTGGACATCGATACTTCTGATTTGAGGCGCATCTTCCAAACGCCACCTCGTAGCGATGGCAAAGATTTCAGTATATTCACATTGTGGGGACTTGTACAAAGATTTGACAGCAAGGAGATCAAAACATGGACGCAACTAGCCCTAGAGCTGGGTGTCGAGCCTCCATCAGCAGAGAGAGGTGGTAGTGTTCAAAAGGTACAGCAGTACTCTGTCAGGTTGAAGGTCCGTGTTATAAATTTCTTAGTGTCCGAGTATTCCACCCCAACTCACACTCGTTCTAGNCGCTGGATGCGTGCAATGCATGTCGACGCCTTTTTCGAGTATCTGCTCGGTAAGAAGCATACTTACTACCTGGACTTGCCTCCACCTCATGACCCTCACCCGTCTAGAGGTCGAGATGGCGTGCCAGCTGACGAAGATCTTGCCATCAGAGCATTGGATCCTTCCTTTCGTCCCAAGAGGGGTCGCAAGAGGAACGAGACGCCTGAGAAAGATCCGGCTCCTCCAAAGAAGCCGCTACTGACGACATCTTTCTCTTATGAAGGCAGAGTACTCTATGCTCAGCCACAGGCATCTTATACCGCATCTGCTATCCCATTGAGCGCCAGACCTGTAGAAAACTTTGCCAACGACCTGTGGACACCTATGAATGCGACATCAAGGCGACCAATTCCACATTCTGCGATAGCTGCCCGACCGCCGCAACATCTCCAATGGCAGGTTGGAGGATCCAATGACCCGGCTTCAACTCCTCATCCTATGTCAGCCCTCGAGCCCAGAGCACCAGGTCTGCCGGCATACGACGAGCCGATGTCGGCCATCACTCCAGGAGCTTCTCGTGGTCGCTCACGTAGGAAGCATGGTCCTGCAGTGTCCTCTGCTTGGACGAACGCCACCACGACAAACGCCAGAGCTCGAGGCAGGCCTCCAGGTAATCGATCAGTTCAAGACGGCCCGTACACCACATTTCCAGCGGATCCGAACGCTGAGAGGTCGGCGTCGAGAAGCACTCTAGCTGTATCCTTGATGCCTTACGATACCGAATCGCATCTGCTGCGTCCCAATGCCTACACGAAACCTCTGCACAAACCCGTGTTCATGATGTCCAAACCGGTTGACGATGATGCCCCGCCACGTCGACTCGAGCGTGGACGTTTATCTTTGCAAGTGCCCGAGAACACTGGTCGACCAATCCAACCTGCCACGCCATCAGTGCTTACGAACGAAGACTTCGATCAAGCATCAGAAGATCTCATGCCCATGGACACCGAGCCTGCAGCCTCTGTCTGGCCGGAACCACAAACTCGGCCTGCTTCACAGACACCCGCCACACGCCGGAACCAGAACCCCGAGCCTGAAGTGGGCCTTGCATACGAGGCTCTCAAGCGAGTCCTCGCTGCCGACCTCCTCCGTGCAGACTTCTCTGGCAGATCAACCAGATTGTTGGGGCCAGAAGCAATGCGCTTGTCCGACGCGATCCTCCAACGTTTCGGCATACCAAAGGCAGATTCTGATGATAAGAGAGACGATGCTCTTCGTATCGCGGCGACGAGCTGGCTTGGTGTGTCACGACAACTTGGATTCCAATCTGCGACTCCATGCAAAGAGAAGGAAATCGTGGTGCAGAGATTCGCAATACGGGACAACGGCCTTGAAGAACGCATCGGCCCAGACGAACATGCAAACAGAGTCAAAGAAAAGTTTGACATCAGTTGGTCTGCTGGGTTTGGTGGAGTAGGTGGAAAGTTCTGTGCTGTCGGCCTCGAGATTGAACAGGCAGCGGTGGATCCGGATAATGCAGAAGACCGAGCGCACGAGATGATCAAGGAGGTCGCCAACATGAAGGAGTCTGAGATTGACTACAAGCAAAAGTACATGGCGCTGGATTTCACGGTCAGGCTCATGAAGGGACAATTGAACAGATTGCAAGACAAAGTGCTGGACGCTTTGTTGTGAATGTATGTATGAGATATCTCTTAACATTAATGAATATGGATATATGCCCGCAAAGGGTGTAATGAAGTGTAGTCTCAGCAAATCAGTTTTGAAATCTGTTCTTCTAGACTCTTTCAATGGAGTGCTCACTCAACTCGCTGCCCAGCTTGGAGTCGGCGCTGCAGTTGCATCCTTCTCCCACGGCTTCTTACGTGCAGGGGCTTGTGCTTGGGTACCCTGGCCCTCCAGAATAGTATCAGGAATATCCTTTATACCAGGTATAGGTTTGCCCTCTGCAATAAGTGCACATATCTCAGCAAAAGAGGCAGGCGGAGGAGCATCACCTATAGAAGGTGGATGGGCCAATTCAGTTGACGATACAGATTGAGACTCAGCGGCAGTACGATGTTGCAATTGGAGCCAGCTTTGGTAGGCCTCGAAGCTGACAGGTGTCTTGAATTTTCTGGCACGATATAAGAGCAAGTTTAGAGAGGGCAGAGGTACGGATATGTGTCACCTTGTGTAGTAGTAGCAACGAGCGCGTGCGGTCAGATGTGCGGTCTGGTCGGGAGTCTTTGCAGACCTCAGAATTGACGCAAGAGCAGTTTGGAATTCATTGTCGTGACCCCAATCGTACTTGTCCAACTGTTGGAATACAGCCGTAGCATCACCTGTTGCTTGTATTTCTGTCATGCCGCCTTTGTTGGTTTATGTGATGTAGGGGCAGGGTGAGTGAATGACGATGGATAGCACGCGAGAGGTCCGTGCGCGAGCAGTGAGTAGGTGTTGGTGCATGGCAGGTTGGATGGTTGCTGCCACTCCTGTCTCGACCAACAACTTCTTCTTCCACCTGCATTTTTCTTCCTGCCTGACTATACAGCTCGGGCTGCCATCCATACGTCGCCATGTCCGAATTCATCGGGTGCGCACGCCCAATCGAGTCCTGTCGTGTAGCAAGCTAGCTAACACTGAGGACAGATCGCGCATCTCCCTCATCTCCAAGAGCGACATCAAGTGAGTGTTCAAAGTCATTGAGGTGCCAATTCACTCGAAGCAGCAAGCTGACTGCTGGCCGCGCAGATATGTCGGCACGCTACACGAGATCAACTCGGAGAACTCGACAGTCGCTCTGGAAAATGTCAAGTCATTCGGCACCGAAGGCCGTCGCGGCAACCCAGACGACGAGATCCCGCCTAACGACCAGATCTACGACTACATTGTCTTCCGTGGAAGCGACGTCAAGGACCTGACCATTGTCGAGCCTCCCAAGGAGAACAAGCCCCAGCCTCCTCAGATGCCCAATGACCCCGCCATTCTCGGTGTAAGTTGCTCGCAATCGCTCAAGATACATTCAATCGCTATGATGAATCATTCCGGATGTAANACCATTGTCATTTTCCGAGAGCGCAAAACCATGTGGACACTTTCCGTTGCCTTCCTTCTGAGCCCATACAATACCATACAACTTCCACCTGCTTTCTCAAGAATTGATGCTGACATTGACTAATTCAGNGCCGCAAGACCCCACGGCGTACCTGGTGCTCCCCAAGCACCACCATCCGGCCCTCAGGGCGCCTTCCCTCAGCCCAATCAGCAGCAGCAACAGCAGCAGCAGTGGCGCGGTCCTCAAGGCCCTCAGGGCCCTCAACAACCCCCACCTTTCCCTCCCTACGGCTACCCTCCNCCGCCCCAGGGCAACTCTCGTTTCGGTCCTCCCGCCGGTCCTCACGGCTTCCCCAACGCCCCTCCTCAGTTCTATGGGCCCCCTCCTCCAGGCTGGTTCCCCCTCCAGGACAAGGCTTCCCTCAAGGTCCGCCCGGACATTTCCCTTCTCAGCAGCCCATTGGCCGTCCTGGTCAGCAACAACAGCACCAGCAACAACAGCCTCAATCTCAGCAGCAGAGAGCTCCTGACGCTCAGGAATCTCCTGCCCCTTCAGAGAAGCAAACCGAGTCCGCCAAGNGACACCGCCGCCTTCCCTCCTCAAGTCCCTGACCAAAAGCCCGCAGGCTCTGCAGACCAGGTTCCTTCTTTCGAGGCTTCCGCTCCTCCTCCACCAGTCGATTCGAAGCCCGATGTCGCTGCAGCTACCGCCCCTGCTCAATCGCAGCAGAAGCCTCCCACTGGTCCTAAGAACACCCGTGTAGCCGTTCCTCTCGTTCCCTCCCACGCTAAGCCTGGCAACACCCCTTCAAACTTGGCCCAGCAGCAACAGAGTGCTACACAGACTGCCGCCGCCGCCGTCGCTGCCGCCATGGCCAAGCTCCCCATCTCGGCCACTACTCCCGTTGACTCCAGTGTTGACAACTTGGCAAAGCGTGTCGGTGATATGCGCACTGATGACAGAACAAGACACCCGCGCCAGCCAAATGCTGGTGGATTCCCTGCTGGAAACCGTGGTGGCCGTGGAGGCAGACGTCCCAGCAACCGTGATCTCGCCAAACCGGTCGAAGTACCTACGACAGATTTCGATTTCGAGACCAGCAACGCCAAGTTCAACAAGCAGGATTTGGTGAAGGAGGCAATCGCATCCGGCTCTCCTTTGGGCACACCCACCACCGATGAGCCCAAGCATTCTCAGGAAGATGCATCCAACGGCTATGAGGCTCCTCAAGCCGAGCGCGAGGTCGTCATTCCTGGTGCCACCTACAACAAGTCAAGCTCGTTCTTTGACAACATTTCATCAGAACTCAAGGACAGACAGGCCGCTCAAGAGGATGGAAGACGTATNGGGGGTATGGAGTTCAGAACCGAAGAGCGCAAGAAGAATTTCGAAACTTTCGGACAGGCCAACGTGGATAACGGATTCCGTGGTGGATACCGTGGTCGCGGCCGTGGCAGAGGGTTTGGCCGTGGCGGCCAGCGCGGCGGTTTCGCTCCCAGAGGCGGCTATGCCCCCAGAGGCCGTGGTGCAGGCTTTGCTGGCGAGTCTTAGGAAGGCCCCAAAGGCTCACAGAACGGGAAGAACGGCAAGAACCAGTTTTCGAGTTTGGCAGAGGAAGAGGCCTAGAGTGCCGATTTTGAGGAACCTCGTGGACGAACACTGAAACGGTTTTGCATCATAACATAGCGAGGACGACACGTTCAGACGGCAGAAAATGATGGCGCATGGAACAAAGTGGACATGGCTGGGATGGACTCAGGGGTTCTGTGTTATTTCATAAGGCTCTCACTCGAATGATAGTGGGAAAGCATGGAAAGTGTTTATAGCGGTCCTCTTATTTCATCTTCTCAACTCCCTGAAGCATCAAATTTGCCCCTTGGAAAGACAGAAAAAGTGTTGGTACGAACTACAACTACGAGGTATGCTGCTGACCTAGGTCGTGGAAGCGTCTTGTGGCATTTCAACTCATTCGATTCTTTATATTGCGTTTTATCCTGACATGACTTGCAATTCCCTTTACATACCACCTTGTCAGAAACAACCACTACAACTGCCTTATCCTAAACAACAGTTCGAGAGTCTCGGCCACAATCACAAGGAACTTATAACATGGCAGTGGATTGGTCATTAGGTCATCAGAAGTATCTAAGCCTTCGAGTCTATCATGATTTAATGCTTCAAAATGACAATCTAGCAAAAGGGGGCATCCAACTCTAAACGCCTTGAGGTCTGTTACCACATTTAGTTCGACAGCCGAGTATGGGCATGACAGCAATCATCTTTGTCGGACCCNCTCAGTGCTGGTAGCTCCTTCGATCGAGGTTGACACGCTTTGTTTAGGTTCGATGCCCTCAACATTTTCCGAGTGATGTTGAGTGGGCTCTTGTGAGTCCAGAGACATGCCCTTTACAGCTTTTAGAGCGGGATCCGACTCGTCCAGAATAGGCTTGCCTTCAGGGGTAGCTTGCCACTTTGCGACTTCCTTCTTGAGGGCTTCGAACTCTTTCTCCATACGGCGGCCAAATACGTCGATATAGAATGTGGCGCCGTTATAAGTTGCCCAGGTGAAAACAACCAAGAGGAAAGTTGCGCTGGCCCAGCGGTACCAAAACCACAGGGGGCATGGTACCATGGTGATGAGGGCATACATGTACTGGATCAACATAAATGCTGGCCCCTGCAGAACCTCGGGCAGCGAAAGCACAAGTTTGCCAAGGAAGTTTTNTGCGTAAGACTTGCGAAGCCAAGTGAAAGATGTTGGACGTCCNNTATGAACAGGTTAGCGTCGTGTTAGATGAGCAAAGTGCCAAGAAGACGTACCAGCGGCAATCTTGTCCTTTCTTCTGACAGTGATCATGAAGTGGTAGCTCAGCTGCCAACAGGCATAAGGAACAGTGGCCCAGATGATCATGCCGCCAAGAGTGTAGTGTTCAGGAGAAGATGGAGAGGAGTGTTTGATGCTGTAGATGGCGGGGAACTTCTCCTTCTGTAGCTCTAGGGGAATGAGATGGACAAGACAATGCAGTGTCGCACACGGCATGATATGGATGAACAGACTNNGCAAACGTCAGCAATGACCAGAGATAGATGATGACTGGAGAATAACTAACCTTGTGACCTTGTCCAGGGAATGGAAGACCAGCGAGTTTCTCCACATGGCAATGGCGACGGCATTGTTGCCCATAGCTAGACAGTAGGTGCTAATGAACAATCTTTTGCTGTTAGGGAAGAACCACATTGTCAGAAGCATGAGAAGGTTGACAAAGTAGCACAAGTCAGCGAGGAAGTAGTGGTAGCCAATCTTGTGGTACTTGTAGTAGCGGATGGGCATGAAGTAGGCCAGCTGGGCGGTATACCAGATGTGGAAGTACTCGGGATAGGCGCCTATGAGGTAGCCAGAGATAAAGATGTTGAGCACACCGGTGATGAAGGAGATCTTCTCACGCAGCGTGACTGCTTTGGCGTCGTTCCACCGCTTGCCGAGACGGTCGACGTTATCCCGCATGCGTCTCTTGTACTTTTCCAGCTGCTCGTCGGGTGTGGGGACGCGGCGTCTCCACTCCTCGACCATTTTATCTTTGGCGGTGATGCTAGACATCCTAAGCTTCTGCTGCTGTCGACGAACCTTGTCTTTCTGGGCGGTGATAGAATGCTGGAAGCGCTCTAGTCTCTGAGGCAGGGCCAGGTTCTCGATGATGTCGAACATGGTCAGGCGGTCGANGGGAGGAAAGCCCTCATCGTCGGGTTCGCTGTAGCTTCCGTTTGAAGTGGTTCGCGACAAGACACTGTAGGGATAGCCTGGCGAAGTAGGCTGAGATGTCATGCCTGCGTACTGTTGAGCATCGACAGCCGAGAGGTAGTCGGCATCAGGGGTAGAGGTTTGGCCTGAAGCTGTAGCAGCACCAGGAACCTCAGGCTTGGGCTTGAGTGTGTCGACAGGCTGCGACATGGCGGTGAACGGCCCAAGGAGGGAAAGGAGAGATGAGATTCGGATGGTAGGAGGACTTGTCAAGATGTAAGGACAAGGAAATAGCTGAATGTCTAAGCGGTCATTGCAGCTTTCACGTGTGCGTTTGGTTGCAGATGGAATGCAACTTAGGAGCGACGTGAATACAAGACTACTTTCTTGACCATGTTGACCGATGTCATTGGTCTGTGCAAATCCGCTGATCGGTCGCTCCGCCCATCATCGGTCTTGGCGGCAGTTTCGCGTGTGACGCGCCTGCCTCCATCAACGCGTCGTCCGACTTGATCAGTCCTTCCATGCACCTGCTCATAGCCCGCACACCACCACACCACCTTGGGCCGTCACCATGGGCAAACTAATACGGCTTGAGTTGTTCAGTGCGATCCCCTCCTTCTGCTCATACCACATTTGAGTCTACTAACAGTTACGCNNAGACTTCAAGTCCTACAAGGGCCACCATGTTCTCCTCTTCGGCGATTCCTACTTTACCTCAATCATCGGTCCCAATGGCTCGGGCAAATCCAACTCTATGGACGCCATCTCCTTCGTCCTCGGAATCAAATCTTCTCATCTTCGCTCAACTCATTTACGCGACTTGGTCTACCGTGGCCGCGTTTTGAAGACTTCTCGCATCAATGCCGACGGAACTGCTACTGAAGTCCCCGAGGGTGAGGCCCAAGAGCCAGAGGCTGAGTCTGGCACACAAGAGGGGGATCAAGACACTCAGACGAGCAATCAGCGCGCAGATCCCACCAACGCTTGGGTCATGGCTGTCTACGAGGATGACGCTGGAGACGAACAAGCCTGGAAACGCTCCATCACATCTACCGGCCAGTCCGAATACCGCATTAACAACAGACCCGTGTCCGCAAAGCAGTACAACGAAGCTCTCGAGGCTGAGAATATTCTGATCAAAGCTCGTAACTTCCTCGTCTTCCAGGGTGACGTCGAGGCTATTGCTTCTCAGAGTTCCAAGGATCTCACCAGATTGATTGAGCAGATCAGCGGCAGTCTTGAATACAAGGCCGACTACGACCGTCTCAAAGTTGAAGCCGAGAAGGCTGCTGAAGACCAAGCTTTCAGACTAAACCAACGCAGAGGCATCAATTCCGAGATCAAGCAGTATCAGGAGCAAAAGCGCGAAGTCGACAGCTACAACCGCAAAGTCGATGAAAAAGATCAAGCTGTTGTCACTCACGTCCTATGGAAGCTGTTCCACTTCCAACAAATGGTCGAGTCATCCGGTGCTGAGATACAAAAGCACCAGGACGAATTGAAGGAATACCGGAGGAATGTCGAGGCCTTCGAGGCTAGACTTACCGAAGCACAACAGGAACAGGCTAGAGCCGGCCGTGAGGTCCACAAGCTTGAACGCAACATCAAGAACAAGGAAAAGGCTGTCGAAGAGAAGGAGAATGAGCTTTTGCCCATCAACGAGAAGATCTCCCTCTCCAACAAGAAGCTCGAGGCATCGCGCAAACGCATCACTGAAATTTCAAAAGAGCGCGACGCCCAGTCTCGCAACGCTGACCAGTTGAAAAAGGACCTTGATGTTGTTCAAAAAGCTCAGAGTAGATGGGAGCAGGAATGGTCGGCTGCACAACAACAAGCAGGACGCGAACTCAGCGAAGCCGATCTCCAAGAATACAACCGTTTGAGAGGAGATGTCAACAAGAGAACCGCAGCCGACCAAATCAAGGTCGACAACATCACTCGCCAATTGAAGACGGACGAAGAAACTGTCGAGAGTTTGAAGAGCAAGGTCGATTCCACGGAGAACCACATCTCCAAACTTGACAGCGAAGTTTCGTCCTTGCGATCAAGGCGTGATGAGCTAACTTCAACTGTTCGCTCCATTAACAATGAAGCGGACGGCAAGAAGAAAGAGTTCAACACCATGACATCGGAGAGATTGAAGTCTGCTCAGAAACACACCGAGATCGAGGAGAAGCTGCAGGAAGTGCTACGCAAACTCAACGATGCATCTGTGTCTCAACGAGAGTCCGAGAAGGAAACAAGAGCTCGCGAGACTGTCGCTGCTATGAAGAGAATCTTCCCTGGTGTCCGAGGTCAGCTGTGGTCGCTATGCAAGCCAAAGCAGAAGAAATATAACGTCGCCGTCAGCACTGTCCTTGGTCGCCACAACGACTCTATTGTAGTGGACACAGAGAAAGTGGCAAAGGAGTGCATCCAATACCTTCGCGATCAACGTGCTGGGCAGGCTACCTTCATCCCTCTCGACACCATCATGCACAAAGCACCGGATGCCAACCTGAAGGGCATGCATAGGGGCATGCGCCTCGCCATTGACACAATCGATTACGAGAATGCTGTTGAGCGCGCTATCTCTTTCGCTTGCGGAAACAGTATAGTATGCGATGACCTACAGATTGCTAGACATCTCTGCTACGATAGACATGTCGAGGCCAAAGCAGTCACACTTGACGGCACCATCATCCACAAGGGTGGCCTCATGACCGGTGGACATGGCTCAAACGACCAACGAAATGCACGAAAATGGGAGGACTCAGAAGTCGAAAACCTGCGCCGTCTGAAGGACAAGCTGCTCGCTGATCTGAGTGCTCTGCCCAAGGGTCATCGCCGGCAGGCAGAAGAAGAGGCCCTCCAGGGTGAACTTGCGGGGCTCGAGTCACGTCGCGCCTTTGCTGACGAAGAGCTCAAGGCACTCGAATCAAACATTGAGAGCAAACGCCGTGAGCTGAACTTTGCAAGACGTCAGCTGGAGGAGACAAGGCCAAAGTACGAGGAGCAAGCTCACGGTGTCACTACTCTGCGTAGTCAGCTCGAGTCTTACTCAGCGTCAGTTGCGACTGTCGAGGATGAAGTCTTTGCTGCTTTCTGCCAACGTCTAGGATACAGCGACATTCGCGCATACGAAGCTCAGCAGGGTAGTGTCCAGCAGAAGGCGGCGCAAAAGAAGCTGGGGTTCACCACGCAACGCAGCAGATTGGAGAACCAGCTTGCCTTTGAGACACAACGTTTGCAGACAACCAAAGACCGCATTGCTAAGTTGCAAAGCGATGTAAAAGAAGCTCAAGCCAACATTGCAAACCTCGAGTCCGAGCGCGATACCCTCAACAACGAGCTAGATGAACTCAACGCCGAGGTTGAGCAGATGAACGAGCAGCTGATTACACGCAGGACGAAGTACGACGAGAAGTCTGACAAGGTTGCTGAACACCGACGCGAAGTCGCAAAGCGCTCAAAGTCGATCGAAAGCACGAACAAAGACATTACCGCTCTACAAGAGGCAGTGCAAAGATCCAACTCAGATCGTTACTCTTTGCTTCGTAGGTGCAGAATCGAGGAAATCAATGTTCCGCTCACCTCACAGAGCAGGAAGCTGGAGTCTCTTCCACTGGATGGTGGCATGGCTGCAGACGAAGATGCCATGGACGTCGACGAAGAGGAAGGATCTCAACGCGTGCCCGGAGTCAATGATTATGGTATCGATGTCGATTTCTCGGACCTTGATGATGACCTGAAGGAAGATGATTCAGAGCAATGCGAGGCAAATCTGCAAGAAAGCGCCTCGAATATACAAGCCGAGCTTGAAAAGATGGCGCCGAACATGAGAGCCATCGAACGCTTGGAAGGTGTCGAAGCACGTCTCAAGTCTACTGATGACGAGTTCGAAGCAAGTCGCAAGGCCGCCAAAGAAGCCAAGGACCAATTCGACGACATCAGAGACTTACGATCCGACCTCTTTACCAAGGCTTATGATCACATATCTGGCCAGATTGACCAAGTCTACAAGGAGCTCACGCGCACTGCTAGTTTTCCTCTTGGAGGTCAGGCATACCTCGATCTGGAAGATACTGACGAGCCATATCTCAGTGGTATCAAATACCACGCCATGCCTCCACTCAAGCGTTTCCGTGATATGGAGCATTTGTCTGGTGGTGAGAAGACCATGGCTGCACTGGCACTGCTCTTCGCTATACACACATATGCCCCTTCACCATTCTTCGTCCTCGACGAGGTTGATGCCGCTCTCGACAATGCCAACACTGCCCGTCTGGCCAACTACGTCAAGGAACACGCAGGCCCTGGCATGCAATTCGTTGTCATTTCTCTCAAGGTAAGAATCAGAGCGCACCATTTTTTTTTGGAAGTACTTTGCTAACATCTGTGATAGACTGGACTCTTCCAGAACAGTGAAACGCTTGTTGGTGTCATGAGAGATCAGACTGTGAACAGCAGTAGAACCCTGACTATGGATGTAGGTTCAAACAAGTATCGTCATATGATTAGTGCAGCAACTGACATGATCGCGATAGCTTCGCAAGTACCAGGCTGCATAGAGCAGCTGATACAACAGGGAAAGAAGGGACGAAGCGGTGTGTCCTGATTTAGTTTCGAAGAGAGAAGTCACGCAAGGGGAAGATGTTATTGTTAGCTATTGCTCGATACCACAAAGTAAACATGTCGATTCTCAACTATGCGATCAACGATAAACTTCAAATTTCGTTCTACATACAGCACCAAGGCAAAGACAACATAAACATAAAGTGGGGTGAAGGGAATAGAGAGTCGAAGGTATGAAAGGGTTAAGAACAAAGAATGCATGCTTTTTCTTTCAGACTATGTTGTAAGGAACCTCCTCTCATCGATCATCCTTTCCCATTTTTGTGTGCTCCAAAAAAAAAGATCGTTGCAAAACATCAACTCCCCACTACTGCTACATTCAACCACCTCTAATTCGTTTCATTGAGAAGATCCCATTTAGGATCTGCTGCCGAAGCCACCACGTCTGTAGGCACCGCCAGCGGAGGAACCGCCACGGGCAGATGGGGGCTCGTATCTGCCACCAGAGGCGGGAGGAGGGGTTTCACCGTCGCCGCGGGGGTTCTGGGAGTCCAGCGTTCGCGGGGGCGGCGGCGGGAGGGGCAGAGTCGGAGGGAGGTGCNGGCACCGGCTGCTCCGCGCAAGTGGACGGGGACGTAGGCGGACTTCTTGGGGAGAGCGGCCTCGGAAGTCTGGACACGCTCGTCGGCGGGCGGTGCGGCGGGGCGGGCGGCCTCGGGGGCGGGCGAGGAGGGTGCGGGTGAGACGCCACCTTGGGCAGCCTTTGCGGCTTCACGCTCACGCCATGTGGGCTTGTTGCCGGCAAGGGCGAGACGGGGAGGACCGCCAGCCGAGGCCGAAGCGGCGACGGGCTCGGCGGGTGCGGGTGCGCCAGATCTTGACCAGCGGTCGGGACCGGCAGCGGCGGCGGCGGGAGGTGCTTGCTTGCGCTCGGCACGACGACGCTCGGCTTCCTCTTCGCGCTGGCGTTGCTTCTCGGCAGCGGCGGCGGCTTCCCTGTGGTGATCTGTTAGCAATGCTGTTGTGATTGTGTTTCGTATGGGTTCGGCAAGAACGTACTCTCTCGACTTGACTCTCTCCTGCTTCTCTCTCTCCATTCTCTCGCGCTTCTCGGCATCGGCACGCTCCTTCTCTTCGGCCTCTCTAGCCTCTCTCTCTTCTTGCTCGCGGGCTCTAGCTTCGGCCTCCTCGGCCTCTTGCTTCTCGCGTGCCATGCGCTCCTTGACTTCGCGACGGCGTTGCTCCATCTTCTGGTTAAGCTCGCGCTCTGCAACCTTGCGACGCTTCTCGAACTCGGCGTGGCGCTGCTCGGTGACGTTGCGCTTGAACTTCTCGTAGGAAGGCACCAGACGGCTCAGGCGGTGCTTGAGGGCAACAGCCTCCTTGTGCTTCTCCTCGGCATCCTTGAGAGTCTCGGACTTGGTCTTCTCGTAAGCAGCCAAGTCACGCTCGCGCTGGGTGTCGTAGTCGGCGCTGAGGTGCTTGAGCTCCTCCTTTCTGTAGGCACGCTCGAGATGGTCGATTCTCTTGGCAGTGAATCTCAGCTTCTCGCTCATCTCGTTCTTCTCCTTCTCAAGAGCCTGGAGCTTGATCTGGCGGATACGGCCAGTGTCGAGGTCGTTGATGTCGAAGCTATCGATATCAACACCCTTAACACCCTGCTTGAGTTCCTTGAGCTGGCGCTCCATCTCCTCTCTTTGGACCTTCTCCTGCTCCTGTCTGATACGACGAGCCTCACGCTCACGCTGTTCATCAGCCAGGCGCTGGACTTCGGCAGCTTGCAATTCTTGCTGGCGAAGTCTCTTCTTCTGTGCCTCCTCGCGCTCCTTGGCAGCCAAAGCGTTGGCAGCGGACTCCTTCATCTTCTGGATGACCTCTGAACGAGCAATAGTGTCGAGGTGCTCCTTGTCGGCACCAGCCTCAGCACGCTTAAGAGCAGCCTGCTTGGCCTTTTGGCGGTCCTCGTTAAAGGTAGGGTCGACATATTGGCATGTAATGAAGAGAGCCTTCGACAGGCGAGTAAGCTGAGAGCGGACAATCTCGGCAGGAGTGCTCTGGAGGCGCTGGACAACCTCAGAACCAGCGGAACCAGCACCGCTACCAGGGTGGAGGGCACGAGCAGATGAAAAGACGTCAGAGTCGAAAGTCAAGACACCAGTAGCGTGGTCAATACGAATAGCCAAGTCACCCTTCTTGCAACCGTTCATGATGAATTTCTCAATGGCAGCAGGGCTCATCTGGAACTCCTCGGGGAACTGAGCAAGGTTAAGAACGAATTTGAGTTCGACAGTCTCGTAAACCTGAGACAGCTGCTGGAAGAGGCGGGTAAGAATGACCTGCTGGAGGGGCAGGACGTACTTCTTCATCTCGGGGTCGGCGGCAATCTTGGTAAGGATAGGAGAGATTCTCTTGCAGATGGACAGAGGGTGGAAGTCGACCTCGAGAATGTTGTAAAGCTCACGGATCTCGGGAGAGGCACGCTTGAGAAGGCCCTTGTTGATAGCATCCTTGAACAGAATGGCACGGGTAGGGGGTGCCGACATGCCGAGGAGGTTAGTAAGACGGGTGTTCTTGTTCTTCTTGGCCTCGTCGACATCAACCAGGGCACCACGCGAACGGGAAGTGCTAATGACAGGAATAGCAAGAGCGGACAGAATGACAAAGGAGGCGGCCTTGGTGAGGTCGGCATCGCCGATGTTGGAGGGGTTATCCTTCTTCTGGCCCTGACCAGCGGTCATGATAGCAGCCGACTGGCGCAAAAGATTGCAGTAACGGCTCCAGGCAGCGGCGTGGAAAAGGTAGTTCTCGCTGACAAGGAAGATACGGGCAAGCTTCTCGAAGTAGTTGGCCATCATGACGTTCTTTGCAGGGCGCTTGCTCAAGGAGAGAAGGGTGTGGGTATCCTCGACGGACTTGAAGGCCTCCTGCCACAGCTCGAGTTCGACGGCGACGTTCAGCTGCTGGAAACGGGTGTCGAGATGGCGCTGAAGAGTGTCGGGGTCGCTGAGGTTGATGGCGTGCATCTGGGACGAGTACTTGGCGGCATTTTGGAGGTGGTTACGGAGCAACTCGCACAGTCTGCGGAACTCGGTCTTGCGAGCGTAGCGGAGACAGAACTGGAAGGCCTGGAGGGTGACGGTCTGGTACATGACCTCGAGTCTGGCGTTGTTCTTGAAGATATCCAGGACGGTGCGGTAAGTCTCCCACAGGAACTTGAGCCAGGGAGTGACGATGGCGCGGTCGGTTCTGTCGCGTGCCTGCTCACCGGAAACGGTCGACAGGAGGATGGACTCAGGTGTCTCGCTAGCCTCGAGATCACCAACGTTGGCCAGGTCGGCAGATGTCTCTGCGGCGGAAGAGACCTCATCGGCCTTGGCCTGGGCTTCGGAAACCTTGGATTCGGCGAGTTCGATGAAGCGCTTGAAGACAAGCTAGATTTGTGTCAGCGGAGGCGCAGACAGAGCAGCCAGGTTGTGCAAGTATACCTCGATAGTGGCGACATTGGTATTCTGCGAAGTGTTCTTGTAGTTGTAGAGACCGTCCTTGGCGGCCTTGCCCTTTCTCAACTCAACACAAAGTTCGACAAACAGGAGGACAACGGGCTCGAGCGAGGCGATGGTGCTGTTGCGGGTGCGCTTGGAGGTGACATGCTCGTGGAGGATGGTCAGAGCCGACTGTTTCTGGTTGACTGCGATGAGCTCTTGGGCTCTNNCTGTGGTCGCGTTAGTATTCAGTCGTGGCGACGGCGGCGAAAAGCCAGCAGTACTTGCCTTGAGCACGTTCTCGGGCTTGGTATGGGGTGGAGGAGGCATCTTGAAGATATGGCGACCTTCCTGTCGTTGATCAAGAGACGCCGTCAAGATGTTCGATTTTTCCCAGCGTCGCGACGTGCGCTCGCTTGTGATTGGCTACACGACACACTCACGCCAAGAGTTCGCCAACTTGTACTGATTTGTGGACCTTTGCTCTGCACCTCTTTCTGCTCATGACATGAATATTCAAATTGTCGAAAGAATGATCTTCACTAATTCACACAGACTCGCAGACGTAAACAGCGACTGGAGCGCTCTCTCCTGGCTGAATTATTACAAGTCGGCAACCGCATTGGAAGGACAACCTTACGTAAACTCATGATGGAACTTCTAACTCAACTGTTGCACACCTCTGCGATTCGGGTATGATAGATCGTGGGAGCACAACATGCGAGACCTTTGGCACAGTTTGACAAGCGATGTCCTCATGTCAGTCTTGAATTCACGGCCAAGCGGCTGAGATGAAGCGGCTCAACTCAGCATGCCCTTGACTTTCTGGGGTCGAGTTGGATTCTGTGTTGCTTCCCAGGGATGATCTGGCTCAGAGACAAGCAGCTGTTAATAGTCGCTGTGCCTTTCCCAGAGGCTGGATCTGACATTTCTTTGCATCCCTCGCGTTGCACGCAACGTGATGGGCCAGGCGGTCAGTAAAGACAGTAGTGGATTAGATAGACCAAACCGTTCAATGGCCAGTGCCAAGCAAATACTATGCCCGATCGGCGAGGCCAATTTGAGGAGAGCAGAGGGCCACGGACGACCAGCGCTTCCCATCCTCAAGAACACGACGATTCCTGCATCCTCGCCGCCGTGTAACGTCGTTTTTCCCAGTCGTCTTCTCTTCACTGCGTCGCTCATTACCCCATTCGTCTGCATTCGTCTCCCGCCCACGAGAACAACACGCGCGCGACGGCCTCGACCTCCTCCCAGGATCCCGCTCCATTGGCTCCCACGCCTCGTCCATCTACCGTGCGACACTCTCGTGCTTCTCTCACTTTTAGTCAAGCTGACCGCTTATGACAGTGCCAACAACTGTTGCCAGACACGAGCTCAATCTCCCTGCCGCTGCGCTTGCCCTTATATCTACTGCGACCCTCGTCTCCACTAGTCGCTCCAATCCGCACCCGTCTCCCTCACAATGTCTCAGCCGTACGAGATCCGTAACAACGACACCGGCAGAAGCAAGAAGCAGAGCATGGCCGAATTGAAGCTGCGCCGTCTCAATGAGCTCAACCAGAGACTGCAAGAGGACCTAAACCGCAGAAGAATCCCGGTTTCCGAGGCTTCTATGGAGTGAGTTTGCGCAGACATGCCTTTGCTATTGCACGCGTGCTGACATGCGACCCTCAGCCTTATCGCTTTCACCGACAAGGAGCCCAAGGACTTCATGGTTCCTAGCCGCTGGGGCACTGTGAGTACCCACGAGACATCCTCCAACACCTGCCATTTCTGACTCCCCATTCTANNGATCGACAAGCGCGACGACCCCTACGCCCCTCAACAATCCGGCGGATGCTGCATCATCATGTAAAAGCAGCATACCTTTTTCCTTTACAAGAGACTTCATCATACCGGGTTATCAGCACTGGCGTTTTCGGCGGAGAAGTGGCGGGTTCTTGTTTCAACTTAATCTTCTGTTCCTTTTTTTCCTTTCTCTTTTCACACCCCGAGTAAGATGCGGCAGCACGGTAGACTGGCTGTACGCTCCTGGGAGGCACTTGTAGTATAATGTTCTTACGGATTGTTCTTTCAATCTCGGTCTTCGATTTTCTTTTTCCTTCCTCCAAAACCACAAAGCATTCTTGGTGGTGTCGCCTTCGCTACAAGAAAGAAAAACATATTGAGCGCAAATCTGCTGCAAATCACAAGAGTTACAAACAATTTTTGCTGTCATACTACCACCACAATTGTTTGGGTGTAGGTTTCGATAAAATACCTTCTTGCATTAACGACATATGCAAGCATGGCTTGGAGGCGTGCTACATTCGTGAAACCATTCTGTCCATCTGTCGATCTGCCATCTACCCTACTTTTTTGATACACATAGCCTCCTCGTCCCTGCGACCAGGACATCAGGTGGCCGACTGTGAAGAAGTCATGATCCCTCCGTTGGGTTCGACAATGCAACAGCATTGATTTGCCAGGCAGGCAAAGATACTGTACACTGTCCCATCCAGGGCGCTAGTAAGTACCATTTCTTCCCATCACACATTCCTTCCAAAGCTATCCTATCATACTTTCGTTCCTTTGGACTTTGTTATGCTTACCTCATGGTCTACGATATCAGTAGAGGTATCAAGGCCGACATGGCCGTTTCCGAGATTGTTTGGAGTCAAGGCAAGATATGATCTTGCTACTGACACGGAGTCCCATCTGTGGTTTTTGGCAGTGCGATGAGAAGGTAGCCATCTTGATAAGAAGTAACAATATTGTCCAGCTACGACACACGAACCTAAGCTCTGCATAGATGATTTGGTGTTGAGTGCGAAACATGCATGGCTGGATGGATTCTGAACAGTAGAAAGGGGCACTTCTAGATGAACGCATGTACTGCTGATGGCCAGTGAGAGAAAGGTCGATCTCATTGGAGCATAACTGATGGACCTGATGAAGATATAGAGATCAACTATGCTGATCAGAGCGTGGCTGAAAACTTCAAGCAGAGGAGAGCGCACGCGGTTGCTGCTTGGGGTGAGCTGCTGATGCCCGAGGCCCTGACTAGGAAAAGGCGGCCCTGGAGATGTGCCACATTGTTGCGAAGGCGGGTCCTACAAGGTGTTCCTGGCGTCAATGATATGGCGGCGGCGGCCATGAGTAGCTTCCTCAAGTGTGCCCATGGGGCCCTGGCACATCTGCGCAGAGCTTTGCGCGAGGATATTTCGATCCCAGAAATTGCAGCGAGACTCTGTTGCGTGTTCCGCACGAGGTGGCCGTGTATGCCGGTATTATACGAGGTATGATGCCTTTTTGTGGGCAGAAATGTTTTGATCTGGCGGCTGCATGTTGGGTATGGTGAACAATACGTATACATATCACAAAAACTATGGTGGATGAAGATCCTGGGCGACTGGCGTACGAGCAAAGAGAAGAGGAGTAAGTGGATTGTCGAGAGGAGGGTATGTTGAAATGAAGGTAGGAAAACGTATCCACGATTACATCCAGGTTAGAGAGATTTGTCTAAGTACACTTGATGAGTTGATGGCTCTTACCGAATGTTGCTTCGTCTTAAAAAAGCGTTTTGCGTCTTTACAACTTACATTAAGCCCTGTACCGTCGTAGTATTGAGCGACAGAAATTGGCATATGACAGAGGAAATATTATACTGCAAACGTAAATGTACACTCGTTCTTCTCTTGATCTTTTGCAGTGAATCCTACTTGAGCGGATCTGTTCGTTAGCCCTGTATCTTGCATATTCGAGCTTTTGAGTCGAATCCTACAAGCCTGGAATGTTCGGGATGCAGATGTGTAGTATGCAAGCCAGTGGATCATACTATCAAGTGCCGCGGCGTTATCTATTGCACGTGGTGTCTAGGAGCAATTTATGAATACCGACCATACGGCACTTCCATCAAGGTGTATGGACGCGAACTCGACGGCGGTCATAGGATGTTCCGTCAAGAACGGTCGCATAGGACTTGTATCAAGTCAGAGCTCCGTAAGGATACACTGGTTGAAAACCGTGTTGCATACGTAATCAAACTCATATACGTTTCGTGAACCGGACTCTTGTCGTGCCTGACGATAGGGACTATGGGAGACTGCTTCTTTAGCAAGAGAGCTCTTTATGGCCTGACCAGAAAGAAGGTCCAGGGCAGATCTTTCAACTGTGGACTGAAGGGTCAAGCAGAACTTGAGCCTTGACATACGAAGTCAGAGCCTAAGAGGTGTGTTCTGTGCGCTGGACCTGACATCGGTCCTCAAATCGTCGATACCCTGTCTCCATGGCATGTCCTCACCTCAGACCCACACTCCACTCCTGCGCACGAGACCAGTTTCCTTGTTCATGCTTGACGAGTAGATTTGAGTATGTGGGGATAGCAAGGACGCTCTGTGGTGACATCCACAATTTACGATCGTTCGGGGTTGATAGTTCCGAAGGAAGGTCATGCCTCACAGACACTCTGGAGCCGGGAAGCCCTAGATTGGATGTCCCATCGGGAAGGGAGTGACATAGGCCATGGAAGTAGTGTTTTAGCTCCTGATGAGAGGTGCCCACGAAACCCGCTGGCATCCCTATAAGCATCGAGGTGTCCGATGCTAACAAATCCAGCATCATGGGTATTGAGACGAGTGCGCGAAGACTTGCTCTGTCGTCACTATCACACAAGTGATATGCATGCAACATGTCTTGCCTGGCCACCCAGTGCCGGAGTGTGATTACCTTACACGCGCTCAAGCTACCTATTCTGAAGCGATCGAAATCAGATGAATTAGTTGACGTCGTCAGGTAGCATGACAGTCCAGAGTCCAGACAACGTTAGTGTCGTTGTGTTATTGCCGCTCGCTCTGCCGAAGGCGACATGCTCAGATACCGAAGCAATCTTGACGGCATCGACTCCGTTACAGAAGGGAAAACGAATCAAGCCCGTGTTTGCTTGTAGTCATTGCACGGTTTGAAGGATTGAGATTCAGGGCACCAACAACTTCAAGGTGGGTCGGCCAGAACAGCGGTGCGGCTTGCAAGACAAGGCATCAGAGGGAAGCTGATACCAGGCGCATATGGAATTTCGCTATAGAGCGCATGGACGTCACCTGTGTTTAGATATCCGCTTGCCAAATTATGTGTACAGAGATATGTTTGCCCGGGACACGGTTAGCCACGACCCTGATGATGAAGAGTAAAGAGTTGGTTTGGGTAGGTATTCAGTGATTAAGGTTGGACCCTCAGGGAACTGTTCGTTGAGTCGTTGCAAGACAAGCATCTTTGCGTTCGCAAAGGATATTGTCCGTTGGGTACCGGAACCCTGGGGCTTTTTCGAACATCAACCGGCTCCTGTCCGTGCACACAGAGACAACCAGATGCTGGAGGTGATATTCCAGTGACATGCGCGCGCCGAGTCTCGGCGAGATGAAGCCGATTCGCAGGACAGTAATAAGGCCGTGAATCGATATGTATACACGTTAGCATGGTGATTCGGTGCGGTGTGAGGGTAGGCAAGGCACCAAGCAGGATACCGAGGTCGACAAGTAGGTAGTCTGAAAGATCTACGATGGCTGCGTCAGGTCATTAGGACCATGCCACCATAGGACGCCACATGCTCTAGAAGCTGCGCAGGATCACGTTCGATGCATGGGACGGAGAAGCTGTATACGGCGCAGAGGTCTTCCATGCACACAGGTGGGAACTGACAGGTCATCGATACGGAGAGGTTGTTTATCGAGTTGATCCGATATAGGCGGGCTGGGCTAAATTCATCGCTTCCGAGTCTTTGGACTCCATGCACAGACACCCCCTCCAAAATCTCCAGACTGTACCAAACAGGGTCCGTCGGCGGGATCCCATTTATCCTGGGGACCATCGTTCTTCATAAATACTCTCCACCACTCTCGATCAGTCGGATGCTACGCATGAGTTGTACGTAGAAGAAAGGCTCGAGATGTTTCTGGTATGATACAGACGGATCAAAAATCTACAGCGTCTCCAAAGCAGAACAACTTTTGAGTCTTGTTAGATACAGACAACAAAAAAGACTTTATTCTTTTTCCTATCTGTCCCATGATTTAGTCCGCGCCCGCCCGCAAGCAACCACCGCCCCCACCTTAGCGTAGCCGTCGTCCTTCGGCCCACTTTCGAGTCTCAACGAGGCCCTCCCAGGGAAACCGCCAGCCGTCGCACCACATCTCATTAGAACAAGAGACATTTTTGCACTCGGCGCCCTACTCGGTCGCCGGATTTGATTCGCGTCAGGACAAGCGAGCACTCTCGTATTACAAGTTCAAGTCGCGCCTTGCGAAAACTCGTAGGGGTTTATCGAAGCCACCTGCGGCAACAGCGACGACATTCGTTCTTTCCCATCACCATCCGACCTCTGGAATGAATCACACCGAGCAGGCGCAGCCATGGCCGCAGCCAACACATATGGACATGCAAGACATGCAAGACATTGACTTTGCAAACTTCCTCGACATCGGCGACATAGGTGATATTGGTGACCTCGATGTGGCCGACTTCTCCTCGCTCGACGGACCAGACGCTCGAGTGCTGGGCTCAAATGGCCCTCTTCACGACTTTGGCACCGACGCCTTTGGCCTCCCGACACAATTGGACGTGCAAAACTTTGCCCAGAACCCGCAATGGGGACAGCAGCAGGTACCGCAGAACACATACCGTGCGCCAAACATCGTCCCGCCGACGCCAAACAGCTACGACCTGCAAGGCAATGCGCGTCATTACATGGCCCAGCACATGGACTCGGGCGCCGGCCCTTTCTTCGACCAACACCGCCTCTTAACAAAGGACGACAACATGGCATTCACCCCTCTAGTCTCGCCAGCCGTCACCCCGCGAGACTCGACCTTTCATCCCATGCACGAGTACACTGCTCCCGGCGCCTACTTCAGTCCACTGACCTCCCCGGCCATACATGCGCAGCAGCAGAACCGCAACCATGCCCATGGCCACTATACCAATCCGACGACGGCCGACAACTCGGCTGCCGCTTCGCCGCTCGACCTCAACATGGACATGGACTCGTTGAAAGACGCGACAGACGCTGCTCCGCGTAGAAGCAGGCGGAAGCCCCAGATGCCGCATTCAGCAGGCCCTGCTGCCCGCGTGCGACAATCTCCCATCGTCAAGGCCCAGAGACGTCGCTCGGCTCATCTCTCAACCATCATCCCTCCACACCAAGTCAACAATGTCTTGATGGAAGCCCAGAACCGAAGTCAGGCACAGGACTCGCGCACCCCTTCGGTCGAGTACATGCCGCCGTATCACGAGGAGTCAAGTGCCGAATCCATCTCACCTGAGGCCTTGCCCGATTCGGTCATGGGCCCTCCACCTCTGCCTCCCTCGGTCTTTCATTCCCCTGCCTTGCAACCTCAGAACCACTCTGCTCCTCCTTCGACTGCAATTCACTCGCACTCGGGATCGATGGCTTCTTGCCCCGCCACCCCTGCCTCGTTGATGTCTATCCGCAAGAAGCAGCAGAACATCGATCGTTCTGTTGGACCTCATCCGGGCTCGGGACAATTCCAAGTGCAATCCCAGGACCAGCTGAACATGCTCGAAGACCTTGCGCTGCCTCCCTCTGTCGCCGAACCTGCCCGGCCAGCTTTGAATAGAATCGACACGACATTATCTAACGAAACTACTCCTCGTTTGGCCCCCGCTATAAAAAACAAGCCAAGACTGGCTCCATCAAGTTCTACCACAGCAAGTCCCATCATCGGCGCTACACAATCGCCTGCCTTCGGACCGATAAACGCTAAACTGGATCAAAAACGATCGCAGCCTTCAAAGAAGCGCGGCAGTGTCGGTACGACGTCTGCGCTTGTCAGTCCGGCCATCCGACCAAAAATCAGCCCCAGCATCAAGCCTTTGCTTCCCGAAGGAGGTACGTGCAGCCAATATATCCTGATCCTAAGTCAGTCCCTTTACTGACTATCACATACAGGTCTTAGTGAAGCTCAACAAGCCATTCTCCTGGCATCAAAGTCAAACTACACCCACCTGCTCGAAGGCACTCGCCTCCCTGGCGTCTCATATCCTGATTCTCTATCTCAAGGCTTGACCTCGAAACGCACCTCACACAAGCTGGCCGAGCAGGGCCGACGCAACAGAATCAATGAAGCCATCAAAGAGATGCAAACACTGCTTCCCAAAACAAAGGGCAAGGGCAAGACAGAAGAAATTGCCGAGGAAGAGGAGGAAGCTAACGCCAAGGATGACAAGGGCAACAGCACTGCAGAGGGCAGAAGTGCAAACTCAAAAGCTGCTACTGTGGAAAGCGCCATCAATTACATCAAACTACTACAACAAGAGAAGACCATGGCTTTCGAGATGCTCAAGAAGAGAGATGAAGAAATGGCCGCGCTGAGAAAGCAGCTGCAAGCTGCTGACATTACCACAGCCGTCAGTGACTCGGCTAATGAGTCAGTCGTTGCAAGCAGCGGCGAAGAAAACAACGCTGAGACCGAGAAGATGGAAGGCGTCAGTGCTACGCCATGAGACTGTCGTCTTGTTCTCTTTCTTGGTTCTTTTCCTTGCTTGGGCTCTATGAACAGTAGAATCGGAAACTGCGCTGATGGAGGAGGTGGCACTTTGTTTCGGTTCCTTTCTTCCTTCTTCTCTGCCCTTCTTGCACTTGTCTTTTATAATTTCGCTAACCCCCTTCCCCTCTCCTCGTCTTCTTCCTTCATGCATGCCAGGGGTGGCTGGTCCTTTCTATTTGGAGAGGGCGAAGTTCGGTTTTGGCGCTCTTTTTCTTTCTTTTTGGGCTCACGAACATGAACTCCTTGTCTTAGATATCCGACACTCTGCTTAGAAGCCTCCCGATTGGTTTTGGTCCACACCAAGTTATATCTACATTTGAATTTAAATAGTAAAAAAAATAATCAAAGCTCATGAACTGTGTCTCACTGTTAAGCCTCTGTTTCCTATGCAACTCAATCCTCATGTTGTGTACTGTATGATCCCATTCGAACACGCTTGTTCAATCAAGTCCTTATCATGATAGGATCCACTGTCGAGGAATTAAGCAGCGATCCTTCGGAAGTATATCAAGATTGACATCTTGGCTGTTGCTTGACCATTGCCAATCTTCAAGGACATTCAGAACCAATACCGAAGGATGGGAAACATCATCTCGACCAGATTCAATGTCTGTGGTCCTCGACGATTAGAATTTCGAAAAAATACTTTGCATGTGCTCTGAACAAAACATCTATTATTTAACTCGACAGCTTTTCATTAACCAGGCCGATGGGTGAATCGACAAGGATACGAGGTAGGGCAAAACCATGTGCAAAACGTACAGCAGCAGGGATTCCCACGTGGTCACCCACCGTAGTACTAATCTGCCGTTCAACTGCTTATGTATGGCAGAGCGGACGGGATGCCCAGTTTTCAGCTGACTGTGGCCGTACGTGCTCAATATGTGATTTTTTACGTATATTGGCACTCAACGTAATTCTGAGCAGGATCGAACACGATGCAGATGCTTGCTCACATACCAAATTTCCATCATTCTCATACACTGGCAGGTTGAGGATCACCCGGCTTGGCCCTATAACTGATTCTACCAGCAGGTAAGAAGAAAAGTGCAACCAAAGCACCTCCACGCACCTCTGGGTAATGATGCGTACCAGGCCCTGGCGATGTCCAACCCGCACCTTGCCAGCTCTGCATACCTTTCAACTCGGCAGTCTTATCGACCTGCACGACACAGTTGATCTCGCCATAAGGATGAGAATGATATTGACCCGAGTANNCTGTTGGTTCATCAGCGATGACCCTTCTTTCTCACTGGATACTGATCAGTGGTTTACAATGTACCTCTTCTTCACTCTCCATATACACGGTCGTGATGGAGAAGAATCTGTTTTCAGCACTGGGGAGAAGGATCTTGGAGCGTCTGTACCTTGCTCCGTCGAGCTCGAAGTTGGCGACCCAGCCTTCTTTGAGGCCCTGACGGGTTAGGTTGCATAGATCTTCGTATACTGGGTTACCAGGTCCATGGTTCTTGTTGAGATAGGCTTCAAGCTCGTGACCCGGTGTNNACTGAGGACATATCCATGTCAGCGCGAGGCAAGCAGGATAGGAGGCGGTGGATAGGTACAGGTCTTCAACTTCGGAGAATAAGTCGCGGCAACGAGATACCAGTTTCTGAGCTGTTGGGTAGGCATTCAGATCGACTTCGGTAGGAGGAACATCGTTCTTTGAGGGAGCGGAGTTTGTGTTTGGCGGTAAAGAGGAGCTCATCACTGCTGCTGACATCTTTACTGGTATCTACAGTGAGGTGGTGAAATTGTGAGATGATATGCAGTTGAGAAGTATGCGACAACTACAGTGCGACAGCGAGCATTAAATGTCGGATCTTCCTGGAAGAGAGCTTGACTTTTGGTATAGTAATCAAGGAAACACAAAAGTCAGCCACCATAAAGCAAGACCCCGCTCTGGATAATCGGCATCGACTTTTAGCAGTCCATGACAAAGAATCTTTTGGCATCGATGTAAGGACTAATGGAGCAGTGAAACACATGACGAGATGGACAACTCAAACCATGGCCAATGTTCTTGGATAAAACATGGTTTGTGGTGCGACTCCAAAGGATGCTGACTCTTACCACCACATACGAGAAGGAGATAAATAGCAGGTCTTCTTGCTGCAGCATCTGTTCTGTAAGGGATCTTGTCTTTACTTCTATTTTGACTAGATATCCACCGCGACTCGGTAATCATAGGCACAATGTCCACAATGAAGGAAGCTCATATCGACACCGATACGAATGTCACCCTCCACGATGTGCCAATACCTGAATTGCTCGATCCACATCAGATCCTCATCAATGTGGTAGTAGCAGGCTGTAACCCGAAAGACTGGAAGATGCCTGCCGGCATGCTTGTCACAATTGGTTCGTGTCCTAACAGTGGCGATGATATAGCAGGTGACTATCCCGACTAGAGGCCCACCATATAATATCGCTCTCTTTGCTGATCCCTCCATTTCCAAGGTATTGTTGCTGCCGTTGGCTCCAGCGTTCGTGAGTTCCGGCCTGGAGACCGGGTAGCGGCCTTACATCAACTCGGTGCTCCTCATGGAGCCTACGCTGAGACAGCTATCGTCTGGGATCATACAACTTTTCATATCGGTGATCGTTCATTCGAGGAAGCCGCTGCAATGCCCATGGCATACTACATGGCATCCATTGGCCTATTCGGGATGTTGGGGTTGCCAATGATGTGGCAGCGTTCCCAGGACGAGCAGAAAGCTATACCTCTGGTAATATATGGGGCTTCTGGAGCAGTAGGTTCCGCTGCAGTACAATTCGCCGTCAATGCGAACTTCCATCCTCTCATTTGCGTTGCAGGATCAGGAGCATATGCGATACAGCCACTCCTCGACAGCAGCAAAGGCGATGTGGTTCTCGACTACAGAGAAGGTGCCGAAAAGCTCGTCGAAAACATGAAAACTGCGCTTGGTGAACATGAGTTACACTATGCCTTCGACTGCGTGAGTGAACACGGCTCATCAGCAAACATCTGCAAGGTGCTTCAGCGAGGGGGACACATCAGTCTGGTCTTACCATCAGGAGTCAAGGACGTGCCACCCGGTTTCGATGTTAACACGACAATGGCTGGAAACCTATGGACTGGGTTCAAGAACAAGGGCGATACGCATGGAGCAATGGGCTTAGCTGGGGGAACGGAATTTGGATACTGTTACTCCAGACTGTTTGGGCATTGGTTCGGCGAGGGCAAATTGCGTGTCCATAGTCCCGAGGTGGTTGAGGGTGGGCTGCTGGGCGTAGAGAAGGCACTGAAGAATCTGAGAGAAGGAAAGAACCATGGCGTGAAATATGTTGTACGCGTCAGAGACACGCCTGGGTTGGAGTGAGAAGGCCTTGACACCGAACATTTGCTTCAACCTTTCGGACAGATAAGCTCGAGATATTCAGCCTCGTCTGCATCACAGTGATGGCTTTGACGCGATAGTTGTCAATGTACTTTCGATGTTTCAATACGAGTAGATGACCAATCCCCGAACCATAGTCATCTCATTGGTGTTCTTGACTGTCTGCGACGAAGAGTTGGCATGAGAAGATTTTGGACAGAATATGCCAACTACTGGACCAAGACCGCTTATAGAGTTTACTCAGGCAGTCCACATATATCTGATACCTCTTAATAGACCAGAAAGGAAAGAGGAGGTCTTGTGACTGCCTCGAGAAAGGATACATTACATAGACAGGGTTGGACGCACAGCAAATTTTGATAGCATAAAGTTATGCAAGATTATGACTCGAGAGCTTACTGGAAGGCGCGTCATTTATGGGAGGAACAGCGCGCAGCTATTGTCATCTCCCTGTTCATTCAATTACTTCCCATCACCCACTCAATCGCGTCTTTTTGCTTCTGTTCCATCATCGACATTATTCAAGATCCATCGACCCATTCAAAAACACGTCTCAGAACACAAAAAGCGACAAGATGACCGAGTACACCAAGATGAAGAACGCCGACCTCGAGGCGCTGCTTAAGGAGCGCGACCTCCCTCACACCGGCAAAAAGGCCGACCTAGTCAAGCGACTCCAAGACCACGATGCGCAAACCGCCAGTGGCGACGCGCCCAAGAACGAAGACGAAATCGACTGGGACGAGGACGACCAGCCCGCAGCAGCAGCCTCCAAAGCAACCACAGATGCCGCCGCCGTCGCAATCGCAGCTGGCGGCCAAGGACAGCCTCCAAACCCTCAAGCCGTGCCCAACCAGCAAGCCGACATCGATCCCTCGCAGACAGACGACCTCACAGTGATCCAGCCCGCCGCCGACGCGTCAACAGCCCAACCCGAGACCGCCAACGCGAGCGCACCTTCAGAAGCACAGCCAGAAGAGCCGGCCAAGCCTGCAGTCGACTTCACCTCTGGACTCGCCAAGACGACCCTGGACCAAGAGATTGAGAAGCGCAAAGCGCGCGCAAAGAAGTTTGGCATGAACGAGGACGAAGACGAGGCTTTGAAGGCACTGGAGCGCGCAAAGCGCTTCGGCAACACCGACATGCCCGGCAAGCTCAACGAAGCACTCCCCGAGCGTCGCGAGCGCAAGAGAGGTGCCCCTGCCGACGGAGAGCAGCAAGGTGCCACCAAGAAGCGCGAGAACATCGAGGTCAAGCGCGAGAACAACGACAACAACAGACGTGGTGGCCGTAGGGACGGAGGTAGAAGAGGAGGCGCACAGACTCAGGCAAAGGCACCCGCTCCTGCTGCATCCGCGCCTGCAAAGAAGGAAAAAGCCCCAAATGAGCGAGGCAGACCGGGCAAGGGCCGAGGCTCGCAAGGCAAGATTCGCATCATCATCATAGAATGGAACGCTCTATAGTTTTGGTTATAGGTCTCCTCCCAGATCACGACCACTGGATCGGAAAGATGCGCCCACTAGCACCGTTCAAACGATTGCCATCATCTAGAAGAGTAGGTTGGATGAGACTTGTGGCAGTCATGGTGTTTGGAAGATTTGCTACTCTTCTCCTCACAGCTCTGTAAAAACTATAGGATAGCGCCCGAATGAAAACACGAAATTTCTGGAATGCATTCTTATCAAGACTTGTACGAGATTTGTTGGTAGAAACATGAAAATCGTGAGAATGCTATTGACGAACTAAACCATAAGCTCCTTTGCACTTTCTATGCTAGATCTTGAACGAGATCAGTAGTATCTATAATGCATTGATTCGTTCCGTCTACAACTTGGCCCTGGCACTGCTCTGTGCCTCGGCCTCGGTGTACATCTCATCGATAATAGCGCGGTACTTCTTCGCGGTCTGGGGTCTCTTGAGTTTGAGTCTGTTACTTGTGTTAGCTGCTTATCTCGTTTTTTCTTTTTTCGCAGAAGTGACTTACGTAGGTGTGAGGAGTTCGTTGTCGACAGTAANAGGCTCAACCATCAGTCGCACATTGCGCACCTTCTCGTAGCTGTTGAACTTGTTCTTCTTGCCAATCTTATCAAGCTCCTTGAGAACGGCATGACGGACCTTGACGTCCTGGGCTGCCGCCTCGAGGGCCTTGATGTCGGTTGCACCCAGCTGCTTACCAAGCACCTTGCTTGCGAACCCTGCAAAGGTGTCAGGCTGGATGCCAAAGATGGCGACCAAGAATGCTCTGTCGCTGTCTCCATGCACGTATGCTTGAGAGAACCAGGTTGTGTTGCCGAGGTAGACATTCTCGATGCGCTCGGGCGAGATGTACTCGCCCTGTGCCAGCTTGAGAACGTTCTTTCTGCGGTCGATAATCTTGAAGCGACCAAGCTCGTCCACTAAGCAAATGTCACCGGTACGGAACCAGCCATCCGGAAGGAGTGTCTTCTGCGTCTCCTCGGAGTTCTTGAGGTATTCTCGGAACACAGTAGGTCCGCGAACCAAGAGCTCGCCACGGGGGTATGGCTTGTCGGATGCGAAGTACTCCATGTCTGGCACGTCCATGAGACACAACTCGGTTGTAGGCATAACTGCACCACAGTTGCCGGCTGTCATGTCGCCTTCGACTTGCGCGCAAGCGATAGCATATGTCTCGGTCAGACCATAACCTTGCAGGAAGCTGTTTCCGAACACTACTCTCATGAATTGCTGAAGGGATGGGTCGATAGGAGCCGAACCTGACACCATAGCTCTGACGCGATCCAGACCGAGCTGAGCTGTGACCTTTCTGCCCCAGATGCGATCATAGAAAGCATGCTTGTTTGTAGCCTGCTTAGGATCAGGGCTGTTCAAGGTTGCCAACTTGGTCGAGACAACGTGTCTTGAAAGAGCTCCTCTAACGCCAGATGCTTCGAGAGTGGCCGTCTTGATCGCACCACCAAAGCGGTTGTACAGACGAGGAACACTGATCAAGCTGGTAGGACGGAGAAGCTTGAAGTCTTCGACAAGCTCCAGAATGTTGCCGTGGAAGTATCCAATAGCACTGCCAGCCCAAAGAGCAGAACCCTCGGTCACGCGCTCGTAGATATGAGCTAGCGGCAGGTAAGAACACATAACATCGTTATCGCGCATATCTACCAGAGTCATGGAGGCCGAAGCTGCGGCAACAGCATTCGCTTGGGTCAAAACAACACCCTTGGGGGGACCAGTCGTACCAGAGGTATAGTTGATGGTGACGATGTCTTCTGGTTGGGGAACATTGTAGGGGCTCGGGTTGGCCTCGCCCATGGCCTCGACATCACGGATGGAAATGACCTTGATGCCAGCTTCAGAAGCTAGAGCATTAAGAATATCGGCCTTGGAGGTTCCTGGGAGTTCGGAGCCCGAGGTAAGGGGGTCGAGCGAGACGATGATCTTGAGGGTGGGACAGTGTGGAGCAAGCTTGAGCAGAGTTGGGATGTGGTTCAACGAAGTTGCAACAGCAGCTAATCGTGAATGGTTGATGATGTACTCGGTTGTGTCGGGTCCTAGGGTGTCGTAAAGAGAGACGGTGTACAGAGACTGAGACATGCATCCCAGATCNNTAGTAGATTTAGCGCATATTCGATTTGCGACAGCTGAGAGTGCTTTGGACTTACCAACAATCTGCCACTCGGGGCGGTTCTGACACCAAAGACCGACACCGTGCTGTCTACCAGTAATTCCAATTTCGTGGTGGAGGTGCACCATACCAATACCAAAGTTCTTTCTTCTTTCTTGAACTTGTCCGTATGTTTCCCAAACATAGGGTCCGAAGGTCTTTGTGATGGGATCGTAAGGGCGATGTCCGAGACATCTTGCGTTGGGGACGCGGTTGGCNNTAGAGTCTCGAGTTAGACTTGATTGCAGCGACCAAAAACGTTGGATGATGGTGAATGACTTACCTGTCCTTTCAAAGAAGTCGTGCGCAGACGTGATCTGGTCGCTCTTGTAAGCACATGTTCTCCGATAAGCTCAACACGGTGCATACTTGGGNNGGTCCAAGGTGTGAAGCAGACCATCCTTGAATCTCCAATGTCTGTAGATCTTGCTACGTCCCGACTCTTCGCTTCCTTCGAGGGCAACACTATAAGGAGCGCCAGGTGNGGGAGGGGTCCTGATCTCGTTGGCTCTTGCGAGCGCTGTAGGTATCGACATGTTGTGATTCGGGGTCGTCGGTATTAGGGAGAGGTTGCAGAGGATGGAATCGCAGTATCGCAAAGAACAAGGTGCTTATTTGATCTTTGAGGACAATGTCAGCTGGTGGTCATCTAGACTTAGTGGAAAAAGGGCGGCGCGTCCGGCGACTCCGAGAACGAGTCGAGTAGGCACATACAGGACAAGAACCACCCAAACGTTGACAGCAACAGTGACAGGCTGGAAGGGAGATGCGAGTGGGCAAGAAAGGGAAACAGTAAAGACTAGGTATCTATTGCTTACTTGCAGCAGACGGATTGATCTGGGGCATCAGCACCCGAGGTTTGCAATGTCATCGTTTATTAAATTGTCCTTCCCAGTCACAAGGAACCGAGGCATCCCGCCTCTTGGCTGCGTCACGCCCATTTAGCCTCTGTCTCCACGCTCAGCTGCAGCCGAGGGTGGAGAGAAGTCACGGCCCGAGTCGAGGGAGCCGCCGACCAATTTCCCCTTTTGTACGTGGGCTTGAATTCAAGCCTCACTGCCTCAGGCAGGACAATCATATTTAGTCTTCAACATGCAGAGATATGTTCAACATGATGGCCTAGATACGGATCTCTTCAACTATATACAGTTGCTAAAAACGCCAAAGATCTATGTCCCCTACTATGCTATGCCTCTAAAATCCCAAGTACGATCATAAATCTTTAAAACCCATCTTCCTCTTTCCACTGTCGACCAGCCTCTATAGCACGGTTGCGAGGATCCCGTCCCCTATTCCACGCCTCGGCCCTTCGTCCTCCGAGCTCCCAACGTAGCTTCTCAATCTCGTCGTGGATCCATTCTTTGCGTCCAGGTTCCGGAATCACTAGATTGTCAGTCTCTTCTGGTAATCGGCCTTCAGACTTGGCCTCCATGATCAGAGCCTCGTTCTTGCGGATCTCACGCGCCTCGTTTTCGTGGTCTCTGAGGATATAGCGCAAATCGAAAAATTCGTCGTACTTTTCTGGGCCGCCAAAACAATAGCCATACCCGTCACAGTAACAGATGTTCATGGCTGGGCAGTCCACTGCGACACCACCGAAAATAAAGATCCAGATCTGCTCAAATACTCTGCCCGATAGACTGTCGGAGAGCGGTGTCTTCAGTAGCCAGTCTCTGTAGTAAATGTATTTGGACAGAGGAACAGCCTGTATGCGCTCCCTACTGATAGCGAATTGCGCGCAACAGGGCTGCGATAGTGTAGGTGGGATAGGGTCCAAAGGGAATATCTCGCTCCAGGCTTCCGCAATGATCATCTCTTCCTGCCTCTGGGCATTAGCGACCAGCGCTCCAGGATGGATACCACTGATCTCGGCAGGACAGCCAGGAGACCAATGACAGCGGAGATTGACATAGCCATGTCGGATGACATGATTGGGGTTGAGATTGCGAATCATTTGAGCAGAGTCGAGATCCATAATATCGTTGTTGTGCCAGGCATAACGGTGTGCGTGCATGAAGATGCTGACATCAGAGAGATTGTTGTAGTTGTCGATGATGTACGAAAGGTATACCATCGCTTCATGTCCCTTGTTCTTTGGGGTGTGCAGTTCTGCATTCTTGTCGTCTACCACGTATATGGCCGTCCGTAGCGGTCCCTTAGGAGCGAGCATGTCCTCCAATTCTGTATCCACCCAGAGTGTGTTCTCCTCTTTCTTTCGCCCTATCACCAAGGTTTTCGTGTATTCCGCGTTGGGATGTTTCGGAGTACCGGGGACAAAAGCTGGATTCGGATTTGCGAATGTATGCATATTCTTGGACTCGTGCGATTCCAGGAGGACGTTCTCGGACTCTGGCTCTTCATCCTCGCTCAACCCTATCACTTTTGGTACATGTCGCAAGGATGTAGTGAGATGTGTCGTATGGAAGATGAAGAAGAAGAAGAACACCAGGAAGAGAGCGAAGAGGAGGGGCGACAGTCGTCGCTGAGTGGTCATGGTATAGACGTGAGGCTGACGAGCCAGTGGGATGAATATGCGACAGTCGTGAGTTGGAGATGCAGATTGCGCGGCAAGCCGGGAGAGTGGTCCGTTCAGATCATGGCTAGTACAAGTAGATAGCAGAGAGTGACAAGGGAGAAAGAAACATGTACAATATGAAAAAGAATGAAGACGAACAACAGAGGTGAAGAAGTACGAGGGGGTTATGATAATCGATCCTCCTCTGACGAAGCCTGCGCCCCATGAGCCCTGGGGGCACCATGATGCGCGCGACTCGTCGACGATCCTCCTTGTTTCGAACTGACCAAATCGGCACCATCAAACTGGCCCCGGTTCTTTCTCAGTAGACCTTGTCGGCCGCGTGTCCAGCAACCACGACTATGGTTTTATCGAATCCCTGCGTTGCGCCCATGTTTTTTTTCCTCATGCTGGACCCTGAACGACCGTTGACGTGCGTGCAAGCTGCAGCCATCCACTGTCAAGTTGTGGGGCTGATCATGCTTCTTGTGCCTCACTGCCTTGGATAGTTTCAGCTCCTACTCATAGCAAATCTATCGTGCACCCACAAAGGATTGCACGCATCTGGCACATCAGAACATGTCTTCATAGCCCGATATGATCAAGTAACAAATTCAATAAGCAACGCCTCGCTTCGCTTTATATGCAGCGCCCAAGTACATGAATAGAGGTATCTTCCAGGTAGAAACATTGAGACGGCCAGGGAAAAGCATCCAACAGATACAGAAAAGGAGTTAGATCAAACAGCCACCACCAATATTCATCCACCGTCATGAAACAGAAACAAGGAAAATCAAAACCCAGGCCATGAGGCGGGTGTTCCACTCTACTCTTTCTGCTCGTTGTTCAACACCATTTCCACAACGATCTGCGTCTTCTCAAGCGCAGGGTGTTGCATGACGATCTTTATGGTGCGGCTAGCAGCACCATAGCCAACGACACCATTCACAATACCAGTATTGGTACTGCCGCCGCTCAAGGTGCCGCCTCCGCCGTCGTCGAGACACTTGATGTCCTTTCCAGCGATGATCTGCTTGAGGCGACCATTCTGTGCATTACGCACTTCGACAAACTCATTGTCAAAGAGAACGAGATAGGGCCCATACAATGCAGCGCTCTTTGCGTTGGCAACGAAGTTCATGACCACTGAACGACTGATCTCGCCATGCTTATTGACATAGACTGCACAGAGGTTGTAGCAGAGTAAGAACTCTTGATCGGTGAGTCGGAGCATGCCTAGAGTCTCCTGTTTTTCGACATGTCTTAGGATGTTGCTGACCTCAGGAGCTTTCCAATCTGGTACACTCCATGGCTGCTTCTTGTCTAAAGTGAGCACCTCAAAGCCCTTATCCGAGCTAATGGCGAGACTGCTATGGAAAAGATTCATGCCGTGACATTCAGTGCCGATGTAGAAGTCGTCATAATCGCGGAAGAATTCGGTATTTCCTCGTTTGAAGATGCCGCGTTTCTTCTCGGTCGACTTCTGATAGATGGGCTCCAAGACTTTGAAAGTCGATGATATTCCATCCTTCTTCTTGTAGAAGACCAGAGTTCGATCTTTCATGCGTCCCACGGCGAAGAAACCTACATCTCTACTACCAGAGAGTCTTTGCGGTGCCTTACGCGAGGACGAAGTTTCGGCTGCGCTGGAAGACAGAGGCTGGCAGACTGCATCGAGATGGTGTGCATATAGGACTTTATCAGCAAGGAGCAAGAACAAGTTAAATTCTTCAAGCACGGCGACTTGAGTGACCTTTGTGCCTGCAATAGCCTGTTGTGCACGTCAGTATGCTTTCTGAATGCCATGAGCCTCTGTGTAACTTACGCGGAACCATCCTCTAGGGTTATCCATCTCGCAGCAGTAGACGCCGAAATCTGTACCTACTGCAACCATATGCTTCGTATCAGGATAGGACGTTGTAAAGCTGGTAGCGCAATTGACTCTGGCTCTACAAATCGGAGCTGGACGACCACTAGCCTTGAATCTGTTTTCGACTTCTTTGACAGCACGGTCCAGAGGCGTGCCTTTGATTATGACTGGCTTGCCTCCTATACTGACACCATATTGGTCCTTTGTGTTTGCATTCGAATCGTAGTAGAACGCAGAATCGGCAATCACCCTCAGACGGAAAGGCTCGGCGTTTTGAGCAAAGAGAGCAGCAGCATGTTTGGTCTTGGCTTCGATGATCTTGTTGTACCATTCACTTCTGCTGCCTGCTGTAGCAGCGAAGAGCGTATATGGCTCTTTACTTCCCAAATGCTTGATACGGAACGGGTACATGATCTTCTCCGAGTCCTTGTTGTTATCAAGCACTGTAGTGCTGGAAAGTTTCGACGGCGCAGAAGCGACACTGTTCAGACTTGTCATTGAAGAGCCTGTATTGACAGAAGCCAGATTGGGGTGAGCCGATTGGGCCGTAGTGATGCGACTCATCTTATTCAGGTCTGGGCTCGACGGTAGTGGCCTTGATGGCAAAGGGGTAACAGATGTGATTCCTTTGACGTACGAGGACCTGACCACAGCTTCTTCGTTGATGTTCTCCAAGACGAGCAAATCCATGGGAATCGGCAATCTCGAAACGTCGTACTTTTCTATCTTGTTAGGTGCGCCTTTTTGCAGTACCGAGATCGCCTTGGCGAGAACCAGATAGTGATCGAACAAAAGAACATGGCATTCCAGCCATGTGAAACGGTTGGTGCCCATTCTTTGTAGGTCTCCTTGGTAAATTAATTCTCGTCCAATAGATGTCAGGTTGAGCTCAACCTCGGATGCCATTCCGGGCCGCAACAAGAGTTTTTGACTGAGATCAGAGAGGTCGACCTTCCTTTGCTGATCAGCAACACGGGAGTCACACTCCAGAGTGACGGCTCGAATTTCCTCGATTGCAGTAGCTAGATTTGTTCTTTCCTCACAATCATGTTGCATGTTTTTATGAACAGTTTGCAACAGTAGACCGTAACGTTGCAACCTTGTAATAGGAGCCTTGAGGTAATTGTCCCAACCGAGCTTGTTCGAGAGCTTGTTCATTCTCGCCGCCTCAACAAAGTTGCGGAAACTGATGTTCTTCTCGAGCTCTTGTCGCATTAAAGAATTGGCGCTAGGGAAGCCCGTGGCATACTCGATGTAAGCAGTTTTGGCCTTGCGGATCCACTGCCTGAAGATGTCGCTGAATCCCTTGACCCAGGGCCCTTGCTCTTGTTGTCGATATTTGAGCTGTGGCAGTAGATGCTCAACATTGGCTTTCTTGACTAAGTCGAGTTTGCTGAAGACATCTCGCAAAAATCTCTCCTGACGATTTGAGCTGATGATAGACGGATTGGCAGTGGCCAGTGGATCGCGGTATAACCGGATCATCACATCGAGGTCTCCCATAAAACCCTCTTCGGTCTGCACAATCTCGTGTAGATTGTTCTGCATTTCAATCTCTTTCTTGTCATGACCCTCGACGTCCTCTTTCCTAAGCTTGTAGAAAGTTGCCCAATCTTCCGAAGCTCGAGTCGAAACAGTTTGGAGATTGACCTTCTTCAAAGTACGTTGACAGTGATGAGCATAGCAACGACCTGGGAATATGTGATTGTGAACGGTATGCGAGTAGCATCCGTTTAGCGTCAGTTGGAAGATGACGCCACTCATGTGTCCTGGGCTGAGCTTGACCCATTCTTCAACGGGAACAAGTGTTTTGGAAGCATACATGTTCTCGACAACGCGATTGCTCAAGACTTCGGCATCAGCAATGTTCATGGTAGGAACTTTGTTAGTAAAGAGTGCAACAAGAGCTTCTTTGACCATTGACTCTTTCAACTCGGTCATCTTCTCAGGATCTGCAACAAGGAAAAGCCATTGGAGAATTGAGCTCAATGCCCAGGGTTCTTCACACTTCTTGAAATCAGACCCGCCAAGCTTTGAAGGGTTGAATCGCTTTGTAGGCAGACTGGGCAGATCAAGAGCAACAGTGCTTGCGGCAGGCGTATTGTCGAAAGTGTTGTAGATGGAAGCTCGATAACCCTGCTTGAGTCTGCGCTCCTCTGCATCTGTTTTCGACCTCGCAGGTTGAAGTACCTGTGGTGTTTGGCTGTGATTGAGAAGGGATGCAGATCGCGGAAAGGTGCCAGCGCCGCTGTCCAATGTAGATGGCGTGTATCCGTCAGGGGTCATGCGATACTGAGCCTGTGAGAGGGAATTTGAGCGTTGATGAAACAAACTCGTGTTGAGACGAGGGATAGCATTGTCAGAGACGATTGGAGGTGGAGGCAGAGGCCTATCGTGGCTGTGCGTTGAGAGACCAGGGTGGAAGAACATGTCCGGAGGCTCGCCAGGTTGGAGGAAGTTGTCTGTAAGGCTATACTCGTCGCCCTCATCGAAGCTCTGTCTACGATTGAGGGCGTTTGGATCCGTCAATCCTCCGGTATCACCAGCATCAACACGAGCAACTGGTGGTCCACGGGTCTGGAGGCTCATTGCATGATCGTACATGCTATCCGGATTGCTCGAGCCAACAGAGCGTCGCAAAGAGTTTGAAGCCGATATGGAGGCAATACCGTTGGCATCGGGACCTGCGGCCAAAACACTCGGGTCGCCTCCGTAGGACATGTGGGCATCATAACCCCCGCTGAGCGTACTCATATCCATAGGCGTCTCGGTGTCATCAGCTTCATTGGAGAGATTCGCCAAGGAAGAACCGTAATACCCGAAGAGAGCACTGCCTCGGTTTCCGTCTGCTTCCTGAGCTTCCGCCATACGCATCGCCTCCAGACCAGCCAAGGCCTCGACATCACTTTCATCGCTATACTCGTTGATGATGCTTGCAATCGCCATGCTGTCTCGAGAAGGCTGGGTGGTGGGCGTCGTATTGCTTCTAGGAGAGAAAAGGGGCTGTGGACGATCCGATGCCAATTGTCCTTGCGGGCTTTGTCGTCGCGCACTCGAAGCGGCACCGGCATTGAGCACAGCACTCTCTACTTGATTGAAGAGATCTTCCTGAGCCTCCTGCTCGGTTGCATAGGACTCACGAAAGCCGGGTTGGTGGAAATAATCACGTTCGACATCTGGTTCTGGTGGACCTGGAAGAGGGCGGTTTTGTGGATGGCGTAATGTGTTGCTTCTTTGTGGAGCATGAGCATGAGCATGGGCGTGGGCTGGCGGCGGAGGAGGTGGTCCAGAAGGGGAAGGCAGATAGTTAGGGGAGAATTGAGGAGAAACAGCAGAATTATACGAGCCGTAACCAGGATGCACAGGTGGAGTGGGGAGATTCAGCTCATCGGGTGTTGGGGTAGTTTGAGCGTATGGTACATTTCCATATGGAGCAGGCTGTGAACCGTTTGACGGCGACCAGACATGTGAGGGCGGCGGAGGCGGGGAGGATAGTAGGACGAGCGGTCTTGTGAATAATCGGGATATGTATAAGGCTGGCCGGGCTCGGGCATAGGAATGGGCTGCGAGAAGCGATGCTGGGTCTGGTGATAACCGGCCGAGTGCGGAGGAGAGGTGGCAGACGGAGCGTATGAATACGGGGCGCGCGGTGATTGAGGTGGAGGTTGTGACGGGTAGGCTGCAGGGTTGTAGCCGACATTTGCGTAGGCCTGAGGGTTGTATTCGGCATGGGCAGATTGCGGCTGAGCTTGGTCGCCCTGGGGGTAGTAAGACTGCGATGGATGGACATAGTCGGCGTAGGAGGGCTGCTGAACGGGACCGCCAGGGGTCGGATAGGAGCCGTAGCCGGTCAATTCGGGCGTGGACCACGAAGACTGGAGAGCTTGTCGGTGGGCGTCAGGTGTACCGTTGGTCGGGGCATACTGCTGCGCTTGCTGACCATGCGACTGGCGTCGATTTCCTGGGCGGTTATACGACATGGTGCCTCATCTGAAAAGCTTCCGTATGCGTCTTCAGTCCATCTGTTCTGCGACTGCGAGACCGAGTTGGAGCACGAGCTGTTTGTTTGCGACTAGCACTGAGCTCTCTTGCTCTCTCTAATCCACACTTGCGGCTGTGACTGCGGCAAGGATACGGGTCGTTTTCCAGCGCCGTGAGTCTGTTGTTGGCACAACGTTCAAGTATCCGGGAGAAATGGACGGCGACAGAGTTCCTAGCAGAAGATGGCGAGCACAAGACGAGACGAAAGACGAAACGAGCACTGGGTTAATCAAATGCGCTGCCACATGCCGGTGCACTGGTCCAGCGGCCCGTGCTTGCCAAGTCATCATCTCACCTTCCCAAGAAACCACATCCGCTCCCTCCTACACTCTCACTATCTGCCTGCTGCTAGTAATCTTCGTGTTTGGACCTCATTCCGTGTCCGTCGCCTCTTTCTAAGATCATGTAAACCCGTGTTCCGCGCACCAACACCTTGAGTAGTTCGTCTCAGCTCATCGCGCAGCCGTTAGATAGATGGTCTCGGCAGCAGTACCCCACACCTCTTTGACCACCTCAAAACCCGACTTCTTGTCACGCCTAATCCCATGCCGAGCTCGTATTGTGCTCTGTTGTGGATTTCCTCGCCGCGTTCTTCTGTCCGTCAGCGATATGTCGAGCTTTCGCTTAGTACTGGCCTCCATACGCGTTCAATGTGAAAGTGTAACCCCAATGTCCCAGCGCAATGTAAGTTTAACGGAAAGAACATCTAAAGTTTAACCCCGCTACTGTACCCTAGTGGCTTGCAAGCGACGAGCCTTGCCATGTGCAGAAGAGATCTCATTATCATTTCTCTATCTGCTTGCCACTCTGCATGCCCGAGAATGGCGAACGGTCACATTCCTAATCTGCAACCCATACATCATCATTCAGTCGCGCTTAATCGAGAGCCAGATTCCAATGCATGACTGATGAGGTTAGATTGCTCGGCTGTGCTGTGGCTGATGAACCGAATGCGCGGTAGTGACGCGCTCCAATCAGATCGCCTTAGCTCTCCAAAAGGCAACCCATGTGAATCATGAGCCTCTTTGTACAAACCGTTCGTCCATAACTGGCGATGCAACTGTCGGCGGTGCAGCGGCGCAGTCATCCTTGTGAACGCGTCTTGTTCTTGGGTCGTCCGATCCTTCCGGCACAAGGTCGCCTTGGCAGTTGGCGCAAATGACATAAAGGAAGCTGCAGCCCGCTGTCAAGACAGCCTCACCATATTTCCACCTAAGGCTTCCTTCAAGGTTGCGACAATACAAAGTATGAGTTACGGATATCCTCAGCAGGGCTACGGCCAACAGTANCCCCCACAAGGACAACCCCCATACCAACAGCAGCAATCCTATGGCGCACCACCTGGTCCTCCTNNCCAGGCCATTCACCATACCCGCAGCAGCATGGTGGCTATGGTGCGCCTCCAGAGCCCCCCTACGGGCCACCATCCGTCGCAATCGTTTGGTGTCCCTCCTGGTCCCGCACCAGGACAGTACGGAGCTCCTCCAGGACAGTTCGGTGCCCCGCCAGGTCGCCCTCCCGGTCAGTACGGTCAGCCACAATATGATGCCCCGGCGCAATACGGTAGTGGTCCGCCTGCCCCACCCTCGATGGGATACGTCCCTGGTCAAGTTGCGCCCATGGACATGTCTAGACAAGCCGACGACCTGAGAAAAGCCATGAAGGGCTTCGGAACCGATGAGAAAGCCCTTATCGCAATACTCGCACCCTTAGATCCTCTTCAAGCTGCTGGCGTCCGCCAAGCATTCAACCAGCGTCACCGTCGCGATCTGCTCAAGGACATCGAGTCCGAAACATCAGGCTACTTCCGTGACGGCCTCATGGCCATAGCACGCGGGCCACTCGAGCAAGACGTTCTAAACGCAAACAAGGCGATCAAGGGATTCGGCACAAAGGAGTCTATACTCAATGATGTGCTTCTAGGCCGCAGCAATGCAGATATGAACGCGATCAAAGCACATTACCACCATGTTTACCATAAATCTCTCGAGTCTGATGTCAAGAGCGATCTCAGCATGAAGACCGAGAGACTTTTCGACATGGTGTTAGCAGCACGTCGTAACGAAGAATCGTCTCCTGTCATCCCTCAACAAGTCGAGGCAGATATTACCGAACTCTATCGCGCTACCGAAGGCAGCAAGATCGGGGCCGATCAAGTCTCTGTTTGCGCCATCATCACCCAGCGTAGCGACGGCCAGCTTCGTGCCATCTCCCAAGCATACCGTCAAAAATACCACCGCGAGCTCGCAGAGGTCTTGAAAAAGAATTTCAGTGGCCACATGGAGGAAGCTCTGATGCACATCCTACTCAACGCAGAGGATCGCGCCAAGCACGATGCCCAATTACTTGAGGCCGCTATGGCGGGCATGGGCACCAAAGACGACCTCTTGGTAAACCGCATCGTGAGAATTCACTGGGACAAACACCGCATGTCACAAGCCCGAGGCGCCTACAGACACTTCTTCCAGCGCGATCTGGCTGACCGCATACGCGGGGAAACAAGAGGCGACTACGAGAAGTTAATGGTAGCCATTGTGCAAAGTGCCTAAATACCCATACCCAACTGACTTTTACAGTTGTTGTTTGATTCTTGATGATTATTATGGCGGTTTTGGATCCTCACGAGTAACGAAATGGCGGTCCACCTACAACTATACCTCTTCCCAACTAGTATTGTTCTCTAATCGAACAAGTCTTATACCATGATCGTCATATTTGTTCAAAATCTGTTAGAATGTTGTTCATGCAGCTTATTGACAAGGATGCCAAACCAGGAACCATCAAGGCAAAGTAGTAGCTTGCACGACCGGTTCTGGTTTGCGTTGTTGGAACCAGCAATGCGTGTTGTGGTACATACCCTGACAAATAACCTTTGTGATCAAGATTGAAACCACTACGATCTGCGAGAATCTCGATATTTGTTGGTCGGTAACCTATGCATCAGAACAGGTGGCTTGTTTGTCATCTAGGCAATTGCGATACCCTCGGTCCGTAGCTGATCTTCCGTAGTAAGCAGAATGCAAAACGTAGCAAGGCACAAGATTCTTCTGCCAACTTTTATACTACTACACACGATGGAAGAGGTCGATAAGCCGAATGGCTGCCAGTGATTTCACCATCATCTGATGCTCGAAAACCTGATTGATCGTGAATGTAAGAAAACGAAAAGGAGTATAAGTTCGCACTGTAATAGTATAATCCACTAATTCGTCCATCTACATTTCTATCGCTACTCACCTTGATCTGGACTTCGATATGTGGAATCCGTGCAAAGACTCTTTGTCCTCGCGATCAACGCCACGCAAGCTGGTGAAGGCCAGAGAAGTCAGAAAGGAGAAACCGATTTCGTTTAGCAACTACCACACTGACAGCGTGAACTATACCAGATCTCCTCTAGAGTCAAAGGTGACGGATGACTTCGAGTCTGAAGTTGCATGGATTGCAGCCTGGGATAATCGAAAGAAGGTCCGTGCCTTTTGGTGCTCGAGGGTGTTACGGAAGCTACAACGCAAAGACCGGGATACTACTTCGTGTTAAAAGAAGCATACAGAAACTGATATTCAACGTCAAGAAAGACGGAAGTTAGGAAGTAAAGAGAAAGGTCGAATTTTATGCATCTTTGCATTAATCTTTATGCCCTCCTCATCCTCAAAAACTCCCGGCTCCCCACAGGAAACGACAATAACAGAAAACAACGACATCATGATTTCTCCAACAACTTTCTAGGGCTTTGCGACCAGCGCAAGGGCACCAGCGACAGCACTGGCAATCATGATGGCAGCGCGACCATAGTTCAGCTTGCGCCATCTCAACTGCAGCTCTCTGAACTCGGTCTCAGCAGCCTTCTGTCTGCTATCCTTGTCGGTGCCGTTGGCAACACCAGCCTTGAGGATCTCTGCCAATCTGGTCATTCTCTTGTTCATGGGCACCTGGATCAACAATGCCCAAGCCGTGGTTGCGACGTTCAAGCCAAATGCGGCAGCGAGCTTGGGGAACTTGGCCTCGGCAATGAGGTTGCCGTCGCGGGCGCGGAGGAATGCGGTGCTTGTGAGGATGAGGTTGGAGAGCGAGCACAGAGCGTTGAGGGGAGGGAAGAAGTGCTCGCTGTTGTGGAGAAGGTAGGCGGTTTGTTGAGCTGTGTAGTGGATTGGTACTCCAACGACATGGTCGGTCACAGTGGGCATAATCAGAGGCGATTGCAGTACTGAACCACCGAAGTTGACAGCGGCACCGAGAGTTGCGAAGATCTGGAGAGGTTCGAAGAACCAGGGGTTGCTGACGATGTTTGATGCGAGAGCGGCCATGACTGCGGTCTGTTCTCTTCGTTTGTGATGTCTGTTGTAGAAATTCGAGCGAAAGACTTGGTCTGTTTGGATAGAGAGCGAGTTGGTGTTCAATCAGTCCTGTCCTTGGCTACTGAGTGTATATATTTACTTCGGACTTTTACATGGGGCCGATGTCTGCAGGAACACATCCATGTTATTGCATGTGATTGCGGAGTGATGATCATGGCAGATCTTCGACATACCTCGCCTTACCTGCACCATATCACCTGAGCTGAGCATGAAGCCTGCAGAGANCCCATCAACAGTATAGGCCAATCCGTATCCTCCTTCGCTTCTTCACACCGTCAGCTCAAGAATCTGGTGACACTTGTGTAACCATGCCGATGCGTTCATCGTTCCGGCACGGAAAAGCGTTGCAGATCCCGCATATGTATCAAGAAATCTCCGAATATCTTGTCGATCTCTGCACATCTCTCCGACTTCAACACTTCACCTCTTGATAACTCATGCTCGCAGACAGGCCTGACCTCTGCGCCATGAGAGACACAACGCTGACCCAGACAGAGAGATGTTGAATCTCTGCAAGGCAGGATGCTCACGATACACGGCTACTGCAACGCGCAATACTCTGGACGAGTAAGCCATGTCCATTGGAAATTACGACGAGCCACTTTCAGTGGACAGCCCTTTCCCATCTGGGAAGCATCACAAGTTCTTCTTCTCTGTCATCGATCTGGCTCTTGAAGACTGCCATATCGGGATATCATTGCGCCGAGTCAGTCTGATGCCCTGAACACCCACCCAAATAGTCAAATGGTAAGGGTCAAGAGATCACAAGGCGAAACAGCAGCTCAGACGCATCTAGACCACACTATCTTGGTAAATCCAGGGAGAGACAGTAAATCAACTATGCTGCCCTACAAGCAATGCTGTAAGCGGTATAGCTCAAATAGACGCCATCTGAGACATTCGAGAAGCCTCTTCTTCGCTTCATGTTGCTACCACAACGGCTTTCGACAACAGCATCAACGAGGACGTCCCTCAGGATGAGACAGTCAACTCGTCTATACATGTTACAGCATATTCAGATTAAAGAATCTGTTAGACGTCTTCACCACGTCATGATACATTCTGCACTATCTCATTTCAAGATGTGCAGGAATTCCACGACTATACATAGGTTCTATCCTGCGCCTTACTACATGGATCGCTCTTTCCCTGGTTCTGGGCCTGTGGTATCGTGATACTGCGAAGCATAGACGCTATTCATAGTCGCGAACAATCTCCCTTCGCGAGACTGAGTTTTGCATGGTACAGAAGGTTTCTTTGATGGACAGGAACTGCCGAGAGCAACGGCTTTCGAAGGACAATCACGTCTCTATACTGTAACACGCGCGTTCACAATTATTTCCACGTAGAGCCAGAAGTGAGAATGTTTCACTTGACAAGTGTGACTCCGTTATCGAATCTGTTCTTGGATGGGTTGTAGGGCTCTGTGTACAAGAGAAGGAGTTGGAGCCGAAAGTGCCGGGCGTTCTTTGGTGCTGAAAGCATTGGCCACTTCGAGTTTCCAACTCCACTACCACCAGCCTCCTCGACATCGTACTGATCGCGTCGCTACATTGGCCTTGCTGTGATAATACGTAAAAGCCGACTATATTGACAAGTCGTTGGACAGACTCTCGAGGAACACGAATTCATACGCTCATAACCAGGGATACGATCTAGCTTTACCTACGACAGATCATATTCTTATGGAAAGTGCTTGCATCTGATGTCTGGATATGATTGCCGATACGACCTTCATCTCGTGGCGCTTCTCCGTTCATAACAGCTCAACGGCGAACCACGAAACGTGCATCGTGCCATTGTCAGAGACTGAGGTCTACGCCTCTGCTCTTCGCATTTGAGATATCATACACTTACCTTCATCATGCGCCACAAGTTCTAGTCGAGAATCAGCTCTCCACGATGAAATGGCTGGTAGATAGGTCTAGACGAAGGCCCGTGGTATCTGCATCTACCACCATCAGTAAGTATATATATCTCTTCAACTCCTCCACATCCGAGTTCATATCACCAGCCTATCTCTGTTCAGCAATCCCTGTCCTCTCCTCAATTCGAACTCCTCAACCGACATTGCATCGATCCGTTCTCCACAAGTTTCTCTATTCCAATCACAATGATGCGTGCCGCCGCTGCTCTCGCAGCATGCATTGCCTTGGCCAATGCCCAGACTTTTGATATGGACATGATCTTGGCTGCCGAGCCTGTCCCTACCCCTTCTATTCCTGTCGTATACGTCACAGGCGATGCTCCTACAACCACAGCATCTGCCACTACAGTCTCATATGTTGAGACTCAGGCTGCAGCATCTGTCTCCTCAGAGGTTGTTGCTGCAGCGAGCAGTACTGCTCTCGACAAGCGTGCCGCTTCTACTTGTGTGCCTCAACCCACTGGCATCTCCTACAACTCCAGTCCGGATACTGCTTCTGCTTTCTTGGCCGATGTATACTACTCGAGTGTCGCTTCTGCTGCACCTACCCCTGCTGGTTATGTTAACACTTTTACCAATCTTCAGGCCTCAAACAACGCTTATNNGGGTATGTTTATCAGCTCATCAATGCAATATTCATGCTAACCAGAGAGCAGATACATGGGTTTCCAGCTGCTGGAGTCTTATGACACTCAGCTGTGCTCGCAGAAGTGCGACAAGATCAACGGATGCCTTTCGTTCAACGTTTACTTCGAGCGTGATCCATCTGGTACGATTCACACTCTCTCTAATAAAAACCCGACTAACGCTATCACTNNAGTCGATCCCAATGATGCATCCTGCTCGTCGCCGTCCTCGGTTACTCAGATCAAGTGCGTGTTCTGGGGTGGTCCTGTTCTCAAGTCCAATGCCCTCAACGCTGGACAATGGCGCAACAAATTCCAAGTTGTCATCGCTGGATCCAACGGCTACGTAAACCAAACCATTACTCCTGCTGCTGGATACGATCAGCCTATCGACCTTGGTGATGCTACTATCAACGCACCTTTGGACTGTTCTGGACACGACACTTTCATGCAGTCCAAGTTCTTCACCTCAGGACCCTTCGATGCAAACTTGTGTGCTTCGGCCTGCTCAGCCCAGAATGTTTACAATTTGGCTCATCCTCCTGCTGAGGGCAACCCTAAGACTTGCCAGTTCTTCACTACCTATCTTCTCTACAAGAATGGTGTGGCTCTTGGACAAACTTGCTCTCTCTACACCATGGCTTGGAACACGACTTACAACACCAACAAGGGATACTACTACGGCAGTGACCACTACACTGTTGGCTACAGTTATGCATTCTCGAACACTACTGATCATGGTGCACCCTACGCTGCTTGCGGCTCATCCAGCTCGTCTTCAATCTCTTCGAGCACCACTCAGACTTCTTCGTCAACCATCGTCTCTGCTTCGTCCACTACCATGACCACTTCCACCGCAACACCCACCTCTCTTCTCCCCGACACTTCCTGCAACAATGCCGGTCTCCAATTCGCCTACTACCCCGGCCTCGCCAGCACCCAATGGGACTTCCACTCCCCCAACTACGGTCTCGATGCCGAAAACTACAAGACCGTGACTCCAAACTACACCGGCGTTACCAACTTTATCGGCGGCTTTGCTTGGAACACTTACCACCAATCCTCTACCATCTACGGTAGCTCTCGCCCTTTCGACCACGANAAAATGATCTTGAACCACAGAGGCTATTTCTTCGCTCCCACATCCGGCGAATACACATTTAGCATTCCCACCGTGGATGATGCAGCATTTTTCTGGCTTGGCGATGTTGCGTACGCCAGTTTCAACGAGTTCAACTACTTACTTCTCGACAACCAAGCCAATGGCACTCAAAGCGCTACTGTGACGCTCACGGCAGGTAAATATTATCCTATTCGCTTGATTTACGGTAATGTTGGTGGTGGACCTGGTAGCTTGTACTTCCAGATTACGCAGGGAAGTAAGGTGGCGGTAGATTGGTCATCGACGGTGTCGCCGTACTTTGTGCAGTTTTCTTGTGATGGGGTTAAGGGGCCTGTGTATCCTGCTTTTGGACAGGAGACTTGAGGGAGTTGGAGAGCGGGTGGCTTCTATTCTTTGTATATACATCTATCATTTTTTGTTCTTATTCGCTGTCGCGTTGGATATGGTTTAGCTGGGTAGAAGATAAAAGCAGAATCTATTTCATCAAAGATACTGTGTCTCTTGAGTAGCCGAGGAGAGTGGAAAAGAAGCGTGCATGCATATTGTAGTCGTTCTTTCCCGCATCTGGATGATCCTGGACAGAGAGCTCGCCAGGGAGTGACACTCCGTGCAGTCATTGAGATCTGCCGCCTATCATCGAAGCAGTATCATCCACGCTGTCCAAGAGACACATCGAGACCCAGTTCAAGAGTGAGTTCAAGAAGGGTCGACAGCGGCCTCGATGTGAGGAAGTTTATGTTCTTAAAAAATGCTTCTTCGTTCTCGTAAATATGAGTTTCGGGTCAGACATAGCATTCTCTAAAAGAAAGTGCATCACTTTTTTCTTTACTTTTCATAAAACCTTCTATATCCATTTCCTTCTTTGCGGCGGCTGAATACCAGTCTAAGAAATAACCATGATGCATCTACGTCATGAACGAAATGAATCCGTCTCGAGAGGCTAAAAGAGAGAAACACAACCATGATAGAAAAATAACTCCAGGAGAACCCAAACATGAAGATTGAAAACAGGGATATAATCAGGCGGCTCTCAAGACCCCCGGCTGGCTTGTCGCAGCCAATGCGGCCCAGCAAGTCCTTGTGGTTGCCGGGTATGCTGATACCGCTGGCACGGCTCTTTTCGGAGGTTCGCTTGGCCGCTGGACTGGGTCGGCGTGTGAATCTTAGGCTCTCGACACCAACCTCCTCCTCTTGCGGTGCCAATCGCAGCTCGGGCTCCTTTGTAGAGAAATCTCTCACGGTTTCCAGGGTATCTTCCTCCTCTTCCTCTTCTTCCTCATCATCAGAGCGGGTGTCGTCGGCTCCCTTGCCCAGAACCACACGGTATGCAACACGGCAGATCATGCCAAACCAGATGATTGTAATGACCTGAAGAGCGAGAAGCAGGCCCAGGAATCCGTAGTGAATCTTCTCGTTGAAACAGACATCGCCATTGCCGCTGGTGTAAGCGTGCAGAACATTCGAGAGAACTTCGTTACCGCCATCCTCGGAAGTTTTGACACCAGTCACAGCGTTGTAGCAGCCGTAGGGCATCTCGACGGGGACATCGGCGTAAATGGACCAGCAAACTGCGAGGTAGAAGACGTGTCTGGCAACGAACCAGGAAAGCATAAAGATGCCGAAGGCAATGTCGCAGGCGGTCTGCATGCCCATGTACTTGAGCAATTTGGCAATCTGTACAACAATGGTCAGAACTTGGCGAATCGATACATGTCGTGTAAACTTACAGGNGAACACCAAATCGACTACATCCATCAGACACAAGATGACGTTGCCGACCTTGGTCTGGTAGTAGCCGTAACTGCCAATCAGGAGCAGGCATGTAATGATGTGGTGGGTGAACATTTGCCAATGGTCCTTTCTGCGCTCCTCGATGTTGATGACCATGATTTGCTGCAACCAGAAACCGAATTGAGCCAGGTAGTACAGTTTGAAGAGACCAGTCATGGAGCGTGTTGGGAAGCCAGTCCACATTGCGGGTAGGTTGTTGAAGTATGGGGATTCATATACAAGATANNCTGGTTTGTGTGTTAGCTATCGCAGCACGGAGCATGGTAGTCTTGTGATAATACGCACTGTTCCGAGGAACCAGAATGTAGCGTAGTACAGGACTAGCCAGGCTTGTTCGGCAAAGCGAATGGTGGCCTTCTTCTTGTAAATGCCACACTTTCTGGCCATTGGCACAAGGGCGTAATCCATAGCGGCCGCGCGGAGGGCGGTGAAGACGATAATGCAGAGCGAGACGAACTTCAGGTCCTGCCAGCCCGGGTTGTAGAGGCCAGTTTGAGCGTCATAGTAGGACAGGGTGAAATATTGGATTGTCGAGGAGCGGAGGCTAGGGAAGCAGACATGTGTCAAGACGAGAAGCATGAGGACGTTGATGGACAGGCNCTGGGATAGGTCAGCGCTGGTCTTGTCGTGTCTCTGGCTTGGGAATGCTGCAATACCTAGTTGGTGCTTGACCAGGGTAGCGCACAGAGAGCTCGAGAGGCTCTCATGCTTTCTCTTGGACCTCTTCTTGATGTGCGATTTGGAGTTGCAGGTAGGCATGTCGAGGTGCTGGGGGAAGGATTGGGCATCCGCCATGGCGGTAGGAGAAGCGATCGAAGCCATTGACGAGAATGGACAGTGGGATGCAAGAGTTCAGACAAGCAGCATTGATGGGGCTTGAGCGAGAGTGGGAGCGGAGTTTGCAGTCGAGCGAGTTCAGCCAGTTGTCTTTCAACGGTCCAGACGGAGGTAAAGCTGGAGAAGCGGGCGTCTAGCACAAGGACGAAAAGATCAAATGCAAGAAGGACCAATGCGGTGTGAGACGGAAGCTGGCGATTGAGCCGGTCAAGAAGCAGCTCCCTCCCTGCAGACAAAGATAAAAATCGCGTGGCAGTGAAATGGCTGAGAGAACGCGTATCAAATCGCAGCGGGTGAAACGATCAAAAAGTCGACAACGCTGCGGACCCCAGACTCCTTGGCGACCCCTATTGTCCTTGCGCGGGCGCCATCTAGAGCTTACCATCGCCCTCCCATTGGCTTACGGGCGAGTACGGCGTCGGCCACAAGGCCTGAGACATGTTCTGTGAGAGATGGTCCGAATTGGCGACCAAACATCAACTTCAGGCTCCAGTAGTGCAACATGAAACTTGAGTCTTCATTATGTGTATGACTCCAAAACTAAATCTCGCCCCATCCAGAAACCAGCTGAACCCCACTATCCAAAACTCCGCCTTCGTCAATTATTATGTCAGTTTGGTCGACTCTGAAAAGCTTGTCGACTGCACTCTAGTTGTTCTGCTGGCTGTTCAGAATTCTGAGGATGGCCAAGAATAAGTTGATGATATCAAGATAGAGCGAGATGGAAGCTGCAATTTCCTCCTCGACGTGGTAGTGTCTCATGATGAGCTGTGTGTCAACCAGGATGTAACCACTGAAGATGAGTGCACAAACGATGCCGTATCCCAACTCGATAGTGCTGGTGTGAGGGAAGAAGGCTGCCATGAATCCAAAAATGATGACAACCCAGAGAGCTCCGGCAAGATAGGGGATCCAGCTGGTAAAGTCGTACTTGGTCTGGCAAGCGAAGAGGGTGAGTGCGACAAAAATACCCAGGGTGAAGATGAGTGCCTCAAGCACAATCTTGCTCTCGAAGAAGGATGTGACGACACTAATCGAATATGCCTCCATGGCAGTAAATCCAGCAAGGAAGAGGAGGTTGGTGGGGTACGACTTGCGCTTCCAGAAGGTCAAGAGCATGAAGCCGATAGCACCGAAGAGCGAAACCCACATCATCCACTGGTTGGTCTGGATCCATGCTTTGTAGCCGGGGCTGAAGAATGAGATGGAAGAAAGAGCGGCGGTCGCGAGGAGTTGAACGGTCAGAATCGAGTAGACCTTGCGGACGAATTGCATGCGAATGTCGAGAGTCGCTTCGGAAACAGAGCCACCGANACTGTGGTGCATTAGTGAGACGAATCTTCAATAGTAGGCAGCGACATGAGATACCTTGAAGTCATCGGGGACATTGTCGTCTTCGTCGCGAGGGACTCCAGGAACGCCAGAGGCTTCTGCCTGGTAAGATGGAGGAGGCTGGCTGTAGGCCTGCTCCTCGAATGAGTCGCGCGTCGGCGCTGGCTGGTATTTAGTAGTAGATGCCATCGGTGCAGAAGTGGCGCGTCGATCGAAGGAAATGGTGTGTACGAAACAAAGAGCTGCTCAGGTTATCAACAGTCGAAGAATGGAAGAGGCGGCGAGCAGACGACCTGCACAGCCGGCCGAAGCTTCCAGCGTCATCAATCCGGGGTCACGTTCGCTTGGCTGAGCCTCACTTTAATCCCCGTCTTCTGTCCGTCGTCACCTTCAAAACCAAAAGAGTGCCACAGAGACACCCAGAACTAACGCTTCTCCTCGGGCACCCTCGCTTGTGGAAAGCAATTGTGCATTCCCGTAGTTGTGTTGTTGACAGTGATCAGTCTGACCGGTCGCGTAGTCTTAGATGGATGCCTGCTTCTCAGTCCAGGTTGTCGAGGTGGCAACTGCTATCTTTACGCCCAAGACCTTGCACGGTGTTGCCTTGTCGAAACTCTGCCAGAGCCTTCTCGTGTGCCTAGGCTCTGGATAGATGATACATGGGCCTGTTCAAGAAGAGTCGATACATGTTTACAGCAAGTAACATCCAGGTCAAAATCATCCTAGGGATCATTGCATAAACACGTGTATTGGTTTCTAGAATCTCGTCCGCCGAAAACAAAAGATACTCAAAGCAGAAGAAAAGCAGTTGCACCATTATCATTTGGAACCAAAGAAAAGAAGAGCTCGTCAAAGTGTATCGATCGCTATGCTGTCGTTTCGAGTCGTTATAGGTGGTTGGTTTGCTGCCGCCATGCATTGCGTTTTGAATCAAAGAAGAAGCAAGCAAAGAAAAACAAGGTAGAGAAACAAAAAGAAGCCCTCGGAACTGTGGCAAGCAAGAAAAGTCTAAGCAAAGTCAAAAGCAAAGGGCAGCGTCGTGTGTCAGATCTCAATCAACGGTACCTGCCTGATCGCTTCGAATCGTAAATGATCTCGCGTTCGTAGATACGCTCGTCGTACTTGGAACGAGGTTTTGCGGGTGGTGAACGTGGCTTGGGAGNGGGAAGTCTCTCGAGTTGTTCACGCTCCCACTCAATCTCACGAATTCGATCACGACGTTCGCGACGAATGTCTTCGGAAAGCTCTACAAGCTGAAGGACATCCTCNNCTGAAGTGGTGGGTTAGCTTCCTGTCTGTTTGTGAGCCAACATATCACGACTTACGTATTTCAAGTACTCCATGACGTAGAAGAAGTGTTCCGAGTCTTCATACTGATAGCCCATCTCCTCGATGGCTTCCTTGATGACCAGATCTTTGGTGACTTCAGTCCACATGTCTTTGGCAACCTTGCGCTTCTCCTCTTTACGCTCTGGTGCTGGGAGCCCAGGCGCAAAATCGGTAACGAATTCTTCATCAGCAGTGTAGAATTTGCTTCTCCTGGAGCCATTGTATTGTTGCCAGGTAATGTCTTGTCGAGCACCTCCCAACCCATCCATCTGCACGCGTCTGGTACCAGGAGGTATGTCAACGAGTCCCCAGTCTCGAGTTGCACCATTGTGTGCTTCACCAACATAGCCACGCTCGAGTGCTTTGCGATTGTAGTACTCGGCCTCGGCAGCAATTTCATCATCATAGCGACGTTGAGGCGTGGAGACCGAGCGAGAACGAGAAATTTCGACATCGCGCTCCACCTCAGGTTCACGTCGAGGTGCTGGACGAGAGACCTCACGCTCAAAGGTGATGTTTTCATCATAGCCTCCGTTGCGAGTGTTGCGTCTACGAATTTCTANTCTCGAGACTCTCGTCCCTGGGTGCAGGAGGAGGACTTGGTGGTGCCGGGGAGGACTGGGCAAAAGTTCTGGTGAACGGGCTCGCTCAATGCCATGATCGATATGTCTGTGATGCGTAATGATTTCCTGAATGATAGGCGGACGGACAATAGGTTCTGGTGGCGGTGGAGGCATGGGCTCAGGGGTCGGCTCTCTGACTGGTTCCGGGGTGGGCTCGCGAGGAACAGATCTCTCTCGTCGTCTGATGATTATCTCTTCCCTATCGTCTCTCACAGGAGGAGGAGAATTGCGTTCGTGCTCGCGGCGACGAATGATGATCTCCTCGCGCTCGTCTCTAGGAGGAGGCGGTGGGGAAGGCTCACGACGTCTGAACAACCANNCTCTTCTCTTTCTCGTGCAACCGGACCAGGGCTACGTCTACGAGGAGGCGGAAAACTGCGCTCGCGTTCACGCATACTGATCTCCTCCCTTTCCACACCGCGCACGCTTCTGGCTGGAGGAGGCGGAGAACGTGTCTCTTCATGGCGAAAGATGAACTCCTCCTCGGCAACTTCTGATCTCGCAGCTTCGGAACGAGGAGGAGGACGACGATCTCCAGCACCCCTGCGAAAGACTATGTCGGGAGGTGGACCTCGAGGCGGCTCCGGGTCTCTTTCTCGCTCTTGTTCTCTTCTGCGAATCAAGATGTCCGTCTCCTCGATCTCTCCTCTGTCCCTTGGTCTAGGAGGTCGNCGACTGTTCGCGCTCGCCACGACGAAGGATGATTTCTTCGCGCTCGAAGTCTCTAGGATCCCTCGAAGGCGGTGGTCGTTCTCTGAGTGGAGGTTCACCTCGGCGCTCTCTAATCACGAGTTCGTCCCTTTCAACTCTTTCTGGTGGACCACCTCTGCGGGATCTGGTATCGTCGTCTCTGCGGGAGACATAGTCGGCATATTCGTCAGGCTCGCGATTCTTAACTACGAGCGGACCGGCATTCGTTCGTCCATAGTCGTCGTGCAGGAAATCTGGGAGCTTTGCTCCGCGGGTGTTTCGGCGGTCGCTCACGACAGTCTCTGGGCGGTCGGCGTAGCGAGTGCGGTTGATGTCGACTTCGATATCCTCATAGTTGCGCGCAGGTCGAGGTCGAGCATAGGGATCGCGCTCTCGGTCGTCGTAGACATCAGCGACAGGATAACGCCGAGACATGACAGTGTTGGCTCGTCGCCGGGACGTTTGAAACGGTCAGAAAGTGAACCTGAGCCGACGAGTCAGGCCCAACGTGGGGAAATATCGAAACCCACGAACGACGAGGAGACCAAGCGAGGACAAGAGAAACAGGTCGAAAAAGCAGCCTGTACTCTGACGAGCAGAAGCAGAGTCGTCACACGAGAGCTGCTAACTCGGTGAGCGGGAAACAAGCGACAAGAACCTGGAACAGTGGAACTGGAGAGGCTGGTGGGTGGTGGGGGTCTTGAGATTGTGGCTTTGGTTGGTGCCCAAGCGTCTGCACACTTGACGTATTGCTCTACACCTTGATTTGGCTGTCGACAAGTCACTCGTCTAGAGAGTGCAAGGACAGTGCAAAAATCTACAGAACTTTGTGTATCTCGACAGCTACATATCTCACTACTCTCAAGCAAGAGAGAGGGGAGCCAGGTTCTTGGTGGTCTTGTCAAGCATTCTTGACGTTCAGAGAGACATTTGCAACTTGACAGCTGTGGTAAGTCTACTTGAGCACGAAAGCCAGAAGCTCTCTGTGCTGACATGAAATGTCTGTTGGATGATATCGCAGAAAGGAATGGCTTCTGTCAAACCAAGGCTTGTTTCTTGGTCCAAGGGTCGAGCCTTCCCGAACACATGTGGGGCTATCCGCAACCTTCTTGTTCAGCACGGGTCATCCCTACCGTTGACAACAGACGACGACGAAGCACTTCACACTTCCATGAGACTTTACATTTCCATCTTCGAAGAACCGTTATTCTTTTGTATACATAATCATCACATCTGATCAATAGGCAGCGACGAACTCAACTGCCCGTCCATCCTGCAACCCTTGTGACAGCCTACCTTTGTGGCATGTGATTCAGGGTCATCTACCGCCCCAGACATCTGTACTGTTTATCAAATAGCAAACGCACAATCACCTCTAATATTTGCAACATATCTCAACCTGGCTCTTTCCGGAATATGAGCTTCCCATGAGTCACAAACCATTGTCAGCCCAACTCTCACATAGGATCACATCGCTTCAAGATTCTGTAAAGCAGTCGAGACGCAGTCATGGATACTCGACATCCCATCAGGGACACTGCCGAGCCCAAAGTACTTTCTGTGGCTTTCAACAATGACTGTAGCAGATTTGCCTGTGGCTTGGACGATGGCTTGAGAAGTGCGTATCCAGACATAAGCTTAGCATAAAACAACGACTGAACATGCCCTTTAGTATTCCGAGCCAAGGACTGCATACGAACCATCAAAGAAGGCATGTCTACACTGCTGGAACAGAAAATGAGAGATCTAACTGCAAGTNNAGCACTCCGACCTGGACACGGCCTCGCTATCGTGGAAGCTTTGGATGACAGATACGCAGCTGTGGTGGGTGGCGGAAGGCTGCCAACCTCTTCGCCTAACATGGTATGTTTCCAAACTACATTCTTGAGATATCACTTATTAACCGAACCNAAGCTTGAGTTCTGGGACCTCGTCGAAAAGAAGAAGCTAAAAGAACTCAACTTTGGCGAACCCATCGTCGCCGTCCGCGTTACCAGCAAATACTGCATCGTCGTCTTGGTGGATCGCAGTATATCTCTGGGGTACACCAACGATCCAAACACTGGTGTAATCAACCTAGGCACCGTCAAAGCACTATATCGTACTGCGAAGAATCCCTACGGTCTCTGCTGTATCAGAGGTGATGCTTTAGCACTGCCTGGGGAAACGCCTGGACAAGTTCAAGTACTGACTTTGTCCTCCAAGGATAAGAAGGTCTTCAAGGCTCACGAGCAATCCCTGAGGCAAATGACCATGAGTAGGGACGGAACTATCATTGCCACAGCCAGTTCACAAGGCACCATCATCCGCATCTTCAGCACTACGGACCCTACCAAATCTACAGAGCTGCGTCGAGGTCTAGAGTCCGCATCAGTATGGGGCCTAGCTTTCTCACCATCTGCACACTTCATCGCCTCCACATCTGACAAAGGCACCTTGCATATCTGGGACTTACGTGCTCCAAGAGTACCAGAAGAACGCACTCGACAACCTCCCGACCAGCGAAAACGCAACTCCTTCGGTCGCGGCAACCACGACTACGACTCGATATCTCATACTTCTGGTTCTTCGTCACCACTTCCCGGCGCCGTGGCCACAGCAGCAGGAGGCTACATACTGCCCCCACCAGACCTCCGTCATGCACCACCTGCCACCGCACCTTCACTCGGATCAATGCTGAGTGGTCTGGCCAAAGGTACAAGATCATCCACATCCATCGAGTTCACCATCGGCTCGGACCCATCAAACTGGCAAGGCCAGCCACGTTACACCAGTACAACAATGCCTAATGGACAAACTGCCAAGCTCAAGGTCGACAACGTGGCTGTACCTGGTAGGCCGGATGGCAAACCACCGAAAGGAGTGGTTGCTTGGGACCCAGAAGGCGGAGACAGGAGGCTATGGGTTGTGGAAGGTGGAGCAGATGCGAGATGGGAGGTATTCGAGCTGGCCGACGATCCAGTCACGGGTGGTGTCAAGATTGGAAGTACGGGCTTCAGAAATTATCTTACCAGGCAGTTCCCCGAGAGAAGCTGAGAAAACTGGCATGCAGTGGAAGACATAACAATTGCGACATTACGGAAGTGAGCCTCAAACACGTTCAAGAGCATATCCATAGTAGTACGCCATCAGATTGAGTCACAAGACTGTTTGTTGGGTATCAAAACGTTTCGATTCTTCTATTTTTCTCATATCACTTCTGGACGTCGGAAACTCTACACGCCAGCATCCCTCGTAGGTCGCGGGCTGTTCTGAGTACTGTTGGCGCCCCTTCCACCTTTCATCAAACTCGCGAAATAGGCTTCCAGGTTCTCTGTAGGTAAGTCTTTGGTAACGTCCTGTGTCGTGCCACTCGAAGACGGCGGTGGAGGCGATTGAGGGCTGAATGGTGTTGTGGCACCACCTGGACTTGCGTTTGCAGCTGGCTTGTTGCGTTCNNCTGGTGTTCAATGTTAGTAAGCTATTTGAGGAAGAATCGAATGTGAGAAATGTATGTATACCTTTAAGCGTCTCAGCACCTCATCGGCGTCGTATTGGATACCGCCCATGTTGAACTGCACAGGGCCTACATGCTCGGCCATTGCTTTGGCCCCTGTTTCGTCGGTGGATGTGCTTGTGGGTGTACCTGCTCCATTGGCCACACGACGGGCATCGCGAGCCTTTTTCGCTGCTTCGTCTTCGGCACGATAACGATCTAGACTCTCTGCTTGAGCGGCAAGGAAGGTTTGATCGGGCGTACATTCCACTTCCAACTTTGGCTGTGATGGAGCAGGTGGATACGGGTTTTGGATCTGTTGTTCGTAGAGGGAGACAGTGGTATCTTGTTCTGCTGCGAGCGAGGTTTCTGCTGCTCCGCCTGTGGTTTGCTCCTCTGGTGTTGAGGGTAAAGTAGGGGAGTTTGGGATCGAGGGCAGGTCTTGGATTTCTACGCCCCAGGCACGGCTGATGCCTTCGACGTCGAAGCCTTCGCGTAGGACGCGAATTTTGCCCCAGCTGTCCCAGCCGGGTGGTACGAGGACTCTGTCACGGTCGACGACGTTGTGTTTCGGTGGGCCGTCGGGCGATGTATTGATGTCTAAGGCGTGGTGGACGAGGGGTTGTAGTGAGCCTGGTTGGGCGGGCATGGTGTAGACGAGACCGGCACCGTGTTTGAGCAGGACAGTTCGTAGAAATTGCAGAACGTAGTCGAAACGTGCCTCGCGGTATCCACGCTCTTTCTCGAGGGATTCGATGTGTTGGGCGTTCTGGCAGACTACCAGAAGGGGTAGACCTAGTGGGTCGTCGTGCTCGCCGGGACCTAGAGGTAGAGGGGTGTGGTTGTCGGTCATGGAAGTAGCGATATCGCGGTCGCGGCGGTGCTGCCATGCGGAAATGTTCTCTTGGAGGGCGGCTTGGGCGGATTCGTCGAGAGAGGAGGTAACGAGGTTGAGCAAACGCACCCATTGGCGGAGTGTGTGAATAAAGTCCCATGGCTTTGCCCAATCGAGTAGGATGACAGCAGCGGTATTAGGGATGGCATCGGGAGTGAGCAGACGGGTCAGCAGAGGCGCATACTGCTTGTCAGGAGTGGTCAGGGTGTAGAGCGACAGTCTCGCAACCATGTCCTCGTGATCCGTGTCCAGGACATTGTGGTAGGTATAGCCCAGTCCAAAGCGGGTGGCGAGTACAGGCGCAGCATTCTTCTGGTCGGGCTTCCTCAGGCGAGACGTCTTTTGCTGCTGCTGTTGTGCCAGGGAGTCGACAAAGTCGCGCTGCGAGTCCATGGAGCCGCCCAGGACAATCAACTTCTTGTCGGGCAGCTTTTTGCCGCTGGCCACTTTGTCCAGCAAAGTAGACCACATGTCGAGCTCGCTGCTGCCCGGCCGGGACTTTGACTGAGAGCGCGCCATGTTTGCAGTTGCTTGCGACGAGTGTCTTGTGTTTGGATTGCTGTTTATCGCGACTTGGTCAGGGTCACCCCCAGCCTCACCGCCTTGTTTGAAACGACTTTCACATGCCATCAAGGTCTGGAGCTCCCGCGTCATCGTCAACTTTTTCCCTTTCGCGTNNCCCTCCATCAACATTCGCCATGAACCAGATCAAGCAGGTCCAGCGCCTCAACGAGCGCGAACTCGAAAAAGTCGTCCCCTCCAACGCATCCTGGCACACCGACTACCGCGACACGGCCTACATCTACGTCGGCGGCCTCAACCTCGACCTGTCTGAAGGAGACATCATCACAATCTTCTCCCAATATGGCGAGCCCGTCTGGATCCGCCTCATGCGCGACAAGGAAACCGGAAAGAGCAAGGGCTTCTGTTGGTTGAAATACGAGGATCAGAGGAGTTGTGATCTGGCCGTCGACAATCTCGGCGGCGCGACTGTCATGGGCAAGATGCTTGCTGTCGACCACACACGATACAAGAAGCGGGATGACGAGGATCAAGACGAAGGATACGTTGGTCAGGACAAGCAAATCACTGGCGCAGAGGCCGAAGAGTCGGAAGCCGAAGAGGAACGCAGACCTTTAATCAAGGAAGAGATTGAGTTGGCCAAACTGATGCGCGACATGGAAGACGACGACCCCATGAAAGCATACATGATTGAGCAAAAGAAGGAAGACGTTGAGAAGGCATTGGCAAAATCATCATCATCCAAGAAACACGACGACTCACGCCGCGAAAAGAGACACCACCGCTCAAGGCGCGACCACGACGACGAAGACCGACAGAGAAGACACCGAAGAGCGTCGTCACGCGATGATCGAGACGATAGACGCGAGCATAGAGATGGTCACCGTTCCCACAGACGTCGCTCAGTTTCTCCTCGCCGCGACCGCTCAGTATCCCCCAGAAGAGAAAGACATCGCTCCACCAGAGACCACGACGATTCTTCACCCAGATGCGAAAGAGACAGCAGACGAAAGAACTATTCGAAATCACCTACTCCCCCACCAAAGAACGCGATCACCCGCGCAGAGAGCGCAGGCGTTCTTCTACTCCACGCCATAAACACGACTCGAGAAGCGTATCTCCTAGACCTAGACACTGAAAGCATCAAACCAGATGTACATAATCAGGAAAACAAAAACTTGCATAATACTCTCTTCAAGAAACGTAATCAGTGATTTTCACGTATTCACCAATTCGTTTGCAAATGTTCTCTGAACTTGCTGGAGGGCAGACATGTGCTTGAGTTGGAAGATTTTGCTTCTTGAATGAAAGGGTACAAAACAATATTCTAAGGAGGGTATATACAAACTATCTGGTATCTGGTAGGGAGTGACTAAAACATTAATTGTACCGCAAAAACAAAATCAAAGCCATAAATCATACATCCAATCCTCTCTGCCTTAAGCCTTGGGCTGGCAAGCAGGAGCAGGGTTAGTAGCATTGGACGAAATGTACGACCACTCAATGGTGTACTTGTCAGATCCTCTGTACTGTCCAAAGTTGGTGGCATAGCTCTGGGGCCAGCTGTGATCATACAGAGCACAGTACTGGCCAACAGTCTCGCCATTCTTCAGCAACATGTAAGTGTTGTAGAATTGGCAGGTCTTGACCTCACCGCCGTTGGCTGGGGNGTGAGCGCGAGCGTAGTCGGCTTGAGCAGTACAGGCAGCGGCGCACTTGGAGATGTCAAAGGGTCCGGTTTGGAAGATGCGGACGCCGAGGTAGCTGTGTTTGTTAGTGATGGAGATGGACAAGGCGGGGAAAGGTTAGACTTACGTATCCTTGCCATTGCAATCGAAGGGAGCGTTGATGGCGGCGTCTCCAAGGGNGATGGGGGTAGTGCAACCAGGGGGAGTAACAATCTTGCTGTTGACGTAGCCATTAGAGCCAGCAATGACTACGTGGAAGTCCTTGCGCCATTGGCCATTGTTCTTTGCGTTGTCGGTGGTAACTGGACCTCCCCAGAATACACANNCCTAGAGTACTGTTAGCATGCTTTCGATCGCTACGACATGGCTTGACAGCCAACGTTCCACTTACTTGATGTTGGTGGTGCTGGCGGGGTTTGCGCAAGAAGCATCATTGGGGTTGACAGTAGGGTCACGCTCAAAGTAGAGGTTGAAGGCAGCACATCCCTTGATGGCATCGCACTTGGAGGCACAAGTCTGGGTCGAGTACTCGTTCAGGACGGTGTAACCAAGGTAGCCATAAGCGTTGTTGCTAGCCTTCAGGTCGGTGAAGGTGTTGTAGTAGCCCTGAGGAGTCGAGGCAGACTTGGCGATGGTGGAAAAGTCCTGGTAGGCCAGGAAAGCCTCGGCGGTATCAGGCGAAGGGACTGGGCCTGCGCCAGTGGGCTGGGGCTTGCAAGTAGCAGCTGCGCGAGCTTTGAGGCCAGCAGAGCTGACGCCCGAGGCCTTGACCTCAGCAGCAATGGAGCTGGCGGCAGCGGAAGGCTGGTAGGAAACAGTGCTGGCTTGAGCACTAACGTCGACAACAGGGATGGTGACGGTGGGAATGGGTGCAAGGGCATCGACAGCAGCCCAGTCAATCTCCTGAGGAAGAGGGTTGGCTACAGCCAGAGCTGCAAAGGCAGCGGCAACAGTGAAGGAACGCATCCTGTCTTGTATCTTGGAACGAAAGTTTATAAGAAGATAATGGGGATAGGTGAATCGAAACAGATGCTTGAAGTGCTGATGTTCTTCCAACCCGCTGGGTCTTGGGCATATATATACTTAGACCTGGATGGTGTCCACTCTAATCACCCCATGACACTTTACCTGCAAACGAGCATCACCACATCTTCGCCGGCAATACACGAGCCGCCCAGAATCCTTACCAGAACTCAAACGAGTCGAGGCCAAGGCAAGATCGCGAGCAAGTCTGCCCGTGAGCGCTTACAGAAATAGCTGGCGAGTGGTGCTGGCATCGAGTCAAAAACAGAATGTGGAGAACATCTTGACACGAAGGAACGGAGCTATGGTGGTATAGAGAGCACGGAACCTCGCAATGCGGTTCTGATGAGGGCAGGATGTCGCGATTCTGCAGGGTGCTATCACGGTGGCTGACTCTAAATCAAGCCCAGTGGTCGAAGAGCGTGCCGTTTCGAGAGGGCCTGCCTTGGCAGCATGGCCGAACAGAACCTAGTTCTCAGGACGGTGCTTTTATGGTTTGGTACGCCTGGTTGTTCAGTGCAGAGGCGACAAGTTTCCCCCTGGTCGTGCCGTGCTGTTCCTGATGTGTGGGCGGGTGATCGTCCGGGAATGCAATAGAGAAAGAACTCTCCAAATTCTTTCGGTCACGCTCATTTCGCTTCGCGACTTCGATTGATGAAAGAATTAGTGCCATGTCGCGAAGCAGGATAGGACCTTCCGATGACGCTCCTATTCACTGATGCGCTTGCGCATTGAGTTCCTGGCCCCGCGATCCTTCAGAGAGTCGCGACCGTTTCTTGGATGGTCGTTGCGAGATCGTCACGATGCTAAGTTTGGGGAGTGGATATTGAACCAAGCGCGTGGAGAATCCTTCCTTATTCAGCATCAGGATATGCGCCGTCCAGCAAGAACAGATCGTTACCAAGTCCTTGCAATGCACAGAGCCGAGCCCAACTCGTGTGATTCCAGAAGGAGCTTTACCGTTCTATCCTACTTGAGGTCCCAGTTGAGTTGCTCCGCGACGTCGAGCCTCCAGAGAAGTCCACAAGACAGCATGTACTGGAGTAAGAAATATCAGACGCCGTACAAGGCGGAGAATACGTTCTGTATTAACTTCCTACGTATGTTTGCTTGTTGGCCTCGTGTCACGGTCGTGTCTCTTACCGCTATGCAGCAGCGCAGCGGCTACAACATCCAACTATGCTATTATGACTGCGCCGTGTCTTTGTGCGGGTCTGAAGGATCTGCCCAGGCGCAAAAGTACGACCCGTCTTTCGAGACTTTGACTCGACGAGTTCTTGTGGGCCTGCTGAACAGAAACACACCGATCTGTTCCACTCTGAAGATGTCTCAGACACAACCACAGAAGAAAACGATTGTCGCAGGGCGAGACTGCAACCGTCTCGGAAAGCGGATCGCCCTCACACTGGAACCACACGAGTCACGCTCAGGGTATACCATCAGACTTTCGACCTCGGTGGCCATGCCAGCCGACGGCCCGTCTTGGGCGCTGTCAAATCGAGTTTTCGGTTTGCGACTACAAGCGCCATGATTCTACTTCCGCGGCGGGCCCTGAAAACTCGTGTATGCGATGCACTGCCTTCGCATGCGGCCAAGCCCTTATGGCTGCTATTCTTGCTTGGGAAGATGCTAATAGTGCCATGCAAGTCAACTACTAGTCTTTGACTTTGCTTTGACGACTGCAGTATCATTGGTGCATCCATTGTTTGTTCGAGGGACCATGTGGTCAGAGAGTGGATGCTTTTCGAATAATGCAAAGCATTAATTCTCCGACCAAGAGATGGACCACACTCCGGGCCTTTTCATATTCTCGGTCAGGGCCATCATTATCATCCTAATCTGGATTGTGTCCTTGAGTGAGTGGACAGCAAATCTGTGCGGCTTTTCGACTCGAGATTGTGTGCATGAGAGCCAACTAGTAGCTTGTTCGACCCCGAAGCTGGGCGCGTAAAGGAAATCAGGATACGAGAAAGGTGAAGATACCATTAGTGATCTTGACTTCCCAAGAATAGCACGAAGATTGCTCCGCAGATTCGAGATGCAGTACCCTGATGATCATGTTCCTCGGATGATCTACCTTTTCTATTCGCAGATGATGGCCGATCATAGGGCATACGCTGATCTCGGACTACCTCAGTGATGCTCACTCAAAGGCTCGGCACCTACAACAACCACGGACTCGCCGAGACATCAAACCGACACGTCTTGCCAGACTGGGTTCACGTCTATCGAAAATTCCATCTCACTCAGCTGTCGCGAGTCACGAGACCATGCCACATGCAGTAGACCCAACTATAGATGCTGTGTCTCACCTGATATTGCGAGATATACGAAGATGAGATGCAAGAAGGCAAGGGTAGGGTGAGCAATGCAGACGGCAATTATCGTAGCTTTCTCTCGGTAGCCCCAACGATACTCGGTTGGCTGATGTCCTTCAGGTTTGGTTCCTGAGGTCAGACCATGCCACACAGCGCGGCTTGTCAAAACCTAAGAACAAACGATCAGCAGGGGTAAGGCCTTACATGCCACATGGTACATATTGCGACATCGGAAAATCTCAACCAAAACAGTACACATGGAGTTGAATACTGGATTTCTTTGGTCTTCATTAGTGATATATCAATATGCCGGTGCTTTTGTCCAACGAGCGGATGCGCTATTCTTTCCAGGGCACCTTCGCCCATGCTGACTCTTGGATAGTCCAACATTGTCGTACTCATATCCTCGTGGGGTGGTCATAAGGCCGCTACATGTTGGCCTTCTTCGGGAGTCATGCCAGAGCCTGCTCGACCTTCTCCAGGCAGTCGAAGAACTCGTTCCAGTGGTACATGATAGTAATGGCTCCGCACTCCTCAGTCAACATCTTGGCCATTCTGTCGATTTCTTCTTTCTCGTCGTAGGCGCCGACGTAGCCAATGAGAGGAATCTTCGCATTCTTGGCAGCGGTGGCTCCGGACTTGCTGTCCTCGATGGCTACACACTGGCTCGGTTCGACACCGATTTCCTTGCATGCATGAAGGTAGATGGCAGGGTCCGGCTTCGAGGTTGGCTTCTCAAGAGAAGTGGCAGCACTGTAGACGTGCTCGGCGGGGAAGAATTTGTCCTGGCCGACCTTGCGGATGGAAGCCTGGACTCTGGAGAGAGCTGACGACGAAACGACTGCAAGACCATACTTCTTGCTCTTGTATAGCTTCTCGAGAACCTCAGTGGCACCAGCGCAGGGTTCGGCCTTCTTCTCCAGTGTCTCGACAACCTTGCCGAGCTCGCGGTCGACGTATGCGTTGAACTCGTCCTCTGGGATTTCAAAGCCGTACTTCTTCTGCAGGGAGACCATCATGCCTCTGAAGTTCTGGCCAACAAACTCCTTGAGGAGCTGAGGGCCGGTGTAGCGGTCTGATTTTCCATGCTTTTCCAAGATCTCGTTGGCGAGTTCGGCACATGCCTCGAACGCAAGGTGCTCACTCAGGACAAGAGTATTGTCGCAGTCGAACAGAATCTCCTTGATCTTTTGTTCCTGTGTTAGCCATCGGAGCCATGAGATGATACCGATCCACAGGATGAGGTAGCCGAGGAGCTGCTCGAAGCTGAGGAGTTGCTGGAAGCTGGGGAGCTGCTCGAAGCTGAAACGTACCGGTGCCATTGCTGATGTGTATGGAATGGTTGGTGAGAAGGAATAAGGTATAAGCTGCAACTATAGCGGTTTATATATACGGAACGAAAGGAAGAAAGTTTCGAAGCGATGCGTTGTGCAAGTATTAACAAAGCAGCGTCTTGTTGATTCGAGTCGCACATCCCCTCACCCACTAACTGATCGACGTCACCTTCCCCTCCAACCAACCCGGCACGTCCGCGCTGGCGCCAAGCTTGTCACATCCACGATGCATACCACAGTCCACTCAACAATTTGTTCATTGTGATCATAAAAGCAAGCTCTTTGCCAGCCATGCTCAGAACCTTGCAGCAACGCAACAGAACAAACCATCAAGCGCTTGCAAGCCAGCCGCTTTCCTGCTGCTGTGTCTCCACGCGATCTCAAGGACAGACAGGCAGGAGCGGGGCAAATATCGCTTCAATCTAACTATCGGTTATGATGACGATTGCGCCTGCCGTCCAGGGTAATTCCTGCCTGAATGCAAAGAATGGTCTTGAGAGATTTTTTATTCCTGGGGCTTGCGGTCGCCGAACAATTTCACGAGCACCACCTCGAGCTTCTTGATTCCTGAATTTCGCTGCTACACTGCCCCTTCCGTTCGACGGAAGATTTGATCTCAATTGTGACACTGCAGCACTGAGGAGAATACAAGTCACTTGGCAAAGAAAAGCGTGGCTTGGTGGCACGAACACTGCAGCTGCTGGATACACAACATGATATTGAGAGATGTTCTCTCTGAATACGGACGTAGAGGCGTCTGTGAACATCCAGACACAGACTCTTCCCTGCTCTAACACCTGTTATTCAGCACTTTCTTCTGTCTTATCAGCGCGGTCCGCCTCTTGCATACCTCGCTACCATCTGGTTCATCAACGTATGCAGAATCTACTGATGTACACCTAGGTACGAAACTGAAGCGCCGTTCCAATTCCACAGGAGCGTTCCTTCACGTGGCTATCAGAAGGCAACACTGCCTTGGGGTAGGGACTGTCATCCAATAAGAGCCAGCTCCGTGTTTCTCAAGCCCAAAGGGTCCTGCTTTCGACTTCTCCTTGATCTCAACTGTCAGGAGTAGCGTCCTCTCGTTTCTTCCTTTTTCGGTGTTCAGTACATTTTTCGGGGAATCACTGTAGACTGAGCTTTATTATCCCAGCCCTTGTTCCTGTCTGCAACGATCAATTCCCTGCCAGAAGCGTAGCTGTCGCTCGAGAAATTCTTGGATGCCTCTCATTTGCACAAAATTTTTCGATGCCTCGTTGCCTTCACACGTCGCTTTTTCCCCTAGATTTGACATTGCGGTAGGCGGCCTATTCTCTGCCAACCTCTCAGCAGGTAGTGAATGGATCACCAGGTCTCATATCCGGTGCAGACGAGCGACCTTGTCCCGTACAGACATATTGTACCATATATCAAAGCTTCGGTTGCCTGTCTCTCCATCGGCTTCGTCTTCGAACCACATAGAGAGCTCATTGGTGCGTAGTGTCACCTGCAGCTTGCATGGTCATTTGCAGGTACCCATCCTCCCACGATCGTGCTGCTTCCCTTCTACAAGCTTCCTCTTTTGAAGACTGCACTTATTCGGAATGATAGAGTACCAACCTATCATGGCGGTATACGCAATCCTTGTTCCGGAGCACAATACTGCGCACTGGTTATGAAATTGGGTCGGGTGTCAAGCAACAGACTGAAATGCTGATGAAGTACGACATACGGGTAAGTGCAGCTTGTGATAGAGAGGACTAACCGTCAACTTAGGCATGTGAGTGCTGTTGACCGTTAATCAGTCAGGATACTGCAGACTTGCAGATACAAATCCTGGAACATGTCATACATCAAGGCAAACCTGGTCAAAAGCGTCAAGCAAAACATATCACTAACACACACGTCACATTGCCATAAAAATTTACCTGATGCTTCAGAATATCGCAGTATGCTACAGTCAGCTAATAGTTCATGAGAGGAACAAGCGAATGGCGTAGAGTACTGGAGAATCATGGCCAGGGTCGCCAGAATAACATGCAGCTTGTGGCTTCAGGACATTTGTCTTGGCTCTTTGCATGGACGCGCGTGTCGTGGCAAGAACCCGAGCACAAAACATATCGTAGCACATCATGAAGAGGGCTTGTTGTTGGCAGCAGATGGAGTTGAATTGGAAGCCATGACGATGCGAGGCCTCGGGCCGAAGACGGCAAAAGGTTGTTGCCATGGTTTCTAAAAACAGCACGGCCCCAAGACGTATCCCCACCGTATTGCACAGTTACAGAGGCGGCGCATCACCTTGATAAACAGAAGTTCATATCGATTGGCGAATCGCATGGCGCAGCGGATTGAGAGCCATACAAGAGAGGAAGAGAAGTTGGAACAAATGACACATCTTGCGTCAAGGTGTGTCCGATCTTACCGTGAAGAAGGATTGCTTAGTGAGGCTGCGGTAAGAAGGACGCGTTTCAGGGTTGGCGCATGTTTGGAAGAGGAGAGGGGATGACTTCAGCTGCATTTGCTTGCTGTAGCAACGGCTCTTGATCTAGTGCCGCTTTTGCCAATCTCTTTTCCAAAACCTAGAATATTTCCTATAAGTCTTTTGTTTGACTCGATACCTACCTTGTCTGTTATACGACGACTGTCAGGTGCTTCGAAAGTTGTCGCTGTCGCAAAGCGCAAACGCCTCGAGTAAACAAACTCCACATCAGCCACGATACATACGACTCCCCACCTCCGGTTTTTGACAGGCGGATCTTTGAGGCACTCCTGAAACAGCGCAAACAGCAAGAGAAGGAGAGAAAGAAAGTGTTTGCGAATATCGAGTGAAATCGCGCATACGGGATATTGCAGAAAGTGTCGCAGACATGTCGTACAACCGTCTTGGCCGTAAGTGCAACACCCAGCCTCCGGAGAGAAGAGTCGACAGGAGTGAAAGAGTATGGGAGATGGCAAGAGTTCCTGGGAGCGTGAAGGCTGGAAGTGGGCTGGCTGGCAACATTCCTCGGACGCTCCGTGTTGGGCACGCGTTTCATAGACCACCTGAAGTTGGAGCATCGCTGACCGGGCCATCTTGTCGCAGCATACGGCCGCCACTCGCCTGACGAAGACGAACATTACGGCGCCCAGTCGCAAAACCCATTCATGGATCCTCGCGCCGGCAGATCACCGTCACCAGGACACCCTTTAGAGTCGTACGCCTTGCACGACAATCCCTACACGCACGACGAGCCGCTACACATGCCCATGGGTCCTGGTCCTCGTCCAGGCGCCTCGCCTATGCCTGGCACGCCCTCAGACAGACTCCAGGCTCAGCCCACCGTGAGCTGATTCACAAATCTCGTACCTATACGCCTTATTGACCACGCATCACAGTTCTCAGTAGAGCACGTTCCCGGCTACGGCCACAGCGACAGCTACGATTCGCATCACTACCAGACAAGTCCTGTCTATCCACCTGGCGACTATGCCCTCAACCCTGAAGACCACCACGACGCATACCACAATGAGCCCTACCAGCCTGCTATTACTCCCATGGAAGAAGTCTACGGCCCTCCCTCTGACGGCCAACATCCCCATTACTGGCAGGATGAGGTCGACACACGCCCTATTTTGCAACAAGACTCTGCCTACGGGCCTGACCCTCACAACGTGCCTACTCCTATGGCAGAAGAGCAGATGGAAATGAACGCAGATCAACCACAATCAGGAGGTGGACTTCGTAGATGGAAGACAGTCAAGGAAGTGCAGCTATTCAACGGCAACCTGGTCCTCGACTGTCCTATACCTCCAAGACTCCTGAACCAGATTCAGCACGCCCAGCCTCCGGAGCGTGACGAATTTACACACATGCGCTACTCGGCCGCCACCTGCGATCCTTCTGAATTCTACTCGGAGCGCTTCACATTGCGCCAGAAACTCTTCGCCAAACCCAGACATACCGAACTGTTCATCGTCATCACCATGTACAACGAGGAGGATGAGCTGTTTGCCCGTACCATGATTGGTGTCATCAAGAACATCGAATACATGAACTCGCGAAACAGCAGCAAGACTTGGGGAAAAGAGGCCTGGAAGAAGATTGTCGTTTGCGTTGTCAGCGATGGTCGTGCGAAGATCAATCCTCGTACCAGAGCTGTCCTCGCAGGTCTGGGTGTTTACCAGGATGGCATTGCCAAGCAGCAGGTCAACGGCAAAGATGTCACTGCTCACATCTACGAGTACACCACTCAAATGACACTCGAACTCAAGAAAGGTGTGGTCTCAGTTAAGAAAGGAAACACACCCGTTCAGATGCTCTTCTGTCTGAAGGAGAAGAACCAGAAGAAGATCAACTCTCATAGATGGTTCTTCCAGGCCTTTGGTGAGGTTCTTGATCCCAACATCTGTGTTTTGATCGATGCCGGTACAAAGCCAGGAAAGGACTCTATCTACAAGCTGTGGAAAGCCTTTGACCTTGAACCTATGTGCGCCGGTGCTTGTGGTGAGATCAAGGCCATGCTGGACCATGGTAAAACTCTCATCAATCCCCTGGTCGCTGCGCAGAACTTTGAGTACAAGATGAGCAACATCCTCGACAAGCCTCTGGAATCTGCCTTCGGATTCATCAGCGTCCTTCCTGGTGCTTTCTCTGCTTACAGATTCATGGCTCTTCAGAACGACAAGACCGGCCAAGGTCCCCTCGAAAAGTACTTTGCTGGTGAGAAGATGCACGGCGCCAATGCTGGTATCTTCACTGCGAACATGTATCTCGCCGAAGATCGTATCCTCTGTTTCGAACTGGTGTCAAAACGCAACTGCTCCTGGATCTTGCAATACGTCAAGTCGGCCACTGGCGAGACTGATGTACCTACTGAGATGGCCGATTTTATCCTGCAAAGAAGACGTTGGCTGAACGGCAGTTTCTTCGCCGCTGTCTACGCTCTTGCTCATTTCCATCAGATCTTCCGTAGCAACCACTCTGTTGGTCGCAACTTCATGTTCATGGTCGAGTTCTTCTACCAAGGTATCAGCATGCTCTTCGCTTGGTTTGCTATTGTAAGTTCTTTGATTTCTCTACAGCCTCTTCAGCGACAACTACTAATACCATGCTACAGNGGCAACTTCTTCCTCGTCTTCCGCATTCTCACAGGTTCGCTCTCGGATTCAAGTCTCGACTTTCCACCAGGAAAAGTGCTGGGTGTACTTTTCGAATGGATCTACCTTGCTGTATTGATCACTTGTTTCGTTCTTGCTCTCGGTAATCGCCCGCAAGGCTCGAATAAGTTCTACATGACCCAGGTCTACTTCTGGGCAATTCTCATGGCGCAAGTCCACCTCCATACAGCTTCGAGATGCTTTGACTAACACTGCTCCAGATATCTTATGTTTGCGACTGTGTTCATCACTGTCAAGTCTGTACAGGCACAACTCAAAGAGCACGACCACTTCACGTTTAGCATGCTGTTCACCAACTCGCTGTTCTTGACGCTCATCGTATCGATGGCCAGTACATACGTCTTGTACTTTGTCGCCTCCTTCATGTTCTTGGATCCTTGGCATATGTTCACGTCGTTCTTGCAGTACCTCCTCCTCACGCCGACCTACATCAACATCCTCAACGTCTACGCCTTCTGCAACACTCACGACATTACTTGGGGTACCAAAGGAGACGACAAGCCAGAAAAACTGCCCTCTGCCGTCACGAAGCCAGGTGGCAAAGTCGACGTGACCATTCCAAGCGACGACCATGATCTCAACAGCCAGTACGAAGAAGAACTCCGCGTCTTTTCTACCAAGTGGACACCTCCTGTCAAGACTGCTTCTGCAGCTGAGAAGCACGAGGACTATTACAAGGGATTCAGAAGTGCCGTCGTTTTGGCTTGGATGTTCTGCAACCTTGCACTCGCTGCAGTCGTTCTCAACACGGGTGGCCTCAACCGTGTCTCGGTGGGTGTTCAAGACGACAACCAGCGCAGCACCATCTACATGAGTGTTGTGCTCTGGAGTGTTGCCGTTCTCAGTGCTTTCAGATTCATCGGAGCCTGCTGGTTCTTGGTTGTTAGACTCATCAGGGGTGTTTAGATGCTGTTCATGACCTCTCTCACGGACTTATGACTTGGGCTTTGATATCATGGTTATGGTTGATGATGTACTGTAGCGAGGCGTTCTCTCAGGCTCTCTCGGTCTTAAATGATTCTCTCTTTCACCTGCTGGTCTCCCTTTCCTCGTGCTACTATCACAGCCATGCTCTGACGGTGATGCAAAATGACGAACTGCACAAGAATCTTGAACGAGGCAAAGTTGATGGAGGATGGCTATCAACGCCAGCAAAGCCATGGGCTCTATATCGCCATGGCTACTCAACATCGGTATCCGTGCTTCCTTTCCTTGTCCCCTCCGGCATGCTGACTGGAAGTCACATTGCAGGGTTAGTTCCACGCATGAACAAAGCAGAATTAGCTGGTGACTCTCAAGATCAAATGACTGGATATTCAACTCAAGGATAGCAATGTAGACTGAGTGCCAGCGAAAGTAAATGCTGAACGATCATCAATTTATGGAGATTCGTTGTTGTAGATGTGTACGATGTAAACGGGCAGGCACATGTTTGCCTCGATATAGCAAGCAAGATCAAGCAAAAGCTCCTTCCACATCAGTCTGGAATAAGAATGCATCCATGACAGATAGTCTATTGATTACTGTCCTGATCCGTTGAGCACTTCTTGATGCACCCTCCTTTTACTCGAGCGCGCGTCAATTCGAACTTTCCGTTTCTGCCCCCTGCCCTCTGCCCTCTGTCCTCTGTCCTCTGACCTCGCTACTCCGGCGCCTTCCTCACTGCTCGTCGTCGCCCCTCAAAACAGAGAAGTGAAAGCGCGCTGCGGAACTCCTCCACCCTCTTACTTAAGCTCCCTTCTCTTCCTGCCAACCTTTCCACCCTTCCTCCAGCCAACCCTTCCTCCAGCCAACCCTCCCACCTTTCTTCCACTCCATCCAGGCTTCCAACCCTCCATCCTTCCATCCACTCCATCGCACTTCAAGCTCTTGACGTGCGTTCCGTCTCTCTTGCTCAGTCCCCCTTCAACAACAACTGCTGGTCAAGATGACTGACTGGGATAATGCCACTCGTAAGTAAACAAACACATTGCGCGCTACTGACTGCGCACTCGCACTGCGCACTCACACTTACCTTCGCACTCACCCTTCGTGGTTCACTCTTCGTCGTTCTTCACTCGCCTTTCATCAACGATCACTTGTGTCGTTCCTTCCATCATCATCGCACCTTGCCTTCTTCATCTTACCTCTTCTCATCCGTCTTACTTCTTCTCATCCATCACCACTTCCATCCATCAACATCTCCATCCATCAACACTCTCATCCACATCCAAGGCACATCACTGACACCATGTCAGCCTCCACTTGGGACGAGCCCGCTCCTGTTGACACCACCGGTTGGGTTGACAGCACTGCCGCTGCTACCGCTGACACTGGTTACTCCATGGACCCTGAGGCGATCTCTAAGCACGATGGTGCTCCTGGTGACGACAGCTGCCGCAAGTAAGTCATGAACCCGTCCACTTTCCATTTTTCCACTACTAACACACCATTGCAGCTGCCACCAGGAGGGTCACTTCTCTCGTGACTGCCCTGAACCTCGTCAGATGACTGGCGAGTGCTTCAACTGTGGCGAGACTGGATACAACAAGGCAGACTGCACCAACCCCAAAGTCGAACGTTCTTTCACTGGAACCTGCCGTACTTGCGGTGCTGAAGGACACCGCTCTTCTGGGTGTGCTGACGCCGTCTGCAAGAAGTGTTCTGGCAGTGGCCACACCGCCGCCGCTTGCACTGAGAAGTATGATGTCTACCCCAAGGATCTTCCATCCACCGATGATGCTGACAAGGCCTGGGAGAACCTGCTCGCCGCCGACGCCACTGGCGACGTTGACGACTTCTTTCAGGCCTTCTGGATTTACTGCAAGGTTGCCCCTGAGCTTACTCTCGTCCAGCTCGAGGAGTGCTTCCGTGAGACTGATTTCAAGTACTACCTCATTGCCAAGGAGCAGACCGTGCCTTCCCCGTCCATACCAATGTCGACCTCCAGGGCAACGCCGACAAGAAGTTTCAAGTCTCCTTCCAGAAGACTTCCAAACCTCGTCGTGCCATCCTGGCTGAGGGTTGGCCCAAGACTCCCGAAGAGAACCTCGAACGTCTACACGATGCTGGCTTCTCCAGGGACAACCTGAAGCCGTACTGCACCAACTGCGAGCAGTCTGGCCACTCGATGAAGACCTGTCCTGAGGAGAAGCAGGTCGTTGAAAAGCCCAAGATTACTTGCTCCAACTGCAGCACCGACGGCCACTATATCCGCGACTGCCCCGAGCCTCGCGCCGTCCGTGGCGGCGGTGGAGATGTTGAGTGCAAGTTCTGTGGCGAGCAGGGCCACTTTGTCAAGGATTGTCCTACCAAGGCAAGTCATCATCTTGCTGTCATTTAATTATTACTAACATGTTACAGCCTGCCGAGAAGTGCCGTAACTGTCAGGAGGAGGGACACCGTGCCTCCGACTGCACCAACGAGCGTGTCATCATCTGTCGCAACTGTAACGTTGCTGGCCACACCGGTCGTGACTGCCCTGAGCCCACAAACATGGTAACATGTCTTTGTTGCAACTCTTCTGAATCACGCTGACATACATAGGACAACGTTACTTGCCGCAACTGCGACAAGACCGGCCACTTCTCGAAGGAGTGCCCTGAGCCAAAGAACTGGTCCAAGGTTCAGTGCCGCTTGTGCAACGAGATGGGCCATGGCGCCAGTCGTTGCCCCAACCCCACTGGTGGCGATGCATCCACTGCTGGTGAGGACTACACTGCTAGTGCTGGTCCCGCTGTTGATGTCACCGCTGAGGGTGACTGGATGGCAGACCCTGCTGCCATTGGTGCTGGGCCCGGTGCCGAGTGGAACAACTCGGCTACTGCTGAGGTTAGTGCCTGGTAAAGGATCACGCGAAGTGACTCGCCTGATCTCTCTTCCATCTCGACTGCTAATGGCTTGGCGAGGGAGGAGGCCTACAGCGTGAGCTGTTACATCTGCTGAGGAGGACGCATGACAAGGTCTATAGCTTCCGTTATCGAAAGTATCCTCATCAATTGCTCACCCTTTCTGTGATTGAATGTGCTCTCCAGATTGCAACAAGCAAACCTGGCGTTAGTTGATTAAAGTAATAGCACGCACCAAGCTCAAAGATATTCCAGAAAACTTCGACGGCTTACAGGTGCTTCGTTGGCGACACCTCGACCTCAAACACTGACTGACTCTGTAGTTTAGGGCCTTCCGCACGTGTCTGCATGATCCGGATCGTCAGTGACAACCACGGTATTTGTTTTCTTCTAGACATGTTCGCCGAGCTCGAATGTCTGTAAGCCTCCTGAAAATCGGCGTTCTGTGGTACTCCGCTAATGAGATTCGATGAGCTCGACTGCGAGTACCTTTGTGTCACAAGCACTCAAGATTCAAAACAACACGAATTTTGACTTCGTAAGTACACACCGGCTGTCTCCATCTGGAAATCCGCACATGGTCTTCTTCTTCGTCTCTCATGAGTTCCAACTGCTCTACCGCTTTACAAGCCGGCTGTCGCCATCGCAGGGCCCCGAAACACATAGCTGTCGGAACAGTCCCTGCAGCCAGGCATGCGTTTCTTTCACTGTCAGTTCGTCACGCAGTTCCATGCGATGCCGGTGACCGCCCCGATCTGCCACAATAATGCCATGACAACACCACAAGAAGACGTCCTACCAGGGCTTCCACGGCAAAATGCACCGGCAAAGTGAGTCAGAGTGATGCGGAGCGCCCGCAGTCCTCTCACGCCACTTATTCAGACCGAGCATTTGACCGCGGTGTGACCGGCCGTCGGCAGCGGCCGCCCCGTATCGCAGCATCCGTCTGACTGGCGGAGGTTGCTGGAGAAGGGAGCGGTAGAGGCATCACGAAGAAAGACCGGGGCGGTACAGTCGGGGATGACCCACTCGGGGTCACTCTGCTCCTACGGCTGTGGAGTTGACCTCCAGGATATGAGACAGGAATCGTGAGGCATCATTCAATCGACGGCCACCCACGTCAGCGTGGCTTTCGTGGTCGTGAAATTAGAGTCACCGTCCCTTACGCTAGTTGGAAACTTGAATCGCTCAAACGACGATATCAATCAACAACAAGATATCCTGATCGAGAGCGAATCGCTGTACTTTTTCCTGCTCCGGAGACTGTGCAGAGAATGCAGCAAGGTAGGTGCATGGTCTTGCAGCTCATCAATTGCTTCTCCGGCGTCTGCAGCACAAGAAACAGGTGCCCAGACACAAAACTCAAAGAGGTAACCTCTAACGCCCACACAACCTCCGCGTGGGGAGAAAAGCCACCCCGTTCATCGGGACGATCTTCTGGCGCCGGACCTACCACATTGGGCATTCCCGTGGGTCCAACCTGGAGATAATGTGGGAAGTGGCCGGCAGCGTGCGTCACTCCGTCTTTGCAAAGACCAATTTGCAGACGTTGTCTGTAGGCACGGATAGCGGATAGGTTTGTACAGTAGAGTTTGTATCTCATGGAGAGGCAGAGTGGAGGAGATGGAGTCGCCAAGTGGGATAGGGCTCAAACTCTCTGATACTACACTGTATTGACGGCGGACATATATTCCTACTGACCGCGCTCTTGTTTGGCAGATCTCATTGCCTCTTTTTTTCCTCCTCTTGTTCGACCTTACTCTCATCGAACATCCATCAGCATGTTCGGCAANAAGTACTATGGCCTCACGGGCACCAAACTGAATATCGCAGTCGGTATCATTGCCGGTCTCGATTTCCTGCTGTTTGGTTACGATCAAGGCATGCAGCGTTCCTTGAACGATGGCATGAATGTTTTGCTAATCAAGTATCANGGTGTTATGGGTGGTCTGCTTACATTGAAGTCCTTCAACCGTACCTTCCCTGAAATCGACGTCGATAATCCTCCTCGTGGCGTATCCGCTTCATACACCTCTACCATCCAAGGTATCTCGGTCGCCTCCTACAACTTGGGATGCTTTGTTGGTGCGTTAGCTACAATCTGGATTGGTGACTGGCTCGGTCGTCGCAAGACCATCTTCTTGGGATCCGCTATTATGGTCATTGGTGCTACACTACAAACATCAGCTTTTGCTCTGGCACATTTGATCGTCGGAAGAGTTATTACTGGTATTGGAAACGGCATGAACACTTCTACTGTGCCATCATGGCAGAGTGAATGTTCGAAATCGCATCGTCGTGGTCAGATGGTTATGATTGAGGGCGCCCTCATCACCGGAGGTGAGAAGCATACATATGTTGAAGCTGGAAATCTGTACTGATGAACTACCNNAGGTGTTATGATGTCGTACTGGATCGATTTCGGCTTCTCCTACCTCGAACCCTCGACAGTCTCCTGGCGCTTCCCCATCGCTCTCCAGATCTTGTTCGCTCTTATTATCCTCATGTTTGTCATGGGTCTGCCAGAATCGCCCAGATGGTTGATTATGAAGGGTCATGAAGATGAAGCCATCAACGTTTTGTGTGCGCTGAACGACAAGGACTCTGAAGACCCCTACATCGTCTCTGAGTTTGCCGCCATCAAGGACTCTGCTCTGGTCATGCAACAAGGTGGTTTCAGAGATTTGTTTACCATGGACGAGGACCGCAATTTCCACCGTGTCGTTTTGGCCTACGTCAACCAGATGTTCCAACAGATCTCCGGTATCAACCTTATCACCTACTACGCCGCCAACATCTACAGGAACAGCATTGGACTCTCGGACTTCCTCTCACGTATCCTGGCAGCTGCCAACGGAACAGAGTATTTTGCCGCTTCCTGGATCGCCGTCTTCACTATTGAGAAGTTTGGACGTCGTCAACTCATGTTGTTCGGTGCTGCAGGTCAGGCTGCCTCCATGGCTGTTCTTGCAGGCACAACTTCGAGGACCTCATCCGCCACTGGTATCACTGCTGCCGTCTTCCTCTTCGTCTTCAACACTTTCTTCGCCATCGGTTGGTTGGGAATGACCTGGTTGTACCCAGCTGAAATTGTTCCTCTCCGCATCAGAGCCCCTGCTAATGCTTTGGCAACCTCTGCTAACTGGATTTTCAANCTTGTAAGCTCAATTTTAGTTTTGCCATCATGCAGTCGTGTTAACTTTCTCTCTAGCATGGTCGTCATGATTACTCCTGTTGCGTTCGAAACCATTGGATACCAAACTTACATCATCTTCGCCGCCATCAACGCCTTCATCGTCCCCTGCGTGTACTTCTTCTATCCTGGTAAGTTGTTCCTTACATCTGAGTGTGTATGCTCGTACTTACAAAATCCACANGAAACTCGCCTCCGCTCGCTTGAAGAAATGGATGAGATCTTCCGCAACTCAACTTCTATCTTCAACGTCGTCAAGGTTGCTCGTGATACACCCAATCGCTACGGCAAGTCAGGTGAACTTCTCATCAACTACCTCGACACCGAAGCCGCAGCAGGCGCCACCAGACGTCGCAGCTCGCTGGTCGAGCCCAAGTACGGCAAGACTGGTGGTAAGGGTGATGGCGAGCAGGTGGAGAGATTGGAGAACGGATACGGTTCCAGCTCTGCCGGATCGCAAAACGAGAAGGTCTAGATGGAGGGTCATGGGTGACGACACTTTTCATTATCTAATAGGAGGGCCAAGGGCATCCTTTTTCTTTTCATGTCTTTAGATACCACTTTTTGTTTTGTTTCTGGCTCACGAGCCAGACTTTGCGATACAGAGACAATCATACATTTTGCCTCTTTCATTACTATCACTGCTGTTTGTTATTCTTCAATCTCCAGACACAATTGTTGAGGCTTGAGCTACATAACATAACAAGGCTTGGTCAAGCACAGGAAATGGAACAGCAGTGTCAACTATGGTGGTATACATCAGGCTATACCGATGGCTACAGTGAAATCAATCCCGTAACGCAAGATCAATAGTTGTTCTTACAATGAACCCTGAACGAGTACCACCTGCAGTACTGTTAGACATGTTGCAATCAAAAGTATTCATCGACACTTACTGAGCATCACCAGAAGTCAAACCCGCCTGGCCACGATTACACTGTGTAGTCGTCGAGCTATACGACGAAGAGCAATCAGTAGACCCATAAGCGGTAAAACTGTTGCAATTGTCTCCGCTCGTAATGCCATAGAGATGCTTGATGCCTCGGCGGCTGCCCGAGCATACGTCCTTGAGGCAACCGTTGACGCTGTCGACGTTCAATGGTGTTTCGGTGCTTCCGTCTTCGCAGGTGGCTGCGAATGCTGCATTGCAGGGTGAAGCGAGCACCGATGTTGTGGACAGGGCCAGGAGGCTGAGGGCGATGGTGATTATGTTGGAGTGCATGTTGAAGGTGAGGTGGAGAAATGGGCAGATCTGTTCGAAGCAAGGAAGGCAGTTGGATCAAGAGGATGAGTATGGCACTGGAAGGGAATCCATGGTTTTATATCTGGTCCTTTGGTGCAAACACACTCTCAGTCAAACCAATGCTCATGCCTTTTCTGTGTCAGATCGACTGGACGCGTCGTCAAGCTCCTGGACGAAGAGTGTCAACGACTGGTATAGCACCCGGAAATAGTTTGGCTTTAACAGTATTTTCTAGTCTGAAAACCGAAGGATTGTGCATGTTGCTTGAGAATGAGATGGCATGTTTTAGCTTTCGAATGCCGTTGACTTCCTGTGAATCCTTCGAACACCATGCCGCGACATTTCCGTGGAGTTGTGCTCCCGTCTTATCACCTGTCATCGTGAAGATACACTGTGCAAGAGTCCTTTGCGAAGAAAGTGTACTTGGAAGACTCGAGCTCGTGGGTATTCTGTACTTGTTATGAATCCCAAGTTGGTGGAATGTATGGGACCTTGAGCTTCTCATAAGAGCCGCATTTCCAAAGAACGAGATGTTATGAGCCGTAATATTGTGTTGATCTCTTTCCTACTAGCTGCTTTCTGCTACTAAGCTTTAACAAATAAAGCTTACCTGACCTTCTTGGTGCCCACGATAGGCTATACCAATCTGAGATTCGAACGTGATCAAGTCACATCATATATCCGACAGGTAAGAATTAGTTCCGATTTGCATGGTATCCCCGTACCGCGCAGAAATCACAGAACAATATCAGGAATCTCCTAGCGGGCAATGTATCTTGAGTTCTTCGAGGTATCTTTGCCTGGCAAACAGGACGACATTTGCTAAGAAGTAGTCATTTCACGGACTGTCTCTCCTTCAGGAAATCAATTCGGATTCAATTATGCAATGCTGTAGAGCACACATCACTCTTGGTCGAGAGAGTAGACTTCAGCAGACCGAAAGAAGGGCACGCTTGAAGACAGGCGGCCAGGATGAGACGGTGTTGCAAGTTTCAAGATGTGTGAAGCGTTCCAAGTCGCGGAAGTCTGAGGAAGAAGACGGAGGAAACAGCTCGGTGTTGCCAAGGCCGGAGCGTGTGTGAAGATGATGAGATGTCGGGAAACCACTTTTGCGTCACTGACGGCTGCTCTTTTTTGTCAACCTCGCCTTTGCCTGTCGCTGTTGTTTTTCTTCAGCTTGTAATACTACTCAGCGCATAGCCACATACACACACCATGGCCTCGACAATCCCCTCTGCCCAGGCCGCCTCGCAGCCCAGCTTCGTCAAGCTCGAACCGTCATCGTCATTCTACGATCGCATCACAACCTGGGCCTCGGAGCACAAGGCTGCTGTCTACACCATTGCCGGTATCACATTGGTTGCCACCGGTGCCGGAATCTACTACTACACATCCGACTCGGCTCCCACGCCGCAAGACCTCGAGGCTGCCGCCGAGAAGAAGAAGGCTCGCAAGGAGAACAAGAAGGCCAAGAAGAACGCACAGAGAGAGCAAAAGTCTCCCTCACCCGAGTCAAAGCCCCAGGGTGTGTATCGGTACACCTGCGCCATGCGTGCCCCTTGCTAACCCTCTCGACCAGAAAAGCCCCAAGCGGCAACAGTACAGAGCGAGGATGACTTGCCCGAAGTGACAGAGTCCTCCGTCGCAACCCTCTCAGACGAAACCAAGAAGGACTATGCCGCCAAGCTCAAGGCTGCCGGAAACAAGGCCTACGGATCAAAGGACTACAACCGCGCAATCGACCTGTACGGACAGGCCCTGCTGTGCAAGGCCGACCCCGTCTTCTACTCGAACCGTGCCGCATGCTGGAACGCCATGTCCAACTGGGAGCGCGTTATTGAGGACACAACAGCCGCTATCAGCCTCGACCCCGAATACGTCAAGGCCCTTAACCGCCGCGCACACGCCTACGAGGAGACAAACAAGAACAGCGAGGCTCTTCTCGATTACACTGCCAGCTGCATCATCGACGCTTTCCGTAACACGCAAGCCGCCGAGGCAGTTGAGCGCCTGCTTAGAAAGGTGGCCGAGGAGAAGGCCAAGGCCATTATGGAGAAGAAGCAGCGCCGTCTGCCCAGCGCCACCTTCATTACCAACTACTTGCAGAGCTTCCGCGACAGACAGCTCTCTGACTCCATCTCCGAGGGTGCCGAGCTGGCCGAGAACAGCGGAAAGTGGTGGTTGCGCAAGGGTCTGTTGGCAATGGACAAGAAGACGGGCGAGGGCTACAACGAGGCCGCCGAGGCTTACGAGAAGGCCATTGAGGCTGGCGACCTCGGTGAGAACGAGGCTTTCGCATACAACATGCGCGGTACCTTCAAGTACCTGCGCGGCGAGACTGACGCCATTGATGATCTGAACAAGAGCATCGAGCTGGACGCTACCTTGACCCAGAGCTACGTCAAGCGCGCTAGCATGCACCTCGAGGCCGGCCGTCGCGAAGAGGCAGCAAGGGACTTCGAGGACGCAGTCGCCCAGAACGACAAGGACCCCGACGTTTACTACCATCGCGCACAGCTCAACTTCATCCTCGGTGACTTCCCTGAGGCAGCTAAGGACTACCAGAAGTCGATTGATCTTGACCCTGGCTTCATCTTCTCTCACATTCAGCTTGGTGTCACCCAGTACAAGATGGGCAGTGTTGCTTCATCCATGGCCACTTTCCGCCGCTGCATGAAGAACTTTGAGAAGGTGCCCGATGTCTACAACTACTACGGTGAGCTGTTGCTCGACCAGCAAAAGTTCCAGGAGGCCATCGAGAAGTTCGAGACTGCCGTCCAGATGGAGCAGAAGGAGCGCGTCACTGGCATGAACGTCCTTCCCTTGATTAACAAGGCTTTGGCTCTCTTCCAATGGAAGCAAGACTTCACAGCCGCTCAGGAACTGTGTGAGAAGGCTTTGATCAGTAAGTCATATTCATGTCTCATTCATTCTGCAATCAAAAGCGCTAACCAAATCTTCCANGTCGACCCCGAGTGCGACATTGCCGTTGCCACCATGGCCCAGCTCCTTCTCCAGCAAGGTAAGGTCCCTGAGGCCCTTGAGTACTTTGAGAAGGCCGCCGAGCTCTCACGTACCGAGGCCGAGATCGTCAATGCCCTTTCATACGCCGAGGCCACTCGCACACAGCTCGAAGTCCAGGAGAAGTACCCCCAGCTCGCCAGCAGATTGCAGGGCATGCCTACTTCGGCCGCCATGCGATAGAGGATTATCAGAAGTCAAAGCATTGAAAAAGAATCGACATGAAGGATAATTTGATCGAGGATGAACACACGAATGAAGAAGGAATCTCAGAAAATTGGAGCTGAGGGTTCTCGAGCTGTAATTTGTTCAGCAAAAGGAGGAGCGATGCGTGCGCAAAGGTGTTACTATTAGTTTGTTGCCACACTTTTTCGATACTCTTCTCTTCGCCACCACTATGTACATTATATTCCATTGCTTTACTCTTATCGTTGCTGAGCTCCTTCCAATCTACTCGTTCATTGGTGTGTCATGGAGTTATGAGCTAATAGCACCATTTGTTCACATTGTGAAGCATCGGAAAAGAAAAGGAGGAAAATAGATATAATACTGCTGTAGTCCTCACCCTGTCTTCAATATTCATCTGCTTCCTTTACATGCAATACCGCCTGTATATCGGTTGCTGTATACAGAGAAGTCTGCACGAGTACGTTTCCAGTGTCCACTGCTCGACTAGACGAAGCCGAAGGCGATGGTTGGTCTCCAGCTGATTCTTGATATCCTTCAGCCAATGCTGCTCATAAATTCCTGAGCACATTTATCTCAACCACTTTCCACAGAACGTAAAACCTCCCACTCTTAGCGTGAGCAAGGCACAAGCGAGCAGAGTCCAATCAGCCTTCAAGGTCGTGTCTTTACCCCGAAATGCTCCAGGTACCTTGTACATACAGGAACCGGTTGTCTGCTCAGGCCGGCGGGCTTGCCCAGCGTCTCAGCGTGAAAGCAAAACACCCCGGCTTTCGATCTCTTGACTTCTTGGTGCCCAGGCCGTTTGGTTTCACGCTCCCTTGACACATTCGCGTGTTGGTGGTACTCTGTTGCTTCGTCTCACAGTGAAGTGTTCGATTACCAAAGCGGCTTCGGAGTTTGGTCGTCGTCAACAGCCTCGCAGCGACGTAATCTCAGGTCGCAAGAATTACCGAACAAGCGCCTCATTGTGTTGGATGGGCTTTAGATTGCGAGACCGGCAAAGTCGGCCAGACGAGCCCCCAAGGGAACCAAGAAGCGCGGGGCATTCTTTCTCAACGCCCGCGTCCACACAACTTCTCTCAAAACCTTGCCATTTCCTCGACCTGAGACTCCGGCGTTCCTCCCTCGACTCGACTCCTCTCTTTCATCACTCGCTCGAGTCTGTCGATTCTTCCGCGCGCTCTCCCGTGTCATGGCCCTCGACCACTGTTGATACCCCAGCTCCCCTTAAACTTCTGGACATCCCACAAATTCGCCCCGCCTTCACTTTCGCATTACGAGTACAAACCATAATAATGTCTCTTTAACCGCCGACACCCGCCACAAAATTTATCTGCACCGTCCTTATCCCAGACGTCCTGGATCACCGTTGATTGACATCACCTCGAAATCATGTTGGATGAAATCCCTATTGGAGACCAATATGTCTTCACTTCGTTGCGCTACGATGGTTCGATGAAGCGCAATGCTCAAAATCCCGTGTGTTGCCCGGACTCCAAGGCCGCATATCTCATCAAGTATCACTATGAGCGTCTCGCTACTGCAGCCGATCATCTGGGTTGGTATGATACCAACAAAAGGATGAAAGGTCCTATCGATCTGTTCAACCGCATTCAGACCGCCGTGAATGAACACAAGAAGAAGACTGGCAACAAATGTCCATTCAAGGTATGTGTTTCATCTCGTTCTCTTCCCAAATCACCACTCTACATCTGTCATAATCCATTTCTATGGACAAAGACGCGCATGCGCCACAGGCACGCGACAACCTCAAAGAGATCGTCAAAAGACCTTGACTCTACAATGAAGCACCAAGGCTGACAATGTCTCACANNGGTCCGAGTATGCTTGCGTCACAGTGGAAAGATGGAGATTGGAGTTGAGCCAATCATGGCCAAGAAGCAGCCACTTCTCTTCCCGACCACTTTGGACCTGGGCAAATCGAGTCAGGAGGTGGCCTCTCAGACTCCAATCTTCAAAGCCGTGCTGGATGTTCTACCTACCCGAACTACGACCTTCACCCGTGACAAGACTCATTACCGGACAATGTACAACTACGCTAGGCAATGCGCTTCAATCCAATCGTATCAGGACGCCAAGGAAGTCATTCTGTTCAACCGCGACAACCAAGTCATGGATGGATCCATCACGACTCCTTACTTCTACCGCGATGGCAAATGGGTGACTCCGCATAAAGACTGTGGAGGCCAACAAGGAACCACTCGACGCTGGGCCATCGACCAAGGCATCTGCCATGCCGGCATCATCGACATTGCTTCAATCAAGCACGACGAGATTATCTGGCTCAGCAACGGCGTCAAAGGTTTCTTCACTGCTCGCTTTGTCGCCTGCAGCGATCGCCTTGCTCGCACACCCAGCTACGAGTCGCGCATCTCCCAAGTATCCCGCAGCGACAGCGGGATCGAGGAGAAGTCTATTCGTTGCCACGAGGACGAGTCTGCGGAAGACGACATTGAGCCAGGACGTCAAAAGTATGCTCCTGAGCCTGGTGCCGACGACTTCAGAAACTCTGCTTTCAACCTTGACGTCTTTGAGCGCGCATTGAAGCTGTAAATTTCTCCTTCTACTTCTTTTCCTTCGATTCTTTTACTTGATATCCCCTGGCTCAATCAGTCTTTTTACTCGACACACCTTTTTTTCTTTCGACCTTTTGGATTTGCTGGAGACACAAAATGGATGGCTTGTTTGCGTTGGAAGGTGGCTTTCTCAAATTCGCAATGGGCGTTTCATTGAATTTGAAGCATACGGCAGGCGCGAAAACTCGACACTTTTACTAGAGAGCTGCTACGAACGAAAAGATGATTCGTAGCTTGGAGAGAATGGTTTCCTCCTTTTCCTATGTTTTTTTCTGTTGCAAAGAAGCGATCATAGATATACCCTTTTTCCTTTTCACACAACTTTGCTGTTTCTCTTCTTTTTCCATTATGACATCTTAGCCGTTGCCATCCGAGTGAGCCGTTGTTTGGTGTTGTTGAGGTGTGTCGCATACGCGCGTGCTTTTGCACGTCTTATCGTGATGGGATGCCGCATTAACCGGGGATGCCGGCTGATGTGCAGGATGATGTGCTGCAGGCTGCATGTCAACATCACATGCACCGCACCATTACTGCTGCAAGACTGTTCTAGCGTTGAACGTGAGCAGGCTTCTTTCTCGACATCCATCACACGACCGTTGCTTTCTAGAACAGGAATGACAGGAATAGCGCCATCTACACAGCAAATCAGACAAGAATGTCATGATATATCCAAGGAGAATGAAGAAAAGGTAATATACAAACAGAGTCGTCATCCTGTATAGAAAACATCCCATCATGACATTTATACAATTCTACCAGCAACACTGCCTTCCCTCACCATACCCTTAGGTATATCCTCAAGATTATCAGGTTTCCTGAAGAAAGCCTCTAGTAACACAGCAACACTAGATCCAACATTCAAACTGTCGACCCCAACATCGAGTTCAGGACGAGCAGGTTTAGAACCCCTGATACCTACATTGGCATCCGCTTTTGTCGCAAGATTGGCACGAAGACCTTCGCCTTCAGCGCCAATCATAAGGATACTAGGACTCCTTGATAAAGGCGAGATCATATTTGAAGTGACCAAATTGCCCTTTGCCGACTTCGCAGAGGTGGCGTCAGGGGCTACAGCAGCATGGATAGCCCAACCGTGTTTCTTGCATGTGGTGATGAAGTTTGCGGGTGTGGGGATGGAGAGGATGGTTAATGCTTCTGCGGCGCCCGAAGCTGCTTTTTGGACAATGGGCAGGTTTACGGGTGCGCAGGTGTTTGTGCAGANTGAGACTGCGTCGACGCCGTAGAAGTGTGCTGTGCGTAGGATGTTGCCGAGATTTCCTGGGTCTAGGATGCCGTCGAGGAGGAGAACTAGGGGTTTGCGCCATGTGTGGGTGTAGTGGAAGGGAATGCTCGAGGGGTTGCCGTTTACTTTTATTTCTTCGGCGCTNNTTTGGTCGGCTAGGTCGATGGGGATAGCCATGTCTGTTACTCCCATCTTGCCTAGCGATTTTGTGGGTAGAGTTGATAGGGTTGAGGCTTCGAGGATCAAGCCATTGTGAGGGCGGCCTTGGGCCATTTTGTCCATCTTGGNGAGGAAGGAGTCATCGACATCGGTGAATTTCACACCGGCTTGTCTACAGAGGTTCTTGATGGTTCTGTTAGTTGCAGGGTCGGACTTGGCGCGATCGTGGATGTAGAGGTTGTACATCTGACGACGCTTGGCCGTGAGAGCTGCAACGACGACGTTGAAGCCGTACAGGAACTCCGAGGCAGCTGTCGTGTATGGGATAGAGACATAGGCATCCGCGTCGTCGCGAGATGATTGTGGTGATGATCGGCTGTCTCTGTCTCTTCTGTCCCTAGGCTCCTGGATCTCTTTGTACTTGTTCTTTCTGTCGTTGTTCTTTTCTCTGTTGTTGTTGACGAGGGAGAAGAGTTGATCGTCGTCGAGCCGACTTTCTTCTTCCAACCTTCTTCTTTCTTTTGCTTCCCCAGCGGTGCTCTTCTGCACTTCTTCGTCTCCTTNCCTCGGCCTGCTTGGCTGATTTGGGGGCTCGGGCAAAGCTGTGAGATCCATATGACGAAGTTCCTGACCGCTGATAATGGCAGCGGCGTTCCTGGAGACGACAGTCTGGATGAGCCATGAACGCCTGTCCTTGTTCAGAACAGATATTTCTTCGAGATCCTTCTCCCAAGTGGCACCTTGTGTTGAGGAAACTGGTGGTTGTATAGGGTAGGTGGAGGCTTTGACAGCACTTGTGGGATCGCTCTCTTCGAACCAACGCCTGCCGGGAATAAATATGTTGTTTGACTTTGCATTCTTTATAGCGTCACCAACATGTTGTATCACGCGTAGCCATTCCTTCCTTTGCTGCTCCAGAGTTGGTTCAACAGCAGCAAAATCCTGCTTGAAGGTTTTCTTCAATTGTTGTTTGACTTTCAGAACAGCTCCAGGCTCGTCTTTGTTGAATCGGGGCAAGGTAGAAGGGCGCGTTGGCAGAGCCCATATATATTTATCTTCGGCTAACTTGACAGCGGCCATGAGATTGTTCCAGTTCTCTCGAGTGAAGTGGTGTTTGTCGGTGAAAGGGACGTTTAGAATATCATATTTTGGATTGTTGTTCATCCCGGCAGGATAACNCCCAGGAAGCCTGTTAGTCTTGCGAATTACGAAGGCGGCATCTCTGTCACCAGACTCTGGGGCGGCGCGTACATGAGGAAGGTGGTTCACGGGGTTCCGTCTGAAGCCTTGATCATTGTTGTCGGAGTTCCTAGCATAGTCTCTGCTTCTCGGCGTGCGTCTGTCCTCACGGTCCTCGTAGTCGGTAGATCTATTGCGTCCGTAGTCGCTTGATCTTGGACGGTCGCTGTAGTCGTTTGACCTGGAGCGATTGTCGCGGTCCTGCCATGGGAAGTNTTCCCCACGATCGTCTTTGAGTCTGCTCAGATCATCGAGGGCTTTGCGACGGTCTCTCCGGATGGACTGGTCGAGGGTACGATTGATAGCCGATAGGGTCGACTTATGGCGGCATTGCAGATAGAGTCTGGGAGTACGCGCTTGCGCAAAGGCGGCGGCGAGCATTCAGTCGACAGAAGTTGGTGGCGGTCTTGAATGTTGCAGGAAATAAATTCAAGTCTAGAAAAATAAAATGCCCCACAAAGCATCACGATCAAGGGTCCAAGCTCGGTGGAAGTCGCGTCCCTCGGTATTCTGTCGCGTCTTCTGTTCTCCGTTGCTCTTGCTCAAACTGTCGCGACTTCCTTTTTTGTGATTAATTTGTTCTAGGTCTGGCGATAGCAGGTTTGCTCTTTTTATCAAGCAGCGCAAATACAGTCCCGCAAACACAACACCTTTTCACCATTTCTCTGGCTAGACACCTACTCTGTCTGCGACATGTATGCGAACATCTTCTCGTCTTGATCGACCATGTCCGATTCTGGAGATGAACTGAATGTCGACCTCTCCCAATGGAAGCCTCGCACCGTCAACACCGCTCCTCAGCTACCTGCTCCGGCGCCCAGGACCTTTGCCTCAATTAACACTCCGGCCACTGCTCCTGACACAACCAACCATTTCGAAGACGACGACCTGGATATTGACGCCATCGTTGAGGGAATCGCCGACGATGATGATGATGCTCTGCAACCTACAGCCTCTACTCCACCACTCCTCACAACCACCTCAAGAAACTCCAGGCAGACCGTCCAGGTTGTCATCACCCAAGACCCCACCTTCAATCGAGACGACTACACCGACTGTACATATGGTGCCAACATCGTGCGCCGTGTATTGAAAGAGATTGCGAAGAACGAAGTTGTATACTACAATGTCGAGTTCGTCGATAGACACACGGAGCAGGTAAGCACTGTCACTACTACTCTATTGACACTATCCATCGTCGCCTGCAGAGCTGCCTACCCCTTCACACCAATGCACTTCTGTTCCAAGCTTCACACAACATCCGTCCGATCACTCCACTTCCATGTTCACTCTCATCGACCTATATAGAGGTTCGCAGAGCTTGCCTTCTGTCCACCTCCTTCCACTTCACATCCTTTCCAAGTAGCTACAACCTCTTCGTGTCTTGTGATAACCACGCTTCTTAATTCTGCGGACTCGCCAACATGTCTCCACTCCGTATCAAGCTGATTGCTCCGGCACGCAAGGTCTCCTTCAACGATCTATTACAGTACGAAAATGGCCAGGAAGCTCTACAAGAATACACAGAGAATGCTCGGGATGGAGACGACTATGCTGAAGAAGATAGTGAGGTCGAACAGATACAGCGCCCACGACCTAGCAAATCTGGCTACGTCGATACTGTCGAAGCCCTCGAAAATCTTGATGAAGAACAAGACTACCCCTCGCGCTCGAGTAATTCGCGGAAAGCAAAGAAATACGACAGCGACTCTGAAGATGACGGTCCGGCTCCTCGTCGTTCTGGGAGAGTTGTTCCACCAAACCTCGACTCCAGAAGAATCTCGAGACGAGTCAAGTCCATATCTCAAGCCGACTCAGAAGACGAGGATGATGATGGCTTCATCCTACAGTCCGATGTCCTTCCCAGCAGAAAACGCAAGCGATCTCTGAGGTCTCATAGTGGCCCCATTAGCTACGCCGAGGGCGACGAGGATGAACTACAATATGACAACTCCAGACCTCGCACCTCACGACCTACAGGGCAGGGTGTCCGTCAATCTGGTCGTTCGACCCGTCATCAGGGCGACATGCAGGATCCAGGTGTTAACGACATCTATCGCTCCGAGTCGGAACCACGACCTGTCGCCCCTCCCAAGCCTGTTGGAGCTCGCGAGTCCTTCAAGGACTTGCCACGATCTGATCCATTCCGCGCTCGTCACATTCAGCACTGCGACTCATGTCAAAACGGCACTAACTTTGCCCCTCTGATTTACTGTCAAGGCTGTGTTTACGCATATCATAAGAGTTGCATTGGTCACCGCGGATCGAGAGAGCATCTGGTCACCAAAGTTGGTAAGCACGACTTTGTTCTTCAGTGTCGTCGCTGCGTCGCATTCCCCATGAAGAAAGACCCTACAGCTCCAGATCATGGAAGATGCTCTGACTGTAAGCAGCATGGCTCTTCCTGTGTTCCTTTCAGAGAGCGCAAGACTCCTCAACAGGAGCAAAAGGACCGTGAAGAGAACAACGGCGAAGACCCTGTCTGTGCTGTGCCTCAAAAGCTCATCAACAACCCCGGAAACGTCATGTTCCGCTGCACCACCTGCTCCAGGGGCTTTCACTTTGAGCACTTGCCGCCAAAGTCAGATAGTCTGATGGATCTCGATAGCGATGATGTGGCGACTCAAAGGCTTCAGGATTACAGCCAAGACTGGAAATGCAAGGAGTGTCTTGATTGTCCGGGCAAAGTCGGATCGCTTGTCGCCTGGAAGCCGGTTGACGAAGACAATTACGACCCTAGCTATGGCTATGACAGGATTCCTGAAGATGAAAAGGCTTACCTTGTTCGCTGGGATGGAAAGTCGTACTTCCAAGCTGCCTGGATGCCCGGTCCTTGGGTTTGGGGCGCCGCAGCTGGAGCTATGCGAAAGGCGTTTGCCAAACGAGATGAAGCACGTCAACCGAAGATGCGAACAGAGGACGCCATTCCTGAGGACTATCTTCGTATCGACATTGTGCTCGATGTCAAATACACGAGCATCGTCAACATCTCGACAGAAGAGATTGACAAGGCACGTATCCGTGAGGTCGACACAGCTCTAGTCAAGTACAAGGGTCTTGGCTATGAAGATGTCGTTTGGGAGAAGCCTCCTACACCTGACGACGCCGACCGATGGACTGATTTTGTTGTTGCTTACAATGACTGGGTGCTCGGTAGATTCGTGAAACAACCCAAGCCACAGCAACTCAAGACAAGACTCGAAAAGGCAAGATCTTTCGACTTTGCTGCCAAGCTCGAGAAAAGGAAGCAACCCAGCAACATCACCGGAGGAGAGCTCATGAAGTACCAGATGGAAGGTCTCAACTGGCTCTACTACAAGTGGTACACGCACAAGAACGCCATCTTGGCCGACGAGATGGGTCTTGGAAAAACCATCCAGATCATCTCTTTCCTCGCCACCCTAGTCCAGGATTGGAACTGTTTCCCTTTCTTGGTCGTGGTGCCCAACTCGACTTGTGCCAATTGGCGCCGTGAGGTCAAGCAATGGACTCCTTCTCTGAGAGTTGTTGCATACTTCGGAAGCAAAGAAGCTCGCGATCTCACTTACCGCTACGAACTCTTCGCTCGTGATAGTAGGGAGCTGAGATGTCACATCGTGGTCACGTCGTACGACTGCGCTGCGGATGATAGCGCTCGCAAGTTCTTCAAGTCTATCCCTTGGCAAGCACTTATCGTGGACGAAGGACAACGCCTGAAGAGCGACAAGTCACAACTCTACTCTGCACTGGCATCTTTGAAAGCTCCCTTTAAAGTCCTCCTGACTGGTACGCCTTTGCAGAACAGTGCGCGTGAGCTGTTCAACCTTCTACAATTCCTCGACGACACATTTGATGCTAGTCAGTTGGAAGAGAAGTTCCAAGAACTTGACCAAGCCAAGATTCAGGAGCTGCATGGAATAACACGTCCCTTCTTCTTGCGCCGCACCAAAGCTCAGGTCCTTACCTTCCTTCCACCCATGGCTCAAGTCATCGTGCCAGTCTCGATGTCGACTGTTCAGAAGAAGCTGTACAAGACGATTCTTGCCAAGAATCCTGATCTTATGCGAGCTATCTTCCAGGGAGCAAAGGAGCTCAGACCTACAGAACGCGCTAGTTTGAACAACATCCTCATGCAGCTGCGCAAATGTCTTTGCCACCCCTTCGTCTACAGTACAGAGATTGAGGAGAGGAATGTGTCACAAGCTGTCAGCCATCGCAATCTTGTTGACGCTAGTGGAAAGCTACAACTGCTCGCGACACTTCTACCTAAGCTTAAGGAGCGCGGGCATCGTGTCTTGATCTTCTCTCAGTTCCTTGACATGCTCACGATGGTGGAAGACTTCCTCGATGGTATGCAGATGAGATGTCAACGTCTTGATGGCACCATTAGCAGTCTGGAGAAGCAGAAGCGTATTGACGAGTTCAACGCACCTGATTCTCCATTGTTTGCTTTTCTGCTCTCTACTCGTGCTGGAGGTGTGGGTATCAATTTGGCCACCGCAGACACAGTTATCATCCTGGATCCTGACTTCAACCCTCACCAAGACATTCAAGCTCTCAGCCGAGCCCATCGTATTGGTCAGAAGAAGAAGGTTCTTTGTTTCCAGATCGTCACTCGTGCCAGTGCCGAGGAGAAGATCATGTCTTATGGTAGACGCAAGATGGCTCTAGACCATGTCTTGATCGAGCAGATGGATGCGGAAGATGCCACAGACCGTGACCTCGAAGGCATTCTTCGTCACGGCACCAAGGAGTTGTTCGATGACGACGGAGACAAAGACATTAAGTACGACTCGGCCTCGATTGACAGATTGCTCGAAGTTAGTCACATCGAGCACACGAAGGCTGGTGAAGACAACTCCGCAGAATCTACCTTCTCCTTCGCAAGAGTCTGGGCCAACAACGAGCTGGAAGAGACAGCGATCGAAGGTCCAGAGGCAGCAGAGGTGGCTCCTGACCGTGACGTTTGGGACAAGATTCTCAAAGAGCGAGAAAAAATTGCAGCAGTCGAAGCTGCCGTTGCGGAACAGGCATTTGGAAGGGGCCGTCGCACCAAAGCAGTACTGTATTCCCTTTTGGCTTTGATCGAATATTTGCTGACTTATCACAGNACTATCGACTACGGCGATGGCACCAACCAAGATGGCCCCGATACTGTGGAAGGACCCAAAGACATTGATGAAGGCTCACCTGTTCGTGTCTCCAAGCGGGCACAATTAGACGAGGAGAACGATACAGACTTCCAAGCCGTCAGTGATGAGGAGAGCGTTGCAGCAGAAGAAGTCGAGGATGTTGTTGATCCGGCAGAACTGTATATCCCTGATCAACCAAAGACAGCGTCAAAACTGATCAGACCAACCGGTAAGGAATTCTCCTTGAAGAAAACCCCCACCAAACCACGCAAGAGTCCAAAGAGGACCAAAAGTGCGGTATCAACACCTAANAAGAAAGCGGCCTCAACGCCCAAGAAAAAGAAGCGTGTCGCGACTGCCACACCTGGTTCAGCACCCAGGAAAGCTCAGACTCCCTTCACCCCCACAATGTCCAATGCTAGAAAGGCGAGAGAGGCACAGATGAATGTCCAACAGTACGGCGCAGCCGCAGCAGCAGCAGGTTATATTGATCTCACTGCTGATAGCGACGATGATGTGTCCATCGTCGGCATACAAGCTCTGCCGCCTCCACCTCCATATCAACAAGCAGAAGACGAAGCAGTGATCTGAACTTAGGCTAATCCGTGTACTATTATCCAGCCCCTCTGACATTTCGCCGTGTCGATGTACCGACATACCGAAACTACGATTCCGAATTCACGATCCCAGCCTCCAACGGCAAACCCCTCGCAAACCTCAGATGGCGTCCTGTGTAGCATGTCAACATCTCCATCCCCTGGGCAGCTGCCCTCTGAAACGCGCTGGCGTCGAATACTGCGGTCTTTGTGGTCTCGCCCACTACGGCTTCTCTCGCATCTGCCCACACATTAATTCAGAAACCCAGGTCAGAGAAATGATCCAAGCAGTCAAGCTATCATCAGAGCCAGGACACCTCAAGTCAGAGACTTTGAAGTATTTGACTGGCTTGAAGGGCACACTGGTACAAAAGAAGAAGAAAGAGGCAGAGAAGAAGGCTGCTGCGGCGAGTGGCAGTGCATACCCAAGTGCTGGTCCTTCTACAGTGCCAGGACAGCAGCCATTTCACATGATGTAAACAGAAGACAGGGAAAGGAAAGTAAATGACCCCTGCACATACCCCAATAATGCAAACGATGTTTAATAGTTCGTTCTTGCCTTGAATCACTGTTGATACGAGAGTGAGACGTGCCTTCCAAAGTACTGGTGAAGACTAATCAAGGAAGAGATGAGTGAATCCATCGAAGGAAGGAAATGTCGAGTCGTTGTTGACTCTTTGGTGAATGCCCTTGCCTTATCTCCGCAATAGAGAAGAGAACACTGATGTACGTAGGTATGAGAGCAAGACTCTCATGATATATTTCTTTATGATGTTGAGCTGTACAGATACATTGGTCGTCTCCTTCTCATCTCAATTCCCCGTTGAATGCTAGTAAACGCCAGCCATGCCAGCCATCTGTGCTCGTAGCTAATATGCGCAATGCCGATAAACACAACTCCGACCCATGCACCAATCCCATCTCGATATAGCAAGAACAATGATAGAAGCAAGAGAGTAAAAAACCGGGTCACACTAAGCAAGTTCATCCTCGGATCCATCGTCAGGTTCAGGCATTGCCTTTTTCATCAACATTTCTTTTCTTCCCACGGTTTCTCGGACAGGGGTACCGTATCTCGTCATCGGCGTCCTAGGCAATGCGGCTGTCTTGGGCGTGAAAGTGGACTTGCCCTTTGTAAGAGCTGCGGATGGGGTAGATATGCTCTTTCTGAGAGATGTGGATGGGGTAGGCAGATTCATTCTAGCCACTTCACCTGGTCCAGGTGGCAGCAGAGAGTTTTTAGTTGCCTGGCGAGTGGTGCTCCTTGTGCTGCGTCGTCGGTCCTTAGCCGATGATGCCTGTGATGAAGTTGGTGATGGCATGGGTGGTGGAGAAGAGAGCGGCGAGGAGAGTGGTGAGGAAGATGGTGAGCGCGATTGTGCCTGTGGTACTGTGACCAACGGGCTTGGGGGTGGAGGCAGATTGGACAGGAAGTATGGGCCGTTGGTGTTGCTCGTTATGTTCGGTGCATTAGCGTAGCGTTTCGCTGTTGCCGGGGTGTCCATTGACGAGTCACTAACATCGCCATCGTTCTCCGTATCTATCGCCATGGGCTCGGTGCGACGTGTGAGAGGAGTGTGCAGACGAGGAGGTGTGCTTGCTCGAGAAGGAGGGTTGGCACTGTATGGAGGAGGCGGATGAGTTGGCAGTGGTGAGCTTCCTTCCAAAGCAGGCTCCGCACGGGGTCTGGCTGAAGAAGGAGGCATCATTGTCATAGGTCCACCCGCGTTACTCGACCTTGCGATAGTAGGGTTTGAACGTTGGTTTCCTTGAAGTGACGACAGGAGACGAAGCTGGGATATAGCCATACTAGCAGCATTGAAGCCCTTAGATCTCATATGCTGCTCAGCACGTGCAAACAGGTTGACAGTGCTGGTTGACGTACTCGCCACACCGTTACGTAGCTGAGGTGCAGGATGGTTGAATCTCGTAGCGTTTCTGAAGGCATCTCGAGGTGGATCTGGTTTATTTGGTGGTCGTTTTGATCCTTTCGATGGCTTTTCGAGTCTCAATACACCGAATCCACTTGTAGGTCCGTAAAAGTTCAGATTGTGCTCCTCTGCGGTGAACGGTGCTGGACTGTCGGTACATAGAACGCCAAAGTTTCCAGCCGGGTTCGAGCTGTCGAAGGTTCGATATTGCCCTTTCAATCCAAGTGAAGGATCCTTATCCTTTGCTTTTCTCTTCTTCTTGGATGTATCTGGTAGTGGTGCAGAAGAGTCGCGCGAGTCTGTGTCATCTTCAATGCCTATAGTGATAGGGAGCTCACCGTTGTCTCCATGGCGGGCAATTTGCTTGTCCATAGCGCGACGCAAAAGCGGAGTTTGGAAAGGCGACATTCCAGGCGAGGTGGCTACATGCGAAGGGCCAGGAGTGGATAGTTCGTCATCGTCACCATCCATAATCTCGATAATTTCGCGCTTGATCATGACAGGCCTGGGCAGATCCTTCAAGACACGAGTGTAGCGGCCAGAAAGACCACCAGTTGTTCTGCCAGGCAGGCGCCTCGTGATTTCTTGCCAGGTCAAGCCATTGATCTCCTTCAAGCGCTTGATCAGTTCGTCTTCTTCTCTGGAATAGCGATTCCTTGATGGAGCGTCCGAGAAGGCAGCATCATCCGTCAAAGCAGGGTCAATACCGAATGAAGTCTCAGTATGCTTAAGAAGCCTGCGCCGCTTCTTGGGTCGCGAGGCGGCTGGTGCCCATAACGACTGGCCACCAGAAGGAGAGTCCCAGACAGAGGGAGCGCGATGAGGAGCTGGAGTGATTGCAGCGCGGCGGTTGTCAAAGAAGGAGGGTGGACTGAAAGCGTCCTGAGGCAGAGGCGGAGCAGACCAGATGCCTTGAGACGGTTGCCTGTTGATCGAGGTGGCGTGCATGAGGAACTGAGCGATCTGGTTGGCAATACTCTGACCCAGCTGGTGGATGGCTTCGGGGTCGACTCTTCCGTTGGCATCTTGGTGAGGGACGAGCTGGTTCAACGAGTCTGCAATGGAGATTTGGGGCAAAGAGTGGCTGATTTCGGTAGATGGAATGACGGGTGTACTGTGGTATTGCTGCTCTTGGCTAACCATGGCATCAGGCTCAGCGAGTCGAGGATCGAGGGCGAAGTGTTCAGGTCCGTGGCCCAGGTCGTCAGACTCGTCGCCTGACTGCTCGTCGCCAGCCTCAACTGCCGCATCCTCATAGTCGCCATCCTCGTCGTCACTGAGGTCCTCCTCTTCTCGTCCAAGGTAGTCCTCCTCTTGATCATTCTCTTGTCGGGGCTCGTGCTGTAGCTCGTCCTCGTCGTCGTCAGGATCTTGATGGAGTTCGTCTTCTTCTCCTTCAGGCTCCTGGTGGGGGCCGTCGTCCCCATCGTCCTCATTGTCGTCGCCATCTTCGACCTCCAGCTCGTCGGCAAAGGCTCGCACGAAGCGGGATGAAGCGCTCTTGCCCGTGTCTCGCTCGTGTTGCATGTAGGTCAGGTGGCCGTTGTCGACGACGACTTCGCCAGTTTCCATGTCAATTTCATCGCCGACGCCAGTGAAGTCTCTGGCATATTTCTCAAAGATGCGCTCAAAGGTGCCCTTGAGTTTCAGGTCAATTCGTTGTCGGCCGCGTTGGTATTCGTCTGGGTCGTAGCTGTTGGCATCGTCTCTGGACGAGCTGCGGGCTCGGAGATAGTCATCAAACGCCATGGCGCAGGCGATGTTTTGGTGGTGGTTGCTTGCATCTCACATGTCCAGATTTGACAGGCAGAAGGTCAAAGAAATCAAGGTGGACGCGTTCGAGTCGTGAATTGTTTCCGCGGGGCAGTTGACGCAACTTCCCGTTCCGGCAACTTGGCCGACCGGGTCGCGCCTTCTAGTCATACGGCCTGCGTCCTGTACCATCCAAGCACTTGTATGATTCATTTGACAGTCTCCAACACATGATCATGTCCGTCGCTGCCTCATGAGTGTACAAACTACTCCTTCTTGTGCGCAGACTGCTCCTCTCTTAGGCTTCTCCTTCTATATACCTTGACCATGTATTGTCAAAAGTGCAGAACTCCCTTGAAACTCGACTCTTCTCTGGAGCATCTCAATTCCTCTTCTTTGAAGATCTTGGTCGGTGTGTATAATCCTTTGCAACACGTCCCATACAAGACTGACCAATAAGACTCAACCCCGTCTCTACCATCTCAGACCCCTCAACCACCAAAAACACTTGCTGCTCGCGAGCGAAGGGATATATATGACAAGGCCGCTCAAAATGCTGGCCCTGCTCAACAGAAGCGGTCCATACCGGCACCCCAGAAGACAACCGCTAACTTCAACCCTGCAATGTCTTATGTTATGTTAAGTGAATCTCAGCTCGGTCCCCTGTCACCAGAAGAACAAAGTCCTTCGAAGAAAGCTCCCGAAAAGGAAGCAAAATCCTCGGATCAACATGACTCAACCAGTCTTTCTGTCGACATGGAGAGGAGCCTACGCCTATGGGAGATTCTTTCTTCTCGATCAGACATTGACCATCCGATATGCTCAGAGTGTACCGATATGATACTTGCAGGCCTTCAACAAAGGCAGACTACTGCGAACCGTGAACGCCAAGCATATGCCGAATTTCTCAAAAAGGCCAAAGAGAATGTTCCATCAGAGGAGGAGCAACGTCAAGCTCGCGAAGCCCTAATTGCTGCCAAACAACAAGAACAGAAAGCCCTCCAAGAGTTGGAAGCCCTCGAAGCGGAAAAGGCTGCCATGGAGGAAGATATTGCTGCTCTCAACCGCGAAGAAGCCGAACTGGAAGAAGAGGAGGCCGCTTTTTGGCGAGAACGAAACGAGTTCGACGATACCGTCACCAAATTCAGAGAGCAGAACGACAGCCTCCTCAACCAACTGCAATTCGACACCAAGTTGCTGGAAACCCTGCAACGGACCAACGTCTACAACGACTCTTTCTGCATTGATCATGATGGCCCTTTTGGTACCATCAATGGGCTGCGACTAGGAAAACTTGCAGATCACTCTGTCGAATGGCCAGAGATCAATGCTGCTTGGGGACTCTGTGTCCTACTCCTGACCGTCGTCGCCGAGAAGCTGGGCTACACTTTCCACGGTTACAGGCCTCTTCCGATAGGCTCCACATCCAAGATCGAGAAGCTTGAGTATCCAGCAAACGACCAATCACGAACCGGAAAGCCGAAAGTCACTACACTGGATTTGTTCTGCAACAGTGATCTTCCTCTTGGGTTGGGCTTCCTGCATCGTGGATTCGACAATGCTATGGTTGCATTTCTAGAATGCCTCCGGCAGCTGGGCGAGCACGTCGAGCAATCTCCGTCATATGTCGGCGCGTCCGCTCTGAGTCGCAAACTTCCTTACAAGATCAGTAAGGACAAGATTGGTGATAACAGTATCAAGCTTGGGACCTTCAATCAAGAGGAAGCTTGGACAAGGGCGTGTAAATACACACTGACGTGCTGCAAATTCCTGCTCGCACACGCAAGTCATGTTGATGATCTGAAGCAAGACGGTCAGGCGACTCGATAAAGAAGAGAGATTGTTGGCTCACTTAATAGCTACCTTGCTCCACGAATATTCGAATGTCGAGATAAACATTGCTCCAGCTTTCGCAAACGTATTATAGCCAGGGATCGTGGTGAGTCGAATGCATGAAGCAAGGGATGAGACGTACCCCTCGGACAGAACTTCTTATGATGTACTTCTGCCACGTCCACCTGTTGTTCTGTCGAGTAGCCATGGCGGTACTGATCTCACCAGAACCTAGGATTCAGCTCATAGCTGGCGTGTTGTTAACGACAATTCCGCTTTGGCTTCTGGCCTGGCACTTTCGAGTGCGCAACCCTCTCTTCATCAGTCGTCACATACCGTTTCACAATGCCTGGACTGTAGATCGCGAGACCTTCATCCACGAATGGACGGAGAACCAGATCGGCAACCCACCCAATCGCTCAGCTATCGCACTCCTTTGTCGCAAATCGGACATTAAATGGCGGCCGGAAGTTGTCTTGGACCTAGACGATGCCAATGGCGGCATCGGCAATGTTCGAGGCAATATCTTTGACTTTCTCAGCTTGGCCATTTTGACAGGGTCGTCAATCATGCTGCCCAGTTTCCAATCCAGGTCAGCCGAGGACTTGAGCGCTCTCTGGAACGGCAAGATTACCTTCGACACTTTCTTTGACACGGAACACTTCGCAGCCACTTTTGCTGCAGCATGTCCGAAGATGGACGTCTACATGCCATCGAAGGACCATTCTCTGGTTCCTCCTCTACAAAACCGCTACCAGATGCCCAGCATGCGGCAAGATTTACTAGAGGCTGGGGCTCTAGGTGATATCCCAAGAACTCCAGCAGAAGCAGTGAAAAACTTCAACCATTGGTTGTCTGTGCAGCCAGACTACGACGCGAAAAAGACAACTCTTGTCAGCGTTGGCCGCACCCTTTGGGAAGGACTTGACACACGTTCTCTACCTGCAGCCGTACGCAGAGACTTTGGCGGTTCCCTCCGCCTGATACCCGAAGTACGCAGATTGGCAGCCATAGTAACCTACAACCTGGCCCTCAAGTACCATCTCCACAGCATCGACCCTCGGCTTCCATACTACCCATCTGCCTTCCTAGGCGCACACCTACGCACCGAAAGCGACGCAAAAGCTGCCGGCTGGCTCAACGACGAAACCGCCGCCGCACACGCAAACTACACCGGCCAAACCGATGCCTACCTCTCCCAAGCTGTCGAACGCAACCTCCCAATCATCTACGTAGCCAGCGGCAATGCCTCTGAGATTTCCCGTTTCGCAGAAAAAGCTTGGCACCTCCATTCCTTTAACGTAACCTCCAAGGCTTCTTTGCTTTCTGGAAATGACCTTGAAGCTTTACAGAGTTTATCTTGGGATCAACAGGGTTTGGTGGACTATGAAGTATTGAGACGCAGTTCGAGTCTGGCGGGCTTTGCGAGGAGTAGTTTTGCTTTCAATATTGCGATTACGAGGAATGAGTTTGTGGATGTCAATCGAGAGAGTTTGAGATTGAGGCCGCAGGATTCGAGGAGGGAGGATGTGGCGTTTGATGATGGGTTTAGCAGGATTTGGGGGCGGTTTCCGTGGCAGGAGGTGAGGATGTTAAGGGGTGCTTGGCCTTGAATTTATCAGTTTCTTGTGTTTTTCGAGTGTTTGGGAGAAGCTCGGGTTGAAAGAGAAATAGTAATGTCCATCCAATATGTTCAGGAGCTTTCAGTTTTTTTACAATGAAGAAAACATCGTACAAGTATGTGTGTCAAGACAGGCTCTCTTCTATGCCTTTCCCTGTCTCATCTCCTTCTTGCCCTGCTTGCCCTTGGCCATGGGCCTCTTTGCCTCTGCCATGACGGGGGCCTCCACTCTAGACAAGTCGATATTCCTAGCCTCTTCGATCTCCTTGATTCCATCGATCAAACCAGCCGGGCTCTCCTTCTTTGTCTGCTCGGTCAGAAGTCTAGCCTCCCTCCTCGCTTCCAACTCCTTCTTTCTCGCTTCAGTCAACAGCCACTCCTCAGGGAACTGGAATCTCTTCTTTGGCTTTGCGTGTCTAAAGTCCACGGGCACGTCTTTGAGCCACTCGCTCTCCGGCGACTTTGCCTTTGCAATCAGCTCTTTGATGGTGTCGCCCAGGTAGCGCTTGTTCTGTGCTTGGGTCTCGTGGTCTTCGCAGCTCATCTTTACGAGGTTGGAGACGGGGTTGTAGCGCACGCCGGCCAGCTTGATCAGGTTTTGGGTGTGGGTGGGGTTGAGAGAGAGGTCCTTTGGGTCGAATTCGACGACGACTTTTCGTTGGGCGGGGTGTTGTTCGCCCATGTAGGTTGTGTAGCGGAAGCGGAGGGGTGTAGCTGCTGTGGGTGGTGTGTAGGGTTTTGTGAGGTNCTGTTATTGCTTCTTGTCAGTATCGATGCATTGAGGGTGGGTGTAAAATGGTCAACACATACTCGCCAGCAAAGGCATCTCCCAACCGGCCAGACGTGCATACTCTCTAATCTCCCTCGTCTGCTCCAACTCTGCATGACCCAAACTCGAAATGTCGTCGCCGTGGAAATCATCATCATCGGGACCAATATCCTCTTTCTCTCCCATCTGGAAGAACCCCTGGTTTCTAGGTGCCCTCTCTGCTGGCGGAGCAGGGAAAGTCACTTCCAAATGCTCCAACTCGGCAGCAATGTGATCTTCCAATTCGCGATGGGTGCGGCTGTCGTTTGCGAACTCGTCGCGCAGGGCGGCCTCTACTTTTTCCATCTTCTCGCGGTCGGCAGGGGATAAAGTGTTGTATGCGGCTTGGTCATCGCGGTCGAGGCGTTTGTAAAAGGCCTGGTTGAAGTAGCCGGGCGAGGAAGCATCTTTCTTGTCGGCATCGGCGAGGATGCGGCGAGTGCTGCTGAATGGTCGTGTGACGGAGTGGATGTGCGAGTATTGGTTGCTGCTGCGCAATTGGCGCGCTACTGTGCGGCATGCGCTCTTTGCTGCTGAGGCCATGGCGAGGGCGTGGAGTGGCTATAGATCTGCTGCTCTGGTCCGCTGTCGCTTGGTATGCACGTAGAAAGTTGAAACATGGACCGGGGAAACTTCGGGAGCTTTCGACTTTGCGGCCTCTCTCCCGAACATCGCCGCTTGCTTGTCCACCTCTCCGTTTGGATTCAGCACAAAGTCTCATGAAATCGAGAGAAAAGTCACAGCTGGAAAGCCTCAAGTCGACAAGTATCGAGTAACTCATCGGGTCGTTTGGTCGACTCCCTTTGGTAGTTTATGTGGTATAAGTGCCTCGCAGTTAACATATCGCTGTACAGTGTGCAGGGAGCAGGGTAACGGTGACAAATTCTGATGCACATGCGAACAAAATACGCGATACATCATACTTCCGAGGACTAGGACATCATTGACCGCGATTGGCATTCTTGCTACGGGCCTCGTCAAGAAAGGATCTGGTGTGATCTGGAATAGTGGCTATCAATCCGATACTGGAAACTAAGGAAGGATGGAGCTGGACTTGAAATGATGAAGTCACAGCTTGGACTGGGAGCCATGACAGAGTTCTTGCGCAACCAGCAAACCGTGAAGATATTCACAACTTCTTCTAACAACATCTGGCAGACTGCGACGCATCAAAAACCAGAGAGACGGTTTCACCTTATGCTAGAGCCAATTCACATTCCGAAGACATACCCCCTCGCGAGACATTGTTCCAGAGACACAAAGGTCAGGTTTAACTTATGTTTTGTAGCAAAGTCGTCGAGTCCGTAACCGAGATTTGTGCTGACCAGATATATATGCATATAAGGGCAGACAGAGATTGATCTTTCGCATGTCAAAACTTACCTATCCTTCAACAGCCTCACAGCACAAACACAGATCCCCTATTCTTCGCTCCGAAGCAACCAAGCAGTCCTCAACTAGACTCGAGTTCCAACGCATCAACTTCTCATCCGCAATGCCTCCAACACTCAGAGATCTGATCAATTCAGGCAAGATTGGTGACAGATGCCTTCTTCGAATCGACCATTGCTACCAAAAGGCCAACGACCGCGATTTCGAGGTAGCTCGCAACATCTTGGGATCAGCCGAATTCCGAGATATCCATGGCGACCAGGATGACGATTATGACATCGACCTCCGGACACTTGCGAGATGCAGTTTCTGCAGCTCCTGTCAAAGAAGCCGCCCACAACAGGTCGAGGACTACCATCAAGAATTGATAAAATGCTTCAACGATGAACTTACAGCTTCGGCTGAATCTAGACGTGATCCAGGATGTGAATCCGCTTCCGAACCTGACCCCGAATATATCAACGCGGAGCCTCAACAGACAGAGTCATAAAAATGCAAAGAACGGCGCAGCTGTCACCCCAATCGGCTCGAAGAATATGCAAAGAAGATCAAAGAAATGGAGCGTGAGACCGATGGCTTCCAGAGTGAAATCACAGATCTCAAACAGGAACTTGAGGATGGACGCAAACACTACCAGCAGCTCGAGCACCAACATGCCCAGATGGTTGACTACGCCAACACAGAGTACGGGAAGGCAATTGCTGAAGGACATGCAAAGTCTGCCGAGCTCAAGGACGAACGCAGACGACACGAATGTCTCAAACTTCAACATGCGCAGATGAACGAATATGCATCTAAAAAGAATGCGTACCTTCAGCAAGAGATCAAGGACGAAAAAGAACGACACGAACAGCTCAAGCACCACCACAGAGCAGAAATCAACGACAGACAGACGGAGTATGCGAAGGTGATCGCCCAAGGAAACGCAAAATCTGCCGAGCTCGAGGAAGAACGCAGACAACACGAACAACTCAAGCACCAACACATGCAAACGATTGAATATGGAGAAGCAAAGTATGCTGAGATGTTTCACGAAGCAGAGGCAAAGTTTGCCGAGCTCATGCAGAAGATCACTGGATTGGAATCTCAAAACTTGTGGCTACAGGGCCAGATGCAGAATCAACGTTCACTCGATTACCGCGACATGGCAATGATGGCTGCCACGATCAAAGAGCTCAATGCGGGTATTCAGTACTGCCGTGGTCAGCAGTGTCAAATTTGATTGACTCCAACTACCCAGCATGTGATCAGCACGCTCGAGCCGATGTAGACGGTTGGTTGCGCTCTCTCTCAATTTATGCTAGAAATCAGGTTGGGGTCTGCAGATGACCTTGTTGCATCCGCTTCGAGTAGGTTTTAACATTAATGTGCGCCATCAAGCAGCGAGTCAATATGTCATCAACAAAGTGTGGCCGGAAATATGGTTGTCATCAGCTGGGAGGGACTATCATACGGCGGTGTTAGTTTTTTTATAGATTCTCTCTCATCTGCTTCGTCTCCATAAGAGACTGCTTTTCCATCCATGCTCCTGTTGCAAACATTGTGGTTCTGCGCGTGGATATGAGCTTTAGAACAATTAACAAAGCTTGGACCTCAGATTTACTTCTCAAAATCCCGCTATGAACAAGCAAAGAAATAGCAACGAGTCCCGTCTTCGCTCCTTCTCTAGCTAATAAATGAAATCTTGAAGTCTCAGCATCCCTGGCCCAATGCTTCCTTCCCCACCAACTCTGGTGAATGCTCGCATGAGAACATGAAATGCGAATATTTTGGTCTGATAATGTGATTATGATATAGCCATCTTCCTGCATGTGTATACTTAATTTCGGTTCTCATGGCTGGATTTGTGTATGCGCTTATGTTTTTGTTCCACACAATCGATCTAATCACACTTCCAAGGTATCTTGCAGTGCTTGTACTATTTACCAGCTTGAAATTACTGAGCCTACCAATATTCCAGAGGCAGTATGATGATCGTGCGCAATACATAGTGGGCTTTGACATAAGACACTATCAGGAAGTGTTTTGGTTGTTTGCTCTCAAAAAGTTAGTGACTTTCGTCCTTTGGTCAACGACAAAATTCCAAGACTGGTGATTTCGGTTTCTCCTACGCTTCGAGCCCATTCAGGGGTAAAGCGCGAATCCGAACATGGAATTCAAGCAACTCAAAATCATCGAAAAAAAGCTCTGTTCAACCAGTTTTCGTATCATCTTTTGCAACCCCTGTATCTTCGGAGATTGTTTTACCCATCATGAGACGAAAGAAAGACTCCATCAGAGTCATGTCTTAGCCGTTGTGAATATGCTCATGTTGAGTCACGGATATACATCCTCGCATTCCTGCTGAAAAGTCATCATCTTTTAAACCATCTTCATCTCATTTTACTCGAAGCATCCTACCGATATCCAACATTCCATCAGAAATATCAACCACATAGTCTTTGACAACTTCAAGATGGCCGCACCCAACTCAGATCCCGACTACTTGTACTACATGATCTACTTGCAGCCGGTCTGTACTATGGATCTTCCTGTCGAGATTCCTCCCTATCGTGTTGCAACATTCGCAGATATCTCTGGCTCGTGCATGATCCATCGATGCATCGGCAAACAAGGGACAGGAGTACTGACCGACCAGTGCAAGACTACACTCTCAAACGATACACGACCGATCGTACGTGCAATCCCGAAGAGTGACTCATATGGCGGCAATGGTTGGGCAGACGCGAAGTACCTTGCCAAACTGGCCAGATTGTGTTTGTGTCAAGACTGTTGTCAAACACACTTGTCGGATGTGGTGATCGCTTGGGTAAATGAACTTCTAGACCCAGACGGGGCTGAAGACGAGAGAGCGGACTCTGTTGTTGATCCCGAGGAGACGAAGCCGTTGATTACAGGTCTGGCACCTGTCAAGAGTCTGGTCGCAGGTTCCGTTGCTACACGCAACCTTTTCAGCAAGGTCTGTGGATTTTGGTCGTGAAGGTAGAACAGGTGGCTCGTCGATGAGAATCTGAGGCCTGTTATAATCTATAAGGAAGTCAGGAAAGATAAACCGAACAGAACATATAAGGGGGTTCTCATTATCAAGCAGAAACTCACAGTTCGAACTATATCAGAACCATATCCCATGGAAGTGAAGCAAAACATTCGTTCGGGCATGATCAACTGTCGCTAATGGAAACTGTAACAAGCCGTCACTTGTGAAAATCCTCCTCGGGGCGCTCAGCCTGGGCTCGAACTCAAGACTGTTATAGAGAAGGTAGATTTATTGGCGAACCGCATCACCACTATACCACCTAACCAGGAGCGACCTGTTGTAGTATGGGTTTGGCTCCGAGCCAGTGGGACGTTCGAGAAGGAGGTCAGTTGGCTGGCACATGCGAGTTGAGATAGCCACCTGCATGTGATGGACATCATGGATTGCGTTTGTCTCTTGCGTACACAACCTCAACTGAAAGTTGATCGTGTCTCTTCATGGGAGCACAATGTCTGACACATTCCCAGACAGAACGATGACGACCTGTCTCAACAAATTGTCCTCATGATTCACCCAGCTAGTTGGGTAAGTGTTGTAATTGTCTTAGGTGAGGAGGTGTAGAGTCCAAGACTGTTTCTGATTCTCAAACATGATTTTGATTCACGTTCCGTGACAAGCTTCTGTACCTCATGATCACAGACATCAGGGCACGAAACATGCTACCTTAGCTATCTGCAATGGGGATTTTTGTTGGAGACTCTCAAGTTCCAAGTTTAATAGTGTTCCCCAAACGCATTGTTCCAGTGTCTCATCGTAATTGAAACTGAAGCAGTTCTATCACGACCATGGGAGTCTCACAGAGTTTGGAGCTGGGTGTATCTCAGACGGGTACCTAGACTTGCTAAGGATGAACTATAAGACGTGGCCTCTTGCCGGCTAGAGTTGGAACAACTCGCTTTTCATTTTCACAAGAGCATACTCTGATCGTATACCACTTTCCAACTTATCTCTCATCCTGTTCCCATCATGGACCACTCACTGGTACACCTTCACTAATTCTTGACACTGGACCGCCCAATGTTCTGCATCGGATACAATGATGACGGAAGCAGATGCAACAACTCCATATCGAAGGAGAATATTCGGGTAGCGGAATGCACTTTTGGTGCCATCAAATCAAGAGCAGACACGGCTTATATCGACCATCAGATCGAAAATCTTGCTTCTCTATGCTTATGCAAAAGATATCACCAATCGCAGAAAGTCGAAATTGCCGAGATATGGAGGATGGACGAAATCATCTGGAGATTGGTCGAAGGACCCAAGACTGGAGCACCAAATCCCCGTGAGACCCCTCTTCGGATGCGAGCATGCGGATTTACTGCAGGTGGTAGAGCCTTGACTGAAGCGGAGGCTGAGTTGGCTCGACTTCGCCAGGAGTTGGAGGACATGATCCAATTTTCTAAGCGATCTGTGTCCTTGAACTAAAACACAATCTTACTCGAAACGAGGTAGCGTAGCCTGGTTGTATGCAAGCCGTGCATGCTGCCCTGGGGGCAGACTACGGTGCGCATCTACCAAACTTCACGTGGCGCTACCCAAAGTTTCGAATCTAGAACGGGAGGTTATCGGTCTTGAAAACGCTGAGTCATCAGAGAGCAGGCTCTTAGATGTTCAAGCTGTTTGGTCGAAGTCTGATCGGACAGTATGAAAGGCGTGGTTGTTGACAAAGTGGTAGCCTTAGAAAACACAAACTCACAAAGTCCGAATTTAGGTCACGAATGAGGGCCGAGGAACGACGGCAGCAAGGTCGATGAGCAGTAAAAAGTCAATTTCATAAGAAGTCAACATTGGAAATCCAATATAATAGCAAGAACTTCTTCTCATCGCTCAATGCACAAGACCGCTCTCTGCCATTTTCTGGACATATTTGGCATACTTGCTAGCACTTTTTCTTCTGAGCTCCTTGCCCCACTTTACCATAGCAAAGAAGGTCAGACACTGTGCAAGGCCTGCAAACGCGGCAAGGATGAAAGCGTTTTGCAGACCCATGCCTTCGATCCAGGGAGTGATGCCGTAGCCGATAGCAAAACTCATCGTGTTGCGAACAAGGATAACAGTGACGATTGCTTCTCCGCCAAGATCTTTGTATGAGTCAACGGCGTACGAGATACTCAGCTGAATACCGATGGTATTGGTCAAGGCGATTACGCCCATCGCAAAGACACAGCCAAACCACATGATATGCTGTGCCGCACCCACACCCCAAAGTATCAAGCCACCAGGAATAAGAAGTAACGAGGGCAGGAATAGCCATAGCCTATGCTCACTCTCGAGAACACCTCCGTTACGCCGTGCCATTTTAAGAACGATCTTGTCACCGATTACCCCGGTGTAAAACGATCCAATGGCAACACCAATGAGTGGCGATATATACGAAAGGCCAACCATACTGGGCGAGAAGTTGTAGGGAGCGTTTCCAAGGATTGATGAAGCAGTTCCGTTGAGTACATTGAACCAAATTAGATTGCTCCCGTACGAGAACCCAGCATAGAATATGACAGGAAAGGTAAGGAATATGAGGGGTCGGGCTACCATGCCAGCAATATGATTGTCTTTCTTCAAGTCAGAGGCTTGCCACAACTTGATCTTATCCAGGTATGTCTTCTGCTTGAACATGTCTTTAGGTACAGGTGGTCCATCTTCCAAGGCCAGATTGTGGTCATGCGGGCTTGCCATCTTCTCGTTTACGTTGGATGCCGGAGATGTTTGATCAGGCTGGACACCAACAACAGGCGTAACTCCTGTGATGGAAAGCCTAGAGTAGTTCGTCTCTTCCAAGAAGAAGAGAAGAAAAATGAACCCTGCTGCACAAAAGATTGAACACCAGTAGAGCACCCATCGCCAGCCTTGACCATCCGCTATGAAGCCAGCAAGCACTGGTGCGAGAAAGTTGGAACCCGCGAGAAGAAGCGCGTAGAGACCAAGGTATTTCCCTCTTTCATGTTGGAACCAGACGTCTGTGACTGTGATCTCGCAAAGGCTCTCTATGGGTGCTCCGAAGAAGCCTTGGAGGATCTTGTTGGCGATCCATTGACCATTGCTCCTGGTATAGGGTGCCCAGAGCTGTATTCCCATGGTTGCGAGAATGCTGAACAGGTACACCGGTCGCTTGCCGTATTGTAAGGCAAGTGGTTGCCATACAATGCAGCCCCAACCGAAAAAGAGAAACATATCTTCCCCACAAGTCAGTCCTCACGTCACGATTTCCCATATGGAATGAGTACTTACACCNNCAGTGCCATTGTTCAGTTCGTTCAGCGTCAGGTTGGTCTCCTCAGCGATAGGTTCCAGGATCGAGTAAATTGCCGCACTCGCAATACCCACCATCAGCGTATAAACGCCCATGCAGACCATTGATATTGTCTTCCTCTGAGGCGACCAGTTCAATGGATCATCGGGATCTTTCGAGGGAGTCGGAACAAGTACAACATCTCTTTGTCCACCTCGAGCATGCTGCGTGTGCATGGTGCCATCAAGATCGACCAGATGGACAGTGCCTGGTATATAAGGGTCTTCGGCGATAGCCCCACGGCCCATGATGATGTTCCTTTGGGAGGTGTGGATTTCAACGATATTCGTATGCTACCAGAACAGCGAAGGGAACTACAAACCACTGTCTGAATCTCACGATTGCTGCACAAAGACGCGAAGTATTGGACGAAGTACCAGCCCATCATATATGTTCGAGACCGGTAGATGCAGAAGATAGGGCAATTAATCGCGTACCAGAAGCGGTCATCCGAGATAGGCACAACACAGTCAAACGTCGGCCGGCAGCTTGATATTGTTGAGGACCAACCAAGCAGTGCAGTTTGGATGGATGCTAAAAGATCTGCGTCTGATAAGCATCAATCAGAGATAGTCACTTCGAGCTACTGTATCAAGTGTGGGGTGACACTGACGAGAGCTCTCAGTGAGGGGCGAGGTCAGTCGCACTGGGAGCTGTCGAGTTTCCAGTTTGTCGAATTCGATTGCCTGTACCCAGTACCTTCTTAGCTCACATTCGCCCTACCATGGATGGTAGGAAGGTGAGTAACCAAGACTTGCGTTTGACAACTTCTCGACTTTTGAACATCTCGAAGTTTGCATGCTGTCTTCATAGTCATAGTCACATATTTACACGTTCTGAGGAGTTTTCGACATCAGCCTTTGGTTGTCGCCCTTCATATCTTGCTTTCACTCTCCCTTCTGCAAGTAAGATGCCGGGAGGAAGAGAGAGCCTAAACGACCTCAGTGAAAAGTCTTGGCACAATTCACATGGCTCGCTGTTGCGTCGCGTTGACGCGTCGGGTACCTTCCTGAGGCAGACGTGCCACCAAAAAAGTTACCTGCACACCAACGCATAAGTGTTCGCACTTTCCTTATTGACAATCAGATACACAAAGCGCCCGTCATTCATGAATCCTACGCTATCGAGCATGTCATGAAAACGGTAATTCACGGATTCTGAAATTATTACTGGCTCCCCATACACCTTTCCGAAATGGATCAACGCTTGCACCAGCAAGCGAAAGGTGTCGCATCCGAACTCTTGGAACATCTGACAACCAAGCCGACAGCTTTTCTTGTTGCTGTGTTATGGCACGATATTCCTATGCCAGTGATCGACGCCTGCCGTGAGTCTTTCATGTTTGTGAAATGTACTGGCAAGATTAGCGTGGGCAAAGTTAGAGAGTCGTACCTCTCTAGAGAAGAGGCCCCATCCGACATATTGCTACATATGGGCTCGACCATCCCGTCAGACACTGCGAAAGTTTCCGAGTTAGTTCACTTTGGTGACAAAGTGATTGTCTTCCACGCGCTCGGCGTCGTTCCAGCCAACACGACGGACACAATGAACAGCACGTCGAATGGCCCGACTTCTGCGATCTTTGCCAATCTCTCAGTGCCTTCCAGGCTCCAATTCGCCCCCGAGTCAAAGGAAAATGGAGTTTCTGGTGCTCTACTTTCAGGAGCACTAACATCGGTAAGACAATCAAGCGTGTCGTCAAGATCGAGTGTCAATCAATCTGGACTATCTTCTGCTTCATCAGCAAGAAGGGCTCCTTCATCGTCCAGTGTACCCGGACATACTCCGGGTGCTTCGTCTCCACTCACGAGACCTGCGCCGGCACCTTCAACACCAGCCTCAGCTATTCCTCGGGCTAGTGTGGGTCTTCCCACTTCAAAGCACCACAGTCCTGCTTATAGCACGCCCACTCGTTATGCTCAAGCCTCGGTCCTTCCATCGGTTAAGAACGAACCAGTTCCGGCCCCACCTTATGGTTATGTCTCATATACCCCGGCGCCTCATGCACAGGGTCCGCAGCCTCTACAAGCTTCGCCGAGACTGCAGGGTCCATACTATGGAACACCACATGTCCCAGCTCAATATGGACAACCAAATGGCAATGGTCACGGCCCATCAACTACTCAGGTGGACAACACACATTCCGTAAGTCTGACTTCCACTTAGAATTGCAAGCCGTGTCGTGAAATCTGTTCTCTTTCTACGTGTGGCCTCATAAGAACGTGGTCTTTCAATGTCTCACTCGTGTTGCCTGCAACTTCACTGCCCTGGAAGGCACAGGGCAAACATTGGGCAAAGCCACCATTCAAACCTTTCATTTCATAGTTCCAGACCCTCTCCAAACCAACAAACTTGACGAGGTTTTAGGAATTCAAACCTGAGATCCCTTTGCCAGCACCTTTGCCTTTGCAGCCCTTCGAAGATTACGAGATGGGTAATACAGGTAGCGTCCCTTCTGGTGAAGATGCCGATGACGACTCTCTTCAGTATGCGCAAACAAGCATCTATCTGCAAGCTCTGGCCAAGGAAGAATCGGCTGAGAAATTGGAGGCTGGCGTCAAGTATGGTGTGAAAATGCTCGATCAGCTGGTCGAAGCGTTCGAGCCTGGTAAGGAGACCGAAGACATTAAGCAATGGTTGCAGCAGATCGAATTGGTCAGACAAGAGGCCACAGGCGCTCGCACCGTTGTCGGCGTTGTTGGCAACACTGGAGCCGGAAAGTCTTCGGTTATCAATGCCATCTTGGATGAGGAGCGTCTGGGTCCTACTAATTGCATGCGAGCGTGTACTGCAGTAGTGACCGAGATGTCCTGGAACGCAAGCGAAGACGAAAGCAGCAAGTACCGCGCAGAAATCGAGTTCATCAAGCCCGCCGATTGGGAAAGAGAGCTCCGAGTTCTCTTCGAAGAAATCATCGACGGCAGCGGCAACATCTCCAGAGAAGTTGGCAATTCAGATTCACAAGCCGACATTGCTTATACCAAGATTCGTGCCGTCTACTGGCGGCTGACAAGAGTTGATCTGGTAGACAGTTCGATCGAGAAACTCATGGCCGATCACTCTGTCCGGGGTCTTCTTGGTACCACCAAGTATGTCAAGGATCGCTATTGCGATACGTTCTACAAGTCCCTTCAGCACTACGTCGACTCTAAGGAGAAGCCCGACCTGGCAAACGAATCCGACGATGAAGTCGAGGACGATGCTAANGGTCACCAGTGGTAAAGACAAGAAGAAAAAGAAGACGGTTCAACAGATGACATCTCGAATACAGAGGCCGCTGACAGCTTGGGTCTTGGAGATGAGATCGAGGAGCTTGAGGATCAGCTTACAGCGATCGACCGCCGACGCAGAGCGACCGAGAAAGAGACCAGTAAGCTCAGAGATGAGAAGACTTCGCTCCGAGACACCATGGACAATTGTGATGATGAGATTGAAAAATGGGAAGCTCTTCAAGAGAAGCTCGACGACGGCAAGACCGTCTATGCTCCAGTCGCCGAGACAAGAAAGCGCAAGCGCTCTTCCTCGAGTACCGACGGTGAAGACGAGGATAAGAACAGCCAAAAAGCCGATAACGAGTCGCAATCTCTAGATCGTGGTTCGCCACTGACGGCCGAAGACATTGAAACAAAGATCCAAGAGCTGAAAGACCAGAAGAAGGAAGCTCGTCGTGGGCGTAGCGAGATTGAAGCACAGGTCAAGGAACTGAACGACAAGATTAAGGAGTTCAAAACCGAGACCCGAAGCATCGAAGACAACAGAAACCGCATCTGCATCGATGCACGCAATCAGTACTCGAAATCTGCTATTCAAGTTGATTTTGCTGCTGGCATCAAGGAGGTGAGTCTTTTCGGCGAAATGCTTGGTGCAAATCTAATTTGTTTTTTANNGCTTGATAAAGAGACCAGAGCCGACGAGGATCCGGATAACTTCGATCCCGAGGAAGAACTCCGCGACTACGGGAAGGTTTCTAAAGATCTGCCTGTCTATTGTGTCTCCAGCCGAGCATATCAGAAGCTGTCCGGCAGACTTGTGAAAGACAACGCCGTCCGTGGTTTCACTGACGTCGACCAGACCGAGGTAAGAATTGCACGTTTCCATCCTCTCTTCCTAAAACATGGCTCCTGCACACTTGTATGTCTGTCCCGCAGCTGAAAATTTTCCAGNATTCCTGCTCTCAAGTTGCACTGCAAGAAGCTCACAGAGAACGTCCGATCCATGAAATCTTGCCGATTTCTTACCTTACCGAGTCAACTGCGCACCTCGCTGGCGCTTTGGTCATCCAATGACGGTTCTGGTGCNAAAAAGACGGATCAGCAGAAGGACGCTGAACAGAGGTTTCTTGCTCGAAAGCTGAAGGATCTAGATAAAGTACGCAGGCATCCGACGTACTGGGGGTCAGCTACTAACAGTGAGTAGGCTCTAGAGAAGGACGTGAACGACACCCTGACAGAGATTAAGGAAACGGTGGCCGAAAACATATTTGAAAACTATGAGACTGCCATCAACGCTGCTGCCGATGCTGCATTGCCAACATCGCAAGGCTGGGGCGCGCACAAAAGTCAAGGTGGTCTGTACTGGGCTACGTACAAGGCGGTAGTCCGTCGACAAGGTGTCTTCACAGGATCTGGTGGTCTTTCTTATTTCAATGCTCAGCTGTAAGACTAGGATCTCGCCGTTGTATTTCACATCGACTAACACCGATAGCAGNNCACTGAGCCAGTCTACAAGCACCTCGCAAATGGCTGGGAGAAGGCCTTCCATCGCCGTCTTCCTCAAGTTCTCAAAGCGTGCGCCAAAGGATTCTCCAACGACCTGCGCGCCTTCCACAAAGCCATCGAAGTCCATTCGTTCTCTCACGGAGGCAACCCTCGCCTTGGTCTTCTTTCGCAGCAGCTCTCGAACTACGAAGCCGTCTTCAGCGACCTTGGTAGCAAGATGGTTGAGCTGATCAACGAACGCCAGCGTGATATCAACCGCGAATTCACCCCGAATGTGTGCAATGCCATGCTCGTCGTTCATAACGTCTGCACGGCAGAGGCTGGTCCTGGTCAATACAACAGAATGAAGACCCACATGACTAACCACGTCAACGCCCAAAAGGACAGCATGTTCCAGAGGGCGACCCAAGTCGTTCGTGACATGATCAAGGATCTGATCAAGGATGTCGAAGAGAACATGGCCAATCGTACTGATCAGGTCTTCGTTGGTATGCGTAGAGATTACCTTCAGGTTCTGAGCAACGTCCGCGTTGACGACATCACAATGCCTAAATGGGAGCGCAGCTTGAGAGGCACAATCGAGGATATCATCCAACAAAGCGAAGAGGGTTTTGAGGCCGTCCTTGAAGGAAGAGGTGTGGCGGTCTCTGGAGATGAGGCATCTGCAGGTGCCTTGAAGGATGGAGAAGATGGTACAGACGACGAGGACGGAGAGGTCGAACAAGACAAGAGAAAGACGATCAAGAAAGATGCTGATTCTGAAGACGACGCGTTCATGGAGGATGCTGATGTTTGAAAGGAGGAGGCCGATAATCGGGAGCAAATTCTTTGCACAAAGGGCGTACAAAAGGGTATTTTTGGTAGCAGATTAGCTATGATCACATCACGACGGTATGCATAGAAACGGCCCATTGCTCACGCAAAATATACTTTCTGACCTGCTCTCCTTTTCCTGCCATGCACGTTTACTTGTCGTCTTGTCACTAAGCTCGCAACTTTGCTCTATTCGTTGGATGTTTTTCTTTGTGCTCAGCATGGAGTGACCGCTTGGAAGATAGTCTGCCACTTCAATGCCTCTGTAGAGCATCTGTTTCAGTGTCGAGCGAGACGATCTTCTATGACCTTCGACCGAGCTCATCGAGAATAGTGAGTACGCTTTGTAGTGTTCGTAGTCGTATCTTCGCAATATGATCCTAAGAGGTGTATTCAAGATCCGAGATATGCGTATGGGCGAGCGAGAATCTCATCGCTTGACGCACAAGTCGCTTCTGATGACCCATTTCTCACCCTGGGTTACTTCACGTCCTTCATGGACCATGCATTCTTTGCCGTGGCGATGCAACAATGCGAGACCGACTTCTGGGCTCGCCTCTACAGGTGGTGGTGGAGCTGCCTTTCTAGACGGCGGATCAGGATAAAACACCGTCTCGCCGCCACCACAAGTCGTCAAGTATAGCAACAGTGTCCAAGTCGTCTTTGCTGCAACATTACTGCCATCCTCTTTGACAAACATCAAGTTGTTAGAGTCGTCATAGTGCTGATCAAAAAATTGGCCTTCTGAGTATCGATAGATTCTGATATTCGGATTCAAGCCCAAGATCTCGCCGCCGAAGAGATCTTGACGTTGCTTGTCGCCGAGTAATTCTCCATCAACTTCTCCTGCAGTGATCAAATCTTTGAGTGCAGTTTGTTCCCAGAGATGGCGTGCAAAGTCTGGATCGTCGATTTGGTAGCGATCATTAACGCGGACGGCATCGCCGCGTTTTGGGCGTCCGGNGGTTGTTGTGAGTGGTAGAGAGCGTAGGAAAGAGACGTATTTTGCACTCAGATATGAGGTGAAGAGGCGTGGTATTGTCAAGATTTGAGCGGGTAACAAAGTCGAGCAGGTAAGATCGGAGGCTGGAGATATGGGTGTGAGGGCTGGCCAATCTGGACGGGCAATGGGTATTTGTTTCGTTGCAGGCGCTGCTGAGGGTTTTGCAGCTTTGGCTTTTGATTTTGGAGGCATGTTTTGTGGGAGTTGGGTATGGTTGTAGAAGGGTAGGCTGTCAGTCTCATAGGACAAGACTGATACGGAGCGATATAGCCTCGGCTTAAGGATGCTAGCGGGATGACCCTGGTGTGGATATCGACACCATTGTAAGATGAACGCAGAACCTTGAAAGTCGGCCAAGTTAGCCACCACACGATTGGAGACTTGACAGCTAATGGTCTTTTTGCTGTAGAATCGTTCGACCAACAGCTATCGGGTCACAGTGGCGAGCAAATAAAGATATCTCAATTTCTCTTGAGTCGAGCAAAACGATGCATGACTCAGGTCCGGTTTGTGGACGAAGATGGTCGAAGAAGAAGCGTGGAATAGACATGTTCAACACGAAGTTCATATTATCAGAATCGGAATTCCAACCTTGTCTCCGTAGGTTATGTTCTGGGTTCCAGGTTGAGATAGCAGAGCGCGAGGAGAACTGTGAGTAGAGGTGTAAGGAAAATGTATGTTAAAGAGCCAATCGGAAGCACACCACGATGAGCCGATTTGATCTTGGCGATGAGTTGATTCATGTAAGTTTCTACGCAGAATGAGGACAGCAGTAAACTGATGCGAAGGACATGGAGCAGGTAGACAGTTGTTTAAGAGGTTGTACTCAGTAGATATGCGTTCTCCGTGGATAGAAGGACAAGGGTTGCATGGATAGGTAGAGGGAACAAGCAACAGACATGTCATGGTTTGGGAAGGTAAAAGCGGGAGTGAAAGTTAGGTCCCGCAAATCTTCACCGCCTGGCAACTATCGTCTTGGCCCGCGGGTCTCCATGGCGCAGACGGCTTGACAGCGTGTTCCAGACGGGTCAGAGTTTGGATCGCGAAAGAAAAGTCCATCTTCTACGCGAAATACTCGGTCGGAAACCCTTGCGCACAGTAGAAGCATGCGCCAGCAGCAGCGATAGTGAATGCGCGGAATCACCAAGCCCTAGAGACATGTTATCACGCCGCCGACGGACATGGAAGTGGAAGCAACGAGTCTCGGGCATGCTGCCTTTGCGCCTCATGACTACGAAACTCCCCAAGCACCTTCGCCCTCTCCCCTGAACTCGCCATGGCCCGAACTGGCCGACGTGGACACGGTCAACGAAGGCACGACTCAACCCGACCAACAACCAAGCTTCGCGCCGCAAAACCTCCAGGACGACACCCAAGCAGCCAGGGAAGTTGCGCAACAGAGTCCCCGACCCGACACAAATCATGCAGTACCACCTGCCTCAGACGCTCAAACTCTCGACCGCAAGTCGCAATCAGACACTCTACCGCAAACACTGCTTGAAGCCGACAAAAGTCGCCCGAAGCCTCCCTCGAGGNNCCCATGTCCCTAGCACAGTCGCTGTTCCCCGAAGACTTTGAAGACGAACCTGAGCACCAGGACGACGCTCCCGCTACGGCTGGGCAAACAGACCAGGCCCAGCCAGGAGCTCTCCCGCAGACACAGACGCAGACTGAGCAGCAANACACACTCCCCGACACAAGAGATACAGCCGAAGTTGCCTGATCAAACTGTGCTAGACAACCCGGACCTACCACAACCGTTCCCTCCGTATGAGACCACCGACCATCTGGACCAGTCGGTCGATCCTTTNGATCAATCGCAGCCTCTCCAACCACAGACCCCGACCAAAGACTACTCCGAACTCGCAAATGCCGTCGCCGATTTGAACTTGCCGACGAGCTCTCTTTTTCCCGCCGACCTTGCTCTCGCCTCGTATGAAGCCGAAGAGGCCGCTCCTGTACAAGACGCGCAAAACGATCCCATGCAAGCTTTCGCGAAGCTGCAGTTTCCCGATGGCGACTTCTATGTTAATACCTATGCGGTCGAATTGGGTCGTGATCTGAATGCTGCCAAGTTTGAGCGAAAGGCAGGCCGGAAACACAAGATGAAGTTGAATCGAGATGTCCAGATGGAACAAGATGCCGAGATGGATATGGACGATGAAGGCCGCAACATTGCGCGCAGCAACGTCAGCGAAAGTGGTGGTATCGTTGGTGTCAACATTGACTATGACAGCGAAGAGAACGAAGAATCGAAACGCCGCAAGCGCAAGCAGTTTCGCTCCACCAACTCATCACACTCTGTCGACCCTACATCCCTCCTCGCCAACCCCTACGACCTTTCGCTCGACTGGCAGCCACAACAGGACAAGCCCTTCGAATACGAATGTCCTTTCATTCCAATCCATCCCCAGGCTGGTCAGTCATTCAAGAACATCTCGCGTAAACACATCCGTATTGAGTACAACCTGCAAAAGGCCTTCTGGGAGATGCTTGTGAACGGCAGAAATGGCGTGTTCCACGATGACAGCCACGTCGACAAGGGCTCTCTGGTCAAGCTACATCACGGAAGTGAGATTCTCATTCAAGGCATCACCATCATCTTCAAGCTTCCGGACAACGCCCGTAACGAGGACGAAGAGGAAGAGCCAGCTCACATCCTCTCTGACACGGACAGCTCCCTCTCCGATCTGGACAGCGTCGCTAGTGTTACCTTCGGACACGACTATGAGGAGGAAGACGTTTCATCCGAAGACGAGCCTCTACGCCTCAAACGACCTGTGCAGAAGAAGGAGCGACCTCGAAGGATTGTCAAGCTCAAACTAACTCTCAAGAAGAACTTCCCTGCTGTTGCTGGACTGCCCGTCGAAAAGGAAGAGAAGAAGGAAAAGGAAAAGGAGAAAGAGAAGAAGAAAGAGAAGGAGAAGATTAAGGAAAAAGAGAAAGAGAATGAAAAAGAACCTGAAAAGGAGAAGGAAAAGGCACCCGAGAATGCCAAAGTCAAGGAGAAGGAGAAGGACCAAGTGAAGGAGAAAGAGAAGGAACGAAGACCGTCCAAGTCTGGCAAACAGTCCATCAAGACCGACAAGCCTGCCAGAGTGGAAAAGGCAGAAAAGATGCCCAGAACACCCAAGATGGACAAAGTCGAGAAGCCAGTGCAAAAGGTCCCTCTGCCCGAGAAGATAGAGACAAGCGACAAGGTCGAAAAGCCAAAGGATGTACCACCTGTCGAAAAGACAATCGTCACACCCAAGCAGCCCCAGGTCGTCCCGCCAGTTTTCGAAGACAGAAGGGAATCCGCTATATCCACTACCGAGATGCCCCCTCCATCCCAGCCAGCTGACATCAAGCCGTCAATCGAGCCTGANCTCTTACGAAGCTCTGCAGGCCCTGCAGGTGACGCCTTCCCAAACACCCCTGCCATTCCTACAGATTTACCTCCTGGTTCCATCCTTGCTGGCCTAGCTCCAGAGGAAATACCTCAGAAGCGCAAAGGCCCTGGACGACCTCCCAANAACGGTGTCATGTCTAAACGCGATGAGGCCATCATCAAGCGAAAGACAAAAGAGTTGCAAAAGCTTGGCAAGGCCATTCCACCACTTGCTGAACTCTTGGCCCTTGCCAGAGCCGAAGGCGGAAGCACTACCAAGAAAGATTCCAAACCAGAAGACGGNAAGTGGGGAGAACATCTCAGTCAATCTGTTGAGATCGACCCTGCACTCATGGCCATTCAAGAGCACAACAACGCCACACCTTCGGCCGAAGTCAAGACTGAGGGAGGCCTCATGGTTGCTCAGCCTACACCAGACAAGGACGCGAACAAGCCCAAGAGGATAGTCAAATCCCCATCTCCCCAGAAGCCTGAATCAGAATATACCGAGGAAGAGCTCAANAAACCAACGCAGACCTATGTAGTTCTGATTCACGAGGCTCTGTCGAAAGCCCCAACAGGTGTGATGGACCTGCAACAGATCTACGATGCTATGCAGAAAATGTACCCATGGTTCAAATACAAGAGTACAACCTCCGGGTGGCAGAGTAGTGTCCGACACAACCTCATCAGCAGCGAGGCTTTCGAGGAGGCTGGCAAGATCGGCAAAGGCAGGCTTTGGAAGATCAACCCCAATGTCTCAATTGACAAGGAGAAGAAGCGAAAGGCTCCAACGCCGCCGCCGGATAACAGACCTGCTCAGCAACAGCAGTATCCCTACTATCCGAACAACCAGTACCCGTATGGCCATCCTGCAGCTCCTGCATACGGAGGTGCATATGCCAGACCAAGCCCTTACGGCACACCCTATGGTCCGCCAACCGTGCAGAACGCGGCACGGCCGCCTGTTCCAACGCCGCAGCAAAAGCCTGGTACCTACTATTCTCCATATGCATCAACCACGCCAGGTGCTGCCGCTGCTGGCTCGCCGTATGGTCCTCCGAGCAGAGCACCGTATGCTCCTTACCCTCAACCCCTCGTCCTCCGGGTATTGCCTATGGCCAACCGCCACAGCCACCGGCACAACCCGGTCAGCCGCAAGCATCGACGCCGCAAGGCCAAGCACCTGGGGCGCCACAAGGTCAACCACAACAACCTCAACTGCAGCCCGGTCAAGCTTCTCATCTACCGCCAGGGCAGCCTTATCAGCCATCGAGTAATCAAGCCCTAGGACCGCCCAACAGTCAGTCACAGTATCCTGCTCCAGGTCAAGCCTCAACCTCCTCGACCTGTGATGGCCCCAGCGCCTGGTCAGGCCCCTCCGCCGCCACACAATCCGAGTGGGATCACTTCTGAAAAGATGATTGACAATATCATGGATTACCATAAGAGGTATCTAAGCAACTTCCAAGGTCCAGAGCAGGAAAAGCACAGAGCGATCTTCCGCAAGGCCACCAACAGACACATTCGCCGTGATCAAGAACACGGTCCGTTTGAGTCTGAGGAAGAAGAAAAGCTTTACAAAGCTATTCAGAACATCATCACCTCTACACAGGCAGAAACGGCACCCTCCGCTCCTGCCCAGCCTCAGACGAATGGTCAGGGCCCTGTTCAGGGTGGGCCACCGCAAGGCCAGGCGCAGCCAGGCGCCACACAACCAGCGCCAGGTCCAGCTTCACAACAACAGGGTGCGCCTGGACAACCACCTCAACAGGGTATGCCAGGCTCGCAGCCCCCTATGGGTCAACGGCCGAACAGCGGCCCTCATCCTGTTCACCAAGGATCTAGCTCAGAACAGGCATTGGCCGAAGCGCTCAAGACGGCTATGCCTGGTGCGCAAACCTTCAGGCAAGGTCCACCGATTGCTCCTTACCATCCAGGTCCGATCGCACCCAGACCCAGCCCGTACGCACAGCCACAACCGCAGCAGCAGCAAAGGATGCAGCCTCCAGCAGGACAGCAACAGACACCTCACCCTCGCCCTAATCTCGCGCCGACACCGCAAGTGCAAGCACCGAGACCGACATTCACTGCGCCGTCGCCAGCTCCGTCCACTGCAACAACAACGGCGACCCAGAATCAGGCCTCAAACCCTGCCGCGTCAAGACCTGTTGCCTCTGCTCCAGCTCAACCGACACAACCGTCTCCTGTGCCAACCCCAAACCAGTCAGCTCAACAAGCTCCTGCGCGTGTTCAGAAATCTCCTGCGCCGGCACCAATGGCTCAAAACGCGCCTGTCCCTCAATCTGTTCCTGCAGTTCAACAAGCTCCGGCGTCCACACCGTCGCAGACACCCACACCTGCTCCTTCGGCACAGCAACAATCATCTGCGACTATACCTCCAGCCACTACACCAGCTCCAGTGGCTCCTCAGACACAAGCCGTACAGCCGCAGGCTCTCCCAGTTGCTCCCCCGCGCCGGCACCCGCAAAACAGACGCCTCCCGCAGATCCAAACGCACATGGAGGATTGAAGCGACCCATTGAGATTGACGATGACGGCGACCATGAAGCCAAGAAGCAGAAGACGGACGAGCCGAAAGCCTAGGAATACTCGTGGCTAAAGTAGCGATGTGAGAGACGAAGTTTACGAGGCGTTGTTATTGTTTTTTTGCATTTTCTTCCTTCTTTTTATTCTTGCTCTATTGTTCCGGAGTCATATATCATGTGGCAGCATACATGTCACATGAGGGAGGATGGTCATTCTTTTGGTTAATTACTATCAAGCGACGGAGTGGATGGGTTCGGCGTGGGTTTGTTGATGCATGAAGAGAAAAGAACGGGATGGGCAAAGGCGTTTCTTTATACACAGACGATGCTTACACATTACTATTGGAACCATCCTGAGAAATCACAATACCCCCATTTTTCACGTGCGCCTATGCTCTCTTCCAATTGCCATACTGATGACTTCTGTTTCGATCCACTCGGGTGGTCATGCCTTGCTTCTTTCTGTCTCCGCTACAACCAAGAGAGAAGTCATGAGTTTGTCGCGGCGTTCGTGTTCGAAGTGACGCTCTTAAAAGAGCACGACATCGAAACCTCTGCGCTCGAGGAACACGTCCCAGCGCTCGCCATTGCTTTCATCCCAATAGGCTCGTAGAGCTGCTGACGCAGCATCTGCATTGCCCCAACCATAGTTTCGAATACGGCCCATGCAAACTTCGATATAGTTTCTCAGCTCTGGATCTTCAGCCTCACATCCTGCTGTGAATAATGGCCAGAGGATCAAGACGTTGGCGGGTGACTCTGGCCTCAGCTTTCCTAGCAGATCTAGCATAGAAGCTAGTGCTATTGCTGGCTTGGGATCAAGCTCCGGTAGTTCTTGTACGCGACGGTATAGATGCAGAAGAGCGGCGTGGACGAACATCTGGTGTACGTAGACTGCTTCGTCAACAAGCAGGGGATCCTGAGTGTGCAACAGCGAAGGCGATGATGCGCGAGTGAACAAAAGAGAAAGTTGTTGCTCGGTAAGCAGGATGTTGTCTGCCAACAGCATGTCCAGATCGTCTGCCATCTCGGCATAGCCAGAGCCCAACGAAGATCCCAAGGCCTTGCGACGGCGCTGTAGACGTGCCATACGGCCTATGCGAGCGAGAACTGGCATCAGCTCCAACGAGAAACCGACAAACTCGTCAATGTGCTGTGGCGAGGAAGTGCCACTTGGAGCTCCAATATTCCAGAATTGGCCGTCGGAAGAGGTAGTTTTGTCGAGACTCATGATGCTGGCAAAGATATCCACAACGGCAAACCAGCGAATAAGAAACAGCTTTTTGTCATCCAGATCTGTAACGGCTTCGTGCCTGTTCTTCCCAAGCGCAATAGATAGTAAGTTTTCTGCACCGTGTAGATGGGTACGCATGGCCATTGTGTTTCCAGCCATGACTTCATTTGTGCAGAGAAACAGTACAGTGCAGATTGTGGAGAAGTTGGAGGCCTCTGTTGGATCGTTCATAGCCTTTCTCAACCCTGTGATTGCTTTGCGTAAGAAGAATGATGCTCGGTTCTGCAGCTCGATCGAGTCATTGCCTCGGAGTCGCCGTACTTGGTCACAAGATAGTGCTAGAGCTGCCGAGAGCAAATGTGGTGTCTGAGCTGCGACTGTCAAGACATCTTGATGTATCGAGGGTGCCATGAGCGGAAACAGAGTAAGTGATGTGTGTGTGATATAGTGGTGTAAAAAGAAATATGCATCAGGTTTCTCTGACGGACATAGAAGAGGATACTGGCTCAATGATGGTGGTANATTCTTGCATTTGTTAGCATGACTTAGCAAAAGGAGCCACGGATGGGCATACTCACTTGGTGGAGAATAGTGCTGGTATGGCACAAGCGAAANATCGCGCTCGATGGTTTCGTCCGCTGGCTCAAAATCGAGATCAGATGGAATGTCAAGTAGTTTTGTGTCTGTCAACAAATTATCCTCAGGATTGAGGAAGGAGTCTTGATAGTCATCGAAGCTGGTGGGGTCATTGAAGGGTTGCAATGCTGAAGCAACATAAGCACATTGGAAAAGCGAATGGACAAACAAAGATACCCACCACTCGGAAATACCTTCGCAGANATTTGGTGAAACATCGGGAAGTGGTGACAGTTGCGATTCGGCAATCGAAGTTGCCTCGTCAGTTCCCAGTTCACTCTGAACAGACTGTGCCGCATCAGAACCAGAAGTCGCAACACTCGCGTCCAGATTCGTAACCCAGGGCTCCTTCGTCCTCGGCTTTTTGAAAGGTCGCCCCTGCGTCCAAGATAGTTTCAACTCATAAGAGCATCGTTCAGGATATCTCTTGCACCTTCCACAACTAGGCTTACCCTCGTCGCATTTCACGCGTTTCCTTTTGCACTCTGAACATCCCGTTCGCGATTTCGATCCACTGCCGCCGGTCGCTTTGGGGTCGGACATTTTGATCGCGACTCCATCTGTGTAGTCATGATAGAGCTGATTGTGAAAGCTGGATGACACACCGGCCGGGATGACTGGTGGTGGTTGTTAATCGGTTAGAGTTGCAGTGTCAGCCGCCGAGGTCGGCAATTGTTGGCGGCTTCTGTATATCGAGTTCGAGCTCCTCTTTGATTGAAACGACGATATGGTGTCTCGATGCTTGCCAGATATCGCTGTAAACATCGAAGCTGATGTTAAACTATGGATGTCCTCCTGTCAACGAAATCATTTGTGTTGTCTGGTAGTAAGATATTCAAGATTAACCGAGCATGAAGCCTTATCAACCTCCCCCTCGCGGATTGGGTCAACGTAAGACACCTTACTGTGCATGGATATATCATAGCAGGTTTAGGTTTTGTTATTCCCATGTCATACTTGCAGATAAACTAACACCTCATAATGGCAATTCAATACGTTCGTCGTCATTGAGAACTCGACTATGTAAACTGCAACGAACCCTGATCAAGAGTCGTTCAATCCGTCCTCTGCCACCCCAATCAAAACCTGAAGTTGACGACTGCAATGTTTTTCCTGTCGCTATTCACGCACGTTTTCTGCTTTCTGATATTCTTCATCACAAAAAAGCCATTGCTACGGATTTGAGCACGTCCAATGACATGCTGGCTTTGAGAGGTTCGTTACTAAGCTAGTTGAGATACCGAGATTGACATGTTCGACAGATATTCGTATGAGATTGTCCCCAGCCACTTGAGTAAACCGAGAAACTGGAAAGAAGGAAACCAGTGGATGCCTTGAGATGAATCAACCGGAAGGAGTACATACCATCAGCCTTATCGTGGCTGCAAAGTCTGGCTGTTCTGTCACGGATGAACTCTGGAGCAAACGTCGCATGTCATGCCCTTGACGACCTGACACTAGAGACACTATCTAAAATGAATATCACAGTGTGGCCAAGGGGGCTTATTCGGAAAATTTGGTTAGTTGGGTAGCAGAGTATGGATGGACATGGTTACTAAATTTGGCATGGATGGATACAATTCTAGAGGAATCATTAGGAACAACAGCAGTGAGGAGGAGTTGTTAAATCAAATTGTAGTCGCAAAAATTGCTATGTCGACAGGAGCAGACCCATATCAGAGTGAGAGTCGTAGCTGTGGCACCTTAACGCCAGCCCCAGAGAAAACAAAACAGAACCAGGGTATGCCTCGAAATCGTATGGTCTTTGCAGTCGAACATGTAACGAGAAGAAGAGAAAGGAACAGGAGCAATCACATGGCCATCTCAGCTTGTAGTCTCCGGAGCTCGGCCTCTTCGTCGTCTTCCTCTTCTTGGGCAGGTGCCTTGCCTCTTGNCTGCGAATAGTCAATATCTGGGACTGGGGAGAGCGATACAAAGGTAGACTTACGCTCGGTATTGTTGACACTAGGCATACGATGAACCTGGTCGTGTACAGGCATGGTACCAGTCTTGAGCATGGTGTTGTCCAGCTCTTCTTGTTGGAGATCAGCGAGCTCTGATTCAAGCTCATCATCATCGACAGCATTGGCGGTAGAGCCTTGGGTAAGAGCGCTGGCAATCTCCTTGCTGATGGCGTGTTGTTCTTCGAGGTCTTCCATGGTAGCATCGACCTTGTCGATTGTCAGGCCGCCGTGGATGGTCTTCATGGCCTTGGAGGCGTTGCCCAGTGCGTCCAGGGTCTCCTTGTTGATGTTTGCCGTCTCTATGCTGGCGATTTGACCTTCGAGGTTCATGATCTGGGCGGACGTTTGCTCCAAGGTCGTCTCAAGTTGCTTCTTCTTTCGCAGAGCGTTCTTGGCGGCTGNTAAGAAGAGTTAGAAAGCAGCGGTCGCAGCCATGATCGAGGCGTGCGTACCAGTCTTGTTTGTGTTGATGAATTTCCTGGCCTTCTGGTCCTCCTCATCCATCTGGTTCTGCAAGTGCTTCTCGCGCTTGTTCAGCATCTCGAGTGTGCTCCTCAGCTGCAGGATGGCCTTCTTCGGGGCATCTTTCTTGGCGGCTGAATTGCCGCCAAACCAACCTCCCAACCCCCAGCCGGACATGTTGTGAGATGCGACGTGTAGTTGCGTTTGTGGATGCGGGCGCGGCGGTCTTTGTGGCTACAGACGTGGGCTATAGCGAATGGCGATCGTCGGGCACAAAGGTGGGGGACGTGTGTGCTCGTGTGATGGCGGGGTAGTAGGTGAGCGCGACGGAGGGTGGCGGAGTCTAGGGTAGCGCAGCGAGGCTCTAAGTGAAGGGTGGTGTACAGCAGTAGATAGCGGCGACAGGCGTGGTCTTGGTCGAGATTGTGTTGTGGAGAAGTGTTTGTCCTGCTGGCTGCCTCCCACTGTCCGCTTGACCATGACGCACCCAGATGCCAAGCCCTGGAGATTTGACACGCCGTCCAATGTAACGCCACCAATCTGCACCAATCAAGGAAAGAACCACCTGAAGCCTTCACAAACTTTCCCCTTCGTTGACATACAACAATCACTTGTCATCTCTTCTTCAACTCAAAGCGTTCAAGAATGAGTCACTCATCGCCACTACCGAGTCGGCTCTGCGCCATCAGCCAGCTCTCTACGCTGCGTCCAGGCGACAAAGTTCGCTTCCTNGGGATGGTAGGTATCTAAACGTCTTCTGCATTGTCTCACCTGTCTAAGTATCAAAGTGTAAATCAATACCATGAATCTGCTGCTTTGCTATCCCTCTTCCACAACTTCTCTTCTTCTCAAAACCAACAGACTACCCAAGTCGACATCAGCCAATTACTCGATACCATCGACCACCAAGATCTCCAGATCGGGGCCTGGCTCAACGTGATTGGATATGTCACTCCGGCTACGTCCAAGTCTCGGTCCAAAATCCAAGCCATCATCGTTTGGTCTGCTGGTGCTATCAATCTGCAACAGTATGAGAATGCTCTTATCTCGAGACAAACAACCTGACTTGCATATGACCTCCTGCAGTGCCATGTATGCCAATACTGGACTCGACCGTTACATGTTCTTTCCACCTTCCTGGTTTCGACTCCCAATGCTCTAAGCATAAGCTCCATTATCCCGTCTGTGGCACGGAGCCAAACAATTCTAACGCTGATAAATCGTCAGTCCGGCGAGGTGCTCCGGATCTACAGGACCTTGGTCCAATACTGTCTGACGATACTCTGTGTCCGTTGCGCTAAACCCGTTCTGCAAAGCACGGAACCGTGGCCCCACCTCACTGCTATTGCGAACCGCACTTTCTTGGATGTAAGTCTCGATATATGCCTGATCTCGGCCGGAGGTAGCATTGGGGCTATTGCCAATGAAGACCTGCGGACGAAGAGCCAAGAAATCAGGCCAGATGTTGCAGTTCAAGTGGGGTGCGAACACGAAGGTGTCTTTGTTGTTCCTGAGCATATCAGATGCCGCCGGGTCGGATATGATGTTGTTGGTCGTTGGGTCGGTCTGACGCGGTATTGAACGCAACAGGTATGTCGTCTCCATGTCGAAATCAGGGTCTTGGAGATATCTTTTGACTGGCTCGTAGTTGATGCCTCTCGATGCGCACTCGTCCCTCCATTTCTCGTCAACCTTCTCCCACATGTACACGAATGCCGAGTACTGCACATCAAAACAATTTGTGCGTTGGGACTTTCGTTGAGGCTCTCGTTTTCCCAAGCCTAAGCAGATCATGGTCTGGACGTTGCTCATTTGGTTGACGGCTGCCTGGATTTGGTCTCGAAATTCCTGCCACGGATCGTCTTTTTGGATTTCATCGAGTGTGAATTCGATATCCCGAGATACTGCAAGTAGCATCTCAGGATGATTCAGGTTTCCCTTTTGGCTTCGAGCTGAAATATTGGCTTGAACTCCAATCTGACCTCCATTCTGCCCTCCGGCTCCAGATTGGCCTCCAGTCGGACCTGCAGTTGGACCCCCAACTTGCCCTGTCTGCCCCCAGCTTGATCNTCCAGCCTGGCGGTTCCCGAAGAATGCTGGCATCCGTTCTGCGTATACGTCAAGCATGTCCTTAAAAACACGCGTGCTAACTCCGTGGCCGATTGCAGCCTCAAGTTTCGCCTGACTAGGCATCACTGCTGGTGCGACGTTTCCGCTCAATTCCGTTGACATAGATGTTGTATCTGCTCCTGGACTGTCCGAATATCAGCGAATGCCACTGTCAAACCTTCCTATACCTTGGGTTTGGAGCGACTGTTATGTCGTCTGCGGTCTTTGTTCCGGCGCCGCATACCGGATCCTTCTCGACGACGCAACCGGAAGCCCGCACAAAGAACGACGAACCTCGAAAGACTCGGTCCATGCTTGCAAGTGTAGATGCTTCCGGCATCTCAGGCCTTTCACGGTTGTGCGAGACTCGACCGAGATCTGAACGAAAGCGTGCCAAACCTGACGAGAACTCGATTTGCTCAAGCTATCCTTGGTGATAAAGATACTGTGCTCCAAGAGATATCAGACTTGAAAGAGAGCATGAATTCAGTCCATATGGTTGCTAAATATCTCTGCACATACTATATTGCTGGACTATCCTAATAGAAAACTTATACATGACCGCACTGAATGACAAAGCGAAAGATTGTATGAAGAAAGGGGGAAATAAAAAATCAACGATCCCATCTACCTTTCAACTTGTCTGCATGAAAGATTGTTGGTTTGCGAGTTCTACTCCTTCACCGTCAAATCTGCCTAGAGCAAGACAGACGGCTTGGTCGACATATCCAGTCTTCCTTACGATTGCTCAAGTCGATCTCTGAAGTTCGGGGGTTTGGTTGGATGAGATCTTCTCTGCTCCATACGTCTCTTGGTCGCCAGGACATCGTCCCATATCTCAGCGAATGACGGTCGCCCAGTTCCGTCCAGGTTCCTATCTTGAAATTCTGGATTCTTACTCAAGAAATGGAGATGCAATCCAGTCCAGTCTGTTTCCATGATACCAGCCCACGAGCCGCCTTTCACATAGCGAAAGGGATTGGCAGGGCTAATCGAAAGAGTCAAACGTTCGGATTGTTTGCGTTGTCCTGGCATCTCGATAAATCGGCTCTTAGAAATTGAATAAGACCCGACGACTCTCGTGAGCCCTGACCAAACATGAAAATGATCCCTCAGGCTGCTTGGGGAAAGACAATTACACTACTCGATTGGTATCCAGCTTGGTGACCGCAACCAGCAACGAGGAGCAGACCATGCCGCGAGCGGTCGATCAAAGGAGTGCTTCGAGAGAGTTGAAGGAATCCATCCGGGTGTATCTCTTTGTTCGGGTCCGCGACCATCGAGTCATTGACTAATAATTCATCAGCTCGACCGCTCAGTGCGAGGGCGAATCGCACAGCTACTTGAGATCACTCGAGTCATGGTAGTATATTAAAGCGGAAATAACGTTCGAAGTGGGTGTTCAGACGATATCCTAAGCCAGGAAGCAGGCATGATGTAGTACAATTCTGGAAGAAAAATATGAATCGAGCCTCCCACAGTTATACGCTTGTTGGAATGCTACTTCCTTGTCCTGTGGTTCAATCACACTTCAAGCTTTTGTCAAAAAATTCCGACAACACTGCTCTAACAAAAAGCAAAGAGATGCACTAATTATATCAAACTCACAAACACACCCCAAATCTAGATCCAAATGTCTGCCATCCCTGTCTCTAATGCCTGAGACCAGTCTGGAAGCGCTACGCCGTAGCAATTCTAGCCATGAGAAGATCCAAAGTCATCGCATCGCGTTTGCGCAAGTAGAAGGAGGATCTGGAGAAAGCTGCCTTCAAGATTCTCGCCAATCTCGGATAGCGGTACTCGTGGGCGTACACACCCCAATACACGATTCCCTCGTGGGTTGCGAGAAAACGGCATGCTTTGTTGTACAAATCGATTGCCTCGGCGTTGAGAGTCGTATCCTTGGTATAGTATACCTTGTTCAGATAACTGTCGGTGATGTTCCAACCAATGCAACCCAGGTCTCCTCCATGGAAGGTGTTTGTGTAAAGAAGTTCTGGCTCACGGCCTGGTCTGAGGATTATGTCGAACAAAAGGTTGCCTGGGAAGTGAGGTGCATGGACGAACGACTGTACGTCCATATGGTTGTTTGCTTCAGGGGCTTCGACAATTATCTGGCGACCAATCTTCTCAAGGATGAATCGGTCCTCGATCTCGAATCTTGGTTCTTGGAACACAACTGGCAGAGTTCCTAGCTGCATATTCTGCTTCTCTTCGATCATCTGGCACAGGGCGAAGAACATGCCACATTGCTGGACAAAGTTGTGGTTGTAGTCCCATGGGTGTCGATACTCAATCGAGCCCAACCCAAGGCACACAGCATTTTTTATAGGTCCAGCTTGTTTGACAACATCTCCGAGGCTTGCTTGAACGGGTCTGACGTTAGCCAAAAGGCTCATTGGACCGTGATTTGTTTGCTCATCCATGATGAGACGTTTCACACCCATTATCTCCTTCCATAATACCTCAAATTGGCCGTCTGCTGGTTGATGATCAGCAATGTAGGTTTGGCGACGAAATCCCGGATGAGCATAGAACCACTCGTCAAGATGGCCTTCCCACTCCGTGTCGCTGATACCGATGTGTCTGGTTCCGCCGAGCTCATATGGGTTGTCCGGTTCGTTTGGCGGAATGCTAGCCATATCGTATTCGTAAATCGATCTCAATCGTTAGGGCAATATGTTAAGAAGGCAGTCGACTGCTGGTCCAAATACACCATTATGGGTGCCATCGCTGTCGTTTCCCACGCATATTGTTGTTCCAGAACAAAGACATGGTTGCATCAGAACCATTTCCGCAAGCGGACGACGTTGTCGCAACATTCTGGATGTCGAGGAATGTGTCGAGGCTGGAAGGATGAACAGTGCTTTGTCTCCTGAGAATCCGCATCGTTGACAGTATATGCGTGCTGTAGATGACAAAGAAGTGTTGTGCGATGGTAGAGTTGATGAAGCTTTGTTCCGAGGATATGGGAGATGGATGTTGAGGAATGTGCGAATCCAGGGGGTCCTTCCTCAGGTCCAGGATGCAGTCAGCTGGCGACCCGCGCCTTCTCTCGAGTACCAATTGCGTTCCTGAGCATTGAAAATGCGACTTCCGAGAAAAAATCAAAAAGCAGATTTTTGCTCAATACATCACCAGCAAATTACACAAGTAGGATACAGTATGGCCCAATAAATTCGTTAAGTTCGTATATATCTCGCACATGTTTCTCAGCCTAAAAGACTCTTTCCAATCTACTCCCACAGCACTCTGATGTAGTGATACCATTTGGTATAAGGCTTCTTGGGCTTATGCGTAGTCATCACCTCATCAAGCCCACTCACAAGATCCACAGTCAGCGGTGCACGAGCCCAAGCCTCATGTCTAGCCCAAAACACCTTATGGACAAGATAAATAATGATGGGAATGGGAATGCCAACATAAGCCGTGAAGAAACTGGCAATCGACCAGTTTTGCGGCCAGAAAACGGTAAAGCCATTGATGAATGTCAAGATGGTAAAGAATATCAGGGCGAACCATGCGCCCCAGGGCTGCATGGAAGTGTTTCGGTAGGGGAGGTCAGAGTCTGGGATGCCTTGGGCGGCGATGGCTTTGCGGAAGCGTATGTAAGTGACGCAGCAGCAGATCCATGATATGAAGGCTGACGTGTTGGTAAGGTTGACGAGCCAGTTAAAGACGACGCTGGCAGAGTTTGCGACGTTGAGATAGGCCAACAACGAGAACAGTGATGACACTCCCATCGCACGGATTGGTACACCGCTTTTGCTGCAGTGTTTGAACCAAGCGGGAGCATTACCAGCAAGGGCAAGTGAGTACAAGCTTCGTCCAGAAAGGTAGAGGAACGAGTTTCCAGACGACCAAGCGCTAAGGATGATGCCTCCGTTGATGATCGAATCCAGAATAGGGATACCAGCGTTCTTGATACCAACCACGAATGCCGAAGACCCGGCTCCAACTCCGCCATTGGTTAATGCCTGGTGATTTGAACGACAGATGACGCCAATAGCGAGAACGGAGAAAATGTAGAAGAAGATAAGGCGGTAGAAGTATCTTCTAGCTGCAATGGGGAGATTGCGACGCGGGTCTTCGATCTCACCACTAGTTGCAACCAACAGCTCTGGAGCAAAGGCAAAGGGAAATGCACTCAGCACCCAGGTCGAAAGCAGTGCTATGAAGCGTCCAGTGTTTCCTTCGGCAAGATAGATGTTCGCCGCGCCAGGGTTCTGCCAGTAGCGAAATCCAAGTCTGTGTCCAGAGGGACCTCCACCAAGACAGATAATGAGCGATACAAGCAAGAGGCCGACCATCATGATAACCTTTGTTCCAGCAAANNCCTGTAGTCGTTAGCACTGGATTGATAGCAAATGGTGTTCATATATCTACCAAAATTCCACTTCTCCATAGTACTTGACTGGCAGAAGGTTGAGTGCGACGATCAGAACTAGCATGATGGAGATCCAGACAGCGATATTGATGGTAGATCCCCAGTACTCGATGACCAGACCAGCTGCTGTGATCTCGTATGGTACCAGGATGCCGAGAGAGTACCTTTGTTCATGTTAACGAAACATGGAGGGGCAATATTCAGATCATTTGACGTACCAATATAGCCAACCCAAGGCAAAACCGAAACTGGACGACACAAATCGATCTGCAAACATTGTCATGCTGCTACCACGAGTAGGCAGGTATGCGGACATCTCAGTGATAGNCTATGGATATCAGATAGTGTCCACGAATGACGGTACATGACAGGACAGCTTACCAGTAACTATCATCCAGATCAACGCAGCCATAAAGACAAACGATCCCAAGATGAATGCTGGGCCACCTCTAGCGAGCGTCTGACCACTGCCGACGAAAAGACCAGTACCGATTGTGCCTCCCAAAGCAATCATTTGAGCATGTCGTGATTTGAGGCCGCGTTGTGTTGTTCCGTAGGACTCATCAAAGACCTCGCCCGCTACAGGTCCCGAAGTTGTCTGGTACATTGGGACTCCCTTTTCTTGGTCAAACTCGTATGGTGCCTTCACGCGAGTCTCCTCGCGTGATACCTTGTCGGATGACATGATTGGTATGGTTGTTTGCAGTTTCGTCCTGGAGGGTAGTCGAGGAAGATCAATACCGTGAGAAAGATGGAATGAGAAACACGACTGGACCAATTGAATGGTTTCAAGAAGTGTATAAGTGGAAGAAGCTAAACAGAGCGTGGGAGAGAGAACACGTCTATGATGGGAACCTATTATACTTGATCATCTTCGAAAGCTCCCGACACTGAGGCTGCTCCCCGGGGAGGTACGCAGGCCAAGAGATAAGCCCAGATACACCGGCGACTGGGCAAACAAGACCGCAGCAAAGGTTGTTTTCGGACCGTCTTCCATAGTTGCAGCGGTTACGAGCGGCCTTGTGTTTACGACAAGGATGCTGGATTCTTAGAGTGACTGAGAGACTACTGCGTATCTCGTTCGGAGATCAATTACCTGGTGATAAGGTGTCCAGATAAGATGTTAGAGCACTAGACCAAACGAATTACTTCACTCTGCTATCACCCCGTCTTTCTGCAGTGGGTATCGTAAATCGTGGCTGTGAGTCGAAGGTCGCCCTCATTGGTATAATGGTTTCGGTAGCATCGTCGTGGAGGTCATCACGTCTGGGGAGTCATTCAATGGTCATCCTGTGTTTCAACCCCACTTGAGAAGTTGGACTATTCAAATGCCAACATATAGCCAAGCGAAGAGTCGCTCTTCTCTGCGAGTATGAGAATGAATAACGTCCGAGTCTCAGCGGCGCACCTTGGTATCTACCGCACAGACCTCTCTTGGTATGCAGACAAGCCAAGGGCCGACAAGTTTGGGGAAACGAGGAGAAGATGCTGATCTGTTTCTCGCCGAAGACGCAGGATGCAACTAGGTCTGCGACTCTGTGTATCTGTTTGGATTAAGTGCTGCTGGAGAGGAAACGAATAGCAAGGCAATTGAGTAGGGGCAGATCCGAGGTTGCTTGGAGTAAGTCCGAAGAATTGGTCAGAGAACAGACAGACCCCGCCTCTGTACCCCGCCATGTCTAACTGCATGGGGCGACATGCCCGTAGATGCTTAGTGATAGAATGGGGCTCGACCATGAGTCCAGACGTCTATATAGAGCGGTGGTAGGAGATGTACTGAAAATCTACAGCCAAAGCAACATCAATCACCAAACAGCCAACACTCTCAAACATGTCTTCAGCAACGTCTTTCCGCCAATTGATTGGAATGCAGCCATCGACAGCCAGCGTGGCCGACAGCACTCTCATCATCATCGACGCTCAGAACGAGTACGCCGAGGGCAAATTGAAGTGCTCCAACACGCCTTCCTCTCGCAAGGTCATCGCCTCGCTCCTGCAAAAGTATCGCGAGGGCAACGGAAAGGTCGTCCACGTGGTCCACGACACTCCTGATGGCGCACCTGTCTTCACACCAGGCACCAAGCTCGCCGAAGAGTTCGATGAGCTTGCGCCAAAGGATGGAGAGAAGGTCATCCACAAGAACTACCCCAGCTCTTTCGCAGGCACCGACCTCCACAAGCACCTAGGCGGCGGCAAGATCGTGCTCACTGGATACATGGTATGTTTGGTTACAGTCACCATCTTTCTGAACGTGTTTCTGACAGGTGCANNGGCGCACGTTTGTGTGTCGACGACGGCCAGACAGGGAGCGGAGCTGGGCTACGACGTGGTTTGCGTCGAGGATGCGATTGGCGACAGGTCGATTCCTGGAGTCGAGGCCGAGGAGTTGACCAAGACGGCGCTCAACGAGATTGCCGATGCATTTGGCACCGTCATCCAGAGCAGCGAGATCAAGTAATCAAGTAAACTCAACGATGTAAACCTTTCTCAATCTTCGTCTTGGTGCTTGAGGGTATAGATGGTCAAGGCGAGACTGTGGCCATCAGCGAAATCGGCTTCTGGCATCTTGTTTTCGTCGTGTGTATCGAGGACAGCCTTTGCGGCGGCTATTGCATCGTCGCAGTCTTTCAGCACCGAGGAGTCGTTTTGTACATCGGCGGTAAGTCGGTTTCGAGAGCGCTCGGCCTCGTCGATGATCCAATGCATGGACGAGCTGACGTAGAGCGGCGATGTTTTCGCAACCAGCATGAAAGGCAGCTCCAGAAGCCACTCTATGCATGGTATGAAGATGAGAGTGGACTGATCTACCAGCTCTTCAGCCTGTGGAGGGTCTAGAACGGCGACACTGAGAGATTGTAGAAACTCCCTGTCAAGCGATGTGAAGCGGGGCTCTTGAGCATAGAGCTTAGGGTCGTTGGCGTGATCGAGTTTTGGTCGCANCTAAGGGTGTTAGCTGTGTACCAGCAGTCGGCATGCATCTTCTTCCATACCCATGTCCACCAAGTCCATAAACATGACCAGCTGCCACACACTCCTGTGACGGTTTGCCCATGACAGACTCGGACTGCCCAGAGCGACACAGATGGCCTTGTTCAAAGACCATCCTCCCTCGGCCATCTGCCTTGCCAACAGCTGTTGGAGCCATCGACGCGCTTCGCTCTGCACCCACTGCTGTTTGCATCGACTGTGTTCGTCCAGTAGCTTTTGCACCGTGAGCGATTTGTCGACTGGCGGAAGCGAGCTGTCTACTACAGCCGTCCTGCCGTATCGTGGAGGCGCTGTATGCTCGACTCTGGACCAGCCATCTTCTGACTCCGATATGATCCGTTTCGGATGATACGGTTTGCGCGGTCTGCGCGATGAGTGTGGCATGCTTGATCAAGTTTGTTTTGTTCTTACCAACCCTTCTCGAAAGCATGTGAAATGCCAAGAATACCACCGCTTGGACCACTCCAAGAGCTACCACATTGATCATTGCTCGATCTCCAGCTTTCCATCGTTGACGAACAAAATGTGTTGATCGCTTCCACTCAATCTCAAGACAGAACCATAGAGTACCAGTAGGTCCTCTTCCGTAATACATGAATCCTTCGAGTAAGCTGCATCAACCATGCCTGACACTCAATGCATCAACCTTGCATCTGCCGCTCACTCCTCCGGACCATCTATAGACTACTAGATCATGCATAAGTGAACAAGATACATAAGATCTCGCCGTCTACTTCTCAGCACTCCTCTTCGTACTCTCCAGCAACCCCTCCAAAACACCCAAAATGACGCCGCTTGTTTTCCTTATCACATCTCTCCTCTCCCTCATCACACACACCACTGCCCAGAGCCTCAATATATCCGCTCTAGCAGCCCAAAATGGCACGTCTATACTCGAATGCTGGAGCCTCGCATCCCCCACCTCCGGCAGAGGTGCCCAAAACTACCCTCTCGGTGACTTCAGCAATGCCTTTATCGGTGCAATTCCTCCACACACCTACATTGGTCAAGCATGGGCGCCTGCAGTTCAGTAAATACCTTCCCTTATCCCTTCGCCTGGTAATCCTCTCTGACTTGATGANCAAAGATACTCAATGGTCTTGCAAGGCCTAGTCCACCTCTCTCTTCCCACCAGCAAAGAAGACATTTACATCCAACCCGGTCCTCTGAGTATCATTCTTGTTATCGATCAGAGGAACGTCTTCATCTCTGGTCACATTACTGATTTCCCTGGCTCGGAGACGACGTTGATTGCTCGGTTTCCGGTTGCTGGGAACCAGGTGCCTGTGCATACTGTGTTGCACAGTGGGCCTTGTGATGTTGATGATGTGAGAGGTTTGATCGGTTGACTAGGGATATCTGGAGATGTCGAGGAAGAGTATTGTAGATATGGAGGTGTAGCTGAACGGGAGCTCGGGCTGTTAGGAGGTGAGATGATCATGTAGGAGGTAGATTGACCGAAAACAACTCCATGTCAAGGTTGGCGTCTGTACCACCCTGATTCAGGATACGATATCGCCTGTGGGAACAGACTTCAGGTATTTCTGTTGGCTAGTTTTATGTTTTGGCTACCACATGTAAGGCCTATTTGAGAGCTTGATGTAAACGCTCATGAATTTTTCAGACCGAAGAAGATGGAGATGTCTTGCTGGACAAGGCAACTCTCAAGCACTGTCACAAGTGTTCAGTTTTGGTCTACCATAGAGATATTGTACGTCTCACTCGCTAGATTATTGTTTTGCAGCGCTCATGAGACTAATGTGTAGTGTTACAGAATAGTTTCGAACGTCATTACTAGTCGTACACTCACTACACATAAGCATGCTCCTAAACCCCAACCCAAACACCTTGCTTGCTTGTTCACATTACCATTATCAATACCTTAGAAAGCCACCAACTACCCTGCCATAGCCTGCTTAGGCGTGTGCTGGCGATCGGCATTTGGACCCCATCCACCATCCATCTCCTCTGTAGCCTTGTTCATACGATCAATGCCTTTGCCTCCAATCTTGTTGCTAGTCGTGCTGTTCTGCGACGACTCGACTGCTGCGTCGCTACCGATACTCTGCTTCTCGGCTTGAGCTCTTGTGTTTTCGGATTCTCCACTCGCATCGATTGCGCCCGTCTCTGCAGGTCCTGCCTCATTTCCTCCTCTTTGTTGGCGATTGCCCTGCATTGATTGATGGTGCATCTCCTTGCGGCCCTTGGTCTGGCCATTCGGTGCGATGGCATCTGAGTGTTCGTAGTCGTCGGGCTGATCCATTGCACTTGCCCTTGGTTGCTCGGCGAGACGCATCTCTTTCCTGCGTTGACTGAAGACCTTTTCAATGTCCTTTCCTTCCTTGGTGGCCTCAATCGCTCGTCTGGTTGCGCTGACGTTCTCCAGAGCTCCATTGTCCTCCCATTTCTTCTCCTCTCTTGACACACTTAGTCTACCGCGGATTCTACCTCCATGGTGACGTTCATGTCTCTTTTTGACGTCCCAGGCTTCTTTCATGATCTTCCAGCCTTCGCTCACCATCATCTCGGTTTCTGACATGTTATTGTTCTTGGTTTTATTGTCAGACTCGCGCAGAGCCTGCATGTCCTTTTGTCCTTGAATGATGTGGGCTCTGCGGATGAAAGACGTGGTTCCAGGACCGCCCATGCGTTTGGTGATCTCCTTCCGCACGCCTTGCGCGAGGAAGAATGGAGGTGTGATGATTGCAGAGATGTCCTTGAGGACAAACCCGCCAATGCCTCGAGCACAGCCGATGCCTAGACCAGTGAATTTGTTGGTCTTGGTCTTGCCGTCTTGCCATCCGTGCATCGGTTGTGTCACCAAGCCTGTCCAGCCGTCGTATATACCGTAGAACAGCTCTTGTCCTGCAGCGCGTGAGCCCGAGTGCATTCCAGTGATGCGGATAGGCTTGCGCACAGAGGCATCTCCGTATAGGCGCGGTGCGTTGTGGAATCCCTGACCGATAGCCAGACCCAGATCCAGTGGCATGCTTGCGAGCGCGCCACCAGATTCCAAAAATGCATCACCGAACTCTTCCGCCAGCTCCTGAGCAAGCGGCTCTTCCTCTGCAGATAGGACAGATCCAAGAGTGTTGTTTGTAGAGGTCTGTCTGGGACCAGGAGGCCGTTGTGGGACCTCTTCTCCTTCGGGACCCTTCTTGCCTTTCGCAGCTTCCTTCAAAAGCCTCTTCTGCTCCTTCCTCTCCGCTCTTTCCTGCTTTTTCTTCTCGCGTTCGTCTCGCTTCTTGAGATTCTTTGCAACGCTAGTGGGCACCATTCCGACTCCTCTTGCAATTCCGGCACCTGTCTTTATTAGTGCACCGCCTGCTCCCGAAATCGGCTCTCCAGGACCATCGAAGTCGTTCCATTCGTAGTGCCGTAGTAGACGAAGCTCCTTCCAGGACAGTTTCTTCTGTTCGACCAGGATATCCGCTGCTAGTGCACTTAATCTAAGGTTTGAAGACTTCATCTTCCAGACGGCCACTCTGTCTTCCAGTATAGAGCATCTCATGCTACGCTTCCCTGCGAAGGGTAAACTGCGGTGGAAGCTCTTGACTGCATTCTCTGCACCGTCACCTTCTGCGGCAATGCTTTCGGCGATTTCCTCTGCATTCTTACGCGCATCATCCGTGAGACACTGCTTGATTCCTTCTGCAAGTTTCTCTGCATCCAGCTTCTTGTAAGGAATTGCTTCGTGAGCACCAGCCTTGGCTTTTGACACCATGGCACCCCAGAAAGGTTGATCTCCGAAAAAGGGTACAATCATGGTCGGCTGTATCAATAAGGTCAGCGTGAGCTCATAGTTAAGCAAAGAGAGGCGTATACCTTNTCCAGCTCTCAAGCCAGCAGCCGCTGTACCAGCACCACCATGGTGGACAACAGCTTTGACGCGTGGGAATAACCAATCGTGAGGCGTGTTCTCTAGCATAAAGATGTTGTCAGGAGTATTGTCACCTCCAAGGCCACCCCAGCCTTTGGAGACCAGCGCTCTGACACCAGCTATCTTGACAGCATCAAAAATCATCTGAGTAAACTTATCTGGGTCATCAACGACGATACTTCCAAACCCAATGTAGATAGGGGGCTCTCCTGCGTCCAGAAAATCTGTCAGATCTTTCGGTGGATCATAGTCGCTCGCAAGGTCGAGGAAGACGTAGCCGGCGATGTCAATCTCCGGACCCCAATCCTTTGGCTTGGGCACAAGCCCTGGACTCCAGAGATATGTGTAAGGCACTTTCATCCGGTAAAGTGCACCGGGCGCCCACAGACTGCTTACGGGCTCCAGGCCAAGGGTCTTGACACGGAACCTGTTGACGAGGTCACCAAGACCTTGCCATGTCATCATCTCCACCAAAGGATAACTCATGACNNTATAGCGGAGGTACGATTAGCATGATCTCCCGGAGTTAGACGTGAGAGCACCACGGCTTAACTTACAGTTGACGTATTCAACGCTGGTGTTGCTTTTCTGTGGACTGATGTTGGCTAGCGGGTGAGGAAACGATTGCGTTGGTGAGTAGGGAAAGGTGAACATGATATGTAGAGGAATACCAAGACGTTCTGCAATGTGAACGTGGGCGAAAGAAGGAGGATTTGCGATAATGGCATCTGCGACAAAGGGCGCTTTGGTTCCCAACATCTTCATGTTGGCCTTGTCATGCTCGTCGTCTGTAGCGTTGACACAAGCTCGCCAAAGTCCCTCAAAAATCTCGGCCATGCCCTTTCTGCGGCGAGCAATTTCACCTTGCCTGACAGTCTCAAGGCTGGGGATGAGGCCCGGGTTCTTGACCATAAAAGCCATAAGTTCCGAAGGATCGCCGCCAATGCTGAAGAACTCGAGACCAACATCTTTCTCAATGAAGTCTTTGAAGGCTGGATGCGTCGCAACTCGTACTCGATGTCCGTAGCGTTTGAGTATGCGGGCAATCTGAAGGAAGGGCTGGATGTCACCTCGACTACCAATGACCATTATGACGATATTCAGACGCGGCCTTTTGATAGTTTCGTGGAACGAAGATGCGATGGAAGCGGCGTCGTCAGAGAAGTCGTCTTCAGACTCGTTGTCGGTTTTGATGTGGTGGTCTTCATCGCTCGAGTCGGAGGCTTGCTCATCTCTCGAGGCATGTTTGTGTGGTACTCCAAGGTGGTTTTGAATTGTTTGTCCGAAGGTCTTCGCTATGTACCCATTGCCAGCAGTCTCGCTGACAGATATGTTCAGTCTGCCATCACGCTTAGAGGCTTTACCGTTCCCTTGGTTCTGGTCGTTGCCAACGTTGAGTTTAGTGTAGGATTGCTCTCTTTGCGTCTTTCGTCGTTTTTGTTTGGCCGCTTGCTGGGATGCTTCCGGTTCGCTTGCCGAGGAGGACGATGACGACTCAGATTGGTCGGTGTGGGTAGGCTGACTTGGGTGGGCGTGGGAGGTGCTTCGCTGAAGAGCATTCATAATGGTGGCACTGCGAGGCATGGCCTTCGGCCTCTCGGTTTGCCATGATCTCTCAAGACTAGGACGATCGGCAGCTGGTAGCGATTGTGTGTTGGTCGGTTTGGAGACGTGGGCCGGCGTCTCTGCGTGGTCGACCCTTTCAATGTCACGGTCGAGGCCATTGCTTTGTTGCGGTTGTCCTGCAAAGTAACCTTCTTCCTTGTCGCTGCTTCGGAGCGGAGCGGTGGCGGGGGTCTGGTATACCGAATGTGACTCGTCTTGGTCGATGCCGTGGCTGGGAAACTGCGTCTCGGGCGGTACGATAGTGGGAACAAGAGCTTGGCCCTTGTTGTCGGTAAGGACACTCGGACTCTTCTCTGCCTCGCCGGGCAGCTTGCTTGATTCGGGTCCTGCCATTGAGGGTATAGAAGCACTCTTATAGGTGCGGCTCTGTGAATCCTAGTAGGCCAAGCGAAGCCTTGTGCAGGTAAAAAGTTGAAACACCCAGGATGACAAGATTCGCATCAGTCCAAGACGACAAGGGGAGAGGCACGATGAACAATTAGGAATAGATCTCTTGGTCCACGGTTTGGATTTCCGGTTTCCAAATGATATCATCATCTCTTTGAGATCAAAACCTTGAAGTCAGTCCTAATCCGGTAGTCGAGATTAGCGTACTGGTTCCGGATTCGCGCAACGCGTGGGTAAACAAGCCCGCCCCCACAGCGGCTCTTGCTGCCATCTGAGATGGCGAGAACTCTATGTCGCAATCCATCCAGATCTCCAGAAAGCTTCATCTTTTGGAGCAAATGATGGTAGTAATATTCTTACGTGCTGCAGCGACTCCCGCGAAGAAACCAGGTCCACAGGTACGTGGTACAGCATCTACAGAAATGCCAGAGGCTGCAAGGGATGCTGTGCGTCTCGCTACCAGCGCTAGCAGCTTATAGCATCGATCTACACAAGCTGATTCGTCTGTTATCCAGTTAGAGTGGACGAGTCGGAGAAAAGGCGTCAGAGATTATAGCCGCACCTGACTCTTTTTCAGGGTCGCCATCGATGCGACTCGATCATTGGCCATTCGCTTTTCACGTCACGGCCGCGCGGAGCAGACCTTCTCGAGATTCCTGTGTCCGTGATTTCTTCTCGCCTATCGACACTATTTACACTTTCACCGGTCATGTGGCTCGAAAGCACCATTACACTCTCTTGAAAAGTCTAGTAAACAATGTACCCGGGGAAACGGAACCCCCATATCATGGAAGAAGGTGCATCCGCCGGATGGCGTGGGTCGCAGGGACACCTCCATTACCACGACGTCGACCAACACCCGGGAAGTTCACAACTGCAGAGTCTTGCCGACCAACGGAGCCTTGTCGAGCCCCCCCGCGGCCCAGGGAACAGTGCGCGCACGACTAAAGAGAGACCTTGCGATGCATGTCGCAGACGCAAGACGAGATGTGTCAAGGANAAAGGCGAAGACAAGTGTGTCTTGTGCAAATTCCACAGCCAGGAGTGCTCCTACTTGCATGAGCCAGTCGCCAGGACCAGAAAACGAAAGGCCCAGCCAAGTGAGGAGACTGATAGACGATTTCCAGATGATGCCCATCAAATACTTCGCACCAACGTGGGAACCGGCGTGGAAGAGTACGACGAACTTCCTGGGGAAAGCTTGCTAAAGAAGACGCTTGGTCTTCAGAACAAGCATCACGCTCTTTTCGTCGGCCTGACTGAACCTNNTTTCTCCTTCCCTCGATTCTCACTCACGTTGGGGAGCTCGCAGAAATCTACCCAGGGTGGCATTGTCATGATTCGCAAAGTCGATGACTTCAACGCCTTTACTGTTCGCGAAGATCAAGGCACTATCGGTTACGATACCGAACAGAGTCGAGTAGACACCATTCAGCAGCTGGTCGAGCCTTATGGACAGGCTCTCATCGACCTGTACTTCCGCATCATCCACCCATCATTTCCCATTCTCCACAAAGGTGTCTTCCTTGAGAAGCACGCACGTTCCTATCGCGAGTTTTCGCCTGCCCTTCTTGCGGCCGTCTACCTTCTTACTACCAATTACTGGAGATGCTCGCCAGCCCTAGCGACTAAGCCCAAGCCAGATGCCAAGCGGCTATACGAACTAGCAATAGAGTCTTACGACCTGACAATCTATCGTCCGAAGCTCTCGTCGGTCCAAGCGGGTTTACTGCTCGCACAATACGAATGCTTTGATTCTGATGTTATGAGTTGTGGCTCTAGAGGCAAGCTCACAGCGCAGCTGGTCGCAATGTCGCATACCATGGGCCTTCATCTAGATTGCTCAAGATGGGATCTGCCCGCTTGGGAAATCAGCTTGCGTTGTCGTCTTGCCTGGGCCATATATGTTCAGGACAAATGGGTAGCTCTTATCGAAGGTCGACCAGCTTTGGTTTCAGACTGTGACTGGCTCGTACCACTCTTACAGCACAAGGACTTCCCAGAACACGAAGAGCACAACGAGGAAGGTAGCTCGGAAGTTGAGAAAAGCCGGATCATCTTCATCCAAATGATTGATCTTACACGAATACTCTCTGATATTCTGGAAGGGATTTTCAGCTTGCGCTCGCATCACGCTATACAGATATCAGCAGATCCAGTTGGAACTCTATTGAGCAGAGTGCAGCCTTTGCAGCGTCGGCTCGGTGCTTGGTTCGATTCGTCTATGGGGGTCCTGTGTCTGGAACGAGCTTCGACCATGAGATTAACTTGTATAGGTAAGTGTCGTCGATCCCATGTACTCAGGCACTCGCCTCTGACCATCTCCNNAGGATACCTGAGACTTGCTTATCTTGCTGTCGAGGTCAGCCTGCATCGACGTATCATATGCCAAGTCATGTCTTCTCCATCGGATCCAAACACGGCTGGGGCCTGCCGTGTCGCCGCTAAGCAAAGATGGCTATCTGCACTCGAGTTCGTGGATAGTCTAAAAGCACGCCACCTCAAATCGTTCTGGTATTTTAGTTCGACTGCCTGCTTGACATTGCTCATCTCCTTCGGCAATGTACTTGTTGGCTCGGCTTTCGACTCATCCGAGGAACAATTCTATCTCGACAAGCTCAAAGAGTTTCGATGGACCCTAAAAATCAATGGCGAAATGGGCGCGAAGTTCATGAATGCAGCTATTAGATCGATGATCCTCGATCCCAAGGAAATTCGCAAGCCCGAGCCTCCTGTCACCAGCTCCGTTCCCAGTCCTGTGTCGCGGTCCGAGTCAAGTTTTGGCACCTCTTCACATAACGCATTCAGGAACATGGCCATCCAACCCAGTCAAACCTCTCTGGGATCCTCTGGTGTTGGATCAGGCTGGGTCAATCCAACAACATACGCTAACCCACCAGTGTTCGCTGGATTCAATCCCGGTATGCCTGTGCAAGTACCTTACATGTCTGGTTATGCTTGGGCACCGCCTTCCTTCGAGAATGGTCAGCCGGCGAACGACTATCTTGACCACATGCCTGGCTGACGGAAACGGACGACTTCGGCGCTATCCAATGAACATGCCGATGAGGCAGAATGATTTATGCAGTGAAGAGGCTTTGTATCTCGCAGGCGGATCAGCCTATGGATAACCTCCTGCCCTACCTTTCTTGGAGGGTGCTCTTGAAACAGCATGGACTATGAGACATGATATGCATTTCACGAAAAGAGGCAGTTTGATTTATGCGTGGCGGGAACTGCCGAGCGTATGAATAGGCTCAGCAGCATGTCGCCGCTACACTCTCGGAGCGGGAACTGTCTGCTCACGTTTACTACTACACAGACAATGAACCACGAGAACTACGGAACGCAAGCTATTAAAGAACGCTCATGATTCTCAAGACTGTTCACGAACGGAATAACATTTTTCCCGCATTTGCGTCTTCGAGTACAGATCCCAAACGATCGATTTTGCCGGCGTCGGCTCGTTTCGCTTTGGGACGTAGACCGCCATTTTGAGCCAAATCACACTCGTTTCGGAGCACACGTTCCACCAAAGATGTCCTTCCTTTGTCATGAATAGGTCGGAACTCTGCCGGTTGCACGAATTCGAGTGCCAAGCAACCGAATGCGCATGCAAAACCACCAACGTTGCGGATGATCTGCGCAGATGTCGAGAACCCAAAAACTCGCCACAGCCATAGACAGCACCTTGACTCGGGCTAAGCTGACACGTGCAGCAAATGTCCCATCAGGAATGTTCTTCTCTTCGTACGCTAAAAAAACGAGCACTAACATACCCCTTCCAGACGATAACGGTATGTCCTAGCGCTTGGGTACGCGGAGTCTAGATGCCTGCTCCTCAATTGGTGGTTCGAAGGACGAATATTCGAGCTGAATGGTTGCAACAGCCGTCCCACAGCTCCTGAGTGTCATCATCCTTCTTCACGACTACGTGTGAACCTATGAGGATGCCTCTTGAGCATATCAGTCTGCCTCCAGCCCTAGCTTCCAGCATATTTGCTTCGACGGTCGTATGTTTCTGATGAGCTCTCGTAGTCCGCTACTCGAGGAACCCCGTATTGCTATGGCGCAGCACGCGAGGCAGGAGAGAGAAACTTCTACACGCTATCTTGATTCGTGATGAGCGGAGGGAAGGTGACAGGGGTCATGGACGATGAGGTACGCTTCGCTCGAGGTAGGTGGAGGCATTCTGTTGACCAATTAGCTTGGATCAATCTCGATTCGACGCTGCACTGCTTCTGACAAAAGACTAGCCTCCCGAAACTGTCTGACGGCTGCATGATGCTTCTGGCGCAGCCAATTGACCACGAGACAGTCTGTGTTTGTAAAGATTGTGACCCGAAGGCGCAGTCCGCGCTCTCTATGAGAGCGCGGATGGGCATCTGGCCGAGCATTCGTGTTCGTCTTCGTCCCGCTGAGTAACAACATTGCTGACAGAAGCATATTGATCGCTGTCTGTCTGTGTGACCCGAGTGTTCAGCCAGGACGGCGCTTCGTATTTTGTGAATGTCCGCCATTACACCCCTGCAAGAGCTGCACAGAGTGCTCCCCCAGACTTGGACTCGATCATGTCGTATGACTTCTTTGGTCAAGCGATTGGTGTGGTAGAAATGCATCGGCTGGCATACACTCTGCTTGCGAGAGAGCGAGGATCTGGCTGTGTACACTCCTGGATAGTCCGAGACGGCGCGACCAACATTGTGTCTTGACAGGTAAGAGAAAGGAGAAGTATCGACCGAGAGAGATATAATGTGGTGATTCTTGCGACACGGCACGCTGCGCTGAACTCGAGGCGTAGGTGGGCGAAGAGACGAAGCAGTTACGAGTTGCGCAGGATCTGCTCCTTTGCGCCGTCGGCGCGTTGATGCAATTTTGCGGCTCAAAAAACATGCCAAAACCTTGAACTCAGGCAGCACTGACGGTCGTCAGGCCATAGTTGATGTTAGCGAGGAACCACTCCGGATGTTTCGGGCCACATCTCAGTAATCAATCGGTTCGTTGCTGCTGTCCACGGATTGCTACTCGAGTTTTGTGGCAGACTCGTCTCTAACACTTTTGATAAATCGTGATTAAGGTTCTAGTTGGAAGTCGTGGTATATTCAGAATACTTCGATGTCTCTTGCGTCTTGGCTGTAGCCGGTATCTGAAACTGTTCAGCATGTAGCCATGGTGAACCCGTCTCGAGAAGTCGGTTTGGGACATACAATCTATACAGCTTGGCACCTTGCAGACAGACATAAAGAGACGAGTTGACACGCAGGAAGCCAATTCTACTGAGGATCGTCTTCAAAGGTCTATAGTATGCACACATGAAGCTTTCAGGGGTATCGCAATGGCCGTCCCATTCCATGTGAACAAATTCGATGTCGTAACGACGGAGTCGTTGCGTCAACTTGCTATTATACTGGGGCAAGATCGGAACAAGACATTGTGCGGCACCCTGGGATTTGTCAACCTTCTCTGTCAGAGTCGCGCGGCAGTATGGAAAGAAGATCAGACCCGTTGCATCACGCATGTGTCTATCTAGAGGTACTAGTGAGCAGTACCGTGAGCGAATGCCGGGACTAGTATCTTTGTTATGAGATAGTGGTTTGAACGTAAGCTATGATCCCTCTCACCAGGCATTTTTCTCTCGAGATATGTAATACTGATATTCCTCGGTGAACATGTAGAAGTAGATTTTTGCCATTTGCATACCCTCTGAGTCGAGTAAGTTTGTGCCATCAAGGTTAGAATATTAACGTCTCACACACACACTACAACGTCCGCACTAAGATACTCCAAGTTTATTTGATCCTACAACCGTTTTGTAACTTCCAGCCATCCATGCATTTCAGTTGTATTGACAACCCGCAGTTGCGACAAAAGGCAGGTCTTAGCAGGATACTGTGACTTTGCAACCTGTACACCGTGGCATCACAACGAAATCGATACTTGTTATGCATTAATAGACAACGTCCTATGCTCATGATGATGCAGTCTATCATAGCAATAAGGTTCGTGGTTTTTCTGCCCGTGCAACACAATCCTTGAGCTAGACCACGTGCATTGGGCACAAAGGCTATATCGAACCACGTTGGTTAAAGTTCAAGTCTAAGGCTTGTAAGATTGCGATGACTCGACCGCCATTGTTGCATATAACATCGCATTTTGTGACTATGCGATTAAGGCACTCACCACGGTGAGCAAAGGTCTCTGAAAACTCCAGAGATCGTCGCGCAATTCCGATTGGCACATCAGCTTCCGACGATTTCCCAATTGGCTGACAAGCATCAAGGAGTTTTCAGAGACTTATGCACGGGATGGTGCCTGTTCGGTTTAGACGGTTTCGGCGTCCGTCTACGATGTATTAAGGGCTGTCTTAGATACGGACTACAACACGTATAGAGTGTTTGTCACGATCCCTAGTTTGTAAGCGGGATGGAGCGTAACCGGAAGAGCATATTTACTCGCGCTAGAGGACGCGTTCTTAATAAAGGAGGAGATGCTAAGAGCCGTCTTGTAAAAATGTGCCCTTGAGTATAGCTTTACACCATGAATGACGTTTGTATCGCCAATACACCCGGACGCTTATATGGAGAGCCGAAACGGGATATTGAAACGGACACAGGCGAATAGTATAGTCATCTCCATCTTCTGTCAACTAACCACGAGATCAACACGCTATCCGGGACGGTCTCCACCCTTGCTGGAATTAGAGACGGACGAACCGAATAGTGCCTAGACAATATGTTTACCGAGCCGATGCAGAGCGTCGTGAACAGAGCGACTTACATAAGAAGTCATGACCATCAAAGAGTAGGTAAGCGAGACGGAAAGTCAATCGGGCTTTCCCAATCAGTTGCACCTTCCGCTCTTGTATGCTCCGACACTTCAGCACATGCATCATGGAATTACCAAATGCCATCCCTTATGCATTCCGATTTCGTCCAGAATCGACTGCATTGGTCATTGTTGACATGCAGCGAGACTTTCTTGAGCCTGGAGGATTCGGCAGTATCCAATGTGGCGACGACGAGGTCTTCAAACGAGTCCGTGGGATTGTTCCTGTGGTCCAGCGAGTCTTGGAAGCGTCCCGGGAGCTGGGACTTTATGTTATGCATACTCGAGAGGGACATCTCCCGGATCTATCAGATCTACCCGCGTCTAAACGCCTTAGACAGACGACTGCTCCCAATGGTCACCATACAATCGGTATCGGTGAGCCAGGACCTATGGGTCGATTGCTTGTGAGAGGTGAGTATGGCCACGATATAATCGACGAGCTCAGACCTCTGCCAGATGAAGTTGTCATCGACAAGCCTGGCAAAGGATCGTTCTGGAAAACAGGCTTCCACCGAGCTCTGCTGAATCGAGGCATTACACATCTGCTGCTTGCTGGTGTGACTACTGAGTAAGATCAGCTGTGATGTGAATGTTGACTCCAAGGATAACATTTGCATAGATGTTGTGTGAACACCACGGCCAGAGAAGCTGCCGATCGTGGCTTCGAATGTTGCATACTAAATGAGTAAGAAGTTCAGATAATTCTTTTACTGGTTACTAGCTTACTGATACGTTGCCACAGCTGCACATCAGGCTTTGATGCCAACTTGGTCACCAGCGCCAACGACACAATCTGTGCGTACGACGGTCTTTTCGGTTATGTCGGTGCATCTCGAGATCTCATCGAGCTGTGCGAATCACAAAGTCTACCTGGCCCTTCTGATGCTGCGATGGCTCAAGAAGACTTGTCATTGATGATCCTGGCGCGAGCTTACCGTGAAGGTACAACAACACCAGTAGACATTGCTCGTATTGTTGCTGGAAGGACACTCGAATATCATCGTCAAAGTCCCAACGCGGTAGTTGATTCCAAAGCACTGGAGACCCTTCTTCACGAAGCAGAGACCTTAGAACAGGAGTTTTCCAGTAAACCATGGCCGTTGCTTTATGGAATTCCATTCGCCACCAGCAGAGACATCGAAGATCCGACGGTTGAGGCTCTAATCAGTGCTGGAGCTTTATACATAAGGAGTCTGCCAGAACCTCTGGTCTCTGTAGCTGCTCGAATGGTCTCGTTCGCTTTGGACAGCAATCCATCGAGCATTGCTCGAGCTAGGGTATCGCATAGGGTCGTTGTGTTCCAGCCTACTCTTATTGATGATAGGCCTGCAATCAACCAGGATTCCGAATCAACAGCAATTGTTGCGCAATCTGTTGAAGAGGCGCGTCAGGTTTGGCTGGCCTTGGAGCAGCACCTCGATCGCCTGCAGAACACGTCTGCCATATCCCAAACGCTAACAAACTCATGGGTATGGCACGTCGATTTCCGTGGTCCAAGGAACGGTGGCTTTGTGTTCGGCATACCGAGTATATCGAGGGCCAATTCTTGCTGCTCCGATGCTTTACAGCATAATATTCAAGCTGCTAAGTGGCTACAAGCAGCCGGCGGACAAGCTCAAGAAATTGACTGGAACATATTCGAGCAAGCCGAAGAAGTCGCCCGGGACCTGTCTTCATTAGCCGCTGCAGAGACTGTCAGTATGAAAGCAGTATTGAATCTTCAAACCAGGCAGACGAAGCTGTCTAGACGAGCGACAAAAATCCTAGAGAGTATCGACGTCTTGCTTATCTCCATGACAGCATGTTTATGTCACACGGCCTCGCAACGTGCGGAGCAAAGCCGCTATCTCTTCGACGGCATGGCTGTATGCAGCGTCAGTGTGAACACCAAACCTACCCAGACGCAGGAAAAAGAAGACAATGGTGCTACACTTATGCTAGTTGGCGCAACTGGAAGAGATGGAAGGATACTCGATATAGCATGGGACTTGGAGAAAACGATGCTACACTGAGTCGTAGAGGACCAAAATCCTTCCATGTGTTAAAGATCATCACATTATAGCCATTGAGACACGATACTATGAAACTACCCCAGGTTGATGTTCTCTTCCAGACCACTCCTTTTGGGGAGAATAATGTGCAGTTGAATGGCTGGAAGTATCACAGAGGAGTCGATGATCAGGTTGTGAATCCCAGAAACACGGAAAGGCCACTGAACACGGGATAATAAAGATAAAAGATAGGTGATGGAAAATGGTATTAACTATGCATTCTATAAATCCAACATTCATATAGTCTTACAAGCAGCTTAAAAGCTTGCTGGGTATAATCCAAAACGTGATATCATAAACTTTTTAGGCCTTGTTGAACAGAACGGCTCTGTATCTGACATTGCCCTCGTCAAGGTCCTTCATGGCCTTCTCAATGCCCTCCTCGGACATCTCGTAGTGCTGGGTGATGGGCTTGATTTGGTGGTGGGCAGCGAACTCCAACATTCTCTTGTGGATGAAGCGGGGAGCGACGATGGAGCCCTGGACGGTAAGACCCTGGGCGAGGAGACCCATGTAAGGGATGGAGAAGTCGCCCTCGTCGACGGAAAGAGGGAAGATGGTACCGCCAGGGGCCATGACGGGGAGGTAGAGCTTCCAGTCAATCTGGGCGGAGGTGGTGACGAGAAGGCGGTTGATGGGCTTGACGTCCTTGAGCTCGCTGACACCCTTGGTGGCGTAGAACTCGCTGGCACCGAGTCTCTTGGCCTCGTCCTTCTTGGAGTCGGTACCGGAGAAGACGACAACGTCGCAACCCATCTTGGCGGCGAACTGGATGGCCAAGTGACCGAGACCGCCAACACCGACGATACCGACGCGCTCCGTGGGCTGGGTGTTGTACATGTGGAGGGCATTGAAGACGGTGGCACCACCGCACTGGAGAGNGGCAGCGGCCTCATCGGGAAGGCTGTCGGGAGTCTTGAAGAGGAAAGCCTCGCGCCAGACACCGTGGGAAGCGAAAGAACCCTGGTCGGCATCGGCGTAACCGTACATCTTTCTCTCGGGGCAGTAGGTCTCGGTTCCCTTCAGGCACTGCTCGCAGTGGGAGCAAGAGTCGTGCTCGTAGCCCCAGCCAACGCGGTCACCCTTCTTCAGGAGAGTGCAGGCAGGTCCAGTCTCCTCGACGACACCGACACCCTCGTGGCCGAGGGCCATGTCGGCCTTGCGGTAGTGCAAGTCAGTACCGCAGAGACCGGAGGCGGTGACTCTGATGTAGACCTGGTCGCCCTTGAGCTCAGGCTTGGTGTTGGTGGCCTTCTTGATGGCACCGGACTCGGAGCCCTTGTAAACAGTGTAGGAGTAAGTCATTTTAGTGGTGTGAGGTGATTGAGAGTGTAGAGGGTAATAATGAGCAGATACTAGGAGATGGAGAATTGGCCTTTATTAAGAGAGGCCCCTCCCCCACCAATACCTCACCTAATTATCTCCGCCACTCTCTGCTTACAAAAGATATGGCTCAACAATTCGCTTGAGCTCTTACCAATCTCTGCCATGACGTTTCAGGCGAGGTCGTGCAGGGTGTCACTTGTGATCGGTGGGCAAGGGTTTTGTTGCAATTTGAGACTGCCGGCTCTTCCGGCGAGGAGGCCCGAAGGCCAGATTCCAAAAAAATTCCTGGAGTTACGTCATGTCTCTTATCTTATCAAAACACGTGGCGCTGCATAAGCGACGGGACCGAGGCAAGCATGGACCTGCGCATTGATGGCTTCCATTTCTTCGAGAGCTTCGAGACCTTTCTCATCCTTAGCTATGTTTGAGAGCAAGACGTCTGTCTGTATCTCGAGTAGGGGTTTGAGATTGCTCGGAGTCACTCAGAACTCAACGCCTTGCTTGAGCGTCAAAGAGCTTCAAAACTGTGGATTGATCGCGACGCAAAATGCTCAGAATGACGTCGGCGAGACCCTGTGATGGTCGTAGCGAAAACGACTTGTCTCGAATTTCAATCAATCATGGCTTCGATCGTTCTCGACGACCACGAACTTCGACTCAGGCCTTTCGAATCACACCATGCACTACTTTGCAATAATATTGAGCCATAAACCGGGAGTGAAAGCAGCCGTATTGTTGGATTGAACGATGGCTTGACTGCAATCTGGCGTTCTGCTTTCACATGGACGCGATTGAGAAAACGAAGTCTTTGTGCGGAAATCGCAAAATGCCCTCGGCTGTACAGTCAGGTGTGCTTCTCTTTGTCTGCTGGTCGAAATGAGCAAGATGCCGGAAATGGGTAGGTACAACATTTTCATTGTTATGGCCATTCTTTTATGGCTTCACCTGCATATACATCTCAGTCGTAATATTGCCACACCTCTAGGTTTACGAGCAATCCAGGCATACGTAGAATGGGCAAGATTTTGGCTGCCGCCTTGTTGGCATTCGCTGCAGTCACCGCTGCGGACACATGTGACCCCTTAAACACGAAATGTCCACCCAACGCAGGATCAGCAAACAGTACTTACACAGTTGATTTCACAAAGCAATCATCAGTTCCGCCCGAATGGACTCTCTCGAACTACGCCAATCTCAATTTTGGTTCCAAGGGCGCTGAGTTCACCGTAGCCAAGCGTTTCGACTCTCCTCAACTGTGGACCAACTTCTACATCCACTATGGCAAGGTCGAGATCGTAGCCCAAGTTGCTCCCGGAACAGGCATTGTGTCCTCTGCTGTTCTTATGTCTGACGATCTTGATGAGATTGACTTGGAATTTTCTGGAAACAACTTCAGGGATACTGCTGGAAAGGGCCAGAACAACTACTACGGAAAGGTCGCGAGATTAGACAGGGTAAACGGGGAGGCTTTTGCTGACTGCTATCGTTAGGGAATAACTGGAAACTATGATAGAGGAAGCTTCTTCAGTGTCACATCGCCTCAGACACAGTTCCACACATATACCGTTGATTGGACTTCTACAGCCCTGACTTGGTCTGTTGACGGCACAGTCGTCAGAACTCTCAACGCTGCCGATACTGACAATGGCTCCCACCAATATCCTCAAACTCCAGCAAAACTCCAGCTCGGCATTTGGGCAGCAGGTGGTCCTGGAAACGCCTGGGGTGAGTCGAGACTCACACATCTCCTGCTTATCTATATTGACTTTTTCNNAGGCACGGTGGATTGGTCAGGTGGCTATACCGACTTTACACAAGCTCCATTCACCATGTATGTGAAGAGCGTCAAGATTACTAACTACAACCCTGCATACGCTTATAACTATACGGATAATTCTGGAAGCTCCAACAGCATAAAGTACATTTCGAAGCCTATCCTTTCCTTTTCCAGTACCACTACACGTGCTTCCAGCTCTAGCACAGCTTCTGCCTCTGTGCCAGCCAAAGCCTCCACAACATGTGCTGGCGTTCTTCCAACAGCACCCACACAGGATGGAATTGTCTCCGGCTGTACTCAGTGGTACACCGCTAAGTCAGGAGATACATGTCTTAAAATTGCTACAAAGTTCAACATCTCCAATGAGCAATTCATGGCATGGAATCCGGCAGTTGACCCTCCATTGTGCTATAACATGTGGCTGAATTACGGTTATTGTGTGTCGACAGACTGTGCACTCGTAAGCACATCATCCACCGCAGTTTCTACAACCAGTTCGACTAGCTCATCTCGTTCTACGTCTGTGACTACAAGCACTAAGTCAAGTTCCACCATTGTTGTTTCGTCTACACCACTGCCGACTACTACGATCAGTCCAACATCCAGCATTGGCACTTCTAAACCCTCCTCCAGTAGTTCTAGCACCGCGACTGCTTCTACCGCTTCGCAAGGATCCTCTTCGTCAGCGACATCAAAATCAAGCACTTCAAGCACCACGACGCTTTCTTCGACTTCCTCATCAACTTCAGTCGTGGTCAGCTCATCAAGCACGACCACCGGCTCGGCTCCCGCAACTTCATCTTCGACGCTTTCGAGTACGCCGTTATGTCCTGATACAAACGGACAGAGTCTGGTGAATCGGGACAGCGATGCCTACACCATCAAGTGCGCCTCTGATTCAAGCACAGGATCTTACTCAAGCGCTCACCCTCTTCACTCTTATCTTGATTGTATGAATCTGTGCGATGAAGCAGCAGATAGCGGTTGTACGGCATTCACATATGTCGGTAACTCGCAAGGTAACGGGTCTGGTATTTGCTACCTCAAGAGCTCCTCGGGCACTTTCTCAGCAGCTGCTGATAACTATATCTCCGGTTTCCTGACTGTGAACAATACTTCTGCAAGCAGCACGACTTCTTCATCTGTAACAGCGAGCGGTCCTACCAGTGTTCTCCCGCTCGTTAGTCCTTCGGCTGAGCTTTGCCCCGATGCTGAAGCGCAGACCTTTGTCACATCCCAAGGCGGATCGCTCTTCTTCATGCGCTGCTCATCCGACACGAACATCGGATCATACGGCAATAGCAAAGCTTCTGCTTCCTGGAAAGACTGCATGAACAGCTGTGAAAGCGATGCAAGATGTGTCGCTTTCACATATGTCGGGCCTCAAGGATCTTCTGGTTCAGGTCAAGGTGTTTGTTGGTACAAGGATACCAAAGGTAGTGCAGTTACTGCTGGGAGAAACTATGTTGCAGGTTTCTTGGCTATCAAAGCTGTCAACTCTCAGTCGTCGGGTTCGTCTGCAAGTAGCATCGCAACGGGCAAGTTGGCAAAGTCTTCGGGTTCTGCAACAACAAGCTCCTCAACCTTTAGTATGTCGACTGCTTCCACAGCTTGGGCTACAAACTCGGCTGGCAACAACTACACTATCTACCGCGGTTCGGATACCAACTATGGTGCATACAGCAACGTCCAAGCAACCAACTCTTTCATGGACTGCACGACTGCCTGTGATAAAGATTCGAAGTGTACAGCCTGGACATACGTTGGAGGAGCGAATGGAATTGGCTCAGGTTCGTCATTCTTACTTGTCATTTTTGTTGTCCCTCAATACTAACATGTGTTCTAGGTGTATGTTGGTTGAAGAACCAACCTGGTCAGCCTGTCCCAAGCAACAGCAACAACGTGATCTCAGGCTCACGCTTGACGCAAGGCGTTAGAATGCGCCGAGCTGTATCGTCTTGGTGGAATAGTGTTACGTCGGTCAAGACTACAGCCACTGCTACCAAGACTCAGCGTGTTGCTACCACTATACCTAAGCCACCGCCACATCCTGCTTGGGCTCGCTACTACCCACATGGCGGAAGATGGATGTGGAATGGTCATAATGATTGGGAGTGGACTTGGAACCAGAATCAAAACCAGTCATAGAATGTGTTATCCTTGCAAGTTTTGTTTTACGTTCTTGGTTTAGATTTTCCTTGGTATACTACTCTGTCGTTTCCTCAATCTTCCTTTGATCGTCACATGCAACTTCTGTCGACTAGTGATGAGCCCCTGTCTTTGATGAAATCGATGGTCCTTTGTAACGGATGCGAGGCTGTCGTCTTCTTTCACATGGTTTATTGATNNCTTTTACACGTCTTCTTTGTTTCATCGTCTGCTTTGCCTCAACAACACTCATGTTTCCTGTTTACTTGATAAGCAAAAGATATATCGCCAGCCCATCTCCTCCTTTCCTCCTTCTCCGGATTCTTTTCGTTCGCTCTTTCCAGAAAAAAAAACAAAAAGGTTCGCCGCAACCATTCACACTAGATATCAAGCCCCACTACCAACTTCCTCAAACTTCCAAATGGCTAACAAAGTCGTCGTATCTTTTGGAGTAGTCATGGCGGTTTTCATCGCACTCGCTCTCGTTCTCTGGGGCTTGTCTGCTGTCAAGCACGCTCGCCACGATACTGCTTCCCATAACCAACAACACCGTGCCAAGCTAGATGATTGGATTGCTCGCATGCGCAGAAGAACTTGGAGAAACACTCACATGAATCGTGATGTAGAGATGCAAGTTCCCCCTGAGCTTCCTTGTCTTCCTGGGAATGTGATCATCCGCTCTGGCGCTGCTAGGGTGCCCAGAATGGGTAGACTCTATCCTGCCAATGCAAATCAGAGAGTGCAGTTTTGTGATGTTACGCTGACGCCTGTGCAGGGTCAGCGTGGTGTCAATCCTGCTGGCTTCTTTTGAGATGGGTAAGTGCGATGGTAAAGTCAACGTTCAAGAGCGCTCTCCTTGGTAGCTGGTCTACCAGAATCACGATAATGATATTTTGTTTTTCAACCTGACTTTGTTCCTTCAACCTTTTCTTGCGACTGTGATTATGCTTATGGGTCTTGACATGTCATTCACTCACTCATCTCGGTGACAGATATAATGCTTCGCAGTTGGCAGCGACATTACTACAGGCTACAAGTGAAGCGTTCAGTAAAACTCAAGTTGGGAGATGCGAAATGCAAAACGACTTCTCTCATCTGAATCGAACCCTGACTCTCTGGCTTGAAGACCTTATATACCACTCATGTCAATTTGTTGCTGTGATCGGCTGAGTGGTGTAACGGCTTGTACACTCGCGGTCCGTAATAAAACAGCCCCTCCCTTGTACGTCTTGAATCATGACCCTTAGATGACCGACATCTGGTGACTAAAATCAAGGAAGTGAAAGGGGCGGTTTTCCCATACGAGCTCAGCTCTGGTATTTTGCTTGTGTATCTTGAATTTCAAAGTGAGTTTGATAAGAACGAATTATCTTCTCTGTCAGGCTATATCAGAGAAGTTCCCGAATCCGAGGAATCAGGCAGACAGAGTCTCCGACTTCTCAGTCTTTCCTTCCAATACTGTCTCTTTATCCTGATGGTCCTTGGCCAGAGCTTCCGTCCTAGATTGACTGTTTGGGTCTAAATAAGGTACCTCGCCGATGCCGACAGCGCGGTTACCAAATCTCTCACCCAGTCCTTCATAATCGAACGTGGCACTGTGGAAAGCACTACGGTTGTCCCAAATTGNCTAGAGTTTTATGTTAGCATATCTGTTCAAAACAACAGCAAGGAGTTAGTGCTTACCAATGTCGTTCTCGTGTCTCCACTTGAAGCGAACTTGGAGATCGTGGTTCTCTGTGATAGTTGCACGGAACTTCTTCAGCAGCTCCTCTGATTCATCTGCGTTCAATTCGTTGATGAACTTTGGGAAGGGACCAACGGCAAAGATACTCTTCCAACCAGTGACAGGGTTTGTTCTGACAACCGGGTGTACGGCTGTGAGCTCTTTACCCACGTTCAAAGGACTACCGCGCTCTTTTTCGTAAATCTTGACCTTGTCCGGGTTGGCAGCTGCAGCCTTGATGAATCCATCACCAGAGAATGTGGCTGTCAGACCTTCGAAGAATTTCTGATAGGCTGGCGAAAAGCGATCGTAGATCTCGTATCCAGATGCCCAGACAGTGTCACCGCCAGACTTTGGAAGCTGGGTCAGACGTAGCGAGGTGTAGTCGGCTGGTACAGGCTCGAACTGGATGTCTGAATGCCACTGAGCAGCATCATAACGGCGCTTGTTACGTGTTTCACCCTCTCTGAAGAGAGCTTTTCTTTGCAATGAGCTGATGGTACTGATCTCAGCATCATCGACACCAAACTCGCTGCTGTTGTTGAGAATGGGATGGATATGCAGAGTCGATGTAGATGGCTTGCCGGACAACTGACCCAGCTTATGGTTTAAATGCTTCTGTAGGGTGTTGGTAAGGTTGTCTTGCTTGCGGAAGAAGACAACTCCACGCTCCGAGACTAGTGTAAGAGTAAGATACAGGTCATCAATAAGGTCAAGATGCAGGCTCAACATACTAGTGATGGCAAGGTCTCGAACAAGCTCATCTGCGTTAGGTGCATTCAAAAGGTCATCAACAATGTTGACATCCAGAAACTCTCGACCAATGGTAGGAGTGGTATCCTCGTACTTGAATTGCCCAAGCACACCAGATTGCTTGAGCGGCTTGAGAAATGTATAATGGTCTACGGAAACCATTGTTGATTTGGGGACTTGGAATAAGCTGGAATACAGAAGTAGTAAGAGACACTCTACCCCGATACAAGACCAGATCGACAGGGTTGATATATACCTTCCATGTCCACGGTGTTAAATGGGTGACATATGCCGTGACTTATATGAGAAATCGCGCAATACTGTTAACAAGCACGCAACATACGCGTCTAAATGTATCACCATACGTGAAAGCGTTAACACATCTCCAGTCCTTCCAGATGAGTGGCACCCAAAGGATCAGCTTCCCCTCATGGTGCATTGATTCGAGGTTGACCCTCAGCACGCCAAGACAATGGATGTAAAGCACGCCATCTTACGACAGAGCACTTATCAGTGGCTCCCACAGTACACACCGAGATTGAAGGACATCCAACAGTTCAGTGTACCTATGCCGCGCGGGCTCATTGCTTCGTTCGTATCGTTCGCCCGGGACGGAGTGGCACAGACATGAGTACGGCTGTGTAATCACATAGTGTTGTTCAGCGAGGATGCACTGTTCAGTAAGAGTCATCGCCATATCTGATCTCTTCAGACGGATCTCTGACCTGGACTCAACCATACAGTCACACCAGAACATCGCTCTGTGTAGCTGTGTGATGGGAAGCTATATGTTGTAAGCCTTAGCTTGAGAAATCGTTGATTCAATCACCACTCTGGTCGATTGGACTCACAGGTCGCTTGTGAGATGCTGATGGACAACGATCTGACCGCGGCATGGTCAGAGATTAGTGTCAGTGTGCGAGTAGGAAGGAGAGATGAAAGCAAAGTGGGCGTCGCACAATTGTCTCGCCGAAGCAAGTCCGACAGCGCTTTCTTTCCTTCCATCTTCCATGAGCAACAGCCTCAGCAACAACTGCTAAATCACATGTGTAGGGCTCTCAATTTTGGGACTTGGTCAGCCGGCGGCTAAAAGAACTACCGTCGTGCGAGTTGGCCGCTGTCGTGCTGGTGCTGAATACCGTCGGAAATCTGAGGATCCGACAGAAGCAACAGCATCGAGGGTCCTGCGTTCGACCCTAGCTTCCAAGTTCCAACTAATTCCGTACAATTTTTCGGACAAGGAATACTTATCAATGAGCTATCTACTCGACAGATATCACGCTGTGCAGTCATAATCTTGATAAATACGGTCCCAACAGCCATGCCCTGGTTATCATTTGCACGCTATCGGCACGTCATGTTTGCACCACATGCCTGAACGAAGGACACAGAATGGTGAGAACGAGCGCTGTCCGCAACAACCTGTTTACGGTGTGTGGATTTCATGCTATAGGGCTGATGGGACCACGGTATCGCCGGTGCATGATGAACAATGACAGCTCTGGCGGGTTCGACTCCGTCCAAGCTCTTTGGAAAATCGGTTATGAGGTGAGATTGATGTGATCCCCGAAGCAGCTTGCCGAGTGCAGTTCCAGTCTACAAGTGTATTCGACTCGTCCTGCAGCTTCATCGCTTCACTCTCTTTGACATTCGCGTTTACCTCAAGCTATCGAGAGCTCCCATATCCATGCTCTCAGCCCACCGTCGTCTCGAATATCACCTCAAAAGCACACGTTTACGTGTCTCAGATATCACTGCAATGGACTCTGGCATTCAGGCCAGGAAAGACTCGTCCGTCCAGGCAGCCGAGTTCGGTACGTTCTTCGTAGGAATTACTCGCGTATACCAACGAGCGCTAATCTATTGAACAAACAGAGATAGCACCATTATTGAAAGTCGAGCTAGCACACGAGATGGAAAAGCTAGACCAATTGTTCTGGATCGACCAGCAGAAGTTGAAAGATATCAGCAGACAGTTCGAAATAGAACTCGACCGGGGCCTTAGGGAGAACGATCAGAACATTGTACGTTGTCCAAGATCTGCCAACACTTACAGACTGACTCGCCACAGNCCAATGAATATCACCTGGGTTCTAGGTCAACCACATGGCGACGAGAAGGGCTCGTTCCTCACGGTAGATCTTGGAGGAACAGATCTTCGTGTCTGCTGGATCACACTACCAGGAGCACGCGGTCAACCCAGCATAATCCAAGAAAAATATCAGCTCTCCAAGGAAGTCAAGACAGGCACCGCGGACCAGCTATGGGACGAAATAGCCGACCGAATGCAAACCTTCATTCAGGAACAGAAGCTCGACGAAACAGCTACTCAGCCTCTACCGCTTGGCTTCACCTTCTCCTACCCGGCTATGCAAGACTTCATCGATCACGGCGTACTACAGACCTGGACCAAAGGCTGGGATGTCCAAGGTGTTGAAGGTGAGGACGTGACATTGCAACTCCGTAAAGCAATGGAGAAGAGGAAGCTTCCTGTTAAGCTTGTCGCATTGATCAACGATACGACAGGCGCCATGATCGCGTCTGCATACCACGATCCTGAGACTGTCGTTGGTGCCATCTTCGGAACAGGCTGCAATGCTGCGTACATGGAGGACAGCGACTCAGTCCCCAAGATTGCAGGACGACTTCCACCCGCATGTCCCGTGGCTATCAACTGCGAATACGGAGCCTTCGATAATAGCCACACCGTGCTCCCAATGACCAAGTACGACCACCTCATCGACAAAGAATCGCCTCGACCCGGCGAGCAAGCCTTTGAAAAGATGAGCGCAGGCCTCTACCTCGGTGAGATCTTCCGCCTCGCACTCGTAGATCTAGCAAAACGACACCAGATTTTCAAGGACCAGGACATCTCAAGATTGGACAAGTCATACATCCTTGACACTGGCTTCCTCTGTGCAATCGAAGACGATCAATCTCCTCGCCTCGAAAACACAGCTACATCCTTCGAAGCCCACACCGGAATCAAAGTCAATGAACAAGAACGTCAGCTGTGTCGCCGCTTGGCAGAAATCATCGCTATTCGCGGAGCACGTCTTTGTGCTTGTGGTATCGCAGCCATTTGCAGCAAAAAGAACATCAAGCATGGCCATGTTGCAGCCGATGGCTCGGTTGCAAACAAGCATCCCAAATTCAAGCGACGATGGGCCGATGCGTTGGCTGAAATATTGGATTGGCCAGAGGGAAGGGCGGAGGATCCGATTGTGTTGACTCCTGCAGAAGATGGTTCAGGTATTGGTGCTGCGGTCATCGTTGCCATGACTCTGGAGAGAGCGAGGAAAGGCGAGAATGCCGGGGTCAAGGAAGCTGCTGATATGTAACACTTGACGAGGTTACCGTAATGCTGCTTCCATGAAGAGAGCCCATAAAATATAGAACGTTACACTGGACACTCCCTTGTGCCGCGTTGATGTCAGAAGTGGTCATAAAGCATTCGGTATGTACGATATGGAAGTAGAAGCAAGAAGGGCATTATTAGAGGAAACCGTGATACACATGCCAGCCAACCAATCGCAGGTCCATCTCAAGGGTTCTTGTTACCAAAGGAGAGACATGAGTAGGATGTGGAGCGAGACTAGAAGTCACCGCCACCATCATCGCCGCCGCCAAAGTCGTCATTGCCATAGTCATCACCACCGCCTCCGTTCTCGTAACCTTGTTCGTAGGAGCGGTCTTCCATGTCGTCGATTCCGTTCATCAACATGGCACCACCAAGCAGACCGGCACCACCGGCCAGAGCCATGCCACCCATGCCCATACCGCCACCTGTCTTACGTTGTGGCTGTCCGTACATTTGCTGTTGTGGGTAACCTCCATAGCCTTGCTGAGGATATCCGCCATACTGCTGCTGGGGCATACCATAGCCACCACCACCCATCATGCCGCCAGAGGGGTATCCTTGCTGGCCGTAACCCTGGGGAGGACGCGAGCTCGAGCCCGAGACCTTGCCGAGAAGCTTGCCCATGAGACCGCCCTTGCTCTTGCCACGGTCCTGGTCGCGGGGAGGCAACTCATTCGAGTACTGAGGCTGAGATTCGTAATGAGGCTGGGACTGGGACTGAGACTGGTACTGAGGGGTTCCAGAGCTGTAGTAGTTGTCGGATGCGCCTGAGCGAGCTCCTGACTGACCAGGCTGACGAGCGCGAGCTTCTTCCTCGGCCTGAAGCTTGCGGGCAAGTGCCTCGTCGTCGTTGACATTGTGTGACGAGCCGGCCGAGTGAATCGAAGAGCCGCCGTAAGGGTTGTTCGAGCCGTAGCCACCCTTCTCAGCACCGATATGCTGGGAGTGGTTGGAGTCGTAGCCTGGAGGAGCACCTGGAGGGGGCCGCCTGACGAAGGATAGGCGGGCTGGGTGGGCTTGTCCCATTGTGATTGCTTGGTGTACAGGTTTACGTAGAACCATTCCTTGTATTGGTCGTTCCACTGAGCCTTCCAGCCTTCGGGAACCTGAGGTGGGGGTGGGCCCTGAGAGTCAGTCAGCGATCGTGTTGGTGCCTAGCAGATACGATAGCGCATACCGGAGGGGAGCATAGTCGCCCATCGTGTCTGTTTGCTGGAGTTGAATGAGTTGTCTGGGTGCGTGCTTGGTTTACCCTGAGAGCTTTCGGACAGGAGATGGAGAGATGATAAGAAGGAGCGAGAATTGAATCAAAAGGCAGAGAAACGTGGTCAATAGACGTAAGACAAGCAGGTGAAGGAGGTGACGGTTTAGACTTTACACACGTCATTCAAGGTTCACTTTGTGGCTGTATCATCGTGGCGCAGGTGAGCACTTCTTTGTTCCACTTCCGACTTTGCCATTCTCGACTCACAGCTTCTATACTCTACCTTCTTCACAACTCCTGATTTCTAGTACCATCTATTTACAAGGCGGTGTTCGCCCTCCACCTTGATGCACACCATCCAATCTATCTCGCTTTCCATCCTGTACGATCTGTTGCCAAGTGCCCCGCAGCATGGCGCCGAGGCTCGAACGCTGCCAAGTTCGACGTACGGGCCAGACCTCGTGCATATCACCTTGTATATTGGCATGTAACACAACCACAACCACAACAAGCCCCTTTAGCTCAGTTGGTAGAGCGCGGCACTAGTATCTCCAGATCATGCCGAGGTCGCCGGTTCGACTCCGTCAGGGGGCATACGTTTTGCTGCTTGTTAAGCATCTCTTTCTTCGTGGTTGTTCTGGTGAGATGACCTGTTGGTTGAGTTTTCTGCGCTCAGGGTTGACCGGATCCATCGCGCGGATACAGACACAAACCCTTCTGTGCTCTCCCTTCTGCTAAATACAGTCACAGTATAGCTATAGAAATGTACAATACTTTCCCTAACAGAGCGTGATTCACGGAGAAAATGTTTACCTTGGGCATCTCTATGGTCACATTTCTCTTTGGAAAGCGACTGTGTATTCATCATATAGCATTACTGACACTTCATCCCAGTGCGGGAGAGGGGGAGAACGACGAAAAGATGGACAATAAGCCTTACACACATTTAGTTATTCACATATCTATAACAGTCGTGACTTGGTATGCATCTCATGTACTGCCTCCCTTCTCCTGCTTTCGTGCTTTCTTTTCTTCTTTCTTGCGAAGTATGTCTTCTCTCCAACCACGTCCCCAGACCGTGACCGTCCAAGTCAAGACTGCTGAAATGCACAAGAATGCCGCACTGATCGTACTGAACCATCCTACTCCGATCGCCTCGACCGCAGGTAGACATGCAGCTGTTCCAGTAGCAGCAAATAGATATCGTATCATGTAGTTGCCAGCGACCACTTCAGAAGACCGCTTCTGCATCACGTCCAGGCAGTACGTGTTGAGTGACGGGAAACAGAAGAGTTGTGCCACGCCCTGGATGAACATGACGATGACTGGTAGAGGGATACCACCCTTGTCTTTCTCGATTGACCATCCGTAGATCAACATACATCCAGGGATAATGATGCCCATGAAAACGAGGCAAGATCGCAGTCGGTCTTCGGGTACGCGCTCACCATTGCGCTTGTCAATCCATTTGCGTACGGTGCGGTCTGCCCAGCGGCCTCCGAAGAATGTTCCTAGTTGAGATATTAGTTTCTGTAGTTACAGCATTCATAGTGTTTTCGTACCTAGTAGATAGCCACATCCGGGAGCAATATAGAAGAGTCCTGATTGAATTGGCGAGGTGAGGTGGAAGCGAGGATTGATGACGTATCGAATCGGTGTCAGTAAACTGTACATGTTGAACACAAGACTGCTTGACGCCAATCCAACAAAAAGCAGATTCGGGTATCGGTATAGCTTGATGACTCGTAGAGGGTTGGTCCATGACCAAAGCTTTTTCGCCTTTTCACTCTTCTTGAGACCTTCGAGTTCGACGGATTTCTTATAGTGAATGGTTTCTGGGAGGAAGAAGCAGCATAGCACAGTCGCGAAGACGGCTAGTCCAGTCTGTAGCCAGAAAATGTCTCTCCAGCTCTTATAGGTGACAATGATACCACCAAGCAGGGGACCCATAGCTATACAGAAAGTCAGATTGCGAAAGCTTGAAAACAATTGCTGAGACTTACCGGGTCCAATAAGTGTGCCTGAGAAGAACCAACTCAATGCAGTTGCTCGCTCTGTCGGACGGTAAATGTCGCCAATGCAGGAACTACCGATAATAAGGAAGGAAGTGCCTTGGAAGGCGGTCAAGATGCGGAAGATGAAGAACGAAGCTAAGTTGGGAGCCAATGCAGTACCAATAGAGAAGCCAGCAAAGAAGATGGCGCTCAGTAATTGTGTCCATCTTCGTCCGTAAACTTGACCTATTGGGCCCCAGAACATCGGAGACAGTCCCATGAACAGCATATATAATGCATTACTGGCATTGATAAGTGTACCAGTGGTATTGTATGTTGCCGCCACTTCAGGTACGGCAGCAAGAACTGTCGTAGATGCCATGGGGGCCAAGAAAGAACAGAAAGCCAGGACCGACACTATGCATATCTTCTTTGAATGGCTGAATTTGTCGTAGACTTCGTCTCCAGATTCACGGTATGGGATGTGGGGTATGTCGTGTGCAGAGGCATGGCTCTGAATGTGTACAAGATCTAGGTCGGGGTNTTTCTGGTTGCCCTTCTCTAGGTCTACGCCTTGGGCATCCTCGTAGGGTTCTGGGACCTGCTCAATGGCTGGTTGCACTACTGGCTCTTCTGCCCGAGTTTCTGTCGCGTTTGCGTGTTTGTTCCCCGGCATGTTGTCGTTCATGTACGAGTCGCCGTTGTCGGAGATATCATTAATAGAAGATGGATGAAGATAAAGTTTCTGATTTGATCAAAAAGATGCCTCAGAGAATAGAATGGCTGCAGATGAAGATGTATATACAGTAGAATGAGTCAAAAGACATCATGGAGATCTGAAGGATGACCAGGCCGAAAAGAATTGGAGCAGAATCTGAGATTGTATGCCGATGAACCGGCAAGTCTGAAGCTTTGCCGTAGGTTTTCTGTTGGCCACCAATGATAAGGGATGCTTTTCCGCTCACCATCTGATTTCTTGCCGATGCTCGGACAGTCGATGTCCGTCTACATGCCGTGGAACATGTCCACAATTACACTAACAAGCCCATGTCTAGTTGCATGACACAGATCGAAAGACTGAAGGAGCTCGAGTAATCAGACGGTTTATCACGATAGCTTTGCTTCGACATTAGAATCAATCTCGTCGTCGCCGTGCTGCTTCGGCGTTGTAAAAGTCCGATAGCGCAATCGGCTTGCGGAGGCACCTTCCGAATCGGTCTGCAACGCGCTCTTGCCTTCCGACATCAACATTGGAAGTGAAGACACAACGATGTTTTCGAAATTTCAGATTTCTGTCATTTTTCGCTCTTAATGAAGTCACTCTTGGTTCACAGGATACAAAATGGCAATGCCCTTCCGGAACGGTACGATTCAGCCCGTATTTCCAGCCTTCTCTGAGAAAGCTCTATCTTGTGAGCCACTTGAATGTGAACGAATATGCCATGGATCTTATCTGTCTGGGCTGTCCATTACTGGAGGAGCTTACAGTCACTGCTGAGCTCACCTTCGCTGATCTTGGCGAATATCTTGTTCACTCCACATTCAACTTACCAAGACTACTCCGACTTGTGCTATGGTGTAGCTGCTCTACCATCTCGATATCAGCCTGGAAGCGCATCATTAAGAAGCCCCCAGCATTGGAGCACCTTGATCTTAATTGGTATCAATCCAAGAGCTTTCTTCCAGGAGATGACATTCCTGGACCCGTGTTTCCCCGACTGAAGTCCTTCGCGCTTCAATGTGTACCACGTGGAACCAGCCTTGATTTGTACGCAACATGGATACCTTTACCTTCTCTACAATACTTATGAGGTTTAGTGACAAGGATTGGAAGAAAATAGTGGCAAGCGACCACTTGGACATGCTCTTACAACTTGCGCCCGGACTCGAGATGCTGCATCTTGCTTGGACTTCGCCGGATCGTCAGGTGGGAAGAATGCAGAAAGATATGAGCATACATGAGCTTCTAGGTCTGCGTAGAAGCAGTGTATCGGATTCAGTGTAATTTGAGCGAAATAGAAGATAGAAGGTGCTGCTAGATTTCTGGAAGGCATCAGAGTGAAGGCATATACACTAGGAGGCTTCTCTGTTAGCTGTATACTTCTTACAAGCGGTATTATTGTGTCTATTGAAGCACGAGGGAGGCCGTACACTAGCTGATATGATCCTAGTGTTGTCCTCAATGGGGTGTCAGAGCGATCAATGATCCTAGATGAACAACAGCGTCGAACAAATAGAATTCAGCATTTGACCACAATAAGCATCTTCTCATTGACTGACATGACAAGATACATCTTCAAAGATTAGTGAACAGACAACACAACATGACGGGATATTTGAGCCAATAAAGGAAGTGATAGGAGAAGATGTTGACAAGCACGTGCGATCGCCCAGGGTGACAGGGGCAGCCTCGGCACTGAGGGTATCAAGGTTGTTGGCCGAGGGCGGCGGCGATTAACACAATCATGTCGGGTACATGATCATGCCACCCGTTTCACGCCCATCTCCACTTGCAAGAAGTGACCAATGTCCATCAGCATATCCATACACATAGTACACGGACAACCGACAGCAAAGGAAGCATTGAACGGGTAGCCTGGCCAGCGCGCAACTTCGACCATCATGGCCGACTCGGTTGGTTAGCATCACATGCTTCGACCCCTTACATCTCACACCCAGCACCACTAACACGCTTACCACAGACCGAGTATTTGGACATGCGCTCAACACGGTCAACAAGATCCGCACGGGCTCGCAAAAGCCGCCCGTGAGCGAGCGCCTCCGCCTCTACGGCCTCTACAAACAAGCAATGGAAGGCGACGTCGCCTACGTCCAAGAACGACCCCTCAGCGACGACAAGAAAGAGCTAGACAAATGGGATGCCTGGGCCACAAACTCTGGGCTCTCGCGCACACAGGCAAAGCGCCAGTACATCGAGACACTGATACACACTATGCACGAGTATGCGAGCGCAACACCCGAGGCAAGAGAATTGGTTGCCGAGCTTGAGTTTGTCTGGGACCAGGTGCGGAATAATTCGAATCCGAGTGCGAGTTCCGAGGCGTCGAGTCCGTTGCGTGTGTTGCATGAGCAGCGCTCTGGCTATCCGGGTATGGTGTCTAGCTCTGCTGCCGCCTTTGCAGATGACGATGTCGCGTCCCGTCCACTACGAATATTGAGCCCTGTCAGCCAAGCCGACGAAGACGAGTTGAACGAAGAGCACGAGGAAGAGTTTGTCGATGCACCCATAAGTCAATACGACGATACCGAGGACCCGGCTCTGGACGCCGAAGAAGACGAAGACGACCAACAACGGCGACCGCAGTCAACGATATCGAGTCCATGCGACACACGCTGGCGAAGACGAGTAGAGTCTGCCTTGGTCAAGATGACGACCGAAGTCGCTGCGCTGCGTGAGCAACTAGAATCACGCAGTTACATCGCACAACGGAGGAGGCACTCTTTCCTGGCTTGGATGTTACGAGCCTCTTGGTTTCTGGTCAAGCTGGTTGCTGTCGATATCTTCATATTCTGGCTTGTGCTACTCTATTTGCGTCGTAAGAAGGACCGAAGGCTTGAGGGTGCTGTTAGGGTATTGCTTGGTGATGCTGTCGCGCAGATGCAAAAAGTTAGCAGCAAAGTCAAGGTACCGACGCTGACAGGGAAGAAGACCTAATCAGGATAATTGCCTGCTACGCTGTTACGCTTGCGCTCAGATCATTGTTGATATACTTGTATACACGTGACAACAGAGACATGAGTGTGATGAGTTATGATCGTCATAGGTTTGCATTACATGTCGTTATAAATGGTCTGGATGTTTAATCCTCCTTGAAGGGACATCCCTTTGCCGAACTCTCCGTTCTCGTCTTGGACTCGACAATCTCCGCCGTGAGTCTCATAAGACGGTCTGCCAGTGTCATGTCTTGGCCCATCTCCGAGGGNNGGGTCTCGTAGACCTTCTGGGGAGCAATGTAGTTGCCACCAGTATCGGCCATGGTCGCAGCATACATCGAAGAGACACAGCCTTCGAACTGAGACTTGCGGAAGGGCTTGAGACCAACCGACATGCCGTAACCTAGAAGGGGAAATGCCTCGTGGATGTGAACATTTGTTTGTGCAGTGTCGACGATGCCAGGGTGAATGGCGTTGACGATGATGTTGGGGTGCTCGGTCTTGAGGTGCTGGTTGAGCCACTTGGCGTACAAGAGGTTGGCCAGCTTGCTACGACCATACTGCGGCTGCGGTCCGTAGTCCTTGTTCAGCTCTGCGACGGATGCAAACTCGGTCTCCTTGGGGGCCTGGGCGTGCAAATTGGAAGAGACACAGACGATGCGAACAGTGTTGCCCTTGTCAGCAGTCTCCTTGATGGTTGGGAGCAAGTGACTGGTCAGAACGACGTGACCGAAATGGTTGACAGCCATGTGAAGATCGATACCGTCCTTGTTCAGTTGTCTGGTCATGATTCCTCGGCCAGCGTTGTTGATGAGAATGTCGATTCTGTCGGTCTGCGAGGCAATCTCTGATGCAACCTTGCCAGTTTGTACCCAGTCGGAAAGATCGCATTGCTTCCAGATGAACTTCTTGCGTGCTTCGGGTCCGAACTCTTCCTCGATGGCATTCAAAGCTTCGTCGGCGACCTCCTGTCTCATGGATGTGACGAAAAGCTTGGAGATGTTTTTCGAAAGAAGCGTATGGGTGCAACCAAATCCAATGCCTTCACTGCCACCAGTGACAACAGCGACCTGTTTGCATTGTATTAGTCTTGCTCGATATCAGGGCTTGGAAACACTTACCTTGCCGCTAAGGTCTGGGACCTCATCCAGGCTAAAGCTGTTCTCTGGGGAAGCAAGAGCGTGAGCAGGACCGCCCAGGTTCTCCGAGATTGTGTTTCTGATGGTCTCCATGGCGCCTGTAATGCTTGGGATTTCACTCATTGATAATATTTGTTGATGTACCACAAAGGCAGAAGGGGACACAGCAGTCATTTATAAACAATACCCCTCAACTGATCGTGATGTCAGCTCCTCAAAAACTAATGTGGACCCAAGGAGACGCTTGAGGATGGTGCACTATTGTGATGCGGTCATCATGACTTGTTGGAGCTCTATTGGGCATATCTGATTTTGACCCCATCTTATCACTCAGCAAAGGCCCGACCCGTTTCCTGGGGTGCTTGTGCATCAACACAACACCATTCCCTCGTTCTCAACATATCCGGAAATCTGGAGTTGGAATCCTTGACCTGCTTAGCTGATGAGCTGAATACGTGCATGCCCAGAAGAGTGGTGCATATGCATGTTGCTCACTCAGCTGATCAGAATCTGCTTGCGCAATCTGCTTCACCGTTAGGGCTTTCCAGATGCAAAGACGACATGAATACTTTCGAGAAGTACAGAGCGTGGCTGTAATTTGGAAGTCCAGATCGAGCCAGACGGGTTCTGATACAAAGAGGCATGCGAGGGAACCACGTGTAGATGTCGATCATATAGATCGATGTATCGTGATATAATATCACATTCTGTGCACATCTTGTCTGTACAAGGGCTTGAAACTGAGACGGTAAGTAGATCCTGCCACCAGCTACGGACCGGACGTAAGGCAAGACCCAAAGTCGTTATGTCGTAAAAGAACCAAATGAGTTCTCATCCTCATCCACGCCAAAGACCTTGATGATGTGCTCTTCCACCATTTCACATGTTCCTTTCTTCCACTCTCGAGNGGCATCTGCTTTCCAATGTACAAACACACCCCCGAGAGTGCAAGCGACATGTCTGATCTCTTCCCAGAGCTCTCTCTCAACATCCATGCCGAATGTCTGGATGGTCTTATCTTTCTCTCCCCACAGTCGACGGTGTTCGCCGGTTTGGTGGTTGATGGCTGGGCCATCCTGGTTAAACAAGGTATTGGGATCCATCTTTGGGAAGTTTGCGTGGATAGTAAATGGCATGGGTTTGACCAGCGCAACGTAATCATCAACAGGATTCGACTGGAGCATTGCTACTCCACGCAACTCCCCAGTGTCGTTGTATCCGAGGATCCTGACCGGCTCAGAAACCTGGTAGAAAGGCGCGTCGACTGCAGCTGCGCCTGCCAGGAACGTTTCCTTGTCCCCTTCACCCGGACCTCCTTGCGTGAGTAGGGGATAATAATGCGAAGGCCCGTAGTAATTGTAGTATGCAGCGACCAGCAGTGCCGCTGAATGAGTCCGCTTGGACACAATGACTTGACCCGACTCAGTAGAAGCCCTAACAGTGGTCAAAGGTGCTTTTGTTCCCTGTATCTTGTAGAACTTCTCAGAAGCTGATGAGATCCAAAAGTCTGGCCATGTCACTAAGCCACTTGTCGTAAACGGTTCCGTTTTGAAGACGTGGTCCACATTATGTACGGGGAAGTTGTCTGCATCGAGCAAGAGCACTTCCTCGAAGCTCGAGAACAATACCGAGAAGATCTTATATTGGTACTTCTCGAGCTTGATCAATCCAGATGGGAAAAAGTCATCCAGAATTACGCAGCGAGCGTTTAGTGAAGGAAGCAGTTCTTGGCACAGATAGTTGTCGCCGCGCGCTTCATCAGCTCGCAAGAAGAGTTCGACAGGTAGGACACTACCAGAGCGTCTGAGCATGCGGANGGAGACGATGAAAATCGGCAAGTGTGCTCCTCCTGCGGTAGAGACTATACCACGAGATCCAGGTTTGTGAGGCAATGTCAAGTTGGAAATTCCTTCCACGAAATTTCGATGCGCCAACCGCATTCCCTCGACCTGGGCTGTGGTGATGGGCACATAGTCCAGTCGCTTCAAGGGCTTGTTTTTGTTGTCATGAAAACCAATGGCGGAGACACTGTTAGTCTTAGTCAAGGATGCTACCGGCGGCTTGGTTTCCTTCAAGGTCCGGACTAGTCTGCGACTGAACTGAACGTAAGCATCCCCATCCTCGGGCTCGGAGGATTGCCAGCCAAGAATGCTTGCAGCATTCCTGCGACACTCGTCAGCTTTGCGTACTCAACACTCAACAACAATTACGAGTACATACGATTCTATCGTCGCTGGAGCCGCTGAGAATTCTCCGCCAAGGAGAAACTTCCAACCAAGAACTATGAGACAGGCAATCAAGAACGCCCGTCGGAGACGCGCAGGAAAGCGAAACATCGTCCTCCTCCGCCTCAAAAGCTTGTCCTCTCAGTGAGGGGTCGCGGCGATATCCAGAGATTCCGAGTCCAAGGCTTGTGGAGATGTGTGTCTATGTGAGCATGTCTGACAAGGTGTTGCACAGTTGACGATCTACCCAGCCAGAGTGTCTAGGTTCCACCCCCGAGCGCCGCTGTTTGGTTGAACCTTGACGCGCCAACAGCGGTATGCGGGGTTGGCAAGAGTGGGGCTGCTCTCGGTAGGTTCCTCCGAGTGCCGAGCTTTGACATGGCAAGCTGGAGCGTTCTCGAGCTTTCGGTTTCAGCAACCTATCACTTGACTCTCCTCTATCGTACACTCCATGTCGCCCAAGCCAAAAACACCTCAAACGCCTTTGACCCTTGTAGGCGTACGTGTTGGTTTGATCGATTTTGGTGCCCGGACTTCCTTCAACAGTTTGTCTCAAATCGCAAACATCAAGGCTCAAAAACTGTGCGGAGCTGAGCCCTCATCCAGTGCAAACAGAATGCTCCTCGGAGAGGTCAATGGACGTCTATCGAATCTTTGAGAAGTTGCGAGTGCATATCGAGGTTCGTCCTTGGTGACGAAGTTGGACCTTCAAATCGTAAAAGTGTCAGAGCATCACGATCTTTGAGATGCAAAAGTCGTTTTGAATACCTCGTGCTTGTCCTTAGCTGTAACGGAGCGTTGACAAGATACACGTCGTCGAGTCTTTGTCTTCGGATGGCCCGGCTCTGGGTCCTAGCTTTCTGTGCCTCCAATCCAGACATGCAGTGAACATGCGGTTGTCGAGGGACTTTCGTCAAGCCTTGCCCTAGGCCACCGATCGTCTCCGAGACTCACACCCCAGTGCTGCGATCGTGTGTGGACTAAGGATGAGATCGAGGAATTGAAGACCAGCAGTCTGTGGTATTTATCGGGCCGCAACATTGCCATATTTCCATTCAGTCATGTTGGAGATCGTCGTTTTCGCGCAAACTTGCTCCTCGTGATGAACAGCTTGGCACCAGATACACAGAGCTTAAGCTCCAATGAGTAACTAACTCACCGTCCCTGCTTTGCTCAGCCTCTAGTGTGTTTCGCCAAGTTCGAGAACAATACAAGTTACCTTGTCCTCCCCTCCTTCGATACCCCTCGATATTATCAAGGCTTACTGTACATACCCGAGCTCCTCCAGTTTTATTACTACCATTGTTTAGGAATCATTGCTGATAATCGACTCGTTGTCTCTCGGGACCGACCCAGCACGCAGACTTGTTGAGCCTTTGACCCTTCCCATTGGGATCTGAAGCTCCACCATAAGCTTTTAATGGCCCAATACATAAACCAAACACATCACACCAGCTTCTCTGGAGCTCCCTCAAGCACGATGGGCATACAGTATCAGCCCATGTATCGGACGGTCAACAACGATCCAAACATGCAACCGTTCTTCGTGGAGCCACAGCCTCAGCCTCAGCCTCAGCCGCAATTTTATGGATTCCCTCCACCAACTGGAAGCTCGTTGGACTCAGGATATGCTGGCGAAGACATCAACCCCTTTGAGGACAATGGACTGTGCTCGGAACTCAGAATGGACTATGTGCAACACATTGCTCCTGCAGTCCAAAGCTACGACACATTCGGCTACATGACCAATGATCAGCAACCAAATATTACTGGCCAGCCTTTTATGCCAGTCAACTATTCTGGACCCTTCGCCCACAACTTCGAGCCTATCAAGCAGGACATGAATATGTCGCAGAGCCCGCCGACACCAACACTAGTCCTGGATGATGCCATCAGCGTTAAGAGCGAGGAGGATATGGCCTCAGATGCCGCTTCACCCATGACCTTGACGCACCCGAGAAGCCAGCTCCCAAATCAGAATAAGAGACGCCCTAGCACAATCAGACGAACGGCAACAGAGCCGTCGATGGAAATCCGGTCCGGCAGCATACAGCGTACGGCGGCCAAAGAAGGTCGAGGACGAGGCCGAAAGCGGATTCCTCACACAGCAGTGGAGCGTCGATACCGCGAGAACCTCAACTTGCACCTGGAGAACCTACGACATGCGATGCCTTTCCTACAGGCGGCTCAGCGCCGCAGAGCGAGCGATGTCAACGACCCCATGAAGCCAAGCAAGTGCGAGATTCTAATAGGGGCCCTGGCATACATCAAGCGGCTAGAGTCCGAAGTCAAGGAATTGAAGGAAGGTCTAGGTGAATGAGCAGTACAGAAAGCAGCAGCAGCAAAGAAGATAACACAAATGAAGGGTTTAGTCATTGGTCGGGCCAGGAATAGAGAAAGTGTATACCTGGGTACCCTTTGCACTGAGGGCATGTGGGCGTTTGGTTTTGGATGATGTGCTTCGCTGTAGGCTGTAGCTCGATAGACAAGCATTAGTAATCAACATTCCTCGTATGCAAACAAAGTCGATGATGATGGTGGTGCAAGGTGGTTGTCGATGGGAAATTCGACCAGACCCCTGAAACTCACAGCTTGGCACGTGCGCGTCATATTCCTTGAACCCTTCGATCAACGATGAACGAGGTTGCTGGCATAGCACAGAGTTACACTGCAAACCGACAGCTTGACAAGATGTCATTTGTACGGGAGACTTGACGACACGTTGTTCGCCATATAAGACACGGCATCAGTAGAACGACATGGCAGATTCGGCCCCGCCCGAGTTGGCGGCAGCCTTGCTGAAATGGGTACGACACTACCGACACCAATCGTGTTACAATCAGCTCATGTGGCCANNGGTGCAAGCATTCCAGACGTCCAAGAAGGTCGAAGGCTGGGAGGACATACAAGACGGCCAAGTGCTATGGGACATCCTCCGAGACATCGACCCGGGCTACTTTCAGGACGATCTCCCAGAACCACCGGCGAAGACACAAGACCACTGGATTCCACGATGGCAAAACCTCAAACATGTCAACCGCCTCGTCACATCATATCTACGAGACTCGAGCGGTTCCATCGAGAATCCGGCAGGCAGCCGTGACCCAGACCTCAAGGCCATTGCTACAGATGCCAGCGCGAGGGACACTATCATGGTATGTTTCTGCCATGTCTAAACTCAAGGACAGCCAGTCGACTAAACATCTTCCTTACAGCTGCTCAAAACAATGCTCCGTGCCGCCATGTACTCGCCCGAATCGAACCAGAGAATGGGTCGCATAGTCGTCGGCCTTGGTCCCGAAGTTGCCGTCACGATTGCTGCAGCCATGAAGCAAATGGAAGAAACCGATACACCGCAGCCTGAAGTCGCCGACCGTTCCGACTACGAGATCACTTCCGAATCATCTACTCCTGCCGAGCCCATGTTAGAGAAACTTACCATTCCTGTCAACGACCGTCTTTCCTTTGGTACTTCTGGCGAACGCGATCCCGAATTGGAACAAGAGGAGAAACTCATTCAGGCATTCAAGGTCATCAAGGACCTGGAGAACAACAACGCAAAAGCTGCTACCGAATTGGAAGAGTTGAGACAAGACAAGGAGGAATTGCAACAAGCATTTGACGCCTTCAAGTATGAGGTTGAGAACCAGGGTCGCAAGGCTGCCGAGAACGATACCATGAAGGACATGCAGCTCAAGGCAGAAAGAGACCGTGATTACATTGCCGAGTTGGAAGCAGAACTCGAGACTTTGAGGGACAAGTCGCAAGCCCAGGAACGCCAAATTGAGCGATTCAAGACAGACACGGACGCAAAGCAGAAGCTCAGAGATGATATGCAACTCCTCCGAGCCGAAAGAGACGATTTGCTCCAGAAGACTCGCATGAATGAGAACCTCAAGAAGAAAATCCAAGCACTACAAGACCAGGAAAAGACCAACTCCACTTTAAGAGAGGATCTTCGCTCGGCAAGCGACAGACTACAAGACTTGGATCGTCTGAAAGACCAATGCGCAGCTCTGCAAAAAGCAAATGCCGAGAACCTGAAACTCATTGCCAATGGTGAGCAGGAGATCTTCGACCAAAAGACGACTCGCAAACGCATCGAGCACGAATACAAGGTCCTCACGCAGAAGTGGGAAGCGGCCAAGGAAAGACAAGTCAAGGATCACGAAAGTATCACAGAACTCGAGAACAAACTGCAAACACTCGAGCTTGGAGGATCAAGTACCAATGGCGCCAACGGTGGACTCGATGGAGAACTCGAGGCTTCAGAGAAGGCACGCGCTGAGAGGGCAATGGCAAGAAGCCAGGTCGACACCATGCCATCTGCTGACGCTCCCATCTTGCAACAGAAGCTAGATGCCATCACTGCACGCAACAATAAACTGGAGAACGAATATCTTGATATTCTGCAAGACAAGCTCGGCCTGGAAACCGCCTTGCAAGACATCCGCGAGCCTACTCGAGAGCCAGAAGAAAACGTACCATTTTTGGAACAACGCAAGAAGCTGCAGGCAGCACAGGCTGAGATCCAAGAAATGCGCAACCAGAAGTTCGGCACAAATACCGAGATGGCCAACATAAAGGAGAGGCTTATGGCCATGCAGAAACAACTTACCGACAAGAATGTACAGCTGGATGGCAATGCAGAGTACCAGACCTTGACAGATCGGTACTCAGAATTGCACAAACACAGCGAAGGTGTCGAAGCAGAGTTGGCCGAACAGCGCGCACTGTTGCGACATGCTTTGCTCAATGCCTCGCAGCTGTTGAAAGAGTCTGCAGAGACTCGCAATGACAACGAGTACAAGCTACTATTGCAGCAATTGCAAGCAGTCAGAGATGCACCAGATGACGACGAGCTTCTAGAGTCTACTGCAGCTCAACTTGCGGATCGTATAGAACAAGCCCGTCTTGACACTATTGCTGCAAACAAGGTATGTGAACTCACCAATCTTCCGATCAAAGCTATACTAACATTGTCTCCTCCANNGCTCGCCGAAGACCGAGCGACCGAAATCGCAACACTCAAGAAGCAAGTCAGCTCTGGCGCAACAACGACGGCTACAGGCAATGTACCGTCGGCCGAATTCNNTGCAGCCCTACAGCGCGAAAACAAGCTCATGACATCGGCATGGTTCGATCTCAGTAGCAGGCTGCAGAGCAACACCGTCATGCTGGGTAGGCGCAAAGAGAGTCCAAAGAGTTTCTTGGGCAAGCAGCGACAACTAGTGACGCCTGGGTTGGTTTCTGGACAGCATCGTCGTTAGACATAGGAGATAGAAGTGAATTGTTAAAATAGAGTGATATCCACAGTATTGTTTGAGCGGGAAAGTGACAATGTCTGAAATGTCAATACAGGTGACAGCGACGGCAAGGTGCATTTTCATGTCAGTCGTTACTGTCGTTGCAGTCAGACGATGAATTGAGATGATACAATATATATTGTCGCAACTCGTGGCTAATCATCGGATCCTGAATCTGGCCAACCAGATTCAACCCTTACAAGCTAAGGTGATGTGGTGTAGTGGTAGCATGTGTCGTTGTGGAGGTTAAAGTCCAGCAACGCCGACCCGACGGCGGTTCGATTCCGCCCATTGCCAGGATCTTTCCTTTTGCACTTTGTTTGCTCTTAGATCCAATGTGTAGCATGCAGGTACGGTTCTTTCGTAGAAGTGGCCGGTGGTACACTTTTGTTGCTTTTGCAAGAACAGCAAAATATCCCATGGAAGAAGAATTGGAGCCATTGAGAGTAATACAACTGAAAAGTAATTTCTATTAATTGGCATCAAGTGCACCGAGATACAAGTGGTTGTTTCTATCTGACACCTATACTTTGCTTTGGACCAAATCGATCTTCTGCGTTCCACGTCTCTTCCGCTCTAGTACCCGGAGGAAGCCATGAACCAGGCGAAGCGTTACTCGATGATCTGGCGCGCATGCTGTGTTCCGCACCATTCGGCAAGCCGTAGCCTCCATGAGAAGGAGGCGCTTGCGAGTAAGGAGAAGCATCCGACTTCTTGTTGTCACCACCAACTAGAGGAAGTAGTGTTTCTTTGCCCTCTTGCAAGGCGCGAGCACGTTTGTCTGCTTTTGCGGCATCGCTGGTGCGGTCGTAGAGGTAGAGACCGAGGATCGTGAGGCCGATGCCAAAGCCTTGGATCTTGGTCATGGGGTTGCCGAACCAGATGATTGCAAAGACAATGACGAAAACGCGCTTGAACAAGCTGGCTACACTGTAGGTGACTGGAGAGACAAGGCCCAGTAGGACGAACGCGACGAGATTTTGGCCAAAGTGGAAGGATCCGTTGAAGATGAATTCCAGGCCGAGACGAGCGTGGTCGAGTGAGCCAGGGCGTTCGGACAATTCGATGGAGGCGTCGGCTAGGAAGTCGGCGATCATTGAGAAGCCCTCTGACCATAGCCAGATGGGCAGGGTAAAGATGAAGGCGAGACCGGAAGAATAGCACAGGAGGTTGAGCTTGTCGGGCTTCTTGTTGCGAATGTTGATACCGTCGGCCTCTGCTTTGGCAGCCTCGTTGAATAGCTTTTTGGATACAATGTTCTGAGTGACGAACAGGAGTGCGCTGCCGAAAGCATATACGAGTCCCAGGAAGTTTGCTTTGAAGCTAGCGGAGCAGGCCATGACGACGCCTAGTGTGAGGGGTACGAGCGACATGTAGGTGGCATACGAGTAGCGGACGTCGAGAACGAAGCGGTAGGCGAGGACTGTGAGCAGAGGCGACAGCCCCTTGATGGTGTGGACAAGCGAGACTGGGATGCGGCTCATAGCGTCAGAGCTGAGGATATGACCGCCGATTTGGAAAGCGGTTAGGGGAAGGGTGGTCATGATGAGTTCGCGCGAAGGCTTGCGGATACCGTGACGCAGTACGGGCATGGAGTTTCGAAGCGGCGGATGGATGCGAGCAGCCCAAGATAGTAATAGACACCACGAGCATACAAACATGAATTGGATCAAAGTCAAGGTCACGGGCTTGGGCAAGGCGGTCAGGATGGCCTTGGACGAAGTATTGGACATGATGGACGTCGTGTACCAGATGGCACAGAGGANACTTTGGCCAACGAGTAAGCACGGGAATGGCAATGCGATTGTATTCGAGCTGCAACGTACAATGAGGCGTCCTGACACAGGCGCCTTGAGAGCGTCGGCTATCTCGTGTGCGTTCTGGCTGACACTGGCCCTCCTCCCTCGCACCGTCCGTATCGCCTCGCTCAAGCTCTTTTGTCTTCCGTGTCGGCCTACTGCTCCGCCATTGGGTGTCCAACCGTTCATGGTGTGTGAGCCTTTGCGCGCCTGCCATCGTTCATGGCTGTGCAGGTGGTTCGGCAGCCCGAGCGGCTGCGGCATGGGCGACGCTGGCGTTGAGTCCATGGGCTCCTGTGTAGTCTGCAACATGTCGTCCGACAGGTCCGGGAACTTAAAAGTTGCTGGCGACGGCGACGTCGAGGTCCGCCGATCGAACTGCGACGTCGACATGGCTGTACAAGCTTTGGTGATGCGGATTTTGGAAGAGGAGCCGATGATACACAATCAATCCATGGAGGCCAATGTCAATCAAGTGCACTTTCAACCCTGCGACATGAGTTTCATCAAGCCAGTTATTACCAGCTGGATATGGACAGGCTGGCAAGGTGTTTGATCTTCGTTGCCGTCATTCGGCAATTTCCGTCCTTGTCTGAAGCTTCCCCTTCTTGCAATCTGCAAATCAAACACCAACGGGGTCATGTAACAGATATGAAGCTTGCTACCCTATTTCTAAACGCTCTTCGGAGTCTTCAGGAACCGATCGTTGCATCTGTGCCATCAAGTACATGTTCTCTCGAATTCTCCACGTCGTGGGAGGTCGTAGGTCCCTTCCAAGTAGGCACGCGAGGCATGGTGCATCCATCATCACTGGATGCATCAGAAACTGATATTGCGACTTANGAAGCAACATGGGGTGCCGATCCACTCGAATACTATGGTGGCTTTCGCTCCTTGAAGTATGATAAGGATGCGAAATTCCCAAGCTCTCTGGCCCCTAATGCAACTGTCTCCTGGTCTACCATCACGGCCCGACAGTCATCCTGCGACACTCGCTCTGCTCGAACCGATCTGTCTGTAGCATTTCCTGATGTCGACTTGGCTTTTCTCCAGCGTATCTACGGTTGGGCGGCTCTCCAGTACCAAGGATGGGCTCGAGGCCGTCTTTATGTCAATGGCGAGAAGCTTCAGACCTTGACTCTTGCAACAGACAATATCCTAGAGTTCTATCTCGATGGACATCATCACTTCGGCGGAGACTATTATGCCTTTCGGAGAGCTCCAATCGTCTTACATCTTGAGCCAGGAGATCACATCATCGACCTACGGTTCGTTCGTGATGTGCGAGCCATGGGTGGCGTAGGTTCTCCAACCATCGACATGCATCTCGAAGCGCGATCCACAACCAAGGATCTTCACATCGCTGCAGACAATGCTCTCATGCCTGACATGGTCGGCGGACGTTTGGCAAGCATGTTGGGTTCTATCCGGGTTCGCAACGATCATGCACTACACGACGTTGAAATCTTCGCGGTCTCTGCCAACGATAGCTCTTACTTTGTGTGGTTGCTGCAACCTGATGATTTCCGAGTCTTTGCTGGGCAGACCAGGCCTGTGTCATTTGCCATCTCATGCAAGACGAACTGCAGTCCGTATCTTGGTATCGACATCGAATATGGAATCGTTGGCCGAGGCCACTCTCAAGCTTCTGTATTGCACGTCGATCATCAATTTACTCAGCGAGAGTTGTACGAACCATTGAAGGTGACTTTTTATCATCCAGGTGGAATGGTATCCTATGCAATCTTAAAGCCTCCGCCATCAAACATCTCCTGTCCTCTAGACTCGGAGGGTCTGTTGCCCGTGTTGCTGCAGCTACATGGCGCCGGTGTAGAGGCCGACAATGACATCGTAAGACATGCTCTAGATTCGCTGGACCTCTGTGCTTGGGCTATATTTCCTACAGGATCAACTGCATGGAGTGGCGACGACTGGCATGTTTGGGGCTTCGCGGATGTAGAGGCAGCAATCAAAGCAATACCTGGATGGACAGAAAGCATTGGTTGGAACGGACCTGGTGTAAACGTGAAACATTGGCTTGTCGCTGGCCATTCAAATGGCGGGCAAGGAACGTGGTATGCTTTGACGCATCGCCCTGACAACGTCTTCGCAGCTGCCCCTATCTCTGGTTACTCGTCCATTCAAAGTAAGTCGCTCGATGCTTCTAGTAAACTCGAACTAACATCACANGACTACGTGCCTTACGATCTGTGGCAGCCAGTGCCTCCTGCGGTTCGCGCCCTCCTGGATGCGTCCTTGAGCAGTTACCGACATGAGCTGTTGCTAGAGAATGTGAAGGGTATTCAAATCTTACAACAACATGGCAGTATTGACGACAACGTCCCTGCTTTCCATTCGCGACTGATGAACCAACTCATAAGACAACAGGCTGCAAACTCATCGTACGTCGAGCTTCAAGGAAAGAATCACTGGTTTGAAGGGATCATGACAACGGAGCCTCTGAGCAGGTTCTTTGAGCAAGAACTCAACGACCTCGCACAACCCTCACGAGCCCCTGAGGCTTTCACCCTGGCGGTCGCAAATCCAGCAGACTCGAGTTCAAAGTTTGGAGTGGAAATTCTTCACCTGCGCCGTCCGGGCCAGCTTGGAAAGATTCACGTCTCCTTCTCCTCATCGGAGTGCTTTCTTCGAAGCTCTAATGTCCTGAGCTTACGTCTGCCTAGCATGTATCCTCGAACACATGGCATTGTTGTCGATGGTCAACGTATAGAGCTCTCTCTCCAGGCCAGGAGCAATGATTTGTGGCTCTCTCCGGATGGTACCTGGAAGGTATATCTGCCATGTCTAAGATGTTTGTCTTGACAATGCTGACTAGTANNCAAGGTTCTTTCAGAGCATCAATCAATTGCATTACGGGACAGGAACCAGTTAGGCGGCATGGATGCAATTTTCCGGACGCAGAACACTCTGCAAATTATCAGCCATTCTCAGCAGGCACGCCATACTGCTGTCCAGATATCTCGAAACTTCTGTCAATACTTCGGTGCCGATACGGAGATCCTGGAATCTGGAATCAGACCCTCAAGGCAGTATAGCAACATTGTTCGTGTTCTTGTGTCGAGCCATTTACCTGCTGGTCATCTCAGAGATTTCGCCTTCCAAGTGGACTCTTCCAATGGCATCAGGATACGCACAACAATCGGCCAGATGAATTACCCTAACTCGGCAGGTCTGGGCGCCATATTCTTGAGGCCGCTGCCGGAAGGAGCGGTGGAGCTGGTAGTATGGGGTTATGATGCAGACGGTTTGGACGTAGCATCGCGCCTTGTACCTATGCTTCCAGGAGTTGGACAACCAGACTTTGTTGTAGCAGACAGGCGGATGCTTCAGGAAGGTGCGGGCGGTGTCCTGGCAATGGGTTCTTTTGATCACCTATGGAACGTGACAGAGACTTCGTACTTTACTTGAGGTAGTAGAGGCTCGGAACAAGGCTATCTCTGACACTGCCGGCTGTAACAGCGATATCTCCATGGACTAAAATCCGCTGTCTATCCTCGTCACTTCAATCGTGCTGTAGGAAACTGAATACTGTAGATTCTCAGCGGGTGGACCGTGCGCACGGACGTCTTGTGGTCACTCTCAGGGAAGGCATCTTCGACCTCTGCCACCCACCTTCCACCCACCGGTCCTTACTAAGTTCTTTTTGAATGCGGACATTGCGCACTCTCTTGGTCCAACCTTCGTCGCTCCTTCATCCTACTTGTCATTGGACAGTCTTGTAATTGCAAAGGCCTAGCCGACATCCTTCTTGTCTGCGCCCAGCCTTTGGCCCGCCCCTACTAGCAGCATCTTCTCTTCCAGTAAGCTTCGCACCACCTCATTCCCCAACGATCTCTGGATCATACACTACTTCCCTACCATCTTGCATCCTCCCCTGTCTTCCAACACTCGCTGGAACCATCATGGCTTCTTTGAGTCTTGACGGATCACCTACTCCCCGCAAGAAGACGCCTCTCAACTTCTTCCTCCACGACGAGGACCAATTCGAAGACGAAAATACTCATATCTCTGGTGGTGCTGTAGGTNNTTTTGGCTTTGTAATCATGTTTCGTTCCTTCGACTTAACCTTCGCTCAGCAGCAACCTAAGCGCGACACCAACACTGCCGTCTCGAACGCTGTGCCTCTCACTACCTCACGCTTCGGCAACCAACTGCCTCCCCCTCCTCCCAGCACTCGCAACTCTTCCTACAAGGTAAGTCATCTTCAACACATTGATCATATCTTCTGTGTAACAGGATGCTTATTCAATCTCTATCATCAGGGTCAAGTCGCTATGCCCACCATATCTATACCTCCCAACGGTCTCGGCCTTGATATCTCACACGCCCCTCCGGCTCGCAACTTGCACCTTGAAGAACTCTTGGCCAAGCTGTCTGAGCAGCAAGTCCTCCTCAGCAAGCAGAGCTCTGCCCTTCATGCTCAGCGTGGTGGTGAGACGTCTCCAGACTCTTCCGGCTCTGGTGCACTTACCAACCCTTACGCCACCACTCCTCGCACTGACTCCCAGTTCAACGACGTCTCTCAAGCTGATCTGGCCGAGATGTTGCGTCTTAAGAAGGAGCTTGAGACTGCTCAGACCCAGATTGCTCGCATGGACCAGGAGTTGTCTCAGTCTCGCATCACCAAGCACACTCTTGAGCAAGCCATGGGCTCTCAGTTCGACTCGGACTTTGACCACATCCGCGACCTTCGCCCTCAAGGTGTCGCTGCCCGCGTCGACAACTGGGTCCAGTCAACTGAGCCAGGTGTTCCTCCCATCAACGCCAATCCTAACATCAACGCCACCCACATGGCCCCTCCTCCTGCCCGTGGTATCTGGGGCTCGGGACCTTCCTTCGGCCCTGGTGGTGCTGGAGGTCCTAGCGGCCCTGGAGGCCCTGGTGTTATCGGCCAAGTACTCAACAACACCAACAACTGGCCTCTCAATGACCCTCGTGCCATGGCTGGTGCTCGTCCGGAGGTCAACAATGCCAACATGTTCCCCATCGGCCCCAACACTCGTGGCTGTCCTCCTGCTCTGCGCATTGACACGACTGCAATGGGTCCCTATCTTAGCGAGCCATCCTCCGCCGCTGATTTGTCCATGCGCAGTGGTCTCAGTCGTCCAGCTTCGGCTTTCGGCAACCACCTTCACCCTTGGGGCCAGTTCAGCCCTAACGTCAACGCATCTGATCATTCCGGTCTCACTCCACCCTTGACACCACTCTCTTTCCAGTCAATGCAGAACATGCACAACATCGCCGGAATGCCTCACCCTATGTCTGACCAAGCCTTGATGAACAATATATCCTTCGGTTCCAGATCCAACGGCACCAGATTGTCACCCACTGCCGCCGAGTTCCAGGCCGGTGGCTACGCCAACGCTGGATGGAACATGAGCNNCCGCAGGTAAGTCTTCTCACCAGCCCACACTCTGCGCACGCGCACTTCATCTATCTGCGCATCCACTGACCGTTCCCAGTCCCTGTCTGAGCCTGGCAGCTATCTCACCAACGCCGAGCCCATGAACTACCGCCGTCTTCTGGACCGCAACATGAGCTGCAACTGGAAGTACATTGTCGACAAGATCGTCCACAGCAACGACCAGCAGGCATCCATCTTCCTGCAGCAGAAGCTCAAGGTCGGCACTCAGGAGCAGAAGTATGAGATTGTCCAGGCCATCATTGACCAGGCTTACCCTCTCATGATCAACCGCTTCGGCAACTTCCTGGTCCAGCGCTGCTTCGAGCATGGTACTCCTGAGCAGATCATCGCCATTGCCCGTGCTATTCGCGGCAACACTCTCAACCTGAGCATGGATCCCTTTGGCTGCCACGTTGTCCAGAAGGCATTCGACAGCGTTCCTGAGGAGTACAAGGCCATCATGGTCCACGAGCTCCTGCGTCGCATCCCCGAGACGGTTATTCACCGCTACGCCTGCCACGTCTGGCAGAAGCTGTTCGAGCTCCGCTGGAGCGACACTCCTCCNCAGATCATGAAGTATGTCAACGAGGCTCTCCGCGGCATGTGGCACGAGGTTGCCCTCGGCGAGACTGGCAGTCTTGTCGTTCAGAACATCTTCGAGAACTGCCTTGAGGATGACAAGCGTCCCTGCATCAACGAAGTCCTTGCCAGCATTGATGTCATCGCCCATGGCCAATTCGGCAACTGGTGCATCCAGCACATCTGCGAGCACGGCGCCATTCCTGACCGCAACCACGCCATTGACCACGTCCTTCGCTTCGCCACCGAGTACAGCATGGATCAGTTTGCCAGCAAGGTTGTCGAGAAGTGCCTCAAGATTGGCGGCACCGAGTTCCTTGACCGTTACCTCGACCGTGTGTGCGAGGCTCGTGCCGACCGCCCTCGCATGCCTCTCATCGACGTCGCCGGCGACCAGTTCGGAAACTACTTGATCCAGTACATTCTGAGCCACGCCGATGCTCAGCGTCGCGAGGTCGTCGCCACTCACATCCGCAAGCACATGGTCTCNCTTCGTGGCTCCAAGTACGGTTCTCGCGTGGCCATGCTCTGCTGCAACCCTGCTGTCGCCACTCGTCCTGGCCCTCCTACTGGTATTCCTATGGGTCGCAACGCTGGCGGCTTCGGTGAGCGTCCTTACAACGGTCCCCGTGGCTTCCCCTACGGTGGAGCCTACCGCTGAATGTCAAGATCTCAAGATGCTCCAACGCCCGCCCATCTCGTGGTTTTGTCGACCATGTTTGTGTCGGGTGTACAAGACATATCTTCACAACATACTCCATGTCTCACTACCTAGGCTCTCGTGTGCAAATCTTGTGGTTGCACGAGCATTGCTGGCGCGACACACAAGCTGGCTGCATAATTAACGAATATTATTGCACGTCTGACGATGAATGTGAGCGACGCATCATTGTCTAGCTCCAGCATGTTAGCATCTTTTCATCTACTCTCTCTCGTTCTCGGAGGCATCTGTCATGTCGAAGTTCTTCGCCGTCTATCACAGAAAAAGGAGGAAAGCTCGCTTTTGGCGAAAGCCTTTTGGATGGATCGGAAGCACCTTACATCTTTCGACAAACATCAACATGTCAGCAAAAGTCACCAAAAGAAAGAGAAATTGGGGCCAAAAAACGCATTCGGGAGATTTTTCGATTTGAGACACTCGTTTATTTTCTTTTTCCTATGTTTTTTTATGCAAGCTGGGGATGCAATGGGTGGAGATTGAGCATCGATGGTTTTTCAGAGCAAAGAGGGCGTAATGTGATGAAGGGCACAGCTCGGCTTGAACTAGCATCGATATACAAAATGAGAGACTTGAAACAGATTCCTGGTGCTGCTCAAGTGTGGTGTGATGGTCGATCGAGGATTCGAGATGTGATGGATGTTTGTTATGGGTGATGTCAGTGTGGCTGGGACTCGTTTGAATTCAGGAGGGACTCAAGCGTCACCCGCTTCAAGGCCACAACAGATGCATGTTTAAGCGTGGCAGCCAATCAAGAAGCAAGAAAGAGAGCGATGATGGCTTCGCTCACTCCTAATGTCCAACAGGGCGACCGACGACTTCCATACTCTCCTGTGCACTCGCCTTCGGCTCCGGTAATCATGACAGCGGCTAACGGCCACTTTGCCAGTGTCGGCGACGACGGCGACAAGCAACAGCAATCCTTCGAGCACGGCATCCAAGTCATTGATGAGAACAAGACATTCAATGCGAACCTGCCAGCATACCTCGACGCCGAACATGTCCTGCGCCAGGGCTTCAACTACCACCTCATCTCGGTCTTTGGCAGCCAGAGCACAGGAAAGAGCACGCTGCTCAACCATCTCTTCGGCACCCACTTTGGCGTCATGTCAGAGTCGGAGCGCCGCCAGACCACCAAGGGAATCTGGATGAGCAAGAACAAGCGTGACCAGGCCGAAGGAGGCGCCGTCAAGATGGCAGACAACATCCTGGTCATGGACGTCGAGGGCACCGACGGCCGCGAACGTGGAGAGGACCAAGACTTTGAGCGCAAGAGTGCCCTGTTCGCCCTGGCCACCAGCGAGGTCCTGATTGTCAACATCTGGGAGCACCAGGTCGGTCTGTACCAGGGTGCCAACATGGGTCTGCTCAAGACCGTCTTCGAGGTCAACCTGCAGCTGTTCCTCAAGGACAACAAGTACGAACATGCCCCCACCTCCCATCCCGACTTCTAATCCTCTGACTCTCTTCTCTTANNCAGCTCGACGCCTCGCTCGCTCCTCTACTTTGTCATCCGCGACCACATTGGCACTACTCCCATGTCCAATCTGCGCCAGACTCTTCTTGCCGACCTCACCCGCATCTGGTCCACCCTCTCCAAGCCCCCTGGTCTCGAGAACTCCAAGATTGAAGACTACTTCGACTTTGCCTTTACCGCTCTGCCCCACAAGATCCTGCAGCCCGAAAAGTTCGTCGAGTCCGTCGCCAAGCTGGGCGAGCGCTTCCGCGAGGGTCAGAAGAGTTCTAGGACGAATCCCTTCTCCGACGAGCAGGCCGAGCCCATCTTGCTACCCGAATACCACCGTAGAATCCCTGCCGATGGTTTCTCGATGTACGCTGGCAACATCTGGGAGCAGATTGACAGCAACAAAGATCTTGATCTACCAACCCAGCAAGAGCTCTTGGCCCAGTTCCGATGCGACGAGATTGCTCGCGAGGTACTCGTTGCCTTTGACGAAGTCATCACACCTCTTGAGTCCAAGCAAGTCGACGCTGCAAAGTCTGGCTCACCGAGCGTACTCTCGGGCCTCGGCAAAGCCATGAACGGAGCTCGCGCAAAGGTTCTCAAAGATTTTACCAGTGAGGCAAGCAGATACCACCAGGGCGTCTATAAGCGCAAGAGTGCTGAGCTCGAGACCAATGTCGACGCAAGATTGAAGGCTCTTTTCCAGGGCCAGCTTTCCGCCGCTCATAAGACTGGTGTGCAAGAATTCACCGAAGCTGTTTCTACTGCAGTCAAGTCTGGTCAAAAGAAGGGTAGCAACTACGACTTCCAGAAGATTGTCAACGCCGAGAAGCAAAAATCGCTTAAGAAATACGAGCAGGAAGCATCAGGTCTCGTCATTGAAGGTGCCTCTTGGAGCAACTATCAACAAGAACTCGACTTGTACCGCAAAGATCTCGACGAAGCCAGTGCAAGACTTCGTAAGGATGAGATGCGCCGTCTTGCCTCTCGTGTCGAGCGCTGGGTCCGTTCTCACCTTGGTGAGTCTATCGGTGTGCAATTCAACAAGCTCGGTTCAGGCCGTGGTGGCTCCGGTGCACCCGAGACCGGCGAGAGAGGTTCCATCGAGAAAGATCTCTGGGATCGCATCTGGCTCGTTTTCACCGAGACCGTCAAGCACGCAGAATCACGCTTCACCGAGCGCGCAAAGGGCTTCGATGCTAGTCCCGAGGAAGTCGAAGTCGGGCTCTGGCGTCTGCGCCGCAAGTCTTGGGGTGTATTGAGAGCCAAGATTGACGAGGAAGTCATGGAAGGAAACCTGCTCCTCAAGCTCAGAGAAAACTTCGAGGACAAATTCCGCTATGATGAGGAAGGTGTGCCCCGTATTTGGCGTCCCTCTGATGATATTGAGGGTATCTACACGCGTGCACGGGAAAGCACGCTTGAACTCATTCCTCTGCTGTCTAAATTCAAGCTTCATGAGACAAAGTCTTTGCCGCCGCTTGAAGAGTGGATTGGCCAGACACCTGCGGAGCTTTCGGCTGCTGACGAAGAGGACTTGCATCCTATTGGTGGCGTCGACGAGGAAGATGGCAAGACCCTCGAGGAAGAAATGACCGTCCTCAGCGACGCAAAGAAGCAGGATCTCAGCGTGCGATTCAAGAAAACTGCAGATGGCGTATACGTCGAAGCCAAGCGCAGCGCCATCGGTGGCGTCACCCAAGTGCCCCTATACTTCTACGGTCTCTTGCTCGCACTGGGCTGGAACGAAATCGTCGCTGGTAAGTTGCCGTCCACTTTACTGGTTGCCTCTCTTTTTCCCCAACTAACGTTTTACNNAGTCCTCCGCAACCCTCTCTACTTTGTCTTCCTCATCCTCCTCGGTATCGGCGGCTACGTCACCTACACACTCAACCTTTGGGGCCCTATCATTCGCATGACCAATGCCGCCAGCGCTCAAGGTATCGAGGTGTTCAAAGAGCGTCTGCGCGAGTTTCTCGAGACGTCGGATACAGGTCGCCAAGCCATGGCCATGTCTGGCAGCAAACCCTCTGAGCGCGAACAGTACAGGTAAGACCGACATTCCTCTTCTACTCATTTCATGACGAAAACGATATTGACTGTGGTGAAAACNAGAATGGATACGCTGAGTAGCGAGGGCAAGAAAACTGCATCTGCGGCTGCTGACGAGGATGAAGATATTTGATCTTGGCGACTTGTCTTCAGAACCGTTTTTTGTCCATTAATATTGTCTTGGAAACCCTCATGTTCTCCTACCCTTGACTACATAAGAGAAAGAAAAAAAGTGACGACGTCCCTGTGTATGATATCCTACTTGTCTTGACTTCCTGTCCCCAATTCTTTGTTGTCGTTTGTGTATAGAGGGTGCATCTATGTCTCTCTTGTCAATTTCTTCTGTGAGCTACTGCTGTTGGTTTCTTTTGCTAATCCTCGCAGTCATTTCTTATTTTTTCCATGTCGGATGCTAGCGGGATGACCCTAACTTTCACAAACTTGAGCGACGTCTCCTAACAATACAGCTCCTCAGAATCCGCTGTCAGCTTTTCGTATACTTAGATGGTACTGCGCTTGTCTATAGTGTCAGATTAATGATCAGACATGAGAAGTAGTACGAGACAATGCGAACGTTCGGACACTCGTAGACAGCAAGGGAATGCCAGAGGTTTGACTTCATGTTTTTGAACATTACAATTACTCTTGTGTGTATGAATGTACAAGAGCTAATATCTCTTCATAATCTGCATCGTCGAGTCCATTAGTTTGTGTGAAAGTGTTGTTGATAACATGTCTCTGCTCATAAAAGGCTGACAACCCAGCATTTGGAAACGTCCACCTCATCAACTCATCTTTGCGACACGATCTGCCCAGAGGGAGAGGCTCTGTGGGCCAGAAAACCAGACTCGAATGGCTGAGAGGAACCGCTAGCTTCCAACGTAGGAGAGGCAGTGGTCTTGAGGGAAATTCCGGACTCATGGCGATCTTCAATCAGCTTCTTTGGAAGGTCCGGAAGGCTTGGTATGCTGCTCACGAAGCTGCTATCGATAGTCGAGGCAGGAGCTGTCAGGGTAGAGACCCTTGGATCGGCTGGAATGCGTGTGTCGTAGCCAGAAGGGCCCGTGTCGGTGTTGATGGCCTTTCCACGACGAGCCTTCTCTATACCTCCTCGATTGGCATGCTCGAGACCGGTACGGAAGTAGTCGATTTCAGGGTTTTGATCAAGGACACGCAGACGCTTGTCAACCATGGTCGGAGTCAAGGGAGCTTTGGAGAGCTCAGGAAAAGCACTTCGAAGCTTCTTGACGATGGCATTGAGGGAGTAATTGCATGTATCAAGAACACACATGGCATGGTCGTGAACGCCGTTCCATTCCTTGGGTAGAGGAGGAGTAGGTGGAAAGCGGTATATCGTAGTTTCACTGGCTGACGAGACGTTGGAAGAAGGTGATGGAGCTTCGTGAGCGGTCAAGGAGTATTTCGACAGTGATGATTGGATGGTAAAAGGGATAGTCGATGGAGCTGTGAGATTGTTGACAGTGGATTGTCTGGTCANAGGGGGTGGTGGACAGTCTGGCACTGGTGTGGGAGGTCGGCTGGCAAGCTTCGAAGACGAGGGAGGAGTGTCTTTTGTGACGGTGTACTTTGGCTGGCGAGGAGGTTTGACGGGCGTTGACGGATCGTGACTACAGCTGATGTCAGAGCAGGTTTTGTTACGCGCTGGACGAGGCAGAAGATACTCGGAAGCGCCGTCAGTACGCTTGCGATGTGCGAAGACTCCCATCTGGCCAAATGTCAGTAGATGGTGCAAGCAAGCTCCTGTGGATCGAAAACTGACAGGTGCCGAGTGGCGGGACTGAGTATTAGTTGGAATTGGATGGTGAGATAGCGCGGTCATGGTTGCCAGGTCAAGGACGATGGCTGTTTGCAAAGGCATGTGGGAGCAAGATGGAAAGGTCAAAGCGAAGAGGAGTCAGGCAGAAATAGTGCAGAAACGAGTACAAGGTGGAAAGAGCAAGGCTGCATTTACTCTATACGTTCCTGCCCAAATTTTGCACCTAAGAAAATCAAAGTGTCCAATTGTGCCGACTTTTGTGATTCAAATTACAAAGACAGACCAGCAAAGATGGTGTCTTGTTTTATTGTACAAAATGGTCCGCGTAAAAAGCATACTCACCCTCGCCGTCGCTGGAAAGTGATAGTTCTCGTTGATCGTTAGGAGCCCATGTCTACTTCTGGAGACCAATCTTCTGGAGAAGGCTGCCCGAGGCGGGGACGTTGCCGTTGCCGCCCTTCTCGAAGACGCCCAGGATGTTCTTCCACACAGCTCCGGGCTCTTGGCTGGCGTCAATGCCTCTCCAGATGTTGGTCTTCTGGTAGTAAGAGATGACGGGGGCAGTCTGGTCGTGGTAGGTGGCCAGACGCTTCTTGAGGGTGGCCTCGTTGTCGTCGGCGCGCTGGACGAGGGGCTCGCCAGTGATGTCGTCGGTCATGGACTTCTGGGGAGGGTTGAAGATCTTGTGGTAAGAGCGGCCGGAAGCGGGGTGGACGAGACGGCCGGTGATACGCGAGACGAGCAGCTCGTCGTCGATGCGGAGCTCAACGGCGTGCTTGAGCGACTGCTGGCGGGCCTTGAGCATATCGTCGAGGCGCTCGGCCTGAGCAACGGTGCGAGGGAAGCCGTCGAGGATGAAACCAGTCTTGCACTCGGGGTTGTTCTCGAGCTCGCTCTTGATCATGCCAATCATGATCTCGTCGCTGACGAGACCGCCCTGGTCCATGATCTTCTTGGCCTGTCTGCCCAACTCGGTCTTCTTTGCGACCTGGGCACGGAGCATGTCACCGGTAGCCTACGCGCGTGTTAGTCGTTGTTGGGTTCCTTCTTATCGGCATGTTTGCGCGGGCGTACCAANGTGGCAGACACAGTACTTTTCCTTGATCTTGGGGGCCTGGGTACCCTTGCCTGGTCACGGGTCAGTCGCACATTCGTCAGACAAAATACTTCGAGTCGCGCATACCGGCACCGGGGGACCCATGAGGATGATTCTCATGCTCTCATCGCTGGACGAGGACGAGGCAGAGCTCTGAGCCTTGCCGTGAAGACGGGCCTCGAGCTCGGCAACGCGAGCCTCGAGCTTGTCGACGGTGCCTCTAAGCTGGTCCACCAGTTGCTCTCCGAGAGGTGCCATTGTGATAGTCGTGTGAGGTGAATTGAGTGGATCAAGACAAGTGAAAGCGAACACCAAGGTCGGAGGACAGGCCCAAATGCCCTGCTGCTGTTTCGGCCTCGGATGTGCCTTTTCTTGGCAAAATCATTGATCCATTCATCCACAGCTTCCGCGTCTCCCACAATCCCGACCTTCTTTATTCGTCATCACAATCTCTATCTTTCCCATTGCAAACGCAAGAAACAATAACCAGCTACTTTGCCAGCTAACAGAGATGGCTAGATTGTATTCAAGTTGGGAAGTCGTGAATTGCATTGTTTTGTTGAAAGAATAACGCTATCAAATCCCATATTCCGAACCCAGTTCGCCAAACATCGAGCAACATCCACTCCCTCTGCTGTCCTCACTCAAAAGTTTCGTCGGGCATGAAGTTCTCCGGTGAGAAGTCTTGCTGTATGTACGAGCACATCCTGTCAATTCTCACCTGAAACAACTCCAGGGCCGAGGCGATGCTGTTAGCACACAACAAGCCAACCTTCTACAACGAGATGAAAAGCGTACCTTTGTCGCATGGTCCCTCGTTCGGCGAGACGTCGTCCTCGGGCTCCGTCATTCTTTTCTTCTCCACACACTCGCCGACCTTTTCATCGAGCCAATTGTACAGACCATCCTGCGTCTCATTGGTCTTGCACGCCTCGCCAAAGGTAGCAGTAAGGATAGGGTATCCAGGAGTCGACTCGATGCAGTCTCTNNCTGTAAGTTGACAATTGAATCAGCAGCCAATCGATACCATCATAGTATAAGCACTTACGATACACTTGACTGTCCCCTCGGGTCTGTAGATCTCGTGGTTGGAATGATACTCCAATCTCTGCTCGAAGCTCATGGCCTTGAAAGCAGCTTCCTTGGCCTCGAGGTCCTGTTGAGACTCAGGGATGTCGTCGTAGTGACCAATACCGTCCAAAGGGGCAGCACGAACGACAACTACGAAGGCAGCGACGAGTCCAACTAATCCGAGGAATTGAACCATGATGGATGGGTTGATGAGACGGTAGATGGTTTGGTGAGGATAGAGAAACAGTAGTACACGGCTCTGACCAGCGTTTATATATCTGGAAGTGACAGGAACTCGAAACAGAGGTGCTGAAACCCGTGAGCACGTTATGCGGTGTTTCCCTGCACCTGACCAAACCTTACGAGCAATATCTATTGTTACCCCTCTCGTGAGTTCTTTCCACTCTTGTTAAACTTGACTACCTTACCAGTAACATGCACCACGTTCACACTGAACAAAGGTCATTGGTTTGAGACTGTGCTGGATACCAGCTATAATGATGGGTTGAGTTCGGGTTGGAGGGAAAGGAGGTGCCCCCACTGAAATGTGTTGCTTGAATTTCCAGATTATCAACTCTTCAAACCTCGAGTCTTGTAGGCTCGTCTGCATCAGGCTTCTTGTCAGCATTCTCCGGGCGATCTCGACCCTTGGGTCCAGCCTTCGAGGCCTCAAACGACTGCTCGAAGTCGGCAATGATGTCGTCTATGTGCTCAATGCCAACAGAAATTCTGATGAGGTCTTCGGTAACTCCGCTGTTTATCTTTTCCTCATCACTCAACTGGTCATGAGTGGTACTCCAAGGNNATCTGTGAAACAAGGTTAGCATGAGCGCAAGAAACACGTATCCTCCCAGATACTCACGAATTGCTAGTGTCTTTGCATCACCAACATTTGCAAGGTTCGATATTAACTTGAAGCCATCGACAACCTGACTACCGGCGTCGACGTCACCTTTCACGCCAAAAGATAGCACACCTCCGAATCCTCTTGGTAGATATTTCTTGGCCAAATCGTGGCTGAAGTGGCTCTGGAGACCGGGATAGCTGACCCAAGAAACATTTTCGTTCTTCTCAAGCCACTGAGCCAGTGCAAGTGAGTTTTGAGCGTGTCTTTCACAGCGTAGACTCAGAGTCTCGATACCCAGCAATAGTTGCTGTGCAGCAAAGGGATTGAGAGCCATACCACCATCGCGCAAAATCTCGACACGGACTCGGACGATGAAAGCTAGCTTGCCGAAAATGTCCCAGAACTTGAGGCCGTGGAAACCTTCCGAAGGCTCGCTCATCTCTGGGAAGCGCTTCCTGGCCTCTGGAGTGCCCCAATCGAAACGGCCGGCATCAACAACTACTCCTCCAACCGTAGTACCATGTCCGCCGATCCATTTGGTCGCGCTGTGAACAATAATATCGACTCCGTGATCGATCGGACGACAGAAGTATCCACCTGCACCGAATGTGTTGTCGACTATGACTGGAATACCAGCCTCATGCGCAACTTTGACGATTGCCTCGAAGTCCGGTACGTTGTATCGCGGGTTTCCAATGCTCTCAATGTACACGGCCTTGGTCTTGTCGTCAATAACCTTCTTGAAGTCTTCTGCATTGTCGCCGTTCACAAACTTCGTCTTGATGCCCAGTCTCGGCAAGAAGACCTTGAGCTGGTTGTAAGTTCCACCGTAAAGGTTGGAAGTCGAGAGGATGTTGTCTCCAGCGTGAGCGAGTGCTGCAATTGCCATGAATTGAGCCGATTGACCAGAGGATGCCGCGACAGCTGCAACTCCATTTTCTAGGGCTGCGATGCGTTTCTCAAAGACATCGACGGTGGGATTCATGATTCTACTGTATATGTTTCCTGCCTCCTTTAGGCCGAACAGACGAGCTCCATGCGCAGAGTCATTGAAGACATAGGANNCTAGAGGAAATTTAGTCCAAGGTTTGAGTGATGATTGTCTAGGTGCTCATACCGTAGTTGCATAGATGGGAACAGCACGCGAGTGGGTAGTACTGTCTGGCTCATGACNCTGTTTGGTGACAAGCAAATGGTCAGTCTTTGATGCAGACCTCTAGCAGTAACCAATTTCTCCAAGCCTACCAGCATGCAACTGCAAGGTCTCGAAGTGAGGTGTCTTTTCTCCAGCCATAATTTTCCGTAGTCTCCAAGGAAATTGAGGTATTCAGCAAGTTTATGAGATGCGATTGGAAAGAGCTGGTAGATGATTGAGAAAGGGTTGGCTCATGAATGCCCCTCTTTCAGGCGCGGGGCAGATCAAATGGGTAGCGAGCACGCAATCAATCGTTCCTTCCTTCCGCTATATCGGACACAACCGATATCGTGAGGCAAGAAGGTGCAATCTTTGAGGTTTGTGGTCACCTGCCTAGGGCCAAACATTTATCAGGCATCGAAGAGTGGCAGGCACGGGTGAAGTTCGAGGAGCAACGTCCTAGCCCTTCGACCAAAGACATCAATCTTCCTGACGAACAACAAGATACCTAAGACAGTGCATTCATGCAGGCTATGAGAAAAGAGGGTTGTCCTTAGCGAGTAAGACCCCCGCTCTTCGATGGTTACGAAAGAACTTATCCTAACGTGTATTTTTCCGCTCGCAATGCTCCAACCATCTCATCAGCCATCCGCACAATCACCACTTCTTGTCGCCCAGCAGTCCATCTTGCTTCTTCAATCTCGTCATGCGCCAACCACAGGTAGTCAATCATGGCCGCATTGTCTTACCTTGTCGAACGCCTTGATTACTCGGGTAGAGCACTAGGACTGTCTGCTGAAGAGCTTGCCAATCATAACTCTGGTCTGGACTACGCCTTTGCGACAAGCCCAAGAGATGTAAAGGAACATATATCAACCAAGCTCTTTATGGGTTATTACTGGCGCTCTGGCCGAGTGGTTAAGGCGTTTGACTCGAATTATGCTCAGCATCTCTCACCGATATCAAATCCATTCGTGGGCGTGTGTTCGAATCACACGGGCGTCGACATTCTTTTGCTTTTTGCACGGTATCGACGAAGAGAGGGCAACTGTTTTGGTCGGAAAAGTGGTTGGAAGCATTGTGGTGAATGAGGCTTCACTTTTGGTGAAGCTTCGTTGGTTGCGGTAACCCGACGCCGGGAAGGGCCTGACGTGTGACAGAGACTCGATTTCACATGTCACGAGGGTCTAAACACTCCGAAGATACAACAAAACCAGTGAGAAAGAAAGCAGCGACGATGTCAAGAGCACAAGCACGGTCAATTGCATAGTCAAGAATCGGACGTCGAGGCCTCAAGACGCCGAACCTCGGCATCTCGGGAATGTTCGTTGTGGCTTCCAGTCCCAAGAAATATTTCCGACTGTGTCTTTCTAACCTGCGCGCTACAAAACATGTCGGCGGCCCAGCGCATGCCCGTCCTAGGAGGCACACTTGCCATTGGAGCCACTGGTGCCGCTATGGCTATGATACCTTCTTTCCGCGAGGCCGTGACTCGCTACTTGGGCATCTCGGCCCCTGGCGGTGTCTGGCGCATCCTGGCCATCTTCTTTGCGTTGCTGAGTATTAAGAGTTTGCCCTTTGTCTGGCATGTAAGTAGAGAATATATGTCCCTCTCTCGCTAGCAGAAGCCTCCTTACTAACTGTCCCTCCAACAGTTCCGCGTCTTCAAAAACCTCATCTGGCACCTCTACCTCCAACCCACCCACCTCAAGCAATCCCACCTCTTCGCTCCCATAATCACAACCTCGCACAACTCCATCTCCGAATGCGACTACAACTTTCACAAGAGCAACTCAACTTACTTTGCCGATCTCGACGTCAGCAGAGCAGCCTTTGTAGGCGTGCTTCTCAAGAAATCTCTCGCTCGCTTGAACGGCGGAGATCTCACCGGTCTACCCGAAGAAGCAAAGAAAGTCAAGGGCACATACATCGTAGCCCTGGGAGGCGTAGGCTGCGTATTCAGAAAAGAGATAAAGCCACTAGAGAGATTTGAAGTCTGGACCAGACTCCTCTCCTGGGACGACAAATGGATCTACATTGTCAGCCATATCGTCAAGCGCGGCGCAAAGAAACCCTCAAACTACTTCCTTCAATCCTGGAGAAATGGAAAAGCTGCAAAGGGCAAAAAGAGCAAGGCAGATACAGAAGACAAGATCAAAAGAATCTACGCAACCAGTCTTGCCAAATACGTCGTCAANAAGGGGAGACTGACAATCGCACCCGAAATCGTGCTCAGAAGATCCGACTTATTGCCAGAACGACCCGCAACCCAACCTTCCGCTCCCACCGTCTCAGATACACCATCCCCCGAANNGGGAGAAAAACCATACATGTCAAGTCCCGAAAACCTCGTCGCGCAAGTAATGGGCCAACTGCGTTCAGAAAACATGTTCGACAAGGAACAGGAAGCCAAAGAGGGAGAAATGACTTGGAAAGAGGTGGAAGCAAAGAGATTGAGAGGATTAGAGATTGCTCAGCACTTTGATGGGCTTACGGCTTTGCATGGAGAGTGGAATGCTGATGACAATGTCATTGGCGAGTATGGAGATTTCTTCTGGTAGATTGATTATATATGACATAGAAAGATAGAAAGAATACACACTGATCGAATAGACACAAACCAACTATCTAATATATCTATCAATCTATTTGATGATAGAAAGTCCAAGGTCCACTGCATGCACTTCTGCATTTCTTGAGATTCGGAGGCACTGCACTAGACACGATATATATTGTATGTACCAGCAATGGACATCAGAGCCTGACAACGATGCATTCGAGACTTGCTCTTCTAGAAGTGTAATTGTTCATATCAGATCATCCCCGTCTCGATACTATGGTTATGACGAGCGGTCTTCTACAGTGCATTGTGCTTGTGAGATGAGCAGTGTCGTCAATGAAGAAGCGGGAAATTTGTGGTATCGTTCTGCATATGCAAGCCAGGAGCCATATAACCAGCTATTCAAGGAGCAAAAAGACACTTGATCTGTGTCAGCCTATAAGAGAAAAAATGAAAACGAACACTAGTTGGACATGACAATGCATGGTAGTAAAGAAAGGGTGATGGATGAAAAGAAAAAGGAAGCGGCTGAGCAAGAAGAACAGAAGAAAAAAAGCAGTGGAACACCAGTCCGCATGCTGCTATGCAGTTTGAATCCAGTCCTGAACGCCTCCCTTGTGATTGAGCGTGGTAACATCATCCACCTCAACCCGGGCATGCTCGTCTTTTTGCCGAACGCTAAACACTGGGAAATGGAAGTCACATCAAAGAAATTATCTGCTGACCAGCAGCTTGCTATCGTCAACTCGATCGCCATTGGGCAAGCGATCCTTCTTCAAGCATTGACCTTTACGGCCAACCTCGTCTCGGAGGTGATCTAGCTTGTCTTTGTCGCCGTTCCAGCTGAAGTCTCTGCTCCAGAAGCCACATCCAATGTTGCTGGTCTCGCCTCTCCAGTATGTCTGCTTGAGACCAGCGGCGTCGACGGGCGGGCGCCATTTCTTGTGGTCCAGATTACTAATCAGACTCTCGCCCTCCATATGGTGCAAGAGTTCTGGGTTGACGGTGAAACAGCGGAGACCTTTGTCGCGGCAAGCGGTCAGGATGGCGACATCGTAGGCATGGTCGATACTGCCACGGTCGCCGGCCACGGNGGCATATTCTTCGACAAGTCGTCTGGCCGAGGCTCGGGTGACGGCGTAGCCAAAGGTACAAAGCGGCGAGACAGATTTGTGAACGATGCGCGCTTTTTCAGGTACGTCGAAGGCGGTAAGGAGGGAAGAGGTGAAAGGATGTAGGTCGGTTCGTCGAGGCAGAGTCTGATCGGGGTAGACGACGTGGGNGAGGTCGGTCAGATTGTTAGGATGAACGACACCGACACCAACGGGCTCGTCCATGGTTGTAAAGTAGTCTCCACAGTGTCCGACGTAGAAGAGCTCCCAGTCGTCCGGGTGTCCCCAAGGGTATTCGTCACCAGCTGGCGGCAGCAATGCGCGTGCGGCCGTGGCAGCGAGTGGGACTTGTTGTGTTCGTAGGCGGATATCCCAGTCGACATCATCTTCCAGGATAAGGGCCGTCTCGAGACCCGACTTGAGGAACTCGTTAAGGACGAGGTTGTGGCTGAGCCATGCGCGGACGGAACCGTTTGTGATAGACGACTTGTCGTTCTTGCCTCTGAAGGCCATGATTTGTTCTTCTGTCCATGTTGGCAGGGTAGGGATGGTGAAGTGCAGCTCGGTCACATTGGCGGATTGAATCAGGTTATTGCGGCGTGGACTGCCAGGGCCAGAGACAACAAACAAGCCACCGAAGCCCAAAGTCGCATTGGCGGGACTTTGATGGCTGATGGAGAAGGAAGGGATGCTGGAGCCGACGCTGCTCCTGAAGTATATGATCAGAGTGAGGACGCTCAGGCCGATAAGCACATAGAGCGGAGGCAATCGGGGCGCAACCATTGTGTTGCTGTTGCGAGCGAGGTCGAAGTACGAGGAGGGCGTTGAACCCTTGGGGGATACGAATAATAAACGCAGCGCTATCAGCCTGTATCAAGTCGCAATACGGGGCATCAGCCAAGGACTTGTGGCGCTCCAAGTGCCGGTAGAGCGAGATGAACAGGTGCGGAGGGGGCCGACGAGCTTCGGAGATGGAAGTGTTGAGAAGCAAGTGTCGGAGAGGAGAAGGTGAATTTACAGTCTCTCCTCGAAGAAGATGAGCATTGAGGAGTTGAATGAGGAGTCGTTGCGCAACCCGTCCCACTTGGGGGCTTGGTGCGACGAACATGGAGAAACCTGGTCAAAGATCAGCCAGCCCTGCTCAGCAATCATCTGCCCCCGAATCCTCCTCCTGTCAGTTTGTCTGGCCCTGTCAGACGCTCGTGTGAAACGATCAAAAGTTGCATTTCAATTGGCCAAACATTGACCGCCTGAAACATCTTGCCTATAATTCATCATTTGCGCGCGTGGCTAACGGACAACAAGGGTTAACGGTAATCTAGTGCTTTTCAACCAGCGAATAGCCCACGATTGCACATTGTGGAATCGATTCAGGCCAGCCTGGCAGGGAGATCTCAATAACTTGAGTCCATACAACAATTCTTCCATGGCTTGCGAATTGATGCACAAGACCTATGCAAGAAGCCACATCTCTCAATTGCCCCTGTGGGCACGCACGTGGACACTTTGATGATCGTCCTTGCACTGCAGTGCCGCCAACGTCTTCTGGCTGCCTATTTTTTCTACCCCGAACCTTCTTGTCTGCCATCCAAAACAGCCTAACAACTGTCGAGATTGCCGTTAGGCTTGCTTCAGCCGAACCTCGGGTCTTTGCAACCTGACTTGCTATATCTTGGCTTACGATGTATTATTACAGCGGCGGTCCACTTGAACCAGTCAATGCTTTTGTCGCATGTGCCATTTGGCTGGGTCAGCATCGCAATATCTAGCAAGAGCACGACGGGATGTGTGAAATGTATTAGGGCATGACTGGAATATTGGTCGAGTCTGTACTAAGGAAAATGTGCAGGGGTGTTTTCTTGGTCATCATCCTCCTCTGTTCTGCTATTGGATGTCCTATTCTCAATATCACTGTCTCGAGATGGTCTTGGGAACGCCGAACTTTTGATATTCATGTTTTTCCTTGTCGTATCATACCCTCCTTGAGCGCAGAAAGATGATGATGGAAAACGCTAAGAAGACAAACGTGAGAAAGAAATGATGTTTCTGCCAAAAGAGTCAGTACTCTTCACGCAGCGATCAGAGTGGTAAGGGGTTACCTGGTGTGCCAGAAGAAGCACGAGAATCGTTATGCCCATTTCGTAGGACACCCAGTCATAATCACTAACTTCTCTGTCCTCTGGGGACGAGAGATGCAAGTTTGAGAGAATTCGAAGACTGAACTTTGTAGACAAACCGTCTCCCAAGCTCATCGATGGCAAGTGTCGCGCCAGCACGACCGACAATGGCTCTGTTCATGACTTTTAGCAGAAAACTTGAATACTCAAGACAACGGCAAAAGCAGAGGAAGGAGCAAATTGCACGCATCGCTCGCTGGGGAGTCTCTATCCATATTAACGGAACGACCACAGCAACCCAGAGATTCAAAGTTCTCAATAACTGAAAACCTTTCCAAACTTGTCCATGGCGATTTTGGAGCCAGCACGGACAATGTAACCGCTAGAAATTGATCGCTTTAGCAAGACTTCAAGACTCGAAAGCAGAAGAAGGAGCGAGTGACAAGCAAGGCCCAAACAAAGCTATACAAGGAAATGATTGGAAAGCGATTACACCATCCGTGTAGTCCCATCGCTGTACTGAATCTGAGATTGCTCAAGTCGAGACATTGCAACGCCAGCATCCGCGGGTACATTAACCCTGTGAGGTGCCAGAGATGTCAACAACTCGTTCCAGGCATTCGAGAATCAAAGAAGGGGCGAAAAGAAGAAGAGTGTAAGCCGGAAAGAAGGTCTTCAGACGACCATTTTGCCGTCTGGATCCATGACCTTGAATTGGCCATACTTATCTTTCCAGACGCTGGAGCCTTCGTAACAAGTGATTACGTCAAGCGAAGACAAGAGTCAACACAAGCTCAACAAGGATAAGAAATTCCAGAGTGCTTGTCTCTTATAAGAGTCCAGGCGGCGTGTAAACGTTGTATTTGCCGCATTTGTCCATTGTGACAACCTCGCCTTTGCGACAAAAGATCCTTATGACGGCGGTGTGAGCCATGTATAATGGCAAGAAAAGGAATGAACTGGGTAAAAAAAACGACAAATTTTGGGGGAAAAGGAGAAGGAAACGCAAAAGAAGAAAAAATGGTACTAACCCCTTGTTTGAATTCTCAGTGTCGAAGCCCCCAAGGCCCCAAACCTCCTCCGTCTCCTTTCTCTTCTGGCTCTTGGATTTGCCCTGCTTGATGCGCATCTTCTCGAAGAACACATAAGCAGAGTAGAACACCGAGCTAGTGTTGCCGGAATCAGGTCCTTTCTTGCCTCTGAAGGACTGCATCTGGGAAGCACTGATACCCTTGGGAGCCTTGTTAGTGTTTTATTGTGCGAGCAAATCACGACCGAATTGTGCTTGGGTGACACCAGGCTTCTTGAGGTATGCCGTGATTTGGCGGCGGATGTCATCACAGGTGTCGTATTCAGGGACTAAGTCTGTTTCCTCGCCTTCATACAGTCCTCGTCAGCGATCTCATGCTTTCAACGGTTGAGACGTCAAATTCTTACCATCGAGGTGGATATCACTGAGATCAAGTTTCTCTTCCTGCTTCTTGCCATCTTTACCACTCTTCTCATTATCCTTGGCCTGCTTCTGCTTCTTCGTCGGCACCTTGATGCCCATATCCTCTCTTCTCTTGAAGAAAGCAAAAGCAGCAGGGTAAGCCGCACACTCATCACCCTTCATAGTACCATGCTTGTGCATAAAGCTATAGTAAGCATTACTGCTCACATTGATGGTACTACAAAAATCGCCAACTTTCATCTCGCCAGGCTCAATCAAGCGATTGGTCTTGTTGCGTACGACTTGACAGCTGTCGGTGACGATAGAATAGTCATCGATGTAGTCGTCTATATTCTCGTTGATGTTATTGGCGGCTTCTTCGTGGGTACGCTTGGTACCTTGATCGGGGCTTGTTGCGAGGCCGGCGTTTGTGATGGATGTGGGTGCAGGTGTGTCCTTGGTCAGATCGACTTGAGGTACGCTGTCCTTGCGAGCTTCTGAGTCTGCACCGGATGAAGCATTGTCGCCAGTGCCAGTCTCGGTAGAAGTGTTTCCAGCAGGCGCGTCGTTCTTCTCAGCACCCGCAACTTGTTCCGCTAAATGAGCTTCAGCCTATTCCACATCGGCCTTGGTGTGAGGAGAAAGAGGTGCAATAGTATCAGCCATGGTTATCGTTAACTATTGTGTAGATGATGTAAAAGAAGATGGTTTGCGGATGTACACAGATATCTCGAGCTGTGTAAAGAAGAAACCAATAAAATGAACAAACCCACCACAGAGCAATTGAGCTCTTTAGAATCCATGGTCGGCGCATACGTTCGTCGATCTGCCCATCCTGGTTCGCGTGTGACGTCGTTGGAGTGTGGAGCTGAAGCTCGAAAAAGTAAATCCTAGGGATTGCAACACGATAGCAACAAGACGTCAAGCTCGCGTACTCACGTGCGAAATCCCTATACAAGACTGCGAGGAGGCCTGAGATAGAAAAAAGAGGCATCCTTTGTGCCAGCATAAATTCTACGGGACTGAGTATGCAAATAATAGTTGGTCATATACAAGACCTGTTTCTTTCGTTATACCCGTGGGTTCTATGCGCCGCGCTTACAAGATTAAGTAAAGGGAAAAGGCCATCGATCGTTTCCATCCACAGAAAAGAATCCGGTCTCCGATGGAAGATGCGTTATGAGAACTGGTGTGGAAGAGATGCGAATATGTTGGATTTACGTCGCTTCATCCGTCGAGGCAGCTTCACCGTTGCTTTGTGCTGGTGCGTCTGCCGTCGTCGTTCCAGGACGAGGAGATCTGGGTGGTCCCTCGGCGCTGGCTCGTGAGAGACGCTTAACCTTCTTCTCTTTCGCTGCCTTATCAGCATCAAAGTCTTTCCACCTGCGCCAGCCGTCAAAGTCAATGAGAGCTTGCATGCAACCCCATTCCTTGACCTTGCGTTCAAGCCAGACGAAGTTAACGGGCTAGAGCGTCTGGTCAGTCTTCTTGTAGCCTCGAAATGCGGATACATGTTACATACCTTNTGTCAAGAAATCATTGCAACCAGCAGCTAGAGCTTCGTGTCTGTCACTCTGCAAACTACTTGCAGTAAGCGCGACAATGATGACGGGACTCTTGAACAAGCCGCCATCAGACACGAGTTTATCATCTTCCTTCTTCTTTTCCTCGTCATGATCTTCTCCATTCTCGCCTTTGCCAGAATAGGGAGCAGGAGTGGAAGAGGTGCTGAACACACCAATTCCATTGGCTCTTTCAAGACGACGAATTTCTTTGGTTGCTTCCAAACCGTTCATGATGGGCATTTGAATATCCATCAGTACCAGATGGAAACCGCCAGCTCGCCATTTGTTGACAGCGATTTGGCCGTTCAAAGCTGTGCTCCATCTTACTTTCAAGCGCTTCATAAACGCTTCCAACAGTCTCAAGTTGATGATATTGTCCTCGACAATCAGTACGTTGATGGGAGGAACTGCACCGTCGAGCAGCGAAGGAGGAAGGGTTGTTTTTGCGCCATTGCTAGGAGATTTGATGGTCGGCGTACCGTCGGTGGGAGTAAGCTTTCTTTGGCGGCGAGGGCGGGCAGGCTTGAGCGTGCTTTGACTCTGAGAAGCAGGGGTGGGCGGGGAACTGCCGGGATGTACAGAGGGTATAGCCTCTGCGGCAGGAGGTGTCGGGAGAGCTGGCGCCGGCGGTACGGCATGGCCCTGTTGTTCAGAAACTGTGGAACCGGCTCTTGGACGACTCTGTCTGATTGTAGGCAAATGTTGAGAAATGGCTAGGTTGGATGCATTGAGAGGCATGGATGTAGGTGGAGGGTTATGGGTCATGATGGTAGGGGAAGAAGTGTGCTGGCGATTGAACTTTGGCCGAGGATCACGGGGATCGCGATGGCGGCGGACACTGCCCGGTGATGGCAAGACAGGAATCTGGCCAGTGTTTAGCACGGCTATTGAGCGAGGTGGTTCAGGATGTAATGTCTGTTGCACAGGCGGTTGACCAGGCACATTTGATGGAAGTTGGACTGCGGGCATTGGAGGGAAATAGTCAGTGCCCGTCTCTGCAGGTCGGTAGTCGTCCAAGGCAGCATATGAAGCACCGTTATATATGCGAGGAGATGGGCGAGGGGTGCGGCGTGGAGGAGTTTCGATAAGAAGGGCTTCCTCGGCTGTTTGGCCGCCAGCATAATACAAGTCCAATGTGCGACAGACATCCTCGTCTGGACTGAGGATACGTTCTGACGCGCGCTTCCCATTCTCATCAGGCCTGCTGACGATGCGCAAGACAAGATCGGGTGAGTCGTAACTTCTACCCAGCGAGTTGCCGTATTTCCTCATGACGAGATCTCTCACATCATCGACAAGGTCGTCTTCGCGCACCGTGACCATGGTAGGCGAGGCATTGGGTCTCTTAACCCATACTTTTCGTGTCAACATGCTAGCGATAGGAGGGACTGGGGCGTCGACAAAGTAGTCCGAGGCTTCAATGGTAGCAGGAGGGGTCGAGGGAGGTAGAGGGAATTGAGCGACGGTATTGGGACTGAGTAGAGCGCGGATGACAGGAGCGTTGGCGCCGCTCAAGAGAGATTGACGACGGATAGTGTTCTCGGATGGACGTTTAGGCGTCAGTGGTAGCGGCAGCGACGGCAGACTCGGAGAGGGCTGGGCGCGGACTGAGACTGGGGATCGAGGACGCGAGTGGGCAGATTGAGGACGGAGGCTCCTTGTGCTGGTGCAAGCATCTGTGTCAGCGCGTGGGACGTTGGGCGAGGTTTGTGGTTCAGTGACATACTCGGCGAGGATGTCGAGAGGCTTCTCGGGAGTGGCACACTGCAATGTCAGGCTTGGTTGATTGTACAAGTGGCTCGAAGTCTCATGTCTCTCGGGAGTGGACTGGATGTCGTTGTCAAGATGGATGCTACCAAGTTGAGCGTCGAGGGTCGGAGCAGCAGTGCCGGTGCCGGTGCCGGTGCTGGTGCTGGTGCTGGTGCTGGTGCTGGTGCTGTTGCGGTTGCGGTTGCTGGCAGCGGGCGGGCGCGTGGTGGGCTCGGGAGCGTCGTGGAAGTTGTCGTCGCTGTCTTCCTCTCTGATGCTGTCCTGCACACTAAACTTGGACGGACTCTTGAGCGCAGCGAGATGTGGAGAGGATCGGCTGTGGTCGCGAGAAGGGCTCCTGCTGTCTGCCGCTTGGCCTGAGTGCTGCGAGGGCTGCGGCTGGGGTTCTGCCGAGGAGCTGCCTGTGCTATGAGAGCGCTTGAGCAGTCCTCGGAAGGCCGCGCGAAGTCCTGGCATCTTCTCTGTCAAGAGTTCGAATATCGCTGCTTTCCAGTCCAGTATCTCCTAAAAGTATATTCAATATTTACGTGCAGCCGCAGCTGCCGTGCCTGTCGAGAGACCGCTGGTTTGGGCTGCACTCAATCGTCAAGAAATCACGGCTCGCTCACGGGCGCTTGGTCCTCCTTAATCTTCTCCTGTCATGGCCTGTCGCGAACCTGATACCACTGCCCTACCACCACCTGTCAAGACGTCAATGGCGCTCAGCACTTACTCGCGAACACATTCCGCCTATTCAGATGTCTTGCTTGTACCTTCACGTCTGACTGTGCCTCTTGATTCATCATGTTTGACCTGCTGTTTTGCTTTTCCTATAAACCAAAAAAGCTATACCTCGATCCGATCTCCGTCGCGTCGTACCTGCTACGACTTGTCTGCAACATGCATCTCTCTCCTTGGCCATGCACATGCAGCCTCCCTCTAATGTTACTTGATTGGACCTTCCTTCTCAACCGGCCTACTGCTTAGCTGCCACGCCCAACCATTCAAGCTCGACCCCATCATAAGAATCCTGGCACTTCTCCATCTCAAACTCGAGTCCTTCGACAGCTCCTTCTGCATTGTCTACTGCCTCGTCCGAGATTGGCGACAATGCTATCCTCCAAGTATGCTTGTCACCAATGCGACGACATCCCAAGTCCAGCTCCTCCGTCACTCTCTTCTTCTTGAGGATTCGCTGGATGAAATCCCAGCCTCTGTCTTTGTACTTCTGAGTGAGGATGACACCGTTGAAGTAGTCTGGAATGCGAGTAGGGTAGGTCTGACGCTTGATGAAAGTAGCATTAGGGAAGACGCTGTATGCGTGGTTGCCCGTAATGACATTAACCAACGCGGTCGTGTAGGTTGAAAGCGTAGAGTGAATAGGGTGGTTGTGGGTCAGGATGATTTCCAGTCTGATGAACTCGCCGTCGACTATCTTGTCGTACTGATGAACCTATGAGTGGTGTTAGCGAATGTCGATATGGACGTCGTGTGTACAACTCACCATGTCGACAAGAGTCCAAACGTACTTTCCGACCTTACGAGAAGCAAGATCATATCCTTCGACCTCCTCCATGTAGCGGCAGAACGCGTCTGCGTTTTCGCCAACCTGCACGCAGACATCCAGATCCGAGCCATCCCACTCCACACGATCCATGAACTGCAAGGCAAAGCCTCCGGAGATGATGCCATCGAGCTCCGCCAATCTCTTTCTGAAGCCACGAGGGTCCTTGACAAACTTCTTGAGACGGTTGTTGATATCCCAAGCGCCACCGCTGACCAGTTCCTGGTACAGAGGCTTGAGGGCGCGGCAGGTGCGGGTGAGTGCGATTACGTCCTTGATGGGAAGGTGTGCAGTGAGGGCATCAAAGATCGGTGGGAACCTGTCCGTGCCAAGTATGGTGGTGAGGTTGGCCATGCTGAGAATGGTTGTTGGTCGCGTCGCAGGTGGATGTGAAAGTGGTATGTAGAGTTGTTGACAGTATCCAAGTTGGGTTTCGACGAATTACACGAAAACAGTGCGACCTTCTGGAAGAATCTCTCCTCGTCAGTGAGTGAAGAGAAGAAGACTTGGTCCGAAAACTGGAGCATGCGTGTTTGTGTTGAGATGTCGTTTGTATTCAAGGTGCTGTTTGCTGCTAGCCAGCCAGTTTCGAATCTCATTGTCAATACAGTTCATCAGCCAACGCGAATAGATTTTCAGTGTCCGTGGACAGTGGCTTGAGTCAATCTTGATGAATTCGTGTGCTCAATAGACAACATATATGTGAATGTGATTGTTGAAGAATGGCAGAAACTCAAGTCAGGGTGTGACATCTAGCAAAAAGACTTGGGTCAGAGCGAAGGCAAATCGACGAAGGCAACATTCTCGATCGAAGATTCGTTGCCCAATCATAGCATTGGGGCAGGAAGAGTGAATTGAGAACGAGAAAGAAATATTCATCTATTATGCTGATCGTAAATTCGTTACATGGTGGTGGTACAAAACCCCTTCGTTTCCAGATTACCCGCCGATGACTGCCCATGCATTGCAATTTGTACTCCCCAAATATTATCTCCCGGTCTATATTCTGAATCCACAAGTTTTTACGCTATCATTAATTCCGAACGTTCTGGGTTGATGGCAGTGTTGACATTTAGACAATCTCGTCTGCACCAGCATCGTCCTGGTCGGGGTTCGCTTCCTCGTAGTTGAAGTACTTGCAGAAGCGATAGTAGCCAGCAGCGAGAGCACCACCGAGCAATGGCCCGATCCAGTATATNNCTGTAGGTAAGAATACAGTTAGCATAATTACGTGAGAGTGGTACACACAGAAGCCAAGAGCCATTTGATGGCCGTTGACTTGTGCTATCGGCACCCTTGATTTACGTACCCAGTGTGCGTGATTGAAGCTGGCAGCGGCAACGCAAGGACCGAACGAACGTGCAGGGTTCAGACTACCTCCGGTGTAGTAGACACCTAATGTCATCTGTTAGGATTGCCAAACAGCAGGTCAGAGCAACATCGACTTACCTGCAAGCTCAGCGACGAACAAAGCCAATCCAATACCCAGAGGAGCAAGGAAAGTGGTTTTTGACTTCTCAGCTGCCAGCATGAGGACGGTAAAGACGAGGAAAGATGTCAAGAACATCTCAANAAAGACGCCCTGTGCTTCAGACATGCCAGGAGCCAGAACGGTACGAGTGGCCGCAATATCACCAGGAATCATGCAGCTCACCAAAGCAGCAGCGACCATGCCTCCAAGGATTTGAGCCGGGAAAAGAACGAGACCTCTAACCCAAGGTAGTTGACCAGCGATGACCATACCGAACGTGACNNCCTTGAAGTCTTGTCAGCGAATGTAACCCAGACAGGCTTGCGTTTCAACCTACGCTGGGTTGAAGAGTCCACCGCTGATTCTGAACAAGATCCATACAGCGACAAGAAGCGACATGCCATAGCCGAGGGCAATGTAGACAACTGTCGAGGCACTGTTACTTCCATTTGGTGCCTTGTCACTTGCTTGGTCGAACGCCATGAGTTGGCAAGCAAAGGCGAAGTAGAGGAAGAAGAAGGTGCCAACGAACTCTCCAGTGGCAGCAATGAAATGGTTTTTGATGGCATGACCTTTACTCCTATCCCCGGCCATGGTCTCAAAGGGCTTCTCGATAGGTTGACTTCTTGGCATGATGAGTTGTGGTATGGCGAGATTAATCACAAAAGTTTGGTGGTCTGGCTGTGAACTTCCTGGGCGAAGGGTAGATCAAGCAGATATAGGACTGCCAACGAGGGATGATATTTCTGTGACGGAGTCCCGTGCAGGGCATGCCGCTCTAGCAGCAGCATGACGTTGCCAGAGTAAGAGGGAGAATGCTTGTTACTCGTAACGAAAGACGGATCAGATTTGGGTGCATGCCGCCCCGTTGCAACCGACAGGGCTGGGAAACCCTGTACATAGCGTTGTTAGTGATTCGATTAGCATGGAGCGGCCTTGTGGGCGGTGGATGCGTTTCAGCAAATACGGACTTCGAGATGTCGATTCAACGATTTCTGACCGCTGGCGATACGCTCCTTGCGGCCCAAGCTGATGTCGTCAGTGGAAGTTGCTAACGATCATCCCTGCATGAAATAGCCCTCTATCATGGAGCTCAGACAATTACGGTTGAGCAGCCGCTGGACTCGAAACATCCACCGCGACCTTTGGGTGTGGTCAAAAGAGGAGAAGAATTGATGAGTGTTGTGAGAAGTCTTGGTTTTAATATTCTTTCGGAGACCCGGGAGAATCATCAGTTCAAACCTCCGCGAAAGTTGATATAGAAAAGCCATCCTCTTGTTCAACCTGCAACTCTATCGGTATCTAATTTTACTCCTATTCTCCTTCGCAAAACACAACACGGCTTGTAGTCAAGTCTCTTTCTCGTCTGTTGAGACTTTGTGCTGACTGACAGTCTTGCGTCGGCGAGTGGGTCAGGAAGAACAAACCTGTGAGCGGGATGTCCACAACAAGACCTTCCCGCAGTACAAAGGAACATTAATAGAGGTGTGTTATTGATAAAAGGCCCTCAATCGTTGCTCGCTAAAGCTTTGGATGAGCGCGAGGCTGAGTTGAGCATGACGTAACACCCGTTTCCGATCCACCCCCAACTCGACCATCTTGCATACAACTCCACTTGGCGACGCGTGCGTAGTGTGATAACATGCTCGATGGCAGATTGAGCGCCGGCAACCTGGAAGTTGGATGCTCAGAGGATGAGCAGAGACAGTTCTTAACATTCTAGAACCCGGCTCTTAGCATCAATCAAACTTCAACTTCTTCTGTCCTTTCTCTGTCTTTGCAACATTTGGTGGTCGACCTCGCGCTTTGTTTTTGGGTTGAGTATTCGGGATCGTACTCGAAGGCCGACTCTGTTCCCGCGCTGCAGCAGTTGCTCTTTCCTCCGCTGCGAGGTCAGCCGCCAGGTCCTTTGCGAAGTGCCAATCATCATGTTCGCCTTGTTCAGTGACCAGTAACGTGCTGTTACATCGAGGGCAAGTATACTGACTTGTGTCATCATCTGGACGTCTGCTTTGCTTCTCTGCATGTGATTCCGGCATAACGTCCGATGCTCCTTGCGCAGAAGGAGGAATGTCGAAGGGACTATGAGCCTCTCTCGCATCATCTTCCATGTGAAAGTCTTGCTCTTCTCGTTCAAGATGACCGCCAGAACTTTCTTGCCTAGCTCCGAAAAATCGTTGTATACCACTCTCTTCAACCCGCCTGCGCTTGCTAGGAGGAGGCGTCTCCGGATTGCGTGGTTCTGATGACTCTCTTAGGGCGGCTGATATTGCTTTTGCCTCATCTCCTCTCAGCAAAAATCCACCAATACCTTTGTTGCCAGTCACACCTTCTTCAAAGCCACTAACACTCAATGACAAGTTCGCACACGGCCATGCCCGGCCCTCTGCAACAACCTGAGCAAGTAGTCCTTTGGCAATGTCAAACAGTAGAGTCTCGTCTATTGTTCTTCCCATGGGTATGGAGGCCGACTTACTCCTGGTCTGTGCGCCTTGTCTGTGATAGAGGTTGAGAGTCTTCGGTCGTCTTTTGTTCTCCAGAACACCCTCTTCTACTAGTCGAGAGAAGATATCGGCGACGAAAATGCGAATCCACCTCACAGCTGTGTCTAAAGTATTGATAGAAGGTCTGAATGACTTCGCACTGAGCATCGACTTGATTTGCGTCCGAGGATTGACTTCGCTATGATCCTCGCCACGAATGATGTTGTAGAGCCATGTGCCAGTATCATCACCTATATTTTTCTTGAGCTGTTCGACGGGTACTTCAAGTAGATCCTTGACAGTGTCTGTACTGAACGCTGCGACAATCTCATCACCAAGTTTACCGCCGAGGTTTCTTATTTTGGTGAACTTGAAGTCACTCAAGAAGTGATGTACAGCTCGATTACGGATGATAGTTTGTTGGTTCGGCTTCTTGTGAGCGGACCCGAGTTTTGCAAGCATCTTGTTTCGTGCGACTCCAGCCGAACATGTGTATTTAAGAACCTCGAAGATTTTGGCTCGCACACCTCGTACTATCTCCGATGCGATGACCATGGCGACATCGTCCCAGTCGGGATCGTCGTCCTCAGTCTCAGAAGAATTAAGATCAACCAACGCATCGGTGTGCCATTCCAGAGCAGTGGTTGGAGGTCGAGGCAGTTGTTCTGTAGGATCATCGTATGGTGCAGGACCTTTCAATTCTGGGAACCTCTCAAGCATGATACCGTGTACATGGGTCGACAGGTCTAGGAAGACCTCGTCAATGCTGGCCTTTTCTACCTTGGAGATAGGGGCGGCTGGCAAATGGTCCTTGATCAATGCCAGGATTCTTCTGCTCTCTAGTCTGTATGGGTCCAAGCTGACCTTATGTGTAGCCATGTTCTTGAAAGAATCCTCATGATATGCCCATTTCTCATCTCCTTCTTTCCAAGTAGCGACGTGTTGCATAATCAGGTCTGGACACTGCTTAACTGCCTCAGTGATGGTAACGTGTCGATTCAAGCCAAAGGCGCGCGCTGGGTAGTTGATTGCGATAAGTCCCTGCCACTGTTGAACGGCAAGAGGCTTGTCCGGTGGTATATCCAAGCGGACCATTTCGCATTGCGCGTAAAAGGCATCGAGGTCGATGTGAGCGATGACACGCAACGGACATGAGGTAGCAGAGGATGCGAGTTGAGCCAAGTGCCGGTACGTGAAGGCAGACTTGCGGCGACGCTGGGAGCTGAGAGAGACTGGCGAAGACTCGATGAAGTTTGGCGAAGACATATCAGCCTTGTCAAGAAGACCTAAATGTCTTCAGTCCATGAAGATGAGTGTCCCGCGTCACGCGTAAAGTGGCGATGAGTTCGAGAGAGAAAGACGAAGCGGGAGCGACGTGAAGACTACGTCGTGTCTGGCCAAGAAGCGGTTATGTATGTGATGCTAGAGTAGCAGTTGACGATACAAAATGTATGGATAAATGAGCAATGCCAAATCTTTTCTCAGAGGTAGACGCGACGCACTACCGTCATGATTCTTGGCCGCGCTGGAGCATTTCCATGAGCATTGTCGGACGGGCAGAAGGTGTCGTATTTTGATCTAGCGTGACATGCTTACGTTCATACACAATGCTGAGATATTCTCGAGCGTAACAGCTTTGAGATAAGTAGAGCCATGATGAAGGACACAGGATACCTCTGTTCCTGAGACTCGAATACGTCATCAAGGAGATGGTGTTTCTTCAGTAAACGTACAAGTCGCAGTCAACCAACAGTAACCTCATCAATTCTTCCCAAATCACAATTCCATCATACTTGAATATCAACCTGAAATCAACTACGAGCTGCCAGACATGTCAATCCGTTCACCCACCTTCCTCATGGGACTCGCGAACCTGTTCGCTGTTGGCGGTGCTACATATCATCTTCGAAGCCATCACATCTACAACCTGGAAGAGCACGAAGCACGGATGGATGAGCTCGAGGGAACCTTGAGAGGCCATATTGGATTGATCGAAGAGTCTCTTGAGCGATTAGAAGGCAAGCAGATTACCAAGGGCCAGAAGACGTGAGTTGTAGCTTCCCCACTGCTTCGAGAGATGTACTGAACAAAGACAGCNGAGGAATTGTACAGCAAGCGAGGCCGAGACGAGAAGCAGGACAAGCAGAAGAAGCAGTAGCGAGATAGATAAGACAGAGTAGTAAAGGAGATTCTAGTTAGAAGACAGATGACTGCCATGTAAATGTTATGCCCCATGCTCTTGGCGGGAGGAAGTCGATGTCTTTGGCCCGTGCGGCAGGAGCAAGGGTCTCAGTTCCCCCTTTGGCTGCACCTCCCCATACCTTGACGAGAAGCACCCGACAGCAATTGCTCCCCCATCTCGATACGTCGCCCTCACCACACTCGTTCAGTGCAGTTGTCTGTCGCCAATCTCTCGCCTCGAACTCCGCACCCTCCACACAACATGTCTTCCTACGTGCGTGCGCCCCGAGCTCAACGTCGCTGTCTCTGTCGTGTCTAATGGCGCCCACTGACACAGCCACAGATCAGGCGCAAGAAGAATGTCAAGAAGGGTATCCAGTTCTGCATCATGGTCTGCGGTGCATCCGGCACTGGTGAGCCGCATCAAAAACACCCGCTCGATAACTCGATCGACTAACCAATTGCGCCCAANGGCCGCACCACCTTCGTCAACACACTCTGCGGCAAGAGCGTCCTGTCTGGTGTCGAGCAAGACGACCCCGTCAACGCACATATCGAAGGCGGTGTTCAAATAAAGCCCGTCACCGTTGGTACGATTCAAAATGTCCCTTGTCGCCACTGCCGTCGTGCTCATAGTCGTCTGCANGAGCTCGAACTCGATGAGGAGGGTACCCGTATCTCGCTGACCGTTGTCGATACTCCTGGATTCGGTGACCAAGTCGACAATGAATCAAGGTGCCTAGGCCCTACTCGCAACACATACAATGGCTTCAGCTGACACGCATACTCNAGCTTTGGCGAAATCGTCGGCTACCTCGAGCGCCAGTACGACGACATTCTCGCCGAAGAGTCCCGTATCAAGCGTAACCCCCGATTCCGCGACAACCGTGTTCACGTCTTGCTCTACTTCATCACACCCACTGGTCACNNGGGTATGCACATTCACATTGTTGCCCACCTCGCTGATCGTTTCTGACTCGTTTCTATCAGTCTCCGTGAACTCGACATCGAACTCATGAAGCGCCTGTCACCTCGCGTCAACGTTATCCCCGTCATTGGAAAGGCTGACTCCCTGACGCCCGCCGAGCTCGCCGAGACCAAGAAGCTTGTCATGGAGGACATTGAACACTACCGCATCCCCGTCTACAACTTCCCCTACGACATCGAGGAGGATGATGAGGACACTGTTGAGGAGAACGCCGAACTCCGTGGACTCATGCCATTCGCTATCGTCGGATCCGAGGACACAGTCGAGATTGGAGGTCGTGTTGTCAGAGCCCGCCAATACCCCTGGGGACTGGTTGAGGTGGACAACCCGCGCCACAGCGACTTCCTGGCCATTAGGAGTGCCCTGCTTCACAGCCATTTGGCCGACTTGAAAGAGATTACACACGACTTCCTCTACGAGAACTACCGCACAGAGAAGCTTAGTAAGAGCGTCGAAGGCGGAGCCACTGCGTACGTGACCCAGGACCTAGCATCATTATCAGCAGGAACTAACGGTATCGGCAGCGATCACTCACTTGCTCCGGAAGACCTGGCCTCACAATCAGTCCGCCTTAAGGAGGAGCAGCTGCGCCGCGAAGAAGAGAAGCTCAAGGAAATCGAACTCAAGGTGCAGCGCGAGATCAACGAGAAGCGACAGGAGCTGTTGGCCAGAGAGAGCCAGCTGCGCGAGATCGAGGCACGCATGCACAGAGAGCAGAGCGCCGCGCTCAGCGTCAACGACACCGAGTCGACCGAGGCCGGCGCCGCCTAAGGAGTTTTACAAAAGCAGATTATGTCAAGTGTCAGTCTACCACAGTGGCTTTTGTGCCGAGGGCTCGCGGGAAGAGTCCGCCTTTTTGTTTCGTTGTTCTTTCTCTCTTGGTTGCGCAAAGTATTCCCCCTGATATTGCTGTATTCAAAGAAGGCCTACCTTTAGTCTGTAATACTATCTTCAAAAGCACCTCTTATGTCAGTTTCTTCCTAGATAGACAGCGCTCGCGACTCGTGCCTTGGCTATACAGGAAGCATGTGATTCTTGGCGTCGTCAACCACGCAGGTGTTCGTTGATGCCACATGTACTCTGTTACACTCAACTCGTGAACATAACATAACAATCATGGCCGAACTCTTCGACAAGGCACCCGAGCTGCCACCACCATTCGTAAGCGTCACAGGCATAGCCAACTTCCGCGACATTGGCGGCTACAGCACATCCTCGACCCAACAGTCCATCCGCTCCAACCTCGTCTTCCGCTGCGCCGACCCCAGCAGAGTGCAATCCTCGGGCCTCTCCAAATTAAAAGAGCTGGGTATNAAAAAAGTCTTTGATCTCCGCAGCATACCCGAGATTTCGAAGCAAGGGCCTGAGTGGGCTGGCGTTGCAGTTGAAAAGGAAGTATTTGTGACCAANGGGGAAGGAGACGAGACACCTGTTGGCGCAGACCAGATTGAGCGGATATGGTGTCCGGTGTTTAGGAATACTGATTATGGGCCTGAACAAGTTGCCGTGCGGTTTCAGAATTATGCTAGGAAGGGGAGTGAGGTGTGTATTTGCCTTTACCTTTGCCTTGCCTTTTCTTTGTGTTTGGGAAGAAGTATACACTGACACCAAACACAACAGGGCTTCGTAAAAGCATACGCAGACATCATGGCCAACGGGCCCACCGCCTACAAAACCATCCTTACCCATCTGGCCCAACCAAACCCTTCTCCCTGTATAATCCACTGCACGGCAGGCAAAGACCGCACGGGCGTCATAGTAGCTCTCCTCTACCTTCTCTGCTCCGTCCCTGCCTCGACGGTAGCGAAAGAGTACTCGCTTACGGATACTGGGTTGCAGCATCTGGTGCCGCTGTTTACGGAGCGCTTGCTCAAGAATCCTGCGTTGGAGGGTAATGAGGAGGGCGTGTCGAACATGATTTCTGCGCAGCCTGAGAAGATGGCTACTACGATTGAGATGATTCAGAGTACTTATGGGGGTGCGGAGGGGTATGTGAGGGATGTGGTTGGTCTGAGCGACGAGCAGATTGCGCAAATCAGGAAGAATCTCTTGTCGGATGAGAAGGACGTGATCTAGACATAGACGGTACATATCTTGGTCACTTCTTATCCCGCAAGGATGCATGGCAATGCAGGCATCTACAATGAAGAATTCTCTATGCCAAATCGCGATCATCTCGGACAAAGGGACGCACATGCACTCAACATACAAGTGTAGAGTCTCTCATTGATGCTTTTGGAAGCTATTATCTAGTAATGCTACTGATGCCTTCATAATCTATGCTTTCGTTAGTCATGCTGTCGTTATTCGCTGCTTGTTGTTGCGCTGTTTGCGCCTGACACGGTGCTGCCCGCTCATCTCCTCAGTACATTTCACTCATCATGGATCATCCCTGCCAGCGCACCCTCTCACTTCTCAGAAGGTTGACCAGCTCAACTGGTAACATCTCCTTCTCACCCACGCCCAGTCCACCAAATCTCTCGATGGCCTCGGCAGCATAGAGATGAACGGTCCAGCGCCAGTAGACGTCCATGGCCGAGAAGGTGGTCTTGATGCGCTTCGACTTGCGAAACTCGAGCGGAAGTGTGTTCAGAGCATACTCGACGAAACGTGTAGACTCCAAGCCCTTGATGGTAGGCGAATCCAACAGATCCTCGTAAGCAATCTTGAGAGACTGAGAAGTCTCCTCGCGGAAACGAACAAAGTCTTCGAAGGAGAAGAACTTTTCTGCGTCACATCCTGGAGGTGGATCGACTTGGTGCTTGACTGTAGTCTTGAATGCTTGCTTGTAGGTGTCGTACTCTTCCTCGTCCCGCTCCCAAGCAATCTCGAGAAGGTCATGGGGCAACTCTTGAGAGTCCTCACGAGCAGTCATCAGTGGGATGAAAGGGTTGCGCAGCTCAAGGCCGCCCAGCTCAACAGGCCAATACAGAAAGACGTTGGCGATGTCCTTGGTTCCAAAACGCTCTTCGATGATGGATTTGAGGTAGGAGGTGACGTCTTCGCAGCCAGTAGTGTTGTTGTCGTCTACAAAGAGCTTTTTCTGAATGTACTTGAAAGTGGCGAAAACCATGTCGAGATGCTCAATGCCAAGGCAGTTGGCGGGATGGCCAAAGTTGTTGCCTAGAAAGCGGCCCATGTAGCTGTTCCAGGCCTGGACGTAGGAGAACACCGAGCGACATTGCGCAAACTGAAGGCGCATCTCAGCAATGTGCTCATCAACATTGGCCATGTCAACGATCCAGCGTCCGGCTGAAGGGTCCAAGACCAGGAAACCCCATCTCACAGGGCCCTTGGGCAGAGTGTTCGAAGCCTTCCCGCCCTTGTCGCTCATGTGAACTGAGCCAGTCTTCTCTCCATTCAAGGCCAAACCCATGACATCTGTGAACTTCTTGATAGCTTCCCAAGCCACCTCACAGTCTCCCTTCTGACCCCAGAACCAGACATCGTCGTGGAAGCGGTAGAGCTGACAACGACCCTTGGTTGCCTTGCTGACAGCGAAGTCGAGACAAGCGAGTATTATCTCACCAAACACATCGCTGAGTGTCTGACTGATAGGGACACCGCAAAGACGTGTACGAGGCTCGGAACTGTGACCGTCTTGAGGAAAGACCAGGGACATGGAGAGATATTGCTTGAAGAATCCGATGTACGAGTCGTGAACGCCGAGGAAGTCCAGAACAGTGAAGATGGTGCTGTGAGGAAGGCTGGGGCCAAACCACTTGAAGTCGGTTTGACAAAGGGTGAAACTTCCGTAGATCTTCCGCTGGACCATCATTTCAGTAGTAGCCAAACGGAGAAGAGTTTGCTTGACTTCAAGGGGTGACTTCTTGCCAGAGTCTTCCTCATCCGAGGCGTCAGAAGCGTTGTAGTCACGGCAACCTTCTTCAAGCTTGTCAGGAAGCTGCATCAAGAAGAAGTCGTCCTTAAATTGCTCTCGACGAGTGTGAAGAACTGAATTGCCAAACAGCCTAACCTTTCTCTCACCAAGATAGTAGGCGAAACGAGCATGGTCTTTCGAAGACATGGAGCTATGGGCTGACTTTGGCCATGCCTTGGAGCGAAGGAAGGACTTGAAGGTGTCTTTGGTAGACACTGCGAAGCGAATGCCAATGTACTGCACAAGAAGAGCTTGATGAATCTCGGGGTCCATGTAGACTCTGTACTTTCCGTTCATCTGCTTTCTCATCTGAGCAGGGGTTGGCGAGGGCTTCCAAGACCAATCGTCCAGATTGGCGATCTCCATGTTGATGACATCGGCGACCTCGGCAAGCACGCCTTTACCAGCATTGCTGAGTGCAATCAGCTCGTCTCGCTTACGGCCAGCCAGCAGATCGGCTTTGAGTACAGCTTTGATGGCTAGCTCGACATCGTCGTTGGAGCAAGTAGCTGTGACAGTCCATTCGTTGAAAGCCTTTTGAAGTTGCTCGAAATCAGTTTCGCGAACCTTCTTCTTCTGCTGAGGCTCAACGAAGAGGTTCGTGAGGTAGCTCTCAATAGCATCCGTGTCTGTCTGACGTTCTGTGAAGACGAACGAGTCCCACTCCTGGCGCTGGCGGTGCATCTCTTCGCGACCGACCTGCACCGACTCGAAGCTCTCGGCATCCGAGGAGTCTGCAGTGCTATCACCGCCGAAAGGGGTATCGAGAAGAAGGTTGGCGTCGTTGGGCTTGTCGACCCATTCGGTGGCAAGGCGTGAGAACAAGTCCGTGTACTCGAATCTGTTAGACTGGATGGCAAGAAGACGTTCAAGATCGGCTTGCCAAGCTGAAGGAAGAGCCGAAGGGATAGATGCATCAAAGGTAGACTGTGTGAGCATTTGACGGGTGTTGGAGAGTGAGAACCCGCCATTTGAAGTCTGTGCAGTTGTCGACTTCAGACCGAGCTTCTTCAAGCCCTCGATGAGCGTCAGAATGGGATCATTGCTCTTCTGAGTTTGAGCGAGAAGCTCAGTCTTGCGCTCCTCGAAGGTCTTACGGCGGTCGGCCAGCTGAGATCGCTTGTAGTTGGTCACATCGCGCAGCACTCTGGAAGCCATGATGGGCGATCAAGGGAAGACACAAGATAAGAGGAAGATGGATCAAGGAGATGTTGAAGAGGATGTGAGATGACTGGAGGTTGATTCCAAGATCTCGGTGCGGGTGAGGGAGGGAGATGAGAAGGCACGATGCGCATGTACTTATAGCTTGCCAGACGACGTCGGTGAGCCAAAATGGCAAACGCAGAAGGATCCGTCGTCTTGGGAAGAACCTAGTCTGAGCGACTGCTTTGTGCCCATAAGAAAAGGCAATGTCTGCTTGAGACCTGACAAACAGCAGTCGCGGTCCATTGGTAGCTTCTCGTCGGTGCCTGCTTCGCGGTGACGGTGTCTCTGTCTGAAGTCTTGGTCGGAAGATCGGCTACGTCATCCTCATTCAACATTTTGGTTGATTGTTGCTCCCAACGAGCATCACAGACAAAAGTGATTAGGTATTCGTACAGATTCGGCGTAAGAAAGAGGCGCGAAAGAGTGAGGTTGAAAGGCAGATTCAATAATTGCCATAGGGGCTAAAGTTGTGTTGATTCTGTAGGAGAGCTGGATTTATCCATCAATTTAACCGCCCCGGAAGTAGGACCGGAGGGCCTGGTTGAAGTCATTGCCCTTGCTGACTTATCTTTGTGGATCATTGAAAAAGAAGACTCGGTCGGCGGCGAGAATCAATAGTTACACTCAATTTCTTTCCTCATAACATTCATCATGGCAGCATCAGGACCTTTATACATGGTATGAGATTAAAACAGACAATGCTCACCGTTTGCTGACTTTCAATGCCAGGGCTTTGACCTTTCCACACAACAGCTGAAAGGTTAGGAAATATCGCGTTTTAAGTACTTGCAACGTATCAATTGACTCTGAGACCTACANGGCGTTGTTGTGGACTCACAGCTCAAACACCAGCATGAAGCCAAGGTCGACTTTGATGCCGACTTTGGCGAGAAGTACGGCATTGAGAAGGGTGTCTTGACAAACCCCTCAGAAGGTGAGATCTATGCGCCTGTGGGCATGTGGCTCGAGGCTGTAGATCTGGTGTTGTCGAGACTCAGAGAAGATGGTCTCGACTTCTCGCGAGTAAAGGGTGTTTCTGGAGCTGGCATGCAGCACGGAACTGTTTTCTGGAGTCAACAAGCCGAGAGTCTGCTCTCAAGCCTGGACGCAAAGAAGTCGCTGGTCGAGCAATTGGAGCCCAGCGCACACAAGGATGAGCGCAAGGGCGCCTTCAGTTACCCGGACAGCCCCAACTGGCAGGACCACTCAACTCAGAAGCAATGCGACAAGTTTGACGCCGAGCTCGGAAGCCCGGAGACATTGGCAGATGTGACTGGCAGCGGAGCTCATCATCGTTTCAGCGGCCCTCAGATCATGCGATTCAAGTCCAAGTACCCAGATCACTACAAGGAGACTTCCCGTATCTCGCTTGTCTCATCGTTCCTTGCATCCGTCTTCCTCGGCAAGTTCGCTCCCATTGACATCAGTGATGTTACTGGTATGAACTTGTGGCACATCAAGGAGGGCAAGTGGAACGAGAAGCTACTATCCCTGGCAGCTGGCAGCACAGATGGTGTTGCTGAGCTCAAACAGAAGCTCGGTCATGTACCTGAGGACGGTGGTGCCAGTTTCGGCCATATTAGCAAGTACTTTGTACAGCGCTACGGCTTCGCCCAGGACTGTAACATTGTCCCAATGACAGGAGACAACCCTGCAACCATCCTCGCTCTTCCTCTACAGGCTTCAGACGCCATGGTTTCTCTCGGCACATCAACCACGTTCCTTATGAGCACACCACAATACAAGCCCGATCCCGCATATCACTTCATGAACCACCCCACAACCGCCGGCCTGTACATGTTCATGCTCTGCTACAAGAACGGCGGCCTCGCCCGCGAGCACGTCCGCGACACAATCAACGGCAACAAGACCGACCGCTCATGGGACAAGTTCAACGAAGTCGCCCTCAACACACCACCCATGGACCAAAAGTCTTCCTCCGATCCCATGCGCATGGGTCTCTACTTCCCTCGCCCCGAAATCGTGCCCAATGTCCGTGCCGGCCAATGGCGCTACAAGTACGACTCGTCCTCCAACAAGCTGAACCAGGTCTCTGCAGAGCAAAGCGTGGACGCTGATGCCCGCGGAATTGTAGAGTCGCAGATGTTGTCTCTGCGTCTGCGCTCGGCAGCTTTGGTTTCTGGCCACGAAATCAATGGCGAAAAGCTTCCTCCCCAGCCTCGCCGTGTATACCTTGTCGGCGGTGGTTCTGCCAACCCTGCCATCGCACGTATCATCGGTGACGTCTTGGGAGGAGCCGAAGGTATCTACAAGCTCGACATTGGTGGCAATGCTTGCGCCCTTGGTGGCGCCTACAAGGCCGTCTGGGGCTGCGAGCGCCGCGGCAAGCAGACCTTCGAGGAACTCGTCGGCGAGCGATGGAACGAAGATGCCTTTGTCAAGAAGGTCGCCGATGGCTACCGCAAGGGCGTGTTTGAGAAGTACGGAGAAGCACTCAAGGGCTTCCACGCCATGGAACAGGAGGTCGTCAAGTCCACCTCGGAAGGCACAAAGGAAACCGGAGGCGTCTTTATTGCACCAAAGAACTAACTTCCCAAAAGCAAAAAGAATGATCACATGGTACGTAGGCTGTTTTAATGTAATTCTCAGGTTATGCAAAATCCATCGAACACTTTTTGGAGGTACGATTTTGTATAGTGCTCACCTGACATGGAACTCGCTCATTCGAGCTCCTTGTGTACTCCTCCACTTTCCTCCTGCCACTCACTTCGCCGTCGCCCCCACTATCTCTCTTAACCCTTATATTGAGACAAAGCTCTGCTCTTGTAACCAGAGAAGCCGTGGTGGTGTAGTGGTAGCATACCCGATCCTCGTTCACTCGTTTGAAACCATCGTATGATTAGTCAGTCAGTCACTTGTCAAAGTCGCTCATTTGGATCGGAAGGTCGTAGGTTCGATCCCTGCCTACGGAGCTCAATATCTTTTTGCCGATATACCTTGCTGTTCAAGTCGCTTCTTTGCATATCGCTATACATCGAAACCTTCAGAGAAGTGAGATCGTATAAACAAGTTGAAGCTCCTATCTCCTGAATTCCCAATATATGTACATGTACCCCCAAAACTCCTTGCACCATGCAAACCGCAAATCCCAATCCCGCACTAATCACCCAAATACACCGGGATACCATAAACCACCGTCGCCGCGCCATTCAGATATCTCAAGTTACAAGCATCTCTACTCAACATCACCGCCTCCACAAGACTTTTATTTTTATCCTCGTCATCATCTCTCAGTACGCGGCTTCTGCTTCGTCCGCCTGGAGTCCGCGAAGGTGTTTTTGAAGGTGTTTTGGGCACAGATCTGCCTCTTTTGCGCGGTGTCTTTGGCGGCGCGAGGTCTTTGGAGGAAGGCGCAGGGGTAGACGACCATAAACCCCAATGCTCGCCTGTTTTTACGGCGAAGCGATCGATGTCTTTGTCTGTGACATCCCAGAGTGTGGCGACGATAGCCATGCAAAGGCCTTCTCTGTTGTCGTTGCGATGCTTGGGTTCTTCATCTGTGGAGGTGTCGAGTTGTCGTTTTCCGGCGACTAGATAGCCGAGTGGTACACTTGTGGGTTCGTAGTCGCCGTGTTCGGTTACCGTGCCGCTGGAACAGCCCATCAGCCACACTACTTCGGCACACTTGTCCAGCTTTTTGATCGTGCGGTTGCGGATGTATTGGTTTCCGCTGCCGTGGCCAAAGTAAAGAAGTGTGCTTTTCTCTGACAATGCGTTTGCGAAGTCCTTCTCTGAGGGAATCTTGTTGATGGTTGATTGCCAAGATGAATCAGAGGATGCTTTCAGTGAATCGAGTAGTGGCGTCATGGTAGTCTGTGTCCTAGACAGATCTCCTGACGGATTAAGGATGAATGCTCCAGACTGCTTGTTGACAAGGTACTTTTCTTCAGCGCCATCTTTCATCTGACTACGCATAGCAAGAATTCGTTCGCGGAGCGTGAGCATGCTACCGACTCTACTCACACTAACGTTCTGGAGACACGGTAGACTTTCCCAAGGGAAAGCATGCAACTTTCTGTCCAGAATCAAAATCAGATGATTTTGATCAGCTGTGTTGAAGTTGGCTGCCTCATGGTAAGATCTCAAAGCGTCCATGGTCTCGGTCGCCATGACATCGAAGTCGACTTCGTCATACGCGTTGCGCTCGCCATTGAACTGTAGGATATCAATGACAAAGTAAAGAAGGTCAAGCACTTGCTCGTCCATGTCAACTTCACCATCCTGATCATCTCCAAGACCAACGAACAACTCGACGATATTGGCGTCCAGCACAAGCTTCTTGGCCTTACTCTTCGTACCCTGTCTCGAGGGAAGATGGCGGTCCAAAATGCCATCCAACGACTTTCTGAAACGAGCCAGTAATGCTGGGTCTTTGCGATGCTGTGATAGCACGCCCTTGAAGCCACCAAGCCAGATGTTTTCGATATTCACGATCAATTCTTGCATGCGAAGATCCAGCGCTTCACGCTCGTCCCACCAGCTCTGCTTAGCTTCTTGTGTCATGGCACTGGGCGGCTTACTGCAGCTGTAGTTCGAAAGCTCGATTATCTCCTGCAGCTCGGCCTTGCCAGACTCAAAATCAAATGTAGGTGATTCCTCGTCACCTTCGATATCCTGCATCTTGTTACGTGTCATTGGCAGACGCAGTAAGAAAGGTGCTTGGTTTGCCCGGTATCGCACAATGTATAGCTCATTGTGGTCCTCACTTAGCGTCACCGATACAGCAGTCCAACTGTTGGGGATGATATCAATATATTCCTTCTGGAATCTTGCTGCCGAGAGATGGCTAGTAGAGGCTGTGGAGTTCTGATTCGCTAACTGTACATCATATTCGTTGTACTCCTTCTCCGCCTCTATAGTGCTCAACTCTCGAGAGAAGGCTTCGATACGAGACATCTCGATTGAGCAAGCTGCACGTGTAGGATGCAACGATCCAGAAAGAGACATGCTAGCATTCAAAGCCGAGAGCAGCAGCATAGCTTTGGAACTCAAGCCGCACAATTGGTGGAAGACTGACATACCAGCAGTGCTTGCAGATCGGCGCTGGATGTTTACAAGACGTTCCTGTGCGTCACAGAGGAAGCGAGCAAATTCATCATCAGTACGCTTTTGGCGGCTGGTCTTTTTAGGTGTGGTAGCGGTCGCAAGAGACATTGGTGTCGACGAGAGTGAGGTCTGCGTTGACGACTTCTTACCAGTCGTGGTCGACAACGCAGGGAACGAGATGGTCGACTCAGGTAGAACGTTGAAGGTGAAGTCCAGAGCCAGTTCTTCCCCAAATTTGCGGAGCAGTCCTTCAGCCATTGCCAATTGTTGCAGAATATCTTGAGTGAAATCATGCTCCATATCTTCGGCTCGCTCCAGGAGCTCCAGACCAAGATCAGTCTCGCCCTGATTGATCAACAGAAGGCCGCGTTGTCTGAGCGCTGCTGCACATAGACTTGATAAGGGGACATTCTCCTGGTTCGAAACAGTGGAGGTAGTGGTGGTCTTAACCTTCGTGCTTACGGTTTTGGTCATCTTCGCTGGTGGCACTCTGGTCGCAGGAGTCTTGGTTACGACTCGCTTGCCATTTCGAACAGTAGCAGTTTTGGCCACATTGTTCTTGTCGGATTGGTCCTTCAGAGCCCGCAGCTTCTCAATAAAATTCTTGCTTGCAAGCCGAGTAGCCATGGCTTCCGCCTTCTCGTACTCCTGCTGTGCACTCTCCCATGTCTCTTCTTCTGCTGCGAATATGTCGCCCCGTGTGATGCCTAGTTTCACTAGGTCGATAGAGTCTCTCAGCTCACCGTTGTCAACGAGATTATCAGTCTCGATGCCCTCAATATAGGCCTGAGCTTCCCTCTGGACTGAAATCTTGGTACGCAGGTCGGGCACTCCAACTCGAGTGACCAGGACGTCAGCCTGATCAAGATAGTATGAAGCTTCAGTTCGTAATCCTTGGTGGGCGTAGGTATCTGCAAGATGCAAAACGCTGTTCAGCAGATCCGGCACAATAGCAGAGAACGCAGCGCCCTGGTTGGTAACAGGTTCTAGCTCTGATGACGATGAAGCTTGGTCGGAGTTGGAGATGGCGAGCTTCTCAACCGCATTCACAAGCTCTTCTTGTGGAATAGTTGTAGAAGATGACGAGGAGTTGTCTTGTGGGGCATGTTGGACTTCTAGGAAGGTCATTGTTTGTTGACACAATAAGACATAGCGTTTTGCGTAGACCATGGCCTGCTTCACCTGTCCTGTGCTCCTCGAGTACAATGAACACACAAAGGCAAATCTCGCTTTGACAATTTGAGCATGAGTTTTCGTGGCGTGGTCGACCGCAGGAAACGATTGCATACATTCGGTGGCAGATGTCATCGACTTGGCCGCAAGACTGGCTTGTCCTAGTGTCGTCCAAACTTCCGTCTGGGCAATATGCCATTCGAGCTTCGCAAGAGTCGAAACAATAGGTTGGGTTAGCAGAGAAGCCTCGAGCTCGAGGATGCGACATGCCTCCAAGGAGTAGCCCAAATGAAGGTATTGCAAGGCAAGCTGCGCCGAAATACTCAAGACAGATGATGGCTCTGGTGTAGGTCTCAGATGATGAACATGAGAGAGTATTTCGAGTATCTCGAGGCGCAAATTGTCTTGACCCTTCATGGCTAGAAAGGAAACCACGAACTGCAGTTCCGCTATCAAGGCATCCACGTCGTCCACTTCCTTCGAAATTGAGTCCCAAGAATCCAATGGTTTGAGCAACGATGACAATTTCTGCACCGTCGTGCTGATGTCCTCAAGGGAAGTTTCTTTTGTGTGAAATGCTTGCGCCAGCGTAAGAGATATGTCCAAGTAAGACTCGAACGAACTCAAGCCATCATCTTGATTGAGAGAGTCATGCGAGACTCTGCTAGTCATTATACTGTCCATCGTCTTGTTGTCTATCAAGCCGGGAAATTCGTTCGAATATCTGAGGATCTGGATGCATACACGTCCTCGCCGGAGTGGAAAACTATCTTGGCTGTACAGTTCCAGCAGTTTGGTACACAAGCGTTGCAGATCTGCTGCTACTCTCCTACGATGTGATGGTTTGAACAAGTCTTCCTCAAAGAAGGCCAGCTGGATCTCGAGCAGAGTCGCTCGTTCCAATGGATCAATGGAACCATCGTCGAAGAAGGCAACGTTTACAGAATCTTTGGCTGCAGATGTATGATACTCGTGAAGGATACGTCTCAACAACTGGGCCTTACGATCCAATTGCAAAACACTAGAGAGTGGCTTTGAATTTGCGTTTTGGGCCAATTCATGCAAGACACCGGAGCGAAGCTGCATGCTGGTCGATTCAGCAAAGACGGAACATGATTTGGCAATACTGCCAAACCTCTCTAGCTTTGATCCTAGGAAGCCAGCTTCTTGATGTACAGACGCACGCTCGCGTAGTATCTCGATGGATGCTTGAAGATATCTTATGGCTTCCGGGGATGACTCTCCGGTCTTCGAAGCCAAAAGTTGAAAGCAGCGCCAATGTAAGTTGGAGATGTTGACCACTAGATGTTCTGCTTCGGAGTCCGAATTTACATCCAATAGACGAGTGCATGTCTCAAGAGCTTTGTGGGCAGTCTCGATATGGTCGCAGGATGAGCCCAGCAATTTGCAAGAGAAAATACTTGAGCTGACAAAGGGAACAACCAATTTCGACGCTACATCTCCCGACGCTTTGGCATCAGCGGTGCTTTCTAAGCACCAGAGAAGTATTTCAGTGCAGAGAAAACTGATGGTACATAGTAGAATAGCACACTCGTCCGGTTCAGGTCCAATCTCTTTTCCCGTGTCATGTGTCAAGATTTTGATGGTCGTCTTGCGTAATCTGGCGAGTTCCAGCAACATGTCGTCGACTGACAGCGTAGACGATTTGAATTTGTTGACCAAGTGAGTCCTGCAAGACTGAATCTGGCTGCGAAGTATCGCTAGGTCTAGTTGTTTATCACGATCGAGGTAAAGAGCCATGGATCGAACTGTACAGAGTAAAGACATACCGTTTCCTGAGGCCTTTTCTGACGTTGACGACATGAACTCGGTATATCGCAAAGCCTCATCTTGCATACCGAAAGATTCGGCAAGCGCACTCAAAGCCTTGTATAGAGTCAAAGGAAGAGGCAGAGATGCATCTTTGGGCTGGTACAGCTCGACAAGAGTGCTCATGCAATTGATGGCCTGTTTGTAAGCCTGGGGCCCTCGATCCTCAGCTCGCCTTCTATAAGCGTCCAGAAATTGGACCAATGGTTCATATAGCTCTTTCTGAAGATTCGCTTTGTGTCCAGCTATCGGCCACCAGTTCGTCTGGATGAGAAGCGCAGTGGTTTGAAGCTTGAAAGCGACATCAGGAGAGGCGTGTGTCCCGATACTTGTAGCAGAGTCGTCTGCTGAAGAGGAAGGGGATGGACACATGGATAGTATGAGCTTTGAGAGGGTATCTAATTGTCGTGCCACCTTGTTCTTGTCTTCGGATACCTTTGTAGATCGTAGTATGAGGGCAGCGGCAGAAATAGGATTGTCAAGCATCAGATGTGGGAGCGAAGCCTTGATAGTGGCAGGCCGGGCAGAATTGACGACGAGCCGCAAGACATTCATGTGGTAGGAGATGGCCAGCGACAAGACTTTGGCATCACATGTGCGACATTCGAGGTGCAGCAATGTAGCCAGTGTTTCCCTTTCAGAGGCAGGTGGCGGGTTGGCGCCTTCGGATCTTCGGTGTATACACGTCTTGAGAATGCGCAGCTCTTTCATTGCCAGTGTGTCCATGCCCAGAGCGACGAGTTTCGAGCACAGGGCAAGCATGCCCGTCTCCAGCTGTAGAGAGTCATCGTTCGCAGAGCGGGCAGAACGAAGATGGGCAAAGGCGATGCGGGCGCATTCGGCGACAGTGTTCAGCCCAGAAGATAGTGGCTTCTTGGTGGTGTGCGAATGCGAGGGCGAAGATGTCGACATTTTTGTCGCATCGTTCAAGACCTTTAACGAGACGTTGACGACGTCTGTGGCCAGTTTGTACCGCTCCGAGGCCGTCAAGGCCTGAGGCGCATCAGGGGCTGCAGCCGGGACTGGTTTGGTTCTCGTTGTCCTCGTAGGCGGTGGTTTGCGAGTGGCTGTTGTCTTTGCCAGCGTCTTCGGAGGCTTCGGCTGGTCTTGTGCTGCGGCTAGGAGGGTCTGCAGGGTACTGGTGGTGGTTGGCGAGCATGAAGATGGTGTCGCCAATGCCTTGCGCACCACCTCGACCGAACTTGTCATCGGAGGCATTCTTGGTCGGATTGTCGCTGCATGTTAGTCTTCCATCATGGTGTTTCGTGTACACGAATGGCAGCTTTCAGCCTTGATTACTCTAGACAAACCGATAAAGAAACATGCCTCTTCTAGCCCTGTCTCTGCAGCAACCGCTTCGGCCCGACTCTGCCGAACGTTGAAGCCGTGCCCTAGATGCTCGGAGCGTTGGAATCTCAGAGCCGGCCAAGTTGGAAATAATTGCTGCCGACCAAGAATCTTTGACAACACTCATACAAGCAGCAACATGCGTATCCTCGTCGCTCCTCTACGCCAGGCCCTATGCCACCGTCCCTTCTCGTACTCAGCCAGCCATGCTTCGGCTCCTACCTCGGTACCTCGTGTCGCCTCGGTCTGGCAGTCCGTCATTCCCAAGGCCTTCAGAAGACCCGATGACCCCGTCTCTGTCGCCGAACGTCAAAAGACCCAAGCTATGAAGTCCAAGGACTGGAACCCTGCCACTTTTTTCATCGTCATCGCGCTTCTGATCGGCTCAAACGCCATCCAGATGATCGCTCTGAGGAACGAACGTCAAGGTTTCACACGCAAGACGGAAGCGAAGATCGCTCTGCTCAGGGAGACCATCGACCGCGTGCACCGTGGAGAAGAGGTTGATGTGGAACGCGTCTTGGGAACTGGTGATCCGGAAAAGGAGAAAGAATGGGAACAAGTTATGCAAGAACTCGAGTCGGACAACATTCTGTGGAAGAAGAAGAGCCCGCAGGCTCAACAACAGGACGAAGCTCAAGCTCAAGCTCAAGCTCAACAAGCGGCCGACGAAAGTCCCAAGATGGTCTCACAAGCTCCCGCCTCGAAGCCTGCACCTGCTGCTCAACGACCTGGTTTCTTCTAAGTCTCGATTTCGTGTTGTAATTCAAGTCTTCTAGTATTGTAGTAGTGGATTTGACTTGGTTGCTGACGGGACGTCAATTGCACTCTGGCAGCGAGGTGCATTCCGTGTGCTGCCGCGCGCCAATCAAGTGGGGAGCAGCGACTTCCTGGTCGCATTGCGTTGTGCACATGTGCCGACGCTTGCGCGGCTGACCACCAGCTTGCAGATTGTCCAGCCTTGACTATGTCCATGTCTAACCTCTGTTGTTCTTCTCCGCGATTCCTCGGTTTTTCGTATCGGTGGACTGTTGTTTGCTGGACCCTGCAGCCATCGTCGTCGTGGTCTGGATGCAAGGGCGGTCCACGCCAGATTGCCTGCCTCCTTCCCTATCATGAGCTTGGCTGCAAACGACTTGCGTGGACTCCACGTGTGTCTAGATCAGAGAGAAGGAGTTACCAACCCACTCCTTCCTCGCAATCTTGTTTCCACACATCCTCGACATGGCGCCTTTTGCTCTCTTCACCCATCGCAGCTTTCGACGCGGTCAATCGACTTCGGCGTCTGAATCTGCCACTGCTCAGCAGAAGACAGCCATGGGTGGCATGCCGTCCAAGGCTGCCACGAACGTCAATGAGGCACCGCACAAGAGATTGAGACCTCGATCGTCATCCATGCATCTTCTCAAGCGCAATCGCGACCCTTCTGGACACCCTCCGGCACGCACTCCGACAGTCACCCAACCTCTGGCCAGTGCGGATACGACGACCATCGAAGTCTCCGAGTCAGAAGCAGATTATACCGGAATATCTCTTGCACGCCGCTCAGACTCGCAGTCGACCGTCAAGACACTCAGCGATTCTGTCCACTCCAATCGCTACGAACCCGCCAAACATGACAGCTTTGAGTCGGATGCCAGTTCAACAAGAACAGCTACTCGCGTGACCCGACCATCCGAGGCACTTCTAGTCCTTGGTGCAGACGACGAACCAAACGGCATGAGCACGCCTGTACCACCTCACTTACCCAAGACACCTCAGATCCAACTTCCTACTCCTCCATTCTTGACTGAAGACAGCCCTACCAAGTATGGTTTGCGCGTGACTCACTCTCCCTCGCCCGATCGTTCCATGGTAGCCAAGCAACGACAGAAAATGACGGGTGCTAGACTTTTTGTGGTATGTGACACTGTCATCCGTTTCTTTCTTGCACAACCACTGACNACAGACTTAAAGCATGCCGCTACTCAGCAAAGGTCCACAACCCTGACACTGCCAATCGACCAAGCAAGGTTGGGTGCCACAGACCCTACACAATCATTCGCCCACAGTTCGCCGTCTCTGCCCATGTCCGACAGAACGAAATTCATGCGTGATCAGTCAAACTCATTGCCAAGTCGTAAACTTCAAATCAAGCCCAACCAGCCCTTCAAAGATGCACCTCAAGAACATGTCGCCCACGCACTCCCACTACGAACTTCGCAAAAGACATGCTATCGAGAGCACGACATTTGGCAGCGTATGGGCTCCAACTACAGATATCCAGTCACATGTGCCATCTGCGATGGGTACGAGCCGCCTGGCGACGACTTCATGACCTGCTTATGGTGTGAGGTTCACGTTTGTGGACAGTGCTACGCGGCATTTGTGAAGAATGGATTGGCGGGCATGATGGAAAGACAGCGCAAAAGATGATACAAGTACACGCATCAATGTATTGGGACCAAGAGTGGGACACGTAAACTACTCGAGGAGGAGGTCATCGTTCAGTTGCATGAAGTCTAGCAAGGACTCGAGGCGTTTGTATATCGTCCCGTAAGGAGCAATGAGGGTGATAATGAGTCGTATGAACCGACATTGATCTGTCTTGTCAACTCTAGACCAATGTATTGCATGTCATGGACACTGGCTGTCTGTCGAGGCTCAGAAGATCCGAGCAACTTTATCATTTTCTTTCTCCTCTTCCCTTTCCCAAAAACAGAGAGAAGGAAACCCCCTTGCTCCCCGAGAAAAGTTGTTGTCGGACATACACACGAGCCTTTCCATAGACAGGTGGTCTTTAGCAAGGAAGCGATCTCTTGCAGTATTTCCATGAGCATGCTCCTACCTTGGAAAGTATTATGCATGCTTACAGCCACACGATAACATTCACCAGCACACGAGGAGGGAGAAGGCGAAGAGAGAAATCGAGACAGTGACAGAGACACATAATCTCATCTAGCCATGGTTTCTTTTCATTTCTTGGAGCTCGGTTCGATTAGAGATCGACATGTTGCTAACCTTCTACCCGACGACACTCGTCACGAACTGAAAGCCTCCAAATCCTTGTATCTTGCACGTTGCATGCACGAGTAGTTGCCTTATATGACCAGGCTAGCCTTGATTCTAAGAGTCATCTTTTCTTCTGTCCTTGATGTCCTCCGTTTCTCTGTCCTTCCTCCGCAGCGGCGATTCTCTCCAGAAAGTCAGGTTCCTCTGTCTCTGCCTCTTCCACTTGCTCCTCTGGCTCAGCGCTTGCAGTGTTCGTAGGCTCAGGGGCATTAAACCAAGGTGTAGCAGAGTGTTTAACCGGGTCGCCACAGATGGGTTCCCAGTAAAAGTCACACCAGTACTCCCAATGTGTGCCTTCTTCTGAGATCTCCGTTGAAGAAGCAGAAGCTACAGTCATGGTGCTGGTGATGGCGGTTGCTTGCTCTTCTTGGGCAGAGGCGATGCGGTCGAGAAAGTCTGGTTCTTCCTCGTCTTCGTCGTTTCTGGGACTGGAGTTGGATGCTGGTGTATGTAGCTGCTGCGGTTGTTGATGAAGTTGGCGATTCGATCTTGACCATAGTCTTCAACGTCGTCATGTGCTCTGTGAACGCAGGAGTTGGAGTTGCAGTGACCCTAAAAGTTGATGGAATCTTCTGTGGTGGAATGGCTCTGAGACCGGTGACTTTTGGGAATGCGGATGGTGTGTAGCCTGGAACTGTGGTGTCGGTGATACCAGGGTAGGACGATGTTGGGTATGGAGATCGAGTGGCGCTGAGGTGGTTGATGCTCATGATGGCGGTGACCATGGGCGAGATGGGGACGTGCATCTTTGTTGGTTTATGTGAGTTGTTGTGTGGTTGTTGTGTGTGCCTGTGAATATGGTTGTGGATGTGGATGTTTTAGCAGGAAGAAGAAGAAGAAGAAGAAGAAGAAGAAGAAAAAGGGAGAGGAAAGGACATCAGGTTTTAATGGTTGTGAACTCATTAGATGAGTCTTGTGCTGGATGTGACTCTTTGCCACGAGGTGGTTTGAGAGAGTTTGGAATCTCCAAGAAGACCCACGTGGTATACCCATGAGAATCCTTTAGGGCAAGCTGTCTTTCGCCAATCGCCATGACACGCAAGCAACAAGAAATGTCACATCACCAAAGAGAATGAGCAGAGCAGTGCATGTCATGTATTCCCGAAGACCGACCTATCCCAAAAATCCTTCAAGGATATCGACAATGACAAAAGAAAATAAAGAACTCAGACCTATCATCATTGATCAAGCAGCAACTTCTGCACCCTCGGCACCTCCACTGCCCGAGATGTTCGAGATGAAATCTCTGTATCTGAAGACTTCACCTCTCTTTCTGTCACCGCCAGCCAACTCCTTGCCGAAGACGCCTTTGGCACCAAATGCTCTCCTCGCCGAGAACTGGCTCATGATAGCATCGATTTCATGCTCCGTCAAACTCACATTTCCAACGCCGGGTTCTGGAGCGGTGTTGAGCAGAGCGTCCCGTAGCTCATGCTTGTCGATTTGACCACTGTCATCAACGTCGAAAGCAGCAAAAGCGGCGGCGAGCTCCGATGGTTCGCTGAGCTCGGCCAGTGGAGCTGATATCAAGTCCAAGAAACGACCAAGAGTGATTGAGGAGGGAGTCCCCGGCGGGAAGAAAGAAGCGACAGCCCTGGGGGAAGAGTCCATACCCATCTGCTGCAACATATCGGCCACACTAGCTGAGGTGATAGCACCTGTGTTAGAGGCATCCAAGACTTCGAACGACTCGCGCATGCTTCGTAGCAGGGATTGTGGGAGGTGAGAGTACTGGCCAGTGGCCATCTGAACAGGGACCGAGGAAGGGGCGGTGAAACTCGGTCGGGAGGTATANNACTTGGGCGGGTGATGACACTCGGTCTCGGGGCCGCACTTGTGGTAGAATCGCGAGAGGTGGGTCTGTCAAACACTGGCGCTCGGATAGTAGCCTGAGTAGACGAGGTGACAGTACGTTGGGCGGTTGGTCGCATAGGCCGAGACGCAGACGGAGATAATACAGGCGAACGAGGACCTAGTGGCGATGACGGCGCAACAGCGGGCGAGCTCGGTACAACAAGCGGCGATGGGGATGAAGGGATGCGAGGGGATGAAGGTACTGCNATCATCTCCAGGCATGCGCGACTCTTCAATACGAGCGGCGGGTGAGGGTGATGGAGGAGCCGAGGATTCCTCGTCTACTGAAGCCTGTGAAGCATGGCGGGAGAAGGATATCGGAGGAGCTAGAGAGCCGGAAGACGTGGGCCTTGATGAGGACTCTGCGATGCTGAGGCGACTAGTTGGACGGGCGAAGGGACTCCTTGGGCGATCGCCGGTCGTCAACTGCGAAGGTCGCCGTACAAACGGATTGGATTTCTCGGGCGACAGTGAAGGGGACAGCGGTTTGGTAGGCGATTCCGAGCGGTCGCGGACCGTCGAAGGAGAGCGCAGGAGTCCGTCCGAATCGGGTCGGCGGAAGGGCGATGCTCGAGGAGAGCGCGATGAGTTGAACGACAACTTGGTTGGTGACGCCTAGCGATTGTCAATCTCATGGCCCGAAACACTTGTTCCATTTCATACTGACCATAGTAGTCGAGATGATGCTGAGAATGGGACTAAAACAACAGTGTATGGCGATAAAGTAGCGGTAGAATGGCCGTTGTCAGGCGGGCACCCACTTCAACAAACAAACAAGCCCCGGGAAGCCAAGCACCGCCGCTCCGCTCCGCGCGCTATAATCAGACCCGGGGGCCGGGGCTGCAGATCGCCCGGCCTTGGACCCTGATGTCTTTGTCGAGAAGGAGGCCGACAAGTTGAAGAAACACTGAGGCAGGCCCAATCAACATCGATGGAGTCTCGGCAGTAGCACAAGACCTCTAGGCCATTCCTTTCCAATGCACCGCCAGAACAGCAGTAGCACCAGCCAACCCGCACCAATCGCTCCTGCCGCCGCAATGTCAGGGGTGCTACGGCTGCGCGCCGCCCCTCTCTGGCCTCGTTCCCCTCGTCGCGCAAGCAGTCCAACTACGAAGTCATGCCCTCGGCCATCATAAGACCTCCCATGCGACCCTCGCTGTCTCAGTCCGTTCGCACCGCCAGTATGCCTCGTCGCAAGCGGAAGCCACGGCCGCAATATCCCCAGCACTCTACTGAGCGGCATGTCGAATACATCCTGGTTGCCTCGTTCGATATTGATACTGGCTCAGTCATGGAGCATCAGTACCCCGCTGCCATCGGAGGCGACGAGCACATGTTGGCAGAACTCATGCTGCCCGATCAGACCCATCTGCGAAGCCAGGACTGGACCGTGTTCTTCTTACACAAGGACCAATCTCCCGAAGACGATTTACAGCAGAGAAGAGATAGACGGAAGCAGCAGAGGGAAGAAAAGAAAAACAACCGAGCCGAAGTCAAGTCCAGTCAGGATGGCACAGATCCAGAACTAGACAACGAGTCAGACGACAATACCGAGGATGCAGAGTCCGAAGACGATGCTGTCAAGAGTACTCAGGGCGCCCCGCTGGTCTACGTCCTCAACCTTGTCAACACCAAGCACGATGCCAACGTAAAACGAGGTGCCGTCGTCAAGGCTATGGCTATCTGTACGAGGCACTCGTTCTTGCATATATACAAACCACTACTTCTTCTGGCCTTGGAGGATTACTTCCGCTCTCCCACCATCGAGACACTGGCTTGCTTGTACGAATCCGTCAACGCCATGGATCTCTCACTACTCCCGCGACTATCATTCCAGGAGCGATATATCCTGCAAGCCTCTGATGCCAAGGACTTGTTCATCGAGAAATTCGAGGCCATGATTCAGAAACGCATTCATGAGGACAAGGCCAAAGACCAGTCTGAAGATAAGCAACATCAGCAGCAGACGCCGCGTCAAAGATATGGGCTACCACGAGACACACATGAGTTTGACTCGGTTGTGCATTATAACAAGATCCCCGTGCCCATCAAAATCCCCACTGCATTGTCCCTCGAGACTGTCGGCGACTTTTCGCTCATCAAACTCATCCAGACTTTCAGCACACCACACTCGGCCTCCCCTCAACCTNNTTTTACTCAGCATCACCCGCACTTGACCACATCTGGTCCTCTCACGCATCCTATAATTGTGCTTCTTAATGCACTGCTCAGTCAAAAGCGCATCATCTTCATCGGACATAACTTGCCTTCGTCAGAGGTAGCAGAAGCCGTACTAGCTGCTTGTTCCCTCGCCTCTGGTGGCTTCCTGCGAGGTTTCACCCGTCACGCATTCCCATATACCGATCTTACCAAGATCGATGATTTGCTCAAAGTTCCGGGTTTCATTGCCGGTGTCACCAACCCAGCGTTTGCTACACACACTCAGTGGTGGGATGTCATGTGTGATTTGCCAACGGGTCGCATCAAGATCAGTCCAAAGATTGACCAAGCTCCGTTGACAGAAGGTGTGCTGTTTTTCCAACAGAGTGGAATACCGCAACCACACAATGCACCGGGCGCTGTCTCAGCAGCTGGTACGGCCACAGGTGCGGGCATGAGTGGTTTCCCATCTATACCTTCCGGAGCTGGAGATCCAACGGGCGATGTAGCGTTCATGGCTAGTGTGCTCGCTTCAATCGCTGAGCGCCGTGGCGAGGGTGCTGTCCGTTCAAAGTTCCGCCTCTGGATCCTCAAATTCATCCGTATAGCAGCATCTTTCGAAGAGCTTGTCTACGGTGCCTCAGCAATCTTTGCATACTACCCGCCCGGTTCGCCCATCACACCAGCAACAGCCAGTATGGACTTCCCTTCACCTATGACAGTACTAGATGCTGCATTCGAAGATCCTGCTGTTGCAGGCCATGGCTACGTGTGGCCGTCTCAAGAAGCCAAGATGCGTGAACTAGCTGCCAATGCTACCCGCATCGAAGGCTGGACAAAAACACGTAGCTACTACAACTTCATCCAAGATTTCAGCGTCATGTTCTCTTTACGTCCAATCCAAGATCTCGATCTCCAGCATTTACACGACAAACTGACAAAACTACGTCTGGGCAATGACGCTTCTGCTTCAGTCTACCTCGCCATCTGCGCCAGAGCAAGAACATACGAGCAGATTAATCAACTGCTGTCTGTGTTTGCTTACGGTAGTCCGGCGATAATGAATGACAGGCAAAACGGCATGTTCTACCTCGCCCTCGGACTCATGCATCCAAGACTAGATGTTCGAGAAACTGTTGCCGAGCTGATTGACAAGATCAGAGTACACGAGGCTGGAAGGCACTTCTGGGCTGCGCTTGGTAGATTCGAGCAAGCGGCTTTTGATAGGGTTGTGCTTGCCAAGGCTGAGAGGGAGGATAGTGGGCTGCTGGGTTGATTGTGGTGCTTTGTAGTATGGACAGAGATGAGTGTTTTTGCTTTCGGTTGTTTTTAGATACCATGGACTGCTTTTGGAGCATTGGAGTATTTGAAGAAGAATATAGATTTGATAGACGGTACGTTGATAATGATGATGGTTCGCAACACTACCAGATTTGCATATATATCCCCGAGGGATCGGTTTGCGAGCATGGGATGCCTAACCCCATTTTTCTGTACCCTCGACGCCGTAAGTCTATCTCATGTGCACATCGAAGCGCGATTGAGAGTAAGAGCGGGGACTGGAATCTGGTCATATGTCTGTAAGACAGATACATGCATGGTGTCGTCTAGACCGCTGTCATGAGACGCGAGAACAGTGACCCTGCTTCCACATTTCACATGCCAACTGCATATGTAAAATGATCCCTTGCATGACGATGACATTTTCCCGTCCAATTGAGGAGGTTATGTACATACTGTACATAAAGTGTTCTTGAGATTACTGCATATCCAGAAATGCAGCAAGTCGATATACATGTGCTTGGTGCATCTCAACAAATCTCCTACTCTGCAGCTTCAGGCTTCCAGGCAATGAGTTTATGGTCGAAACCTCCACTGATCAACCACTCTTGCTTCTCTTCTCCTGAAAGCACCCACCCGGCACTCAAACATCTGACTTTGCTACCGGGCTCGTGGCCTTTGAGTGTTGCAATGACTTTACCGGTCTGGGCTTCGATGCCGCGGATTGCTCCATCGTCGCTGTTGACCCAGATGCCTGTGCCGTCTGGCCGCCATGCGAGCGCAGGTGTGCTGTAGGCGGTCTGAGGCGCCATGGTCGTGCAGTGGATCAGTATGGCGGCTGATTCGCGATCCTGCAGCGCCAGTGCGGCACGGGCTTGCGATGCTTGGGTTTCTTCAGCGGGGACGGTGGATGCGAGTGAGGCATCGCCGTCCAGTGAAGGCACCATCAAGCGTACGATTAGCAGTTTCATGTGGGNGATGGCACTTGTTGCGACGGCGACGAGGGTGCTGTCTGTTGGGCACAGAGCAATTGCAGAGGGAGTGAAGGCGATCCAGGCATTGCTGTGTGGCGCTAGGTTCTGCTTGCCAAGTAGGCGTGCTTCGCTGTCAACACTGTAGTAAAAGAGATGAGTCGAATNCCTGCGCGTGACAATGAGGACCAGAGAATCATTGTCGGGATGCTTGATGAACAGAAGCGCTTCCGGGTTGGTCGCAAGCGAGATGGATGCAACAGGAGGAGACAGTGTAGGCGAATCGGTACCAGAGACGTCAAGCCTATACAGATGAACTTTGCCGTCCCAGCCTGCGGTCGCGAGCCAGGTCACGTCCTCAGACTCGTGGACTGCGATCTGCACAACATACTTGGTATGATCGCGGCGCTTGTCAAAGACCTCACCCTGCAGATTGCTTATTGCCAATTGTCCAGACATGGAGGCTGTCAGCAGATGTGTCTGTTTCAGCACAGCAGTCGAGAGCACTGGTGAGTCGTGCATGGCCAATAGCGAATCTCTGAGCGTGCATGCAGGTAGATTGTGAACATTGAGCCGGCGGTCAGCAGTCGTGGCTACCAACAGCGGTTCGGATGCATCGCTATAAACAGGTCAATCACGCACTGTTTCCTTCGATAACACGGCTTGATCAACTTACCCAGGTGTCGTGTTCGCTACCAGTGGCAGCGATATGTGAAGGATGTTAGAACGTGTCGGGCCTGATATGTCGTTCGGCAAAGCGGGCGNCTGGAAGGAATCAACATATCGACTCCGGGAGAATGAAAAAATCGGTCACCTACCATGCTGGCTCCAACCGTGAGTCCCATCATCTGTGCCAAGTCTTTCGAACTGCAGGCTCATATCAAAGGTTCGCTTTTCCTCGAGGATCTTCTCGATGGTGAGATCGCCTTTGTTTGTGGATCCGGCACTGGGTGGAAGACCAGCTTCCCTGATGAAAGCGTCCAAAGTCTGACATTGAAACACTTCAGCATGGGATGTCCTGGTGATGGAGCTGCGTAGGAGTGTTCAAACCTCATCGTAGCTGTTGGCCTTGAGAAAGCGGGCGACGATGATTGCTGCCTCACTCGGTGACATTTCGACACCACAAGTCAATCGAATTCCGGCGGGGAGGTTGTTCTGAGGTGGCTCCTGCCAGGTGTTTGGGGACTGTTTTGGCTGGTGGCGGATGGAATCTGGCAGTCGCACCTCGGTTGATGGACTTCGACTTCCCCAAGATTCTGGAGCCGACGTCAAACACTTGCGCCTTCTGCACGTCCGCGATATTTGCTTGATATTGTCCTTGCCGCACTTTGTGCCACCGCGACTGTCGCGGAGCCTGAAACTTGGTTGGAATGGGTCCTCGCCTAGCACTCATCATGCATCGCGCCTTCGCAGAATTCTTCACGGGATGCGGCACCAGTACTCATCTTGTGTAACATAAGAATCCTCAATGATCACCAATGCCGCGCGCAGGATTCGGTCCTTTCACTCTTGGTATGCCTCATTGTGATTGACATAGCCGCCAACGAAGCCTGCTGTTGGTGGGCAGAGCCGCGATACACATTGCTTCTGTCAATGCCCATCACGTCGGTCGCTTCATGAGTATCTGCCGTGCCGCGAAAAGTGATAGATCACAGTCTCTGGTCCCTCTATGATCAGGGCGTCTTGTTCGTTCGAGTCCGCAAACAACACTCTTGGCCCCAACCAGTGGTTTCACCGCTACCGGACTCGCATCTAATACTGCATATCGATCTGAGTATCTGCAATTGGACAAAGCATTTGCTGCACTTGGAAGATGATCACATCGCAAATGGAGAGTCGGAGAGTCAGCCTTGCTTCCCCTGTTCATCGATGGATGTCCTTGGGTCAGCTCTACCCTATCGCCATCCCTAATCTATTGGGGTGGGCAATTGGAGTGCATGGCGACATGGTTTTTATTCAGATGGCTTGCTGCAACCCCAGATTCCTGCTGAGGGTTTGATCCTCTCGATCGTCTCGGGCTACCCGTCTCCGGCAATCAGAGCTGTTTGTCCAGTCCCGCTTTCAGCTGTTGCTCGCTAGAATGTAAGTCAAGGTCCAGACGATCAATTGGATTCGCTGAAGAAAAGTTACGCACATGACGCATTGAAGCTATATACTCGAAGCTCCTCAGCAATGCTTTGTACAAATAGAACGTCCTTCGACCAAGTTCCGGAGAGACATTTTTCTGATTCATCTCTGTCGTTTGCAACCAGTTTCATTTCGAGGATCTAACGGCTGTTTAAACAGCAATCCATAATTCCTGCAATACTTTTCTACAACATTTCTGGTACCCACGAACGTCTCCCTATTCTACAAGATAACCTGTCTCAACTATTTTACCACCCAAAATGTTGTCTCAAATGCCTATGATGCATTGTCAATANCCCCCATCTCGAGCAAGAAGTTCTGGCGATGGGGATTTCTTNTTTTATGTCGAGGGTGTACGTTCTACATCTCTACCGTCCTGTTGGAGCACTAATCTAGAAGTACAGCTACCTCCGTACTATACCTGGGGAATGTTGAAAGATCTCACCAGAAAAGCTGCCCCTTATCCAGGATGGACAGAAATGGCCTCAAATCCACAAGGCATGCAAAAAGGACGCGGCTGGATCAAGATCAAAAGAGCTAAAGATGCTTTCAATCTATATGGTACGTCGAGTCACCTGGACAAGTGGAAACAAAGACTGATCCAAGGTCCANNAGGTTTTTTGACCAATGGATCACCTTCCCTGAAGCCACTCAGGGTCTACTTGTGGTCCACAGCTCGATCACCTCCGGAGTTGCTGCGATGCAACGATGTTCCACGTCCCATGCAAAGGTTCTCGCCGCCACAGAATGTCAGCGCCTATCCCACACCCATGAGTACAAACATGAGCACTCCTATGAGCACACCTGTGCACGAAATTCCAGTGTTCCATCACCCACCTCCAATCGCTCCTAGAAAGATGAGTCCGACATATGTTTATACTCCCAACTACCGTCCGATCAATGCAGCAGGGGGACTTGTACAAACGGAGTCAAGAAGCATCTTCATAACCCAGTTGGACTATGCAATCGATCAGCGGCAACTAGAGGAGTACCTGCGCAGAATTGGATTCTTCGACAGCTGCGAGATTCGACGGGATCCGGCTAGTGGCAGATCGCGCGGCATTGCAACCGCCAAATTCGCAAGTGCAGAGGCGGCTGCCAGAGCGATTCAAATGCTGCATGGTCAGAAGCTCCTGAGCAAGACAATCAATGTGCGCTTTGACACGGAAAAGGAGGCGGTTGCACCATCAAGCTCGAGCAAGAGCTATCATGAAGGTCTCATCATTGCGAATGGCTCGAAATGAAACATGGACCAACTTCAACGGATCAACCAGAAGATGTGGATGTTATCGAAGCAGAAGTTGTTAGCGGATAGTATCATTTATCCACCATGTGCCGTTCAATCATGCTTCCCGCACCTGCACGCTGCAATGAGGTACGTGATGACTAGTGCCGGTGCTCATGTTGTGTAACACCAGAAGTGCGAGAGCTCTGGCGGCAGAACAAGCCAGCCCACCCTTTCGACACATCCATCTCATCGTCTTTGGCGAATGACAATCTTCACCAACTCAATGCATCTCTTTCTGACGAATGAGCATCTTTACCGGATACACTTCTCTATGCCGAGAGTTGTAAGCACAGTACATCACTTACATTGCATTTGGATACGAAGAGGAGTTGCATGAAAGCAGAGCAATAATCGGGTTCAACGACAGATGACGAGGTCAAAGGCTGGAGTCATCTTGACATGTGCGCATGTGTTTCAAAAAGCAATACCCCTCCGACAGCGCTTCCTAGTGTCGAGTTGGCACCGGACGGTCTTGTCAGGTTGTTGGGTATTGCGAGATGGCAGTGCTGCTTGAGAATATGTTAGGCACGGCTTGTGATGCTAGACTGCACTTGATGTGCTACGTTTGCCGAATGTCAGGTCTGCACGTAGCGGCAAGGCGTAGCTGGTTGGATCACTGCCAATGGCCAAGGTCATCCATTTTGATTGGTAGCAAGCCTCGACACATCTTCCTGCCAGCCTTAGACCTTGGTAATCATGGAACCCTTCCGATATCAATACGCGTATCTGAGTCTTTCGTATGCGTTGTCGGCTTGCATACAGTTCAGATGCCTTGTCGTGCCGAATGCGAGTCGCTCATCCTCAGCCATGTATCGGCGACATAGTTATATCACAGATAAGCAGGTACGACGACCAATCATGCCTTGATGCTTACACACACACATCAAAGTCTGCAACATCTAGAAAAGGGCAATGCAGATTACTTTGTTCCATTGTATACATTAAATTTCTGACATCGTAGGGTTATATGTTTCCATCAACGACAGGGTCACCCACGCACCTTGTCAGCCTCGCGATTAATCTGCTTCATGTCCTCAAAACACGCTTCCCACAAACATCTCTCGCAACAGCAGTTACCCCNCAAAGCGCCAGCAGCCCACTCGCGCCGATCCTTGACCGGCAAATCGATATCGCAGTAGTGGCTAAGCACCTCTTCACCCTTCTTGAGGCCAGCCTTGTACTTGATGCCGCCGCGGAACTCGCTGCCATGCCAGGTGGGCCTTTGCTCCAAGACGCGGAAACGCACATCGCTGGCCCAGCGCCAGGTGACGTTCGGATTGCAGCTGTGGTTGGCGAGACACCACATGGGGTGCACAGCACTGACCTCTGGGCCGCGAGCAACACCGCCGCCCGAACCACTCAAGCGCGCGGATGCCGTGCCCCTGAATTTGGCGTACAGAGTGTTAAAGACCCAGACATCATATTGCGGGTTCTTGAATATGTCGACGTCCATTTTTTCGAGCATGTTGAAGGGGAGTACGACGTTGGCTTGGAAGCTGAAGGGCAGTGTGCGCGGGAAGGGTGACTCGGTGCTGTGGCGGTCGTGGGGGCGCCAGTGTTTGGATAGGTCGAGGGTGTGGTAGTCGCCCCAGATGAACTTGACGTATTTGATATCCAGGGNGTGGATCTCTTGGGTCTCTGCCATGGCCAAAGATCTGAGTAGCAATAGAGAGTACAAGGCGTTGGCGGCTTCGGCAGGGGGCACATCCTTTGCGATGTCCTCGACACCGCGGTCGCAGACGGCAGGATGGTATTCCTCCTGAGCGAGATCACTGCACTTTTCACTGCAAAAGACGACCTCGCAGTCTGGACATGCCACGACATCGGCAGAAGCTGGGTCGCTAAGCTCAGGGAGGTCGGCACTGCACGCATCGCACAGGGCGTCCTGAAGACGGTTGTTGGCAGTGAGGAGCGAAGTCTCGGACAGCGCAATATCTCCAGGTGCAATGTCCTCTTTCGCAAAGACACCGAGCTGTGTGACAAACTTTTCAGCACCATCGCCCTCGGTCAGGAGAGGCAGCTTAGTAGCCTTGACCTCGAGTCTCGGTGCAACCTTCTCCATCTCTGCGTTCAGGAACTCCAAGCTCTCGTCAGAGCAGCGATCGGGTTCGTGTTCGTTCCACGGATAGCATTCTCTGCGCACCATGCCCTCGTCCGGGAACTGGTCGAGTCCAAACTTGAAGCCAGGCTTGTTGTACTCGTCAGGCTGCGTTTCGCGAAGCCAGTCGTCGATGGCGGCGTGAATCACGTCCAAAGTCGCTTCGATGGTAGGGTCTTCTCCGAAGAGGTCTTGGGCCTTGAAGCAGTACTCGGCGGCGCTTCTCTGGCAACCAATGACGTGAAGACATTGGGCGAGCAATGCATANNTCTACTAGACATCAGAAAGGAAGTCCGAAGAAGCATCGAGCAGTACTTACACTTGGAAAGAGAANNAAAGGCCCTTGGTCCAGACCAAAACTTCAATGTCCGAGACATCGACATCTACGAGCTGATCCTTGTTCCTAAGCATGAACTCAGGATAGAGATGAGCCAAAATCTCGGCATTCTCAAGGATGTTCTGGTGTCTGTATTCCAACGACTCTTTCGAGATGCTCAGTGCCAGTGACTCAATAGCCTCGTCGCAGAATTCGTCTTCGTTGTTGATCGCATCGATAAGCAGGAGAGCCTTGTATGCCGACCCGATAGCAAGATCCGGATATCCGACCTCGACATAGGCCTTCGCAATGCGCAAGTAGAGGTCGATGTTATAGGGGTGTTCGGGCAGGAAGCTGCAGAGCTCATGGAGAGCATTCAAGCGTTTCCTGAGCTCGGGATTGGTGATGTTGGGATAGTGTTCGTCGGTCGACAAGTCCCACTCTCGCGAGAAGAGAGTCGAGCGAGGTGCATAAGGAAGATCATCCGACTCTGAACGGTGATGACCATTCATCTTGCCATTTTTCTCGTTCTTGTAACTGCTGATGGTTGCGTTCAAGCGGGCCATGGCCTCCTCGATCCTGTGGAACGAAAATGCATCCTCGGAAGTCGACATGCTGGGCTGCGTCGTCGCAATGCCTTGCAATAGCTGTATGAAGATTTTTGGTCAAGCATGCATGCAGCTTTGGTCGATTTTTCCTTAGCGCGGAGAACTCCGCAAAAGTCGCGTCGCGTTTTGATTGATTCTTGGCCAACCACGGCGTTCCTCTCTTGCGACAGCAACGTTCACGGTCGAACATGTTCGAACATGGTCACCAATCAGTTGAACACCTCCTGCGTATCCATCAGCGATGGCTGGTTTGCTTCAGAAGTGTCTGAGGCTGCATATAGATTCCAAAAGGCCTCCTGCTTCTTCATCAGCGATGCGTCGCCTTCACAGAATCTCTCCTGCTTCCATCAACGATGTTTTGCCTTCGTGTTGCAGAGCAAGCTGCCATCGTGATGACTCCTTTCTTTGTATTGAACTGTAGCGCCAATAGAATGGTTAAGACACGACTCTAGCGCATATTCTTTGTAAGATACCAGATCGCAAAGATGAATCGGTAGATGAACCATCTGAGCCGAAACGTGTGGTGCAGGTGTCTAACGCCGTACCCAATCGCCGGACGATCGGCCGCTATCGAGTCTTCGAGAAAACAGAGTTCCGTGTTTTTCTTGCAGTAAATGGACAACGTGCCCGCTTTGTCAAATGGCTGCCTCGCACCGGGAGGTATCTCCGTGCTGTATCCTCTCCGGAAGACCGGCTTGGCCGTTTGCACTCAAAGCAGTCTGTCGGTGCTGGTATGCTACAGAAACGCTAGGTACTGTGATAATGGCAGCCGTTTATCAATTACTATGAGCGCTTGATCGAGATAAGAGCACGCAAGAGTCGTGCGCGTCTTCTCTGACTCTCACATCTTGCAGTTTCGTTGGGCTTGACGCCTCTGAGTCGACGAGATACCAATGCGACCAGCCAGCCATCTTTCTTTGAGCTTCCTCATCTCCCAAGCTCGTGCAAGCGAGAGGAAACAAGGCTGTGAAAGCCGAGTCAAGGTTCTTTCAAAAGTCCCTGGGCTAGGCGGAAAGAGGAAAGGCGGACACTCATGGACACCGCGTGCACCAGATGATCGACGATGGCAGTCCACGATCCGGTGTGGGGTCGACAAGTCTCAGTGGAAAAAGCCACATCCGGACTCTGCCAGTGAAAAAGGAAGAAAAGCTTGTTTCAGATCATCTGGCAACTTGAAAACGGGAATCAGAAGTGAAAGAGGAAAAGTGATCTGGTATGAGAAGAGGGTATCTTTGAATTGATCAAAAGGAGCCGCATCCAGTGCGCTCATGCAAGAGGGTATCTAAAACAACAATGCCGGCTGGACAGGAACCAGCCCGAAATGCAAACAAAAACTCCCAAAAATGCTTTCTTTGACCCATCCAGGGTATGCAAAGCTTTGAGCGAACCCATCGTAATTCTGGTAGGAAATATCCAGAACTGCTGTGTGTCGTGAAAAATATTATGCGAACTGCGCATTATAGTGTCGTTATTATCGTGGCGCGCAGGACCATGGAATGGTCTGAGAAAAGTGACCGGTGGTTTGGTCGAAAGGTGAGAAGAATAGTAGGACAGCAGATGAGATCTACTGGCGTTGGAGGTAGCCAGTGATGTTGGCACATCGTAAACAGTAGAAGGAGTTTAGACCATAGGCAACCATGTTAGCGGCCTTGCCTGTCGTAAGGTCGATGCTTTGGGAGCGATGGCAGCGAGAGCATCTAGCGACTTCCATAGGCGAGTGGACAGAGTTTGATGATGAAGAGCTTCCATCTGATTCTGAGGAGTCATCGCTGACAGCGAGAACGTTTTGAAGAGGTTGAGGTTGAGGCCGTCTTGAAGGAGCAATGTGTGCGACCTGAGTTTGGAGTTGCAGAAGAGAATCCATTCTTGAGCGAGTTTGTGTGGTTGAGGGAGATTGCAAGCAAGGTCGATAAGCAAGCAATGGGTTTGATGGATCAGAGACAATGTTTTCACCAGGTGGAGTGAATGGAGTTGTCAAGGGTGTCTCGTCGTTGTGTGAAGAGTACTTGTTGTGTTGGATGGAGAAGTAACAGACGCCTTGGATGGGAGAAGGGGCTGTATTTGAAGTGGACATTGCAAGACAATGGGACGGGAAAACGATCTCAGATGCACGAGTTGGATCGACCAGATGGAGCGGACGCAGCGTGCATTTATTCGGTTTCGAGCAGAGCCGCAAACCATCTCGATGTTCGCCCACTGAATCGTTGATTGGCTTTGGATTCCCTTAGCACGGGCGAGCCTGGGCGCCATGACCGTGCGCCCGCCAACCCTGACTTAGGGCCGTAACCTAAACAAAGCCACCTCGAACAAGGCCAAGGCTGAGCAATACACCTCTCAAACCGGACTAAACTCTCCGCTGCAAGAGATCATGCGATTCGACAACTTGTCGTGGATTTTCAGCCATGGCAAAGGTTCTGCTCCGACTTGCCGGCGGAGTTAAAGAGCGATCGTCCGCATTTCCACCTTCTTACGGATGCCCGTTCCTTGAGGAGCAGGAGTCTCACCACCGACCTCTGAAGGCTGACAAACACTACGGAGGAACAATCAGCCAGCCAAGACCCCGAGGTCGTCCTTCGCAAAGGCCCCACTAACGTTGCCAGAGGTACTGTATGCAGCTGGCCGAGGTCGTCTGTTTACCACTTATTATCACTCTCTGCGTGTCTTCTTGTCTCATTCAAGTTATTGCCGTCTGTCCTTCGAATATTCGACGTTGACCTGAACAAACGACAGTCGTTTCAAGCCTCTTCGATCGGGTAGTCACAGCTGAATTCTAGACTTGAATCCCGTGAAGAAACATCCCTCGGAGAGAATCTCTCCGCAGTTGCGCGCCGTTGCGTCTGCGGGCCTGTCCGGCGCCTTGCACCCAGTCCATCCTGCGCGCTGGGACGCATGCTAGTACAGCTCTGGCATCCCGAGACAGCTTACAGGGACCGTTCTGCTCAGCAGTGCACGAGCGTCAGGCATCCAGCACAAGAGACGCTTGCGTGATTGCCCATATCTCACGCTTTACTCAAGCAGAAACGGTGTTGCACAATCAAGCTTATATTGCTGTCCGATCGAGACGACGAACGCCGAATCGTTGCAACAGAATCCAGAGCAGTCGGGAACATGTGCAAAGGAGAGCTCCACGAACTTCTTGTCGCACTACCCAAATGCGAGCACCACATACACATCGAAGGTGCTCTCACGCCTCACCTTCTCTTCAGATTTGCTGCAAGAAACAAAATAAATCCTGCCTCAGCCGACCATCAAGCATATGCCAACGAAGAGACGCTGCAGGCACGTTATGGGTCCTTCGCTTCCCTATCTGATTTCATACGGTACTTCTCATTCGGCAGCTCCGTTCTCATAACGGCAAATGACTTCGAGGAACTAGGCTATACCTACTTTGCCAAAGCACATGAGCAAAATGTGAAGCATGCAGAGGTCTTCTTCGACCCTCAAGCTCATACCAACCGTGGCATCACATATGATACAGTAGTACAAGGACTGTCACGCGCGAAACAGCGAGCGGAGCAGAACTTCGACATGAGTATTGCATATATCCCATGTATACTACGCCACCACGGCCTGCAGAGCGCGACAAGGATGTTCCAAGATGTCGTAGACGCCGGTCACTTTGAAAAGGGTACTGTTGCTGGGCTAGGTATGGCTGGCGATGAACTTAAACACCCACCCGAGTACTTCAAGACCGTATTCAACGCTGCAAGGACAGCCGGGGTACGCTGCACAGCACATGTAGGCCAGGCGGGTCCTGCGACATTCGTGTCGTCTGCGCTTGAACATCTCAGGACTGAAAGAGTTGATCATGCATGGATTGCGAAGACGGATGATCAGTTGATGCAAAGGCTTGCCGAGACAAACACGCTCATTACTCTTTGCCCAATTTCGAATGTTACGCTTGGCTTCATAGGCAGCATCGCAGAGGCACCTATCCGGGACTTCCTTGACCATGGTGTCCGGTTCAGCATCAACAGCGATGACCCGGCATACTTCGGACAGTACATCCAGGAAAATTATTGCGCTGTTCAGGAGGCTTTCGAACTGAATGTATCTGATTGGAAGAAGATTGCGACAAATGCTGTAGAAGGATCCTGGTGTTCAGACGAGCGCAAAAAGATTCTCAAACAACAGGTTGCTGCGGTGATCTCACGCTGGCAGGCTGCACGAGATGCATAGCTGGGCCAGGCATCCGCGAACTACGCTCAGAGTAACCGTTGTCATCGCCGCACTGCCCAAACAGGCAATTTTACGATACTGTATGTACGTATCTGGGCTGTTCATGCCCATGGACTTCTCGGCCAGACACTCGCCGTTCCACGTCGGCCGTAGCTGACAGCCGGTAACACACATAACCGTGTTCTTCTGCAAGCCATTCGTGTTGCGCAGCACAGTTCGTAATGCGCATGATCTATTTTATCTCCGTTCACGTTTTTAGCTCCCAGGCACAACCTGCTGCAGCGCCGTCCGTTGTTCCCGACTTCAAGGTGTGAAGTTCTGGACCGCTCGAATTTACCGACAAGACCCTTTTGTGCTTCGTTGCGTGTTCGCGATTTCACTCTTCTGCTAAAAAGTCAACACTCAGGAGGCGTGTTCTCCTGTATCTTCATCGCAAGGGGAGGCTAAGCTGCAATAGGCTACGAGGACAATCAATGTGTTGCTGTCAAAGTTTGCCATGAAAGGCTGTCGCATGCATCTTTCGTTGTTGTCAACAAAGTTGTTGGGCTGGGCACGCTGGGTTCAAAGGCGGGGTACGCGGCTTGGCCAGACTTTTGTCGAACTTTGTCCGTTTCATGTCAGAAAGGGACCGTTTCGAGTCCTAGAACCCTTTGCGACTTGAATGGTCTCCTGAAGACAATCAAATGATTGAAGAAAAGGTCTCGAGTATCTACAATCAGATTAAAGTGGCTTTTGCTCTCTCCGCTATCTACAAGCGTCTGTGGAGCAGATAGGCTGTCAAGTTCTAGAACTGATTGGGCGTTCTCTAGATACTCTCGCCAAAAGCGAGGCGTTCGCGGACAAACTCGTCAAGCCCCTAGATTTGATCGTACCACCAACCACCACAAGCCAAGAGGTCGTAAGAGCACGATTGCCAGCTTCCCTTATCCATCTATCGCGGACACAGGCATCTACTCCAGTCAACCACCCTTATCTGATGTGAGCGAGGCTGATTCGTAATCTCGAAAAGTGTTTCGTCGCTGCCTGATTCGCAAGCATGAAACACGTAATGCCGAACGCTCTCAGGGCGACTCTCATCTCCTTTGATACCTGTCAAGAAGACCGGCTTCCGGCAATTGTGTTGGTCAGACACGACGTCCGTCTCGGTGGATTTTCCTGCGCCTGAGTGCGTACGCCTTGAGGGACTTGACAGCTGAAGGCGTGCTGTGCCACCACCATTCTTCATCCTTCATCCTTTGAGCCCCAACCACCTGTTGCAAAGTGCAAGATGTGGAACACTCGGCAGGTTGTTCAGTCCCGCACCCTTGTCTGACCTTCGCGTCGCCGCGAGGTATGGCGAGGAAGGCTCCGACTAGGACGCTGTGGACTGATTCAGCAAATCGATTGTCTGTTAGCGACGATACGTCCGCGAGTACCCACCGGTCACAGGAGACACATCAGACCCTGAGTATCCACAGTGTCGCGACTGAAAGCTGCATGCCACGTGTCATGAAATTCGCGACACAACACGTAATACGTTTGGAGGTTGCTTGATGAGAAAGTGTGTTGCCTGTCACAGCCTCAATTCTCGGGAGCATGCCGTGCCGTCGACAGTATCGAATCTGTGTTCACGTCAAGACTGAGACTTTGACCTTACCAGGCTGCGACAAATGCTTGATTTATTGTTCCGGGTGCTTGACCTCGAGGCAGTGCTTGCCATCAAGAAGTGTCGCTTTTGCTACAGCATTGGTCGTATTGGCCTTGATTCCCATGCGCAAAGTGTTTGCTTCCAATCGTCCTCCGGAAGATTGGAAGCACCTCTTTAAGCTGTAGAGGTAATTCGGAGACATTTAGGGCTATCCTGACAACGTGATTCACAGGACTACTACCGCTGTAAAGTTGCGGTACCGCAAGTTTTGCCGACAATGTTGACCAGCTGGTCCACTTCGCAAAGCTCAACATGGCATACAGGCTTTGCTCGCTTTCAGATATATAGAGGTAGAACTACCCAACAATACTGTAGATGCTCAGAAGACTGTATGATGATAAGTGGTGGACGGGTGGAGATGATAACAGGTTCGACGCAGTAGCTTCCCATGTAGCTCTCTTCTCAAGCGTGCTCACAGTGACTTGAGATCACTTAATCCTGCAGCACTGGAAGATCAATCGTAAATACAAAATGTTACAATTGCCTATACGAGAGAAGACTTGCTAATCTATGTCAATATGAAGGTGAATGCTTGATAACGGCTGTCGTCAGATTCAGTCGTATATCAGAACCCAATGCATATGCGGACGATGATGAAAACATCAAAGGATAATGACTAGCACGTCGTAAAGGGTCACAGTGCAGCAAGCAATGTCTGATGTTACATTTTTCGAGGCCGGCTGTCTAGTGAGACTAAGGTTTCAGACACCGGACAAAGCTCGCAGGTACTGATTGATTGGCACGGCCATGCGGGTAGCACGCAACTTGAGTGGAATTTATATTGGGAAGATTTGGACGGTGGACACGATTTGGCCTGGCTCAAGACAGCATTGTTCAAGACAGCATTGAGGCTCACTTAGAGTTGAGGGCCAGCGAGGGCGACACGTGAAGAACAGAAAGTTCGAAGTATGACGCCGTTGACAGACGGAAGTTGGCTCCGAGGAGGGATTCTCATTCCCGTGTCGAGGGGGCTTGACAGCAGACGCACTCGACAGGTGGTGTGCAAGAGTCGGTCAAGTTGATAGATTGTCAGACACTCTGGTCTTCGATTGAGTTGCCCTCGGTCATAGGTACAGGTTTGGCATTGGCTAATGGAGACGGCAGAATGTCGTAGAAGAGGTGATGATATTGCCGGGCATGCCAAGACTGTTAAGTGCCCCACGTCGGAAGATTGGAAGGCGCTCGTCATCGGCAAAGAAGTGGTTTATCTGATAAGTGTCGCTGTACCTGGTCACCTCACCGTCACTCACCTCGCACCACCACCAGTCCCTACCCTGACCTCCCAGCTCCGCTACCACATAATCAAACAATCTGCCTCTCGGCGACCACCTCCGTCACAAAACATCATCCACCATGGGCAAGTCTCCCAACGTCTACAGCTTCCCCGGCGTTGCCGAGCTGGCTCCCACTCTGCGCCAGTACGTTCTCGCGCAACAACAGGCCTCCTTTGAGCGCCACGGTACCTTCAGAGTCGCTGTCTCAGGAGGCTCTCTGCCCAAGACCCTCGCCCAGGCTCTTCTCACCAAGGGCGACGGTACNCCCGCCGACACGGTCGACTTTTCCAAGTGGGAAATCTTCTTCGCCGACGAGCGCTGCGTGCCGCTGGATCATGAAGACAGCAACTACAAGTTGCTCAAGGACGAGCTGCTGGACAAGATCGACAAGGAAGCCTTTGGCGAGCCCAAGGTCTTTCCCATCGAGGAGAAGTACCTCGACGACGCCCAAGAGTGCGCGGACCAGTATGAGAAGCAACTCGTCTCTGTCTTCGCCGCCCGCGACTCGGTCAAGCTGCCCCTCTTCGATCTTCTCCTCCTCGGCTGCGGCCCCGATGGCCACACTTGCTCGCTGTTCCCCGAGCACCCTCTGCTGCGCGAGTCCGACGCTTGGGTCCTGAGCATCTCCGACTCGCCCAAGCCCCCGCCGAAGCGCATCACTCTGAGCTTGCCTGTTGTTCTCCATGGCGCAAAGATTGCCTTTGTGGCCACCGGTGCCGGCAAGAAGGACATCTTCAAGAAAATCTTCGAGACCGAGGAGGGCCGCGCTCTGCCATGCGGTCTGGTCAACGAGGGCGCCGGCGACAAGGTCAGCTGGTTCACCGACAACGCCGCCCTCGAAGGCGTTAGCGTGCCCCGCAGAGGCAGCCTCTAGAGCCCTTCCCTCTCTACCCCTCCCACGGAATTGATTTCCTTGGTCGAGAATTGACTGCACTTTTTACTCCTGGAGTGTGTGTGACTGGATCACCCCCACCTGCCCATCTCTCGAAACCCGATATGAATGTATGAAGGACCTGGGACTCGGGATTTGATATCCATCAAGCAAAGCAACAAAGTTATAGAAGAGTTGCACGAAGAAGAAAAAACAACACAAAAACATATCACATAAATCCTGTCATCGTCGCACCACTTTAGCGTTTTATACCACAAGAGAGATTCAATTTATCGTTCAACTTTGTTCGATTCAGAGAACCCTGATTCTTGCGTAGACTCTTTCCGTTTGACCTCACTCGATTCGAAAGGATGTAGGATACTATTGTGCATCTTGTGGTATCTATATGTTGTCATCATGGCATCGAGTCGTCGTATGCAAAACCCCACGCTCAATCTTTGTACTAATGCTTCTCTTCTTTGCCGTGTGTGCATGCTATCAATCATGCTCTTCCTCTGTCAACCCAGGACAACCCTCCATGCTCTCATCAGCATACCTATACTTGCACCAAAAGCAATAATGATAAGTGTCATTCAGATACGCCACCAATTTCTCAAGTCTGTCTCCCACTGGAAGTGCGTTGAACTCTTCCAATTCTGTGTCTTGCTCGTCTTCCAATTCTTCGATTCCGGTGCCTAGGGCGAGTTTGTCGTCTGCATCTGCTTCATCGTCATCCCATCTTGAAGACAACGAATCCAACGCTCCTTTTCTGAGCACCTTGTCCTTGTCTCTCTGTTGTCTCTGCAGTGCCAGATTTCGCCATAGCAAGTTTACTTTCCTCGGATCTTGTTGTATTGACTTTTTCTTTCCCTCTTTTTCTGCCTCTTCCTCGGTATCGAGTTTCTCACACACCTTCATGGCACCCCAATACATGCCTTCTTGTCTCTTTTCCTCTCTTTCTGCAGCAACACGTTCGCGATATTCGCCTTCTTCGGCTTTCTGTCTCTTTTCTTTGCCTTGGAGTGATTCCATGTGTTCGCGTATCTTCCTTTTCTTCTCATTGTCCATGCCTATGCCTCCTTTGCCTTCTTTCATCGATATTTCTATTGGTTCTGTGCGTGCATCTGCTGTCTTGCCGAGTGCGCCGCCTTTGAAAACCCATGCGGGCCATCATTTGTGCGCCTTTTGAGGTTGGATTGAGGGAAGAGGTTGCGAGGGCGGTTTCGCGGGCGAGGTCGGCTTCTGCTTCTAGCTCTTTTTTGTCTTTGGTCGTGACTTTAGGGATGCGAGGCGTCGGCGTTCTTGGGTGCGTTGGAGAGAGGTTTTTGGTAAGGTGGGGGTGGGGTCGGCGAACGACATGGACATGTAGTCGTCTTCGGCGTCACTCATTGTTGCGGGGAGATGAGCGGGTTTGGTAGAGTGTGTTGCTGGCTTGGGTGTATAGACTAGACGAAGTTTCCGATTTGGAGTGGTCGAATGGGTGTGGGTTGGTAGTCGGTGTGAGGTTGAGGATGAAGATTGCCGGTTGGTGGTAGTGTTGTTGATGTAGGGAGATGGATTGCTGGCGACGACTGTGACTGCCTTGTGGTATGGAGAAATGTGTTTGTTTGAAGGTAGCGAGTTCTTGACGCTGGTCGCAAAGTGCTCGATTAGGAATGTACTAACCTGTGCTTTTGTGCAGACTTTCACAAAAGGTTGCACAGTTATGAACAAGCTATTGTTGCCTGATACTACTATATATCCTACTTTCCATCGTTGATTTCTTCTTTCTCCCTCTTGCCATTATCAGATAAGCCCTTACACACATCTCTACTTTCAGATAATGATACTCAGATCCGGACTCGTAACCTCACACCCAACACCCCCAACACCCCCAGCAATTCCGGCAATTCCAGCAATCCCAGCACCTACATCACAACCTCGCAACCCAACACCCCAAGCACAAAACACACCTACTTTCTACCCTTCCCTCTCTGCAACTATCGAACCTCACATCAAGTCCCGCATCCTCGCCCGCTGCAAAGGCAGAAACAAACACATCTTCACCTACCCACGCTCCCTCTTCTGCTCCTCCCTCCCAGCATCCACACCAAGTCTGCTCTCCTCCCTACCCATGGAGTTGATCTACAGAACCCTCTCCTTCATGCTCCCCTTCGAGTATGCAAACCTTTCTCGTTGCTGCCGCTGGACACTGCAGATCACGAACCGAGCAGTAGAGTCAGAGGAGCGTGGACTAGCAACCGAGTTTCCAATGTTTGTCAGCTATACGAGCATCTGCAAGGCGATACAGAAGGAGATGATAGATTCTATCTGCGAAGAAGAGGTGAGCTGTGGTGGTGGGATGTTGCCGCTGCCGGAGGAGGATCAGGAGGATCTATAAAGACTGGAAGACCATCACTTGGGATGAGGGCAGAGGGAGAAATAAGAGTGAAATAATGGAAAACGCAATCCATATCTGATATTGAGCCAAGGGGGTATATATATATATGCCTTTTGCCTTTGTGTTTCCTTTCCTATACCCATTAACGCCGTGCTCGCTGCTACCCACCCTAAAAGAAAAGAAGAAAATATAAGTAACAAGCAACCCAAAGACCACCACACCATCATCCCTCATCATCCAAAGCACCACCCCAAGACCACTCAAACAACCTCGAGCCTTGACAAGCTATCAACGTCGGTCTCCCATCATGCGTCTTCAAAAACCTAAGTCGATGAATCCTGCCCATGTCCTTGCGCGGATTGGCTCCTTGCAATGTGCCCATCAACTTCCCACTACACAGTGAATGCAATTGAATTACATTGTCATCGTCAGAAGTAGCCAACAGATTTGCATCAGCAAGCACATCCATGGCTTGCGTTGGAAACTCTGTTTTTGTGGGTGCGACGCGCAAAAGGGCTGGAGATGGAGAAGCAGAGTTTTTGGGTGTGGAAATCATGCGTGTGTCGTAGATTGATGTGGAAGAAAAGCCGGAGACGAGAACGCGGGAGCCGTCGTGGAGGCTGCGGACACCGGTTACGCCGCTGCTGTGCTTGAAGCGTAGAGAGGAGCCTTGAGCTCGTGCGTCCCAGAGGTATACGGGCCCTGACTTTGTGCCTCCGACAGCCACATCAGGCGTCAGCCAGTCGATTGAGCGTATGTCTTCGTTAAGTGGATGGTGTTGCAGAGGATCCCCGTNTGAGCTCATCATGTACACTCCCTCACTGCTGCCGATAGCAATGACATCCCTCGCCGAACCCGCGGGACATGGACTCGCTATCCAAAGTGCCGTTTCTGCTTTGCCCAGCATCGAGTAACTCGGCGCCGGCGAATCCAAGATAGGTGGTCCTCCTTCCGTATCGATACTGCCCGCCATTCCTGCCACAAATACATTGCCAGGATGTGCTCTGTCATAGCTCGTCGCCACTAGCGTCCTTGATGCCGAAACCGCCACACTACTGATATCTGACCGAAACGCCGCAATATCATACGCATTACTCTGCTGTCCACCAATAAACTGCACCCTCCCAAAATTCCTGCTCCCCAACGCCATCAAAATCGCATCCAGTTCCTCGTCAATGAAAAAGTCATGAATGTTGTCGCGTTTACCGCAACTTTCGCAACTCTTGAGGGATAACGTTTCGTAGCCGGAGAATTGTGAGCAGAGGGCAGAGATGCGGGATTCGTAGGCGGAGAAGTGGGAGCTGCCTTGTTCGCGCCAGAGACCTATGCCGGCGGAAGATGGTGAAGAGAGGATTTTGGAGCGACGCACGGTTTGTGTTTCGCGTTTTTNTTGGTGGGCGGCGGAGCGTTTGCGTTTCTGTGAGAGTATGTGTTAGTTTTGCAAGTTTTCGATGGCGAAGTTTTTCTTGTTTGAGCTGCATGAGTAGGCCATGGTGTTCAAGATACCAAGGTTGTTGATCAAGGTATTACGATCGGATGTAATCCGCTGGAGTTCCCATCGAGGGCAGTTGTGGATCCAGAGTCCAGTGCTGACCGACTTGATCCCTAGATGTCCAGATATGTAAAGTCGCTGAGACTCAAGAGTAGTCCCATGCGATCCAGAAGATGCTTCAAGCTTTTCCTCGATATCATCTAGATACGACGAAACACAAAACTTACTCTAGACAATTCCTTCTCCTTCTTCACATTCTCATGCGAGTACTTTGCTCCCGGCGGTGCTACATGATTCGCCTGCACTTTGAAGTACTTGCCCTTCTCAGCATCTATGATAAGAAACTGTCAGATTTGTGTTCTTTCGCCATCAAAAGACTGGTCCTCAGGGGTTGGGTTCAGCAGCACCCACCATAGTAGAATCCGGGAATCTCTCTTTGTGCCATTTCCAAGTGATGGCGATGGTTAGAATGAAGGATGGAGTGAGGAAGTGCAAGCAATGCAGATTGTGGGTCTCGGCGCAAGCGTCATTTCTACGTGCTGAGGCGTGCAGCGGGTCGGCCCGTGCTCCCGAAGGTTTGAGATGCTTGGTGATCTATGCTCACGATGTACTCTAGAAGACATGCGAACAGTATCAAAGACAACTTTGTGATTGAGAGAGCATTCGAGTCTAGATTGAAGACAGCGGTGGTCTTACGATCAGAGTCAGAATGCAACAGCATGATATTTGCCTACGTGTGGTAAAAAAGAAGGGGTATCAGGGTAACACATGAAAAGCAGCAAAGCGACCATTATAACAAAAGAAAAAGAGGAGAGAAGTGCATCTCCAAACCTCTTATCTGCGCCAAATGCTGTAACCTCCTCGATAAAGCCACCAGGTTAAAATATGTCCGGAACGCCTTGCAGACCAAACTCCTTATTATGCTTCCCCCGTTGCTCAGAGTATGAGAATGTAAAGCAATGTTTTTGCCTAGAGTCCAAGCTTCATCTCGTATTTGAGTCCTTTGCTGACACACCATTCTCTCAGCAATGCGTATCCAATTCTGACTGCAATGAGAGGCTCGGTGTCCATGCCGAGCGGTAGAGTAATGTCCCCAGTGTATCGACCAATCTTGACGTCGTCCTCAGCTCCTGTAGCTGGGGCATTGCTGTTCATGGCCTTCTTCCAGGTCTTCGGGAAAGTAGACATGACCATTGACAAAGGCAACTTCGAGGTGCCTTCTTTGGAAGCCTTGAGACCTGCTGATGCGGCATTGTGAAGTGTACGCGCTTCCTCAGGCGTCATATCCTGCGATCGTTCGCGTATTGTCGTTAACCGCACCATAATCATGGCGTTGCATACAGCACTTAGATGGCATGCCACACCATCGAGAGCCGGGAAGTACTGGCAGCGTGTGCGGACAAAATTGAGAAATGCTGGGATGGTACCCCAAGTGCGCCCACCGTCCAAAGGAGCAGGAGGGTTGCGGACGGCAAGACCACGGTCAGAGCAGTAGAATGAAAGCATGAACAACAAAAAGGACTCGAGGGACATGGCAGCTGCATTTTCGCGAGATCGTGAATCGGCGTGACCGCTATTGGTGTTTGGCTTGTCCAGGTCTGAGGCGGCATGCTTCAGTTCACGGCCCAACTTTCCTAATCGTGCTGCTTCGACATCCCAAGCCTTTGACTCGGCCGTCTTGACGTGACCAGACGAGGGAGAAGGTTTGGTGATACCATTGAGTTGGCGCGAAGATTGCGGTGTGCCATTCACCATGCTGTCTGTCGACTCAACACGCTTCATAGCAGCAGAGGCACGCAGATCTTTGGTGCCGTTGCGCGCGATGGGTGTAGCCTTTTGCGCCGCGGGAGTGACAGGCAAGGGCGTACTGGGTTCCTGCTTGACGTTCGACGGCTCCGTTTTGAGAACCTTCTTGCGTTTCGACTCAGGGAGTGGAGTATCTTCCTCTGCCGGACGAGGTCTTTTGGTTGCTTGCGGTGTGGCTTGTACTGGAGCTGGGGGTTTTTCTGGAGGTAATACACGAATGACTTGAGTTTGTGGTTGTGGCTTCATTTGTAGATATCGACAGAGGTTCTTGCGCATGCTCTTGGGGATCTTGAACTTAACGATAAGCGATGGACGCGCAGTATCTTGATCCTCGTCTTCTTGAGGTGAGTCGCGTGTTTTGTGTTCAGGAATGTTTGTCGGATGCTTGCGCGACTTTTCGGCAGCCGGCGGTAGCGGGGAGGGGAGGCATTTCGAGGCATGCTTTTGGCGTGAAGATTGGTATGGCTTCGCATCCAGAGAGGCGATGATGCTCGGAGGAAGAGTGGGAGATATCAGGCGAGGAGGTAGGAGTGATTGCTTCGGCGGCTTTTGACGTGGTGAAGGTCTTGGTTGTTGTGATTGTTGTGACTGGTCACGTAGTGGGGACAGCATGCGCGGTAGGTTGGCAGAGTCGCGCGACTTGAGCGATTGTGAAGAAGTCGACTCGGACTCAGTCTTGTTGTGGTGGTTGAGGGTGGAGTCTGGCTGTGTCTTTTTGTTGGCATAAGCAGCCAGGCTGATCTTCTTCTTGGGGAGCATGCTAGGAGTGCTCTGGGTGCTGCTCTCCTTTTCGCGTGGCTGTGAAGAGACGGAGACATTGTCCTTTTGGTAGTGAGAGTTGCGATGCAACTGAAAGACGTCCGAGAGGGGCTCGTGGTAGTAGAATGTCTGGTATTGTTGGTTGGGGTCGTCGTCGGAGCGAAACGGAGTGCCAGTGCGCCACATCTGGCTCGAGTGATGGGAATGGTGGTGGTACTTGGGCTCGTCCTGAGGGATGCTCAGCACGTAGGGCTCGTCTGGCGTGACGGCGCGCATACGGTCGATTGCGGCATCGATGCGCCGGAGGAGGTCGCGCTCCCGTTCGGGGAGAGATGCAGCCATGGTGCCAATCTAGCTGTGGTGTGCTCCTGTCAGACCATCTTTCGTTGGATGCATTGAGAGATGTGGAAGCCGGATGGCGCATCGGTAGGGACGATAGGGACGACAATCGGCAGCGCTACACGCGGCTCGCCGCGCCTCCCGCCTGTGGGGCACAACGTCGACGAAGCAACTCTCTCCCGTCGCTCGTTCTTTTCAGCCTCGCCCTTCTACTTTGTGTCCATCTCTCTTTGTCTGGTGCTGCATTTAACCGCCAGCACGAGTAAAACACACAGCGTTCGCCAGCATGCAATTAGTCCTTCGATACAGCCTAATGTGCTTCCCATGTTCCCGATTATGCGCTACACCTTGAGTCTGTTCTAGCTCCTCCCCATGTACTAAAGCATGTAACGCGTGTAGCTATCGAGATGCACAATAATCTCGAGAAGCATGGCAGCGCCCACTGAAAGACAAACTTGCATCAGCTCTCTATGGCTATACCTTTGATCTCCGAAGACACTGTGCCTTTCTATAGTTCAAAAGTGCCCCTATGTTGCAGTGGGAGCAGGCAAGGTAATACACTTTTGTATACGGGGAGGCTTTATGACCTTGTCTATTCGTTTGCGGCAGGTCGCACTCTTTCTGCTCATTTCCTTTTGAGACGTGAAGACATGTAGCAGCATAATGTCTGGACCGAGGCTCCATCCTATATCGACCGAACATCATAAAGCATCATTGTTCCTATTTTAATGCAGATACTGGATGGATGTCTAATAATGATAGTTGCTCCAAGGTGACAGGTGCGGGCAGAAGTCGAGGGGCAGGCTGCATCAGGCAGTTGCGGAGTTGGCCACTCACCGCCTTTGGACTTTGTGTGTGCGCGCAGGCCGTAACATCAGCACAGCGAAACACTAAAGACAAATCAACAAACCCCGCCACCACTACCCACCTCTCTCACTCGATCTACGTCGCAAACTGTGTGTTCCACTACACTACAGCTGTCTGCTCCCGTAAAACCCTTTTCTCTTACTGGTGGCGAGCATGGATGCTCAGGCAAGTGCGAGCCCACGTGCCTGGCCAATTTTGACTGACTCCCAGCAGGTCGAGAGCGCCATCCAGATTGCCTTTGACCCCCGGGCCGACCAGAACCTCAAAGCCCAGGCCTATGAGTTTCTGCAGCAACTGCGCGACGATGCTTCGGGCTGGCAAGTCTGCTTAGCCCTCTTCACTCGCGATGCCCCACCGGACGAAGTCGTGCGCCATGTCTGCCTCGAGCTGGTCAGCCATGCTGTTCAGACAGGCCGCCTGGACGAGCAGAGTCTGTCATATATCAAAGACCAGCTTATGACATACATCCACCAAACCTTTGCGAACCAAGCAAACCGTATCGACTCGCCCAGCATCCAGAACAAACTCACGCAAACCATCACCTACCTCTTCACCTCGCTCTACGCCTCTGCCTGGACGACCTTCTTCGATGACTTCAGGTCACTAGCTGGCGATGCAAACACAGTTGGCTCTGACAACCCCCAAGGAACCATTCTATACCTCCGCATCATCAACTCGATCCACGACGAAATCGCCGACGTCCTGATCCCTCGCACCCCGGAAGAGCTCAAGCGCAATGCCGATCTCAAAGACTATGTTCGCTCGCGCGACGCTCAGAACATCTCAGCCTTCTGGCAGCAGGTGCTCTCGAGGTGGAGACAGATTGATCTTGGGATCGTCGAGTTGTGCCTTCGCTGCGTCGCACGCTGGGTCAGCTGGATTGACATCTCGCTCGTTGTGAACGAGACTATGCTGAACTTTCTACTCGAGATTGCAGGACAACCAGATATTTCTTCGGCCGAGAGCCCTCAAGCAAAGATTCGCGATGCTGCTATCGACACCTTCACCGAGATCGTGGCCAAGAAGATGCCTAGCCAGGACAAGATTCAGCTGATCTCGTACCTCAACCTCGCCAATGTCGCCGGCCAGCTTGTCGCTAGCTCTGCTCTTAACCAGTCCAGAGGTACCTCCAACTACGATAACGACCTCGGCGAAACCGTGGCCAAGCTTGTCAACAATGTCGTTTTCGACGTCGTCAAAGTCCTCGACTCGGAAGGTCTCGATGCAAACACGGCTGCCCAGGCCGACGAGTTGCTTCAGCTGTTCGTTCCATACCTGTTGCGTTTCTTCTCGGACGAATACGACGAAATCTGCTCCGCTGTCATTCCCTCGCTCACCGATCTGCTCACGCTCTTCCGTGTCTCGTCCAAGCGCGGAGCCCTCCCCGACCAATACCGCGCCATGCTGCAACCTATCCTCGACACGATTATCCTCAAAATGAAGTATGATGAGACGGCGGATTGGGGTGCTGAGAGTGATCAGACAGATGAGGCCGAGTTTCAAGAGTTGCGCAGGAGGTTACACGTCCTTCAACAAGCTGTGGCTGCCGTCGACGAGAACATGTACATGGAAACTCTGAGCAGAGTCGTTGCTACGACCTTCAACAGAATCTCGTCAGACAACAAGCCCAACTGGAGGGACTTGGATCTGGCTTTGTACGAAATGTACCTTTTCGGTGAACTGGCCGTCAAGAATGGCGGTCTCTATCAGAAGAGCTCGCCCTCTAGCACTGCATCTCAGCACCTTATTGAAATGATGGCCAAGCTAGTCGAGTCTGACATTGCCTCGTACCCTCACCCTGCGGTCCAGCTGCAGTACATGGAGATTTGCGTGAGATACTGCACATTCTTCGAGCACTCTACGGAAAGCATTCCCCGTGTTCTCGAAAACTTTGTCCGCTTCGTCCACAGCGACCACATCAAGGTCAAAACTCGCTCATGGTATCTCTTCTTCCGTTTCGTCAAGCAACTTCGCAGCCAACTTGGCAATGTTGCTCAAACCGTCATCGAGACTGTCGCCGATCTCCTCACCATTCAGGCCGAGGTACCGAAGGAGAGCGACGATGATGACATGTCATCTGAAGAGAACGACCAGTCCGCAGACGCCATCTTCACCAGCCAACTCTACCTCTTTGAAGCCGTTGGAGCGATTGCCTCTACGACCTCGGTCCCACTGGAAACCCGCATGCTCTATGCCCGTACTCTTGTCAGCCCATTGATTGCAGATCTGGAACGTCACATTCCCGTAGCCAAAAATGGTGATGAGCGAGCAATCATGCAGGTCCACCACATCACCAAGGCAGTGGGTACCTTGGCGAAAGGTTTCTGTGACTGGATGCCTGGCAATACCTCTGGCGCACCTCCTCCTTCCGAGCTGGCCAATGAGTTCTCACCAGCTGGTGAAGCTGTTTTGACCGCGCTTGAAAGTCTCAAGAACTCTATGCTCATTCGTACTGGTGCACGCTTTGCTTTCTCACGCATGCTGGGTGTACTAGGCTCTGTCATCTTGCAAAAGCTACCCAGATGGATTGACGGTTTGCTCTCGCAGTCTTCCACTAAGGATGAGATGGCTACATTCCTGAGACTCCTAGATCAAGTGGTCTTTGGCTTCAAGACTGAGATCATCGAGATTCTTGATCAACTGCTCACTCCACTTCTGCAGAGAGTTCTTGCGGGTCTCTCAGAGCCTACTACCGGCACTGACGACGCTATTCAGCTTGGTGAACTGAAGATGCAGTACCTGCAATTTATCCTTGTGATCTTGAACAATGACTTGGCGCCTGTTCTTGTCAGCAGCGCCAATCAGCAGACCTTCGAAACCATTCTCACAACACTGGAACACTTCTGCCGCGATACCTCTGATTATCCTACTGCTCGTCTTTCTCTTGCCGTCTTGACCAAGATGACACAGGTGTGGGGTGGCCCAGACCTCACCATCCCCATCCCCGCAGGCGCTGCTCAAGCTGCTGCACCAACGGTCCCGGGCTTCGACACTTTCATCATGTCACGCTTCTCGCCTCTCACCTGGGCTCTTATCTCACAACCATCTTTCCAACCAAAGGACGCCCAAGCACGCAGTTACCTCACAGAAGCCGCCACCTTGCAATGGACTATCCTCCGCAAGTGTGGGGCAGCATACGAGACCCATCTGCGTGATTCTGAGATGTCTGGACTTGGTCTCCAAGGACCAATCATTGACGAATACATCAAGCATCTCGAAGCCAAGGACAAGCTCGATTTCAAAAAGTTTTTCATTCAATTCGTGCAGCAAGTTAGGTCATGAGAAGGAAAAGGAACATAACTGAGCGTTTTTGCAAGTCATTACATGGATTGCATGGAGAAGTAGAGTTTCCTTTTTGTCTGTTTTCCATATGCTTGCTCCTCTCCCACGATTGAAGATACCCTCCTGACTGAAAGAAAGAATCAAAAGATCTTGCAACTTCTCATTCCATCTTATCTCCTCTTCAAGAAGTGACAGCGTGAACACCTTGTCGGTGCATAAATGCAGAACGATATAACACAAGGGAGTGTTTCTGGAGAACTCTAGAAGACCATGTTTTCTATTGATTCCCAACGCGACATCTCAAGTCGAGACAACACTATGTTCTGTATCGTTCTTCTCGTGCCCGGAACCCGTCAGTGGAAGACTACAACACGCCCCAGTACCATCTAGAAACCCAGTCCGATCTACACAACCCTCTTCCTTCCTTCTTTCCCTCCTCTACTCACACCAACCAACCAGTACCCTCACAACCCCACAAAACACCAAGACAATGTCGACCATCCGCCCCGTCCCCTCCTCAAACGACCCCTCGCCAACCACACCATCATCCCACACTACCTACCGTCCCTCCACCCCCTCTCCCTCACGCTCCCACACCAGCACCCCCACCACCATCGCCACTCTGACTCCTGAGGGCCATCACCGTGCTGTTCCTGCTTCTCGATCTAAGGCTCGCGAACCTGTGCCTTTGCATCCTTATCAGAGATGTTGTCAGCCTAAGGATGGTGGTGAGCAAGGTGAGCAAGGTCAGGTACCAGGATCTCAGAATTGGATTGAGGTCAAGAGGGTTTGGTGGAAGAGAGTCTGGAGTTGTATTTGGGGGTGAGGGTTTCGTTGATGGGATGCGGGAAGAACAACCAAAGGTGAGGAGTGCTGGTTTTGTGGGAATTGAGACATTTGTTGATGTGGATGATACGGGACTCGACACCCATATGCTTTGGAAGAAGATGTTGGTGGCTCTGGCTGGTGACGCTATGAGTGATAGTCACTTATCGTAAGTTCACGATGCATACAACTCTTTGAGTCGCTCGCTGACCAGATGTTCGGAACAGATAGAAGCAAGTCATGGGATAAAGACACAAATGGCTTGTGCTTACCACAACCCACGCAAGGAATCTCTTGTTTCTTTCTTTCTGTGTGTCAGGTGTTTCGTTGGACAGACATATTGATTCAAACGATAACACGATCAAGGGCACATCACACTAGACTGAGCAAAACTTGGAGAGTCCGCTAGTAAACATCGAGCCAAATGGGCTTTGGTGAGTATTGTGAGATGAATTTTGGAGCCTATCAGACAACACATTCATTAGTAGTATTGATTCTTCTTTTGGCCGTTTTGGGAGTCACAAAAACCTTCATCGATAAGCATGTATGCAACAAGCGCCTGTTGAAATGTGGTCGTCCCGAGATTTCCGTCATCTACTCTGTGATTGATTCCCGGAACTTCTTCTCTTGCATGGGTTTGTATCGTAAAGGCTCAATGGTGATATTGATGGTTGTTGACTGTACAGATTTGATCTATTATACACGCTGGTATTGTCCTCTCTGGCGTCGCTTAAACAACCGTATAAACAAGTATCCAAACACTGCCAGCGACATGGCTACAAGACCACTCCCAAGTATCAGAGGCACGTCCTCAACAACCGTCAGCGAAAACTTGGTTACCTTGTTCTGATGCTTTGCCCCCATTCCAGTAGAAGCATCATCAACCTCTGCAGAGTTCTTACTCGCTGCCTCTCCCTCGTCAACTGCACAAACATCGTCCTCGGTACAGACCTTCCCATCTGTCCAGCTCTCCGGCACCTCTGAAGCAACAACAACGGATCTTCCCATGATCTCTCCATCGCTCCCTACAGCTTCAACGTACACAAATCTGATATACCCTTTCGTCATATAGGTAGTCTCAAACTCCGTCTTCTCCACTGTCACAAGCAATGAAAAGCTCCCAGAGATATTTCTAGCACCACCCCAAAGATTCCAGGATACAACATTTGTAGCACCGTTCCAACTGAAATAGTGGAACGTATCAGAGGAAGCGGCGGAAGAACCATATATCATGGATCTTATGAGTGGTGGTGTATGTGGTCTTCCCACAAAAGCGGCCTTATAGCTGCGATAAGTACTCATCTTTCCATCCGAGAATTTCGCCGTCATCAGAGGAGAACCAGAAGCAGTAAACTCAGATATTTGCCCATGAGTGGCCCAATCAATGAACACATTATCGTTAGGCAGTGTTTGCATATTCCNCCTTGCGATCGAGATCTCATGGTCTGGATGCTCATAGCTGTGGAGTAGTTTCGTGGTCATCGGGGAGGAAGTAGTGTTGATCTCGAGCACAACACCAAGACTCCAGTTTCCTGTTGTTTTTAGGGGGTCACTGATGCCCACGCCTGCATTATCGAAAAATGAGAGGATGGTTGTGGAGGCATTGGAGAGAAGGAATCGCGCATCGTGTTGCCAGGAAAAGTTGAAATTGTTAGAGTGGTTGATGTCGGGGCTTTTTCCGCTTAGTGTCCAGAGGATAGAACCATTGAGGCCGGAGATTTTGTAGATGGAACTTGTGTGGCGGGAGGAGAGGAGGTAGTCGCCATCGTTGTTTTTGTCGACGGAGTTTGCGTNGGCTGAGGGTAGGCTGTTAGTGGATGACTAGGTCTAGGTAATAGATGTTACTTACAACCAATCCCAGGCTTGTTTCTCTGTTGTTGAGCCTGCTTTGGGAAGATCAAAATTTGATGCATTCAAGGGAATATGCTCCAGAGAACTCCAGCGAAACAGAGTTGCTCCAGTATCCAGCTCGATCTCAGCGATTCCGTCATCCATGATCCATGTGTCGTTAAGCAACGTGGGCTTGGAGTAGAGTGTCAGAACAGAAGACCCGTCGTCGATAATCCTGTACTCGTGTATATTGAACTCTGGCGTATTGAACAATGGCAAAGTCATGTTGACAATCTCATAGTCGCTGTTGAGGAGAACAGCCATTCCTTCCGGATGCTCAGGATAGAACTTGTTTGGCGAGATGATAAAAGAAAGCATAGTTTCGCCTTTATATGCCACGGTCCTGAAGTCGTAGGCATCTCGTCCGGGAAACATGGTAGATCCAATCCATATCATTTGCTGAAGTATCGTCAGACATTTGCCAGGATCCCGATGGTGATTTCTTACTCCATTATGATCATATATCATCGGACCAGTGATATACGCCTCAGCAGGATCTGTTATCTGCTTGGCCGCCAATTGCGAATAGGGAGCCACGAACAGATACCCCGGACACAGCTTTTCTGCATCATAGACTGTGACATCCAACAGCGGGGGTCGATATTGTGGCAANNCTACCCAAAATTAGTGAACCGCTCTCAATACTGGGGAGTACCAGTATCTTACAGTCTGGAGCCGGACATGTGAGTCACGGTCAGTAGAAGGAATCACCGTCACTGCAGCAGCAATGGCCGCTATACACAACCAAACGATATGCATTATTGCAAATCATGTCACAGATCAAAGAGCCATGTATACAGTCGCCGTTTTTGGTTCCTGCAAGCGCTACGCTGCCTACGCACCCATGTTCCTTCCGAGGAGCAGAAAGTAGCGTCGAAGGACTCCTTGCCAAGACAAGTAATTAAAGCAACGGTTTGTGGCACACTTCGAGAATTTCGTGAATGATGTTATATTATGTTGTATGATTTGGTATGTAGGTGATGGTGGAAGACATGATGGGTTTGCAATGATGTTGATGATAGATGGAATGTCGAGACCAGAGGTGAGATGACCGCGAAGTGCTCAGAAAAGCTTGACCGAGATAGGAAGGTGCAAGCGTCGTAAAACCTAATCTCCAACTCCTTCCTTCTGCCAACCTCCTTCCATCCACCCTTCACGCTGGAACACTCCCAAACTTCATCTCATCACTTACAGGAAAGATTTTTGGAGATGATGAGGGCTTCTGGCGGTTGACTGTCTCCAGAGAGAGCCGCTTTACCTGACATGATTCGGTGTCTACACAGCTGTTGAACGAGATGGATTCATCATCTGAGTGTGGAAGAACCGTACCGGCCTCCACTGTTTTGCTGGCGCTGGTCCGTCGTAAGCGAAATGGTCATAGTTGTAGGCGCCATGTATCCTCAGGTAGGATTGGTTCTGTCTCAAGGTCAGATACGCAACAATATATCTCGAACATGAACAAAACAAACCCAACACTCTCCAAGCCAACAGATTCTTGCAACAGAGCACGCAGATTCTCCTGAGATTCTCGCGCGCTTTTCATTCTCTCATCGAGCTCCTCACCCTTCTTCTCCCTCTCCTCCAGCTTCTTAACCAATCCTCCCATACTGCGCTTGAACTTGCACACACTCTTCGCAATGCCCATAACCAAGACTTTCAACTCTGCATCAATGGTGGCATTCATACGCTCCTCAATCGCTTTGGTAGCTTGCAGTTCGCAGCGCTGGATGCGGCGAACTTCTTCCATGGAGTCAAGTTCTTTGGCGGTGGCGTCCAAGCAAGCGGTCTCGATGAAGCGGAGCATAGAGATGGAGGTGAGTGCTAGACGTGCAATGCCTGGGGAGGTGGTGTTGGCGACATTGTCGAGGGCTGAGAAGACGTCTTTGCTCAGTGCGGTAAGCTCTTCGTGATTGATGCTGAGGGGCATTCTGATGGTTTGACCCAGGTGTCTGAGTAAGGAGGAATGGTACACTCTGGTCGAACATGCGTTGATCTATGATATAGACTTCACATGGCGAGGTTTAGAAATGCTTGTTACACGGTTTGTCTTGGAAAGTATTATAAATCACAAACAGACCGACGCTGTTTCATGGTTACATACTACATCATAGGGGCAAGGAAAGATCAAACTGCCTGGATGACTCGATTGTCGCGAAGAAAAGGACCGACTCCTGCAACAAAGACGCAACTGCTTGGCCTTGCAGACAAACACATGTGAGTATTGGAAAAAGCAGAGCACGTTGATAGCCAGTAGAGGTCGTCATTGAGATTCAGAAGATGATCTTGCCACAAGCATCATGTCAACAACTTTCGTCTCCAAGAATATATAGAATAGAAGGCTGTCTGCTTCGTTCAAAAGAGAGGAACAGAATGTTAGGCAACAGACAGTTGGGGCTATCTAGTACACACGGAAACTACGGCTATACTATCAGCTGCGACTTTTGACTTCGGGTATTCCTTGTACCATCAGAAGACACCATATCTATAGCAGTCTATGGCAAATGCTTGTGTTATAATCATCACTGAGCGACCTGCACAAATGCTTATGCATAAAAGGTCCATTTTCTTACAATTCATTAATTGTGACCTGCATGCACTTTGCAGCCACGCCCAGACAGATCGGCAAGAAGATGATATGTCAGTGTTCGAAGTAAGTAAAGTCCTGATATCTTGGTCGAATGATAAACCCTGCGATCACCTGCACGTCGGGTACGGAGGAACGATTCTCCGACACCCATCATCACCTCTTCCACTGCCATACCATTATTTTCTCTGCATCACCATCATTGTTGTCGCTTCTTCTTCGAATTCGAATAATGGACGTACTGTACGATTGTCTCTTCTCTGAACTTGGGCCTCGTCCTGATTGAGCCTTCCCTTTGGCATATGCGAGCAACGGCAAGATTGCGAAATGTGACTGCTCTACTGCACGAGCTCTGGAACGGCTTCATGCATGTCTCCGACTGCAACCTCCCTCCGACATCCAGGCTTAGCATGGCCACGAATGAGCTCTTTCGTCGGTCCGATCCTCATGGTGCTGTCTGAAGCTCTTGATTGCGCTGCGGGCCAACTTATTAAGATCATAATTGACTAGGGGTTGCATTCGATTACAAAGGCTTCAGCAGTGTATTGGATGCAAAGAGCAGTGAGCTCGGGATGGCACTGATGCCATGATTGACAACAAATGTGACCGATCAATCAAACGGCTGCATGCGGTCTTCCGCCTATAGTCCCTGACCTGTCCTGCAGCATCCAGGTTTTATCACAGCTTTATCCGAAATTCTTTGTCATCTTGTTGCTGCCTGTGACCTCTCGATGGTCCCAGATAGTGAACAAATGATCCAGGACGAATGGGAACCAGGCAAACCGCAATATCGATGTGCCAAATTCTGATCGAAAGTGAACACACATGACCGCTTAAAAGCTCCACATTCAGACGGGTTGATGCAATTTCCCGTACACTCATGCGGCCGAGTTCTACCTACGACCAGGGGCCTTTTTTAGCATGAGCTGAGTCTTTCTGGCTGAACCTTGCTGCCTGGAAGCTCTCGTTAGTCTCGAGCGGCAATCTCACGGGACATGTGCCAATGTCAGCTTGCAGCAGATGAAGTCAGCGGTGAGGGTGGAAATTACTCTTCGAGCCAAGTTGTGTTGATGTGACCGCTCGCGAGCTTTCGTCCCGACGGCTTGATGCAGTCTTCCGCGCGTAATCTGCCTGCGGCAGATTGAATTTTTGTCTGTTTTGCTGCCTAGAAGCTTCCGACTGCACCGGGGAACTCTTTCACCAGGCATTGCTAATTCGACGTGGTGGTGATGGCACCGCTCACGCAGCCATACGGCTTCGGAGGAAGGCGGTCAACGTGACATGTCTGTCAACCGGCTCGATGCAGTTTCCCGTCTGCAACATATGTTTCTGCATCCTACAGGCTCATGTACGCGTGGCCCAATTTTCTCTGGCTATTGCTGCCTGGCAATCCCTGATTGATGTGGAGGAGACAGATGAGGGGGCGGTCAGAGCTGCTAGGGCTGGTGGTGGTAGGTGCCGGGAATTTCCTGGCTGGACTTCCCAATTTCTCCTGGATGTTCGCTCTTTCTTCCCTTCTTTTCCCTTCGTCATTTTTATTCTTCCTTCGACTGTGCTACTGTCCCCTGCCTTGTGGCTTTCTTGCTCGCTCGTTGTGACTTTCCTTCCCTGCTTCTGTTCTTGCGATATCTTTTGTTCGTCTTTTTCAAAGGCTTCTTTCTCTTTAGGAGAGAGCTTGGTTTCCTACGTCTGCCTTTGAGGTCTTTGATTGACAGTTGAGTGTGCTTTATTCTGTTTACCTTCTATGTTTTTCTGTCCTGTCTTCTCTTTTGTTTTCGCTCCTTTCAACTCTGTATACTTGGGGTTCTTCGCCTTCGTCTCGAGAAGTCACCCTTGCCCGAAGTCCATCTCTACAGCTTTGGGCTTTCTATACATGAAGTACAGAGACACCGTCAAAGCTCTGTATGCTCGGGTCGAGCTCTCGTACATCAATGTATCCTGATTGGTTGTTGGCCGGTCGTGGGATGCTTGATCTCCTTGATTCGATCACTGGCAACCGAGACCCCCAATACATCTCAGATTTTGTTGGAGCGGCGGGTGCTTTTGGAGGCTGTCCGCCTCAACGCTTCAACAATGTCCTTCCCACGCCACGGCGTCTTGAAGATGGCCAGACGAGCTTGCCTCCGGTAAGATGCTTTGATCGAGGATCCTTCGCAGAGGAAGATCGCTGTTGGAGTAGCAGGTTATATATAGTGATTGAACGTCTTTATCGACATTCCCGCCCAGTGGTGCCATAGCGTGGTTATCCTGCTTTGGTTGCGTTACTCGACCCGTTGCTCATCTGTCTGTGTGAGTGTCCAAAAAGACAGAAAATAGGTCTGTAAGAGTCTGACCTGTTCTTCTCATATCGCAAGGATAATCCACAGGCTGAGAACGCGGCGTCGTTTGCGGTCTGAGGACCCCGAGAAGTGTTTGCCCCGTTGGTATTGCTGAACACTGGCCTATAATTGCATCTCCAGAACACGAGTTGCTACACTGTCAGGTAGCGCTCGTGTACCATCTCCATACTACGGAGGGCTATCGCATATCACGATGCAGACGACGGCGCAACTTTCAAGTGTCGTATTCTCACCAGCCAATCGAGAGTAGCGTGATCGAGAAGCGCATCGCTGAGAGGATCGCCGAGCCTGCTGGTCAAGCCATTTTGTTCCTCGATCCAGCGCAAACGAGTGATTTTACGCTGCAATACGAGATTGTGCGTTGTGCACTTGACAGCCCTGCCCAGTCTATAAAGTCATTTGTCTTGTCATCGAGCTGGTCAGAACCCGCTCGACATCGTTTCCAAGAGCGTCGGTATCGACATCTCTGGTGCAGCGACCAGGTGATCTCAGTCCAGGATACCGGACACAGCATCCGCTACCCTGACTTTCCCTACATCACTCACCCTCGGCAGTCTTCCCGCAAGATGGGGCCCCACGGATGCTATGCATCCTCCCACTATGGGCTTCCAGGGCCTTGCATTCAACGACATCCGTCGTTCGAGCAAGAAGCTCGTCATCACGAGTTTCAACGCTCGCAACAACGCCCTTTTCTCGTAGGGACTTGTTCACCTTCCCGGCCAATTCTACAGACAATGCCTTGCAGCTCTACGGAAAGGACACCATCGATAAGTCCCAGTCCTTCCATATCCGGATCTCCTACACCACTTCCACCGGTCACGTCGTGACGAGTGCCGTTACTGGACGCATGGAACTGAGTGTTCAGCGTACTCTGCAGCTCTTTGCCTTAACCGACGTTGCCTGCCGCCGTCACTTCTCAATGGGCCTCAGACGCGAGTTTGTTAATGCCTATCGCGACCTCAAGCACAAGGGCAACTCCTACCCCTGGCTCATTACCAATGTCATCCTCGACGAGGAGACTTTCCATATATATATTCAGGAGTTTTCGCTAGAACTTCTTGTCATTGAAGACCTGCAATCCGCAGAACTGTCAACTGACTAGGCCGCCTGCTGTTCGTGATGGGTGCAGTGGTCTGGAAATCGCTTTACCGGCCATTAGTCGTTCTACTTGGCAGACCATCCAGCCTGCTAATCGCTGGGTGCAGATCTTGAGAGAGCACATTCTCGCCAGACTCTCAGAGCTCTGGCTGAACCTTCTCGCAGCAAGTTCGACGATTCTGCCGCCCGCAAAATGCTGGGTAGAAGATTCCTCGCTCTCTTCAACCGCGAGTGCGCAGCCGTGCTCTACACAGCTCGTGTCCGTACCAACGTGCAGCGAGTCGCAGACCGATCCCGGGTTCGCTTGATCGAGCGAATTGTGGTACCTGTAACAGAACACGGTTCAACATGAACATCGTCAACGCATCTTGCTGAGAATGTCGTGATAAAGATGTCAAATCAGCCATCTGCTTCTACAGCGCAGGCAATCACCTCTCTGTTGGAAGCACACTAGACCTTCCGAAGCTTAGTTTCCTGGAGGAGATGTCCATTGCTCGTGTCTCTGCATTACTGGAAGTCTGGACTGTGCAAGATGGTTCTTCTGGTCGTGTTACCTGGTACTTGCAGGAAGAAGCTCGCATCTACAACGTCTTGCCTACTCTTGTGCAGGATATCAGTATTGTGGTCGTGGCCCCAGCTAATGGCCAAAACATTGATCAACAGTCCATCAACTACACCGATTACCGCCGTGATGCTGTCCGCATTTGGCTGGATTTTTGATCAAACATCACCCTGGATACAGGGGAGTGGCTATCGACTACCATGCCCCCGACCAGATGCACAGCAAGTTCTGGGGCTTGTCCAAGTTACCAATCCAGAACTGTTCTCTGCCTCTCGGTCCATGACTTCGATCTCTTTTCATTATATATACTGAGCGCCTTAGGCAGCTGCTTGGTCGGTCATCTTCAACGTGTTTTTGGAAAGGCGTTTGAGAAGACCATGGCTTGCCCTGGTGATGTACTTTTCTGATACCGAGACTTTCCGATCGAGTTGTGTGTTTGTATCGGTCAGACCCTTGAGGCTGCCACGACGACCCCAAGTCGAAGGTCTCATCAGCGGCAACAACTTTGACGTTGACTGCGATGTGCTTTGCACTGTCTTGGAGAAGAAGAAAGGAAAGCTGGAAGGTTCGGGCATGGCTTTCCTTCTCCTCTCCAGCCAGGAACGCAACCTCATACTATGTGTCTCTGTCATCGCTCGTTGACAAGCATCGTGATGAGCTTTTTCTTTTGTCCTTTATATGTCTCGAGCGCCCTAGGCAGTTTTCGTATTGCCAAGCGCGGATGACCACTGTAGTGGTCCAAATCAGGTGTCTGTTCCAAGATTATATATAGTCATCACCGAGTGGCCAGCTCGTCGTCTCGCCAACATCTACGCGTTCAGAGACCATCAGGGGCACAACCTGCAGACTCGCTCAAAGCTCAAGACCGACGAGCAGGATGGTCTCAAGTTCCTTGCTCTACTCACCAGATCTGACCCTGTGCGGACTGTCACCCTGGTAGTTCTTGAAGGTGACGAGGCTGCTCAACAGAAGAAACCCGACAGGACCACTCTGGACGATCTCAGCGACGCCCTCAGCAAATTTCCTCCTTCTGTCTCAGAGCCCACATACCACACCAGCACTGGTAGCATCGGTAACAAGTTGGGCATGTACCCCAGTCGCAAGAAGATCCCCTCCGAGCCGGATCATCATAGACAATCGTCATGGAACAACCCATGATACAGTCGTCGAGAAAGTTGTCTGAGTTGACTGTCGCGATCTGAAAGACCAGCTTGAGCAGCCGTCGCTGGCATTGCGAAGATAGCTGAGCAGACTCGAAGAGAACGAGGACCTCACGCTCTTCCAGCACATGACAAAGTATGTCGGTGACACGAACCTGAGTATGACTGACGCCAGGAGCGTCAAGATTCCGGTCTGTGATAGTAAGGTGGAATTATTCCCTCTCGATTATGTTATTTCCTCTCGATTTTGCGAATTTCGCATCTCGTTCTTCCAATCAGCATATATACACGTGCTCTTTCATGGCATCTGGAGGTCTGTGCCTGAGCTGGGTCCACCCTGAACTCAACATCAGCCGTGATATTGATCGTAGATCATCTAGCGCTTCATCATCTCTTCCATTGTAAGGAACATGGTATTACCGAGGCTCTTGAGGCTGATGATACTGATCAGGACACTGGCGGAGCGCAAGCAGTTATGATAAGATCACGCGTGACGAGACCGAAGCACCTAAGGCCAGGCACAGTGCTTCCTGCTAGAACTATCTGGTCGTCACACACTGCATGACAGCCAAAGTCATAAGCAGAGATCTGGTCCACGGCAGTTTTCGCGCAGTCTTGGTCCACAAAATAGCATACTATCTTGACGCTGTCCACCACGAGACCTTACCCAATACGCGCTTCTTCGAACCTGACAACTACCACAGTTTGAGGAGCTTGCTACACTTGTCCGTGCTCCCGTTGAAGATATACCAGATGGCATACTCTCAAGCAGCGCGGAAGATATCAGTTTGCTCTATGACGCCGGGTCCAGTTTGTATGATGAGAGATACATCAATCGATTTCAGGATGTACCAGCGTAAGTTCTGGCAGCTCGAAAACAATCTGCGCAGCAACAACTTGCATCTCAAACAGGCTGGGGCACAGATTTATCAGCGTTGGAGTAGAGCAATATCTCGTTCCTTACCTCACTTTATTAACTAGAAAAAACTACGAGTAGAAGCTGCAAATTCCAGAGCCGATCGATCGGTAAGCAACTAAACCAGAGATACAAGGAGCGTCATAGAATATGCAATCACTCACAGATACAACAAATTTTGAGACATCGTGCTCCAGGAGCACACTAGTCTAGAATGCCTGCATCACTAAGACAGAAACGCTATAGCAACAAACCCTCACATCACACATTATTCTCTACCCTCATCTGAATTCCCACTGATTCTTGGTCGCAAAGCCTGCTTAGCGATGCGTATCCTAATAGTTCTTATCCTGACAGCTTTTGGCTTGGCTTGTTGAGTTGGTGACCCTGTTTTATCTTTTCCTTCTCATAACTACCTTGTCATCTCATCCTTTAGGTTGAACATTTGAGCTTCGAGCATTACATGTACAATCATAGTGGAGCAATGCGTTACCAGGTGAATAATGGTAGTGCGCTTTATCAACATCCGAGTGCGAAAACAGGGAAACAATCAAAAGGACTGCGTCTTTATCCTGCGGGTCAGACGTCTATGATTCTCACCTTTTGCACCATGATTGACTAGGATCCAATCACATGCATCGTAGTGTTTAAGTCAAGATAGTGATGCCCGATAGACTGTAGCCAGTAAGCATGAAGCAAAGTGATGTGAATCCTTCCGAATCCTTCAACCTTGAACGACGCCGGCTAAACTCCCCACCTCAATCACTTCCCCTCATCTCTGTCAACTACATCTCTTGCTTGACAACCATGTTTTGCAACACTTCATTGATACCACTCTTAGCCTCGCTTTTCATTTTGGTGTTTGCCGAATCAGATGTCGTTGTGTTGGATGCTGCTTTCGATGCATTTGTGCAGCAAGTGTGCGACGAATTGCACGTACCTGGACTCAGTTTAGCTGTGGTCCACAACGATTCCTTCGAGTCGAAGGTACATTGTCTCGCAAACATTCAACCAGATATCCTTGGACTGACGTAAGCANNGGGGTATGGGTATGCAATACTGCCCGATGTGAAGGCAACACCAGACACTTTATGGTTCACGGGCAGCACGACCAAAGCGTTTACCGCGGCTGCGGCTGCGCTGATTGTCCAAGACTCGGTAGATCACCCCGACGTCAGTTGGTCCAGCCCACTCTCTAAGCTTCTGCCTGGCTATTTTGCTCTTGAGGATGATTACTATACATCCCACATAACCCTCGAGGACGCTCTATCTCACCGCTCCGGACTACCTAGGCATGATCTAGCCTATGGTTGGGCCGATCGTCGTGGCCGCGACGCTGATACCATTGACGTTATGCTCACAATGAAACACCTTCCTTTGACCGCAGAACCAAGAACCAAGTGGCAGTACTGCAACATTATGTATGCGACGGTGGGGCAAGCGCTGGCCATGTTAGGTGGTCTTCATTTCGGTGATATCTTACGGACGCTCATCTGGGAACCGATCGGCATGACCTCAACTACCACCTCAATGGAGAAAGCTGAAGGTGCCAGAGACCACCGCGGACAGAAGAAACTGTCTAGAGGCTATTATTGGAACAAAGACCATTACATACCGGAGCCATATGTAGAACTTGATTCCCTCGCAGGTGCCGGTGCTACTATCTCCTCAGTCAACGATTATGCTCTGTGGGTACAGGCTTTGCTCAACGCTGGCAGTAACGACTCTTCCCCCATCAGTCAAGCCATTTATGGAGACATCACCAAGGCTAGAACTATCATGAGCGATTTACTACCTGGCATGCCGAATCAAGAGATTCCACCTCTCTACGCGCTCGGCTGGTTCAATGTCATGATAGGCTCGCACAAGGTCATCACGCACGGAGGTGACGTTCTTGGTTTTGGCGCACAAGTCTATTTTCTGCCCGAAGAAGGGCTGGGCTTTGTGTCCATGGCGAACACAGCAGGAACTAGTAATCAGGCGGGTGCGTGGCTATTCCTTGAGATTCTCAAGAAGTTGGGCAAGATATCTCCGAGAAAGGATGCCTTCCATCTGGAGTCACTGCACGAACATATCGGGAGTTATCCAAGAAAGCCTCAGAAGTCGTTTCCAAAGCTTAAAAACGAGCATATCTCATCAGGTACAGAGTTACCCCTTCCTGGACGTCTGGTTGACTACACTGGCTTGTACCGTCATGCTGGCTATGGAGACTTCAATGTGTCTTTGGTCGAAGAGAAGTTCGATCACTATGGAGGGTATGCTGCAGATCTGCAAGAGGCGATTCCGTCCACCTCGGCCGANTTTCTTTTACACGTTCGACCTTCGAACAGAACTTGGCCTTACGAAGTCGGCCTCAAGCATGAGAGCAACACGCTGTTCAACGCTAAGATCTATGTAAGTCAACCAAGTCGTTCGAGGTATGACCATGTTGCTGACTGATTGTCATAGTGGATCCATGGTCGAGGTGACGTTGGTGATGAATGTGCTCAGGAGAGGACAGCACGACTGGGAAGCTATGAGGTGATATGTAAGGAAGAGGTCTTCTTCGAACCTTTGTTCGAAGCCCGAGCTGTCTTCGAACATGATCTCAATGGCAAGGTTATGAAGCTGGGCATCGAGCTTGAGCCAGAGATGTTGATGAAGGACGACAGAAAGTGGAGAGATGGTATGATCTGGTTTGAGAAGCAGATATAGACTGAGTCATGGAGACCCAGCACTTTTTACATCAAACTTGGACACGTGAAGAGACTATGTTACCGGTAACGCTCCGGGTCTCCTTGTACTACTTATCTCGGTCATTTCTCTTGTGATTTGTTATTGGAGATCATCAGTCTCAATCATGTCGATAGGAGAACGGAAAGAATGCGGCTTGCTTTTACGATCGATGCCCAAGGTCCGTCCCCTCTTCCTTTCTTGACGACTAGCAATTCTCAGTGTCGTTTTATAGTGATCAGGATCGAATGTCTTGCAGTCTCGAAGCCGTGCCAGATCTTCATGTCGTTGAGACCCCAAATGATCATTCCCTCTCCTCTGCCTTGGTTGAGTTCCGCTTTCCTGTGACTCACAGGTGCTCAACCCTCCTATTCTCTATTCTCCTTGTTGCCGTTGATGCAATGCCGCACCAAAGGTACAACCCTTGCTTGGGAGAGAATGTGACCCATTCTTTGACGTCATCTGTCATCTGTCCAAAACTGATACTGCAGCTCGTTTTCTTCTCCTCTCAGCAACTCGAATACTGGTCTCCGCGGCATCTGTCTGTTCGGTATCGCTGACATCCACTTCCTCGGAGGCTTGCTTGCTCGTTCTCTTCAAGCTTTGGGTTTGTTGGACGTCGGTTCTGTCCTTCTTTTGGTCAGCCGATGGAGGTTGTTGATATGACTTCGTAACTTACCTCGCGACCGGAGCTTTCGGGGAAAGCGCTTCTTCCTTGAGCTTGGTAACTTCGATGAGAGCTTTCAGGGCGAGAACTCAGAGCTCCGATTACGCCGTCCTGGATTTCGATGCGCTTTTTCATAGTACGGTTCTCCTGTTCAAGCGAATGGACACGTTGGAAGAGCTGTTGTAAGGCAGATCTCGGATCAAAGCGTGTTTCGTGGTCGAGTCGATCCTCAAGTGTCTGTATGCGTGATGCTAGAGCATCGAGGTGGATCTCTTGATCGTCTGCTCCGTTCGCAACACAATCTCCCAGATGCGTATATTTCGCGATCAGTCTTTCAATATCACTTTGTCGCTCGAGATTGATATCGTGCTGCTCGTCGTTGATCTCATCCTGTCGGCTTTTGGAATCTTGAATCCACTCGTAACTGCGTTGGAGCCCCTGCCCCACAGTTGTCCATTTTGCCTCTTGTTGCTGGTTGACCTTGTTCTGCCTCGCGACCTTATTTCTGACGTAGCATTGGAGATGGAAGGAGCTCGAGCCCATCTGGGGTGACTTGGAGTCGAGCATGGCGTTAAGGATGACTGATCCTACTCCATAAGTACTGCGTAAGGTTCCGGTCGGGTCTTGAAAGTGCTGATGATGTCCTCGAGGTCGTAATATTTTTGTCGTTGACGAGCTTCCAATGACGACAGAAGCGGTTGACGTTGATGTGCTGATGATAGAAGTCTGGAGATCTGTTGTTTGAGTATAAGCAGAGGAACAACATGAGTAGAAGTATTGAATGTAGTCTACCGTAGCACTCGGTATTGACTGTGTCAGTCTCAATACAGCTGTTGACCACAATGCTTTGTTGCTAGCTCTTGACATCTGCAACAAATCTAGCGACCCCGTCGCATTCCACTTCCACACTTTCACACGAGGTTTATCACTAGTCAAGAGATGATAGACTGGCTCGGGGTTTGTTGGTTATCGAGGTTTAGTGTCTCGTCTGGCAAATCATAAGCAGGCCAACTCCGCTTTCCTTATCCATCAGGCAGGAATAATAACCTGCTTGGCTCTTAGAGTAAGATTCAAGTACAGGTTGATCGGTATCTAGACCTGACTTCTGGGTGTGACAAATGGATCGATCGAATTATACAGTTCGTAGATTGTGGGTGGGGTGTTCTAGGCCAAGTTCTCAACCGTTTCCTTCTGTGCCCTCTTGATTTCTAAGTGGCTATCGGCATGATGTCAGTATATATGAGAGAATCCTCTCAGAACGAGCTGTCCATTAGGTATGATCTGATCATGTCATATTTCCTACAATCCCTTTATGTCTCCCGTACTTCGAGCTGCTCATGTCGTAGCTATTCAATGGTATAGGTAGATTCCTTGAGATTCATGGGACTTAGAACTTGTTGAAATATCATAGTCGCTCACTGACAATACTCGCAAAAGTAACACGTCTCTGCATTCTCGCAGATGTGTAGCAACGCGTTCGTGTGGTGAGATTCCTTTTCCGAAAAACACGTTCATGTCGACGAACCCGTTTGCACTCTCACTCCGGATGGAAACTTCCTCGCCCAACTCGTTTCTGCTTCGCGCCTATTCTATCATAACACGACCAACATCAACACGATGAAGAATCAGAAGGGAGAAAATAAGACGTCTGTCAAACTTCTAGGCACTGATCATGGCGACGAGGTCCCTCCATGCTTTCACACAATCATCTGACAATCGCCAGCAACTCTGAATCAACCCGAGACAATGCTGTCCCCACCGATACAATGAACGAGCTACCGGGCACCACTCACACTGCCTCTACGCTCTCCAAAGAGTTCTCGGAAGATGTCAACGATCCCGGTGCTATGTACAATAGCACCACTCCCACCAACGGCCAGAGAGAGGTCGACTACACCACTCTTTCAGGGGTCGATACCCTCCCGGTCGGCGATGTCAACCAGCCCGACTCGAGAAGCTCGGATAACACGCAAGAGAGCGTTCAGTCAATCGGAGAGCAACTCGAGTCTACATACCAGACCACATCATCCACGGAAATCAAGCAGATCATTGTTTGTCTCGCCCACCTCGATCTCGCTCTTGCCAAGCAGACTCACCTCAACAACCTCCATGAGGCACATACTGCTAAGAACTTCAAGGAGCAACGTCATCTGAACAAAGACCGCAAATTGCGTCTCCGCGAAACCGTGAAGGATGCAGACACCAGATTTGCTGTCCTTGACTCACAGCGCATGGAGCAGGAAAAGTCTGTCAAGGGATGTGAGATCCGTTTGAACAGTTATGGGCTACAGCTACAGAACGTCAAGGACAGGGTTAAGATGCTTGCCGAGGGTGGTGAATGGATGGAAGGAGAATTGACCAGAATGGAAAAGCGTTGTGAAGCTCTGCAAAACGACATCAAGGTGTTGGAAGGAGACAATCAGCAGTTGAAGGAACAGGTCAAGGCTCTGGANAAAGAAGTGGAGGTGCTCAAGGAAAGGGACACTGTGTGGGAAAGAAGATTGGCAGCGCTGGAGGGGTTGTTCAAGGAGAGAAAGAAGAACGAGAATTGGTTCGAGACCAGTGCGAACCAGAAGCGTGTGCTGAATGCTGCCAGGCTTGTCCCGGGCAATTATCGCATCTTCTCGGGTTTCCGTTGAGGAGAACAGCCGTCACTAAGCAGCAAAATGCTTGGAACTTACAAAGGATTGTACAAAGAGACTGTTAACATCACCCCTCTAAGTTGATGGGAACAGAACCTCCATTGATTCTTTGTCATTACCCTGAAATCAAGTCAAGTACCCATTATCAAGTGGTTTGTTACGTCTTTTGAAGCAGTATGAAATGTGCTACAGCAAGGATGTTTGCTCAAGTTTCAGCCAACTAGAGAGCTGTGAGGTCCAAGTATATCTTCTGACTTCACACACTCAATCTTACATATGACAATCACGTTCACCTTACTATTGCGGAAACTCCATGTTCTAATGGCCATGATCCACAAGCCGGGCTCGTGTCCATATGGGTGCTGGACATATGTCTACGCATATGCTAGATGCGCTGTACGGCGCCAGCAGCTGGCTCAACGGACGTTTGTGAGGGACTATAGATACAACACTCCTACTTTCATAGGCAATCTCATCAACAGTATCGTTTCAGGATCACAAAATACTTTTAGCTCCGGCGGCACCACGACTAGACAATCAAACAAAAGAATCAACAGTGGCGCTGAACTTGGCACTATTCCCGCCTGAGATTCAGTCTCTAACAGCCATGCTTGCTGATACCAGAGATCTTACAATCATTCGCCTTGTCTGCAAGTCTCTCCATGACGCTGCAACGAAATGGTTCGGCGAAGCTTTCTTTACCGAGCGTCCACATGTAATCTCACACACCAGTGTGGCTGAGCTTGTCCAGATGTCCGCCAACCCGAAAGTGGGTCCTTATATTCTTCAATTGAGTTCAACAGCATCTTAATTCCATTTCCCTCATTCTTTCGAGCCCAAAAAACCCGCTTGAGTAGCCAGGTACTGGTTTCCAGAGCTGCAGCCTGCCACGAACAGATGGTTTGTCTCGAGAATGGCGTCTTCGAACAGCAGCTTGTGCTTGTGTTGCACAATCCCAAGCTTTGGGGAAGTCATCCAGTCAAGGTTCACGTTTACTGTAATCGTGGGCCATATCATGGTTGGGGCTGGCAGAGCCTTCTGCCCAAGCACGATCTCACGCCGCTGGAAGTCCTCAGAATGCCACCACCTTCCGTTGATCGTGGAGCGATGTACGAGATCATCTTCGCTTATACTCACGCTATACAATCCACAAACTATCCTATGTCCGGCATAATCCTCGATTCCAACCACAAATGCGCTGGCCCTACGAGTATTCTACATTATCTTAACGAGGCTCAAGCGGAGAGTCCAGCAGCCCAAGCAAGCCGATTTTTGGCGGTGACCTGCTTGCTCGACGTTTTAGTGCGGGCTTCAATGGACGTCAGAGGGGCCAACACGACTTAATCGTACTTAGCAAGATTCGTAGAGACCACATCTTTTAGCATAGAGGCTTTCGTTCCCTTGTGTTAGGCAACTCTCCTGGATCTTATAGACAGTTCTGGATACTAGATATGGGAGACGTGTAAGATGGAAAGCCTAGACTAGCTAGAGAGGCTACACCACCCCGAGTTCTTCTTTGGTCTAGTGATGATACATAAGCGCATCTTGTTTACTGATTCTCCTAAGTGACCAAGTCTTGGCGTTGGCTAATTTTCCAACGATATACGCGTAGCTCTATTTGCAATCGCTTCACTACTTTGTTCATCACGCTTTTCCACACATCAAACTCGCAGAGAGCTGTTTATCCAACACGATTCTGTAACAAACTTAAATCAAACTCAGCGCTCTGCAGGAATCTGAAAAGCTTCCATTATTTGTCCTCTGTAAGTCTACTAAGCACTCTATATAGCATGAACGCTCTTCCAGCCGATATCGTTGGTTAGATCGGATACTGGTTGGGTGAGGCTGGTCTCCTTGCCTTCCGCCTCACTAACCAGCTTGCCAACAATGCTACGAGTCTCCACTCCAGGAGAGAGAGTATTTTAGATCCATGAAAGTCACTGTAGAAGAGGTCTCTATTAGCAACTTGGCCCTCGTGGCCACCAACCCGAAACTCGACCCCTCAATTCGGCACATCGTCTACTACATCAGCGATATCGATCATCTCACAACAACTTTATTGGCGAACTTCCGGGTAGTATTTGAGTCACTGGCAGCACGCCAACAGAAGGCAATTATCCAGGTCTATGTCTCTGCAATTGCAATCTTAGGTACTGCCAGTATCGAGACCAACATCTCGCACTTTGTGCAGCACCTCCTGGAACTCGACCACACCAAGCCGGTAGTGGACGGTCCAATCACCCTTGCCCTCCCTTCGCCCCCAAGAGGTCCTTGCAACTCTCCTCCCAGGATGACACTCTACCAAGAGCTTGCGCTCATGACAAACATCCATGACATCGATTTGTCATACTCGGATCAAGGACCAGACGCTACTCTGTCATATGAAAGCAGCACCAAGTCCCTCGACATCGTTGACTTGGGCGCCCATCACTGCGTGAACTTGAAACTTTCCTCGTTGACGTTCCGATCCGCAACTTGGCTCTCAAAGGTGTGAAGATCGACCTTACGACCTTGGAAACAATCTCCAAGACCCATGTCATCATTTTGGCAAGCATTACAATCAGAGACACAAGTCTGGCTGAAAGATGGTCGCTGGGAGACCTCGGCGAGCTGTCTTGTGACCAAGCTCTCAAGAAGATTATCCAGCTTCCTGGCATTTACACTGTCAAACTGAACGATCTCTGGAGGAAAGGTGTGGCCAGCTTCGAACCAGGTTACATCCTTGCCCCTCAGGTCACAGAATTCGAGGCCACCGGCTTTGCCACATTGAACACTAGACTTGCGCACCTTATAGCCACCACGGAGTGGCAGGTCAAGGTACGAGACCAGACGATCGCGCTTCTTTGTGGTAAGATATACTGACTCTATACCATCAGGATGACAATCTTGAGTCATGACGTTCAGTCGAGATCAACTTCATCACATACCTGCCCTTTGTACTTTGGTCATGATGCGCCATATACCTTTCGCAAGAATTTCTCACTCTCGTTTTGTCACCTTCATTGAGTGCAAAGGAAACAACTTCGCAAGGCCATTGCAAACAGGCCTTAGAGACCAGCATACTGCAGCACACCCTTGCTGCTTGGTTACTTACCCTCAGAATCACTCATACGCTGTAGATTTCCTTCCCCATTGCATCGAAAGCTAGCTTTGATCTCAGTCTCTGCAGTTTCCAGGCCTGGCACGTACGCGGAGAGGGAGCAGAAGGGTTTCTGGTATCAGCTTTTGGCTTGTCTTTGCTACTCAGATCCGTTTCGGAGCAGATTAATTTCTTGCTTTCCCTTTATCTTTGATAGTTTGTGGAAGTCGACCGGTCCGCTTTCCTAAGTGACTGTGTAGCGGCGCTTCGCTCTTTCTCATCTTCGATGTCGAGGTCCGAACTTCACGATCTCTTTCTATAGTTCCGTGTTTACCTTTGGTCAGTAAAACACAACGTATAACCCCAAAAACATTTTCAATATCAACCCTCAGTCAAACACAGAAATTATGTCGTCTATTCGCAATGCGCCAAACTCCATACTCCAACCTCCATTATGCCCAATGGAATTTCTTAGTGGCTTCCCACGCCTCATCCTTTACTTCCGGCCAGACGATATCAACCGGTCGAGTACCTGATCTATCAGCGTCCTGCAGTGAACGCTCTATCCTCGGAGATCCATCCTCATCATCATCTCCATCAATCTTTGGCACCAAAACCCCTCGCTCCAAACTATCCTCATACCTCGCGCTTCTCATACCTATCAGCTGTTTTGCGACAAACTCTCTCTCCATCTCTGTGCTTGCATCCTGCAAAGAAGCAGTACGGTGCATATACCCAAAAGTTCCCAGGAGATACCTCAACGCGTTAAAAACCTCTGTGTTTCCATCAACCAAGCTCCTCTGGAAGAAGACCGAGAATCTGAAGTTTTCAACACGAGGAAAGCGGTGGACAAGTGGTATCAACAGATATTGTANCCAATAACTCTTGCGATAGAATGTCAAGTCAAGGTGAATAAACAAACATACCAGCAAATCGCTTTTGGAGGAGAAGAAATCAGATGTCGGCTCTACATTGCGAGAAGCAAGTGTATCGGTAGATCTGCAGGTAGCTGTCCAACAGTGTTCAAGAGAGGGATCCTCGAATAAAGCGTCGTGGCAGAGAAGTTCCTGTTCACGATCATGGCGTGCTCGTGCGTATCTCGATTCTTCTGCTTCATCGCAGTATTGGTATTTCGCGTGAGGTTCCTTTTGTGCTGCGTAGGCGTCTTTCTGATTATTCGAAGTTTTGCTGAGGGACTCCATGTTGCTCACGTTTAGGCTGTCACGACATCTGCCTGGTTGCAAGAATGCAGGTGACGAAGTTGAACTTTGAAGTATTTTGCGTAAGCTGTCTGCTGCAAGACGACCGTTCTGTGACGAGTTACGAGAATCGAGATCGCTCAAAGTAGATGGGTCTTGTTGGCGCTGCACTGGCGAGAGTTGTGGTGGAGACTTGACCAAGGGACAAGCCCACGAGACGCGCTTTGAAGATTTTGCGGTTGTCAAGCAGGCTATGATGTCGACTCTTGCCCAAGTGGATGAGCAGAAAGTGTAGATGAAACTCAAGATTCCGGTTTTGTCGCTGGTCGAGGGGCAAGCTGAAGAAATATGGTGGTGTTCGCAGTCGTTGAATATAAGAAGGAAGTGCTGGCTGACTCAACGCGGGATGACTCCGTGAATGTTCGCGAACTTCAAAGACGCTCATTTTTGAGTAGCGAAGCGAGGGCGGCCTCGACCATGATATTGAGGTGATGAGAGCATCCCTTAGGATTTACTTGCAAAGTTTCGTGAATTAATGGTGCGTCCTGCTGAACTTACTGTATGCCTTTTCCTCAGGATAGACCATAGAACGTTTTGGCTGGAAGAGAATGCTGATCAAGGTGTATCTCAGCAACTACAACCGCATGATTGGATGCTGGGCATAGCTATGATCTGCCGCTTTGCGTCAAACCTTCGAGCTTCTTCTGCCTTGCGATCTGGCGGAGCAGCTGAATGCGGTCGCTAATTGATTTTTCTTTCGCAGCGAGACGTGCAGCTCGTTCTCTTTCGACGGTCGCTTTCTCCTCGGCATGGCGTCTCTGTCGTTCGGTTTTCACCTCAGCACAGCGTCTGCGCTCTTCTGCGCGGACTCTCTGCAATTCGGCTTGCCTCTCAGCATCCAGTCTTCTACGCTCCTCGCGCGCAGCTGCTGCCTGTTGATCGAGATGTGCCTTTTGGACGGGATCTGACTCTTGGACGAGGTCTGCCTTCTCGGCACGGTATTGCCTTTGCCGAGCGAGTCGAGCTTCCCTGTGCTCTTCGTGGTACCTTCTGTTGACTTCTTTGACGCGTTCCGGGTTGCGAAGGCGCCATTGCCTTGCCCGTTCGCGTTCGGCTTCCTTGTTTTCCTGATAGTGTTTCCTCCGTTTCTCTCTGATTGCTTCTGCGTTTTCAGCCCGATATTGTTTTTGTTGAGCCCGAATAGCGTCTGCATTTTCGGCTCGATATCTATTGTGACGAGCAAGGACATTCTCCTTGTGTTCTTGAAAGTACTTTTGCTAGCTTCCTTAATAGCCTCTATTTTATGAGGACGCATGGCTTTGGCTTTGATAAGGTCCTTGTTCTTTTGGTAGTACTTCTTCATGTACTCTTTGTGAGCCTCTCTCGCAGCTTCCGTTTTCTTCTTGGGTTTCGATTTGTTATGTTCTTCGTGTTCAGAAGTCGGCAATTCTTTAGGCGTAGTTGAAGGACCTTCTTCCGCAAGACGATAGCCAGTATATGAGAATTGTCGAGTCAACAGATGATCAGAGCAGGCAGATGTGATCTGAAAGGGACGATACAACGCCACCCGAACGCCACGTAGTATGGCAAACATGATTGGGGATCTAGACTTTGACCACGTCTGGGGCCATATAGAGCAGAGTTGAAGGGTTCCTGGACCGTATGAAGAAGGTGGATTATTGTATGTTCAAATTGAAGGGCGAGAGAGGTGGAAGATTGATATTGGACAGGAGCGCCAAGCCGGGACTTTTCAGCAGGAAGCCGAAACCTCTCCCACCCGATGCGCACCTTCTTCGTCTCGAGTCAAGCAGCACAGTGTGCTTGCCCTTTATGCCATCATGTTCTGCGATGTAGATACAGTAAGGTCTTGACTGTATTCCTTCCAGGTCGGACTTGACTCAGGTGGGTATAATTCTGTCTTTTTATTCTTCGCCAATGCGCTTCCTTGGCGGGTCCGACGCTACTTTATTCCCTTGTACAAAATCGTGGCGGCATCCATCGCGCTCCTGACTTCTGAATCCTTTGGTCCTGTGCTACTTGACTATTGTTTGTCGCGGTGTATCTACAGCCCCTGGAGCCTTGGTTTCTACCGCATATTCCTCCGACGCAGTCAGACAGGTATACATGAGCAGTTAGCCACATTCGTACTGGTCAGCGGCAGTGTCACCGGACTGTCGACGACATGTTGACGGCTCCCCGAATCAATGGACGTTTCAGCCAGCTCCTGCTGCTGGCCGCGATACTCCTCATCCTTACCATAGTCTTCTACGCCAATGCCGACGCCATCCATTTCCCTGAGAGTGTCTCACCGAAGCCTCCGACAAAAGGTCGCCCACAACACCCTATCGATGACTTGATTGAAGAGGCGGATCGCCAACAAGATGCTTTGTTGCAGAGGGAGTCGCATACCCTGGCAGATGCCGTGCGCGCATATGAAGAAAGTAGAGGACGACGACCGCCGCCAGGTTTTGACGTCTGGTTCCACTTCGCCCAAGAGAACAATGCTCTGGTCATTGAAGACTTCTTCGATCGCATATACCACGACTTGAATCCTTTCTGGGCTGTGCCTGCGCTGACCATCCGCCAACAAGCCGGCGACATCTTCCACCGCATCAGTATTCGCAATGGCAATACTTCGCAGCTCAGCGATCAACCGCGCGTCTGGCTGGACCTTTGGGAGAACTTGATTGGAACCATCGCACAACATCTGCCCGACCTGGATATTCCTATCAATGTCATGGACGAATCGCGTGTCGTGGTACCTTGGGAGACGATAGATGAATACATGACTGCAGGAGAAAAGTCTCGACGCATTATTCCTGCTTCTGAGGTTGTCCGTGAGTTCGGCAGGACATCAGTCAGGAAAGATGAAGAAGTGCCACAATTTGACCCTCAGTGGGAAGGAGGGCCATACTGGGATCGCGTTGTCATCGGTTGTCATCCTGATTCTCCCGCTCGGTCATACAAGGCAGAAGTGGACTATACCGTCTTTCCACCTCTGAACAATTCGTACCCGGAGAAGAGTCATGAAGGCTATGTTGCAAACTGGACCTACGTCAAGCAACCTTGTGAACACCCTCAACTGCAGGGTCTTCACGGCACCTTCGTCGAACCCATCTCAATCTCAAATTCGAGAAAGCTCATGCCGCTATTCGGAGGCTCGAAATTACCCATGAACAATGAGATTCTGTTGCCGCCAGCAATGTACTGGACGGACGACCCATTCTACTCTGGAGGCGAGGAACACGGAGTGGAGTGGGATAAGAAGAAAAACAAGATCATCTGGCGCGGCGCAGCTTCAGGTGGCCGCAACAAGGACACGACATGGGCTCGATTCCAGCGCCATCGCTTTGTGTCCATGGTGAACAGTACCAGCATTGCTCATGCCGAACAGACAGGCAAACAGCCCAACTTTGAACTTCCCGAGTCTAGCCAATATGACCTCCCGTCTGGATCTCTGGCAAAGTGGGTTGGAGAATGGGGAGATGCTGCGTTTGTCCATCTCCTTTGCTTCCCCGACACAAGGCCACCGTTCTGTGATTATGACGATGCCTTTTACGAGGTCAAGCCACCTATGCCAATGGGAGAACAGTACAACTACAAATATCTGCCCGACATTGACGGTAACTCATTCTCTGGCCGTTACCGTGGATTCCTGGGATCAACATCTCTGCCCATCAAAGCGACCATCTATGACGAATGGCATGATTCGCGAATGATGGCTTGGAAGCATTTCGTACCGATGGACAACACATTTGTCGATATCTACGGCATCATGCATTACTTTTTGAACGGTCGCGATGCAGCAGCCAAGAAGATTGCGCTCGAGGGCAAGCAATGGACTGAGACTGTGCTCCGACGAGAAGACATGCAGATCTATGTCTTCAGGTTGCTGTTGGAGTATGCCAGGTTATGCGATGACAATCGCGAGAAGCTTGGATGGGTCAGTGAGACGGAGAAACTATTGCTAGCTGATGTAGACACGGCTGGAGCAAAGTAATCGCTTTGGACGAGTAATGATAATCTACCGTATTGGATACACTCCATAGATACTTTTATTATTTGATCGTGCCTGCCTCTTGCTGTAGAAGAATTTTGAGTTTCGAGCATGACTCACTTTGCCAAGACAGGCGGGGGCCGGAAGGAGGTGGGTTGGTCTTTACTGTTTCGGAACCAAAAAGTGTTTTCGACTCATCTGCAATCATTCCCAGCACAGAGTGCATGCGCGCGTTCCAAGTACAAAGAGCATCATCTTTCCTTGGTCATTCTCCTTCGTACAAGACTCCATTCGCTCGACTCGGATTCCAACAACTCTGGTCGCGCACGAGACCCTTCTCAAACTTTCAAGTTCCAACCCACAAAGGCGTCACCATGGAGCAACTTACTGCTTCGATCAAGACTTTGGGCCTCGATGAGGTGCCTCAGCTCTCCAACTTGACTACCTTCCCTACATACAACCAGGTCGACATCTACCGTGCACACGTCGCCGAGCTGCTTGCTCCCATCACTGGCGTCGCTGCTGAGCAGATCTACCCTGTGCTGCAATGGACCCAGGTTCTGGACTACGGCGATTTCATGTTGCCCGTTCCCGCTCTGCGCATCAAGGGCAAGAAGCCTGACGCTCTTGCCCAGGAAATTAAGGAAAAGGTAACACTCCAGCCAGCAACGCTCTCGGTACACTGCTAACATCGTTTACAGTTCCCCGAATCACCACTCGTCCTCCCTCCCGTCGCCGAAAAGACCTTTGTCCGCTTCTTCTTCAAGCCCGACCCTCTCGCCAAGCTCGTCCTTCCCTCGATCCTCAAGAACAGCACAAAGTATGGTTTCAACCCCAACCTCGGTCTCAAGGACCCCAAGGACCCTAGCTCGGAGAAAAAGAAGATGATTATCGAGTTCTCATCGCCCAACATCGCCAAGCCCTTCCACGCTGGTCATTTGCGCTCTACCATCATTGGAGGTTTCTTGAGCAACCTGTACGAGGCTGCTGGATGGGACGTTGTCCGCATGAACTACCTCGGTGACTGGGGTAAGCAGTACGGTGTTTTGGCCATTGGTTTCGAAAAGTTCGGAAGCGACGAGGCTCTCGAGGCCAACCCCATCGGTCACCTTTACGAGGTATACGTCAAGGTCAGCGCCATTGCACACGATGAGGCTGAGCAGGTCAAGGCTCTCAAGGCAAAGATTGTCGAGCTTGAGGGCAAGAACGAGTCGGTCGTTGAGCAGCAAGCCGAGATTGAGCGCATCGAGAAGGAGGGTATCGACCAACAAGCCCGTGACTACTTCAAGCGCATGGCTGATGGCGAGAAGGATGCTCTGGGCATCTGGGCCCGTTTCCGCGATCTCTCCATTGTCAAGTACAAGCAGACATACGCTCGTCTGAACATCACCTACGACGACTACTCTGGTGAGTCGCAGGTTAAGAACGAGAGCATGGAGGCTGCTGCCAAGGTTCTGGCCGAGAAGAAGATCAGTGAGCAGAGCGAGGGCGCTGTCCTCGTCGACTTGACCAAGTACCAGAAGAAGCTCGGCAAGGCTCTGGTCAAGAAGAGAGACGGCACGACTCTCTACCTCACCCGTGATATCGGTGCTGCTGTTGAGCGTGACCAAAAGTACCACTTTGACAAGATGATCTACGTTGTCGCCTCGCAGCAAGACTTGCACTTGGCTCAACTCTTCAAGATTCTCGAGGTCATGGGTGACGAGTACGCAGAGGTTGCCAAGAAGTGCCAGCACATCAACTTCGGTATGGTTTTGGGTATGTCTACTCGCAAGGGTACTGCCAAGTTCCTCGACGACATTCTCCGTGATGTTGGTGAGAAGATGCACGATGTCATGAGAAGCAACGAGGGCAAGTACGTCCAGGTCGAGAACCCCGAGCAAACAGCCGACACTCTCGGTATCTCGGCCGTCATGGTGCAAGACATGAGCGGCAAGCGTATCAACAACTACGAATTCGACATCAACCGCATGACATCGTTCGAGGGCGACACTGGCCCTTACCTCCAATACGCACATGCCCGTCTCTGCTCGATTGCTCGCAAGGCAGAATTCACACCCGAACAGCTCGCAACTGCCGACTGGTCGTTGCTGACTGAGAAGCACGCCGTGGATGTGATTCGCTCGCTCGCACAATGGCCCGACACCTTCACCAACACAATCAAGACACAAGAACCTGTTACTGTCCTGACATACCTGTTCAAGATGACACACATGTTGAGCAGTTCTTACGAGCAGCTGAACGTCATGAAGGCCGAGCCTGAGGTCAAGAAGGCTCGTGCAGCACTTTACGAGTGTGCTCGCCAGGTCTTGTACAACGGTATGAGACTGCTGGGTCTGAACCCTGTCGAGCGTATGTAAAAGGGCAGTCAACAAAGGAACGAGAGGCGCAATGGGACATGATTAGATGTTGATACCTGCATGGCGCATGGGACGAAAAGAGACGTGGACTTTCTTAGATTACGCGAAAGAATGAACGATATCAAAATTTGTACAGACAAACAAGAGCCGAGCTACCGAGTGAGGTTGAGGTCAATCAAGGTTTCTTGGTTGACAGCGGTGCAGGACCCTGAAAAGTGGGCGGTTGCCGTGGGGAAGTTGGTGTTGATCGACAGAGACGCAGATGCAGACGCAGCCAACCACTTCCCAGCCATCGCATTTACCAGCCACTTCACCACAAACAGGCGAACTCCTGTTCTCTTCTTCCTTTGCGCGTTATCCTCACGTAAACTTTTTTCCACAACGTCTATCTTCGAATTTTACAACACTTCATCACGCCGTTGCAATCACTTTATCGATACCATCAACCTTCCCCACATTTTTGTATACCAACTATCACGACCACATTCCACGCTTGACACAGGGACGCAAGCTTCGGGCTGCAGGAGCCTCAGCAACCATGGCACCCATCAACCCATCTCACCACCTCATTGCTCGCACACCCGCATCACCCGTCCCCTGCGCCGGCTGCCTCGACCCTTCCAAAGTGAACAACAAAGTCTACTTTTCCCTCTTCGCCCTCATCTTTGCCGCCATAGTCGTTGCATCCATCTGGTTCTTTTTCCACGCCAGAAACGGCGGTTTCCACTGGCAACAAGGCGACTTTGAAGACTGGAAATCTACAGTATTGCGCAAGAAAGACGCTAATGGAAATACCATTTACTCTGCACGATCCGTGGTTTCCAGACCTAGAAAAAGCGATAGGATTGCTGCCAAATCGGTGGTGGGCTATGATGAAAAAGGCAGGAAGGGTGTTATGGCAGTCAGAGGCTTTGGAGGTTCCCACTCAGTTTACTATTCAGATGGGTTTACGCAATACAGTGGCGATCGCAGTGATGCCATGACTAGCATCTCTCGCAACGAAAAGCGCTCAGCAGCACCAAAAATCAGAGGCGGATACACTCAAGCACCCACTACAACCGACCACTCACGCCGCTACCGCGACCGCGACTTGCGCGAGTACAAACACGAGAAACCCGCAAGAGTGGGTGGTATGAATAGATCTGCAGATGGCACGTCCTACGACTACACGGACCGCAGCGACACCGCCACCGAAATGACGGAGACTTCTTCGCACGCACCTATCCTCAGTTCCCATGACCGCAAACGCCAAAAGGCAGAAAAAGAGCTGCAGAAGACGCTGCGAGAATGGAAAGAAAATGGCGCAAAGAGGCCGAAGCAGCTGCTGCTGCGTTGGCTAGAGAGAACGCCACTGCCTCTACTCCTAAGAAGTCATCACCACCGCAAAAGCACAAGCACCAAAGAGTGCAAAGAGAGGTGCGAGCAGGAGTCGCTCCAGCAGTCCAAAAAGCAGGCCCCGAGACAACGAGATTACTCCTTCTCGGGTGCACCAGATGAGAGCAGTACAGTGTATACAGGCACCTACACCGCCACTTCCGGCACACGCACAAACAGCAGTTATTATGATGCTTATCGTCCGCTCGCCGCCACCTCGCCTGCTCAACCTTCTTCTGAGCGCAGAGAGCAGCGCAGAGCAGAACGCAGAGCTTCGTCCAGTAGACATAACTCGTCTTCGCCCTCCAAGCAACACAGAAGCAGCAGGTATACATATGCAGAGAGTGATGTCACGGGCAGTTCGGGTCAAAGCGGAGGTAGATACGAGAGGGTCAGGGGTGGTGAGAAGAAGAGCAAAGGAAGAGATGTGATGGCTGGATACCGCAGGGGAATGGATAGTCTTGGAAGCGACAGCGAGTAAGAAGATACCTGGAGGAACACGAAGGGAAATCAACGAAGATTAACGGGGAAGAATGAGATCTGGCATTGGAGGAATGAGAATAGAGGATATGGCAGACAGCATGAATGACAGCAAGGCACAAGGAAAACAATGAACCAGAAGAGACAGAAGCATGAAAGACATGAGTATGTACAGACACGAAGACGGCAGTAATGAATCAGATGAACGCAGCGAGCGAATCTCTCTTTTTCCTCTTCTTTCTTCTTCTTCTTCTTCTTCTTCTTCTTCTTCTTCTTCTTCTTCTTCTTCTTCTTCTTCTTCTTCTTCTTCTTCTTCTTCTTCTTCTTCTTCTTCTTCTTCTTCTTCTTCTTCTTCTTCTCTCTTGTTCTCTCCCCATCGATCACGTTCTACCGCTCTTTCACTCATGCTTATCCTAGCCTTGAATACCTCGAGCTGACTCCCGCAACAATCTTAGAGCTCCTTTGGAAGCGAGATAGGCTCCCGTCTTTTTGAGACTGCCTTTTTCTGCTCAGCATTGCATTGCCTTGTTGAGAGACACCGGTAGCCTGATGAGCATTTTGCTGTTGCTGGCTTGTTTGTGTGTCTTGTTGAGCAGAGGAGAGGTCGTATACCGAGTATCAGAGAATCATTTCTGCTGGGTATTTCTTCGTCCCCTGAATGTTCAGGAGTCGGGAAGTCCTCGTTTCTCGGGTGTGATCTGTAAAGTAATCCATATACAAGAAGGCTGTGACTACGGTCCCGACATTTGGACTCATGGTGAGATAGATTTGCAAGCTTTTCAGCAGGATTTGATGCGTGCGTCCGTTGCCAGGGCCAGTCGAGCGTCTTTGTTTCTTAGTTTCGAGGCTCGTGTGTCAGGATTCTCATTGCGCGACTGCCTACATTCTTTCTTTACTCTTTCAATAAGGCAAAAAGTCCCAGTGCTGATCATGCATAAAGCTATCCCAGTCCTGTGTTTCTCCTCTTTCCGTGCTCGCCCAAAAGCTCTCCAGTACTTCTAGCGAGCGGTGGATATTGGGGATGTGCAGCAGATCAAACATGTTGCTGAGTAGAGTCCTCACTCGATCGCGGTCGTTGCCTTGAGCTTCACAGCCAGCAGCAAATAACGGTGTCGTCATGACCACCAAAGGTGTAAGTCCAGCTGTAGCTGTAAGACTCTCTATACAACCAAGAATAGTCTTGACAGAGCTTTGTACTGGTGGAGAAGTAGCTGGGTGAGAGGAAATGCGGCGATATATGTATATCAGCGCCATATGATGCCATATCTGATTACAAGACAGAAAATCCGCTTTCTGGCGCAAGGACAACTGTTCCTCAACCCCAGGTCTAAACTGTGGAGGTTTTGACCTTTGCTCGTCCAGACGGGTCCAGATGCAAGCAGCCAAGGAAGCTGCTTCCTCATCTAGATCACCTTCCTCGAGAATGGTGGCTCGAGCATCGTTTCTGCGTTCCCATGCCGCCGCGCCAATTTCGCGAAAGATTGGTGTGAGGTCGGTAGCAAAACCTGCGTATTCGTCCAAGTAGACTTTTTCCTCTTCATCGCCATCGAGGGTGCGAGGACCGAATCTGGCTAGTTGGCCGGAGGCAAGGCCATCGGTGGTGAGCGCTACAAAGCTTTCGGTCATGTTGTACCAGCGCTTGAGAAAGTATCTGGTGCTGTCTCGTTGCTTTGAGGAGTAGCCGGCCCAAGACTCGATGTCCAGCATGAGTGCTTTTGCGCCTTCGAAGTGTGCGCGCCAGGTCCCGGGGCGGTCGCCGCCGGCGTGGACTTCGCAGAGGAAGAGTGTTCTGATGGTTGCCAGCAGCACACTGCTTTTGTTGACGTCTTTTTCCAGCAAATCGCTTTGAAGGCCGAATAAGCTGTTGCTCAACAGCCGGGATATCAAAGGATCGGTACGTAAACTGTCACTGCCGAACCCGAGTCGCGATTTGTGATGAATTGCTGAGAGAGCGGTTGTGGCATAAAACAGGGTTGGGCTTTGTAGCGCAGCAGGAACAATGACTCGACATACGTCTTCCTGGACTTTGGAGTGACATGAGATGACATGGGAGGTTCCATTGATAAAGTGATCGAGGAGCGACCGGTCCATGGTTCCGAGATTGATGAATGGGTCCACTGGTGCAAACAAGGGGAAGAAGTCGATGTCATAATCGTCTAGTAGTATTCCGTCTGCTGTTGAAGTTGAAATCAAGGCCAGTGAGTCGCCCACATCCACAGGCAAGTCTTCCAAAGTCGCATCTTCTGATGATTGCTCAAGTGGTGATGGCACCTGTATAGCAGGAGCAGGAGGTGCAACTACTCTCGGGGGCTGAGGTTGCACCTGAAAGCTATTCACCGTATAGATAAATCCTTTATCCACACTTCCTGCNNAGACCAAAGTCAGCCACCAAAGCACAAAATCCAAACACCAAGATCACCTACCAAGTTTCTTGACCTTATCCTTACTCGCATCAGCATCAGAAATACACGCTCCAAATCTAGACTGATTAAACGCTCTCCCGCCCCATCGGAGCTTAACCTCATAAACACAATCCACATTAGCGGCTGCACATCTCTCACAACCAGGTCTTTGCTCATCACACTTCTGTCTCCGTTTCTTGCATCTCGCACATCCGCTCCAAGATCGCTTGTTGCGAGCTGCACGGGTAGTGGGAGCTGTGACGGAAGAAGAAAGTGTGGTTGCAGAAGCCAAGGCTTTGGGGTCTTGATCGTCCATGCTGGATTCGCTGTAAGGGATCTTGAACAGGTTCAAGGTGGCCTACGCCGCATTTTGATAGTCGCGTGTGTCAATGTATGCTGTCAACTCCTGGCCTGTACGTTCTGCTTGCAATGAGTCGAGATGTCAAGGAACTTGTTTTGCATGTCGCCGATATCAGGAACTCGAAAGGGAAGGTTGAGGAGATTCTTGGCGACATCGGAAGGGAGCGGGGCAAGACACGACCCTGACCCGCACCACTTCTTCTCCATGAACCCCACTTGTACCTTGACATCGCGTCAAGGGCAAAGACGTGTCTCGATCTTTAAGCTCAAAGAGGCATCTGTAAGAGTCTCACACTATCAATATTTTCTTATAAGCCTGTCTTTGCTGCCTTCTCGTAAGTAATACTCGAGTACGTGAACATTTCGAATCTCATACTCGCCTTTCTCAATTCCAATCACCATGGTCGTCCAACTTTCCTACCGCAAATCCCTCCGCTGGGTCCCAGGCGAACCCTCAGAACCGACTTCAACTCTAGTCCTCGATGTCGGCGACTTTTTCGTCGACCTCCGCATCCTCAAAGCCACTGGAAACATCGACTGGGCAATGGCCGGCAAACGCACAATTCTTTCTTCATCACCACGTAAGTGCTCGTCTCGAAAGGGCTTGACGTCTACTACCGCAGAAAACAATCGAAAATGCTAATCTCGTGTCAGTGAANNATGCCAATGGACCAAAGAAATCTGCTCCCAAAACACCGAAGCCCATGATGATGTTGGAGAATTTGAAGATATGCCCAATGGCGATGCATTAGAGAAAGGAAGTATGCCAAACCCAGACAACAATGATGAGATTCAAGCATACGAGGAAGTGTGGGGGAACCTCGATATTGGCTCTTCAGATGAGCCAAGCTGGATATTGAGAAGTAAGGATGGCAATGGGATTACGTTTGTGGGTAAAGTTGGGGATTGGTTTCAGGTGTTGAGGAAGAAGCAAGATGGACAATTTTCGGTGTTGAGGGAGGAGAAGGTAAAGGGAGAATGGGTGCAGAGGTATGCGGTTGGTGAAAAGTTGCCTTCGATGCAGGGATTGGGAGAAAAGGTGTTTAACCCACAAAACTGGAAACAAGATACCGATGTCAAAGTCGATGGTGTGACATATACAGTCTATGCTCTCGGAAAGGCCTAAAGGCTCGAATCTATGAATTGCAAATCATCCTAAACAACCTTCTCAAATCGCAATCGACACTTCTGTCCCTTGGGTCGTGAAGAGATGACTTGATCATCAAACCTCATATCCGCCTTCTCCTTGCCCAATACCGTTCTATAGCTCCCGTAGACTTCTCGCAAGAGTATCTTCATCTCAGCCAAAGCCAGATGCTTCCCAATACAACCCCTCGCACCCTGCGAGAAAGCAAAGAACATGCGGTTTCGCTCCAATTCTCCCTGATCCTCAAGCCATCGCTGCGGATCGAATCTCTCAGCCGAAGGGAACACAATAGGATCCTTGTGCAGAGTGAAAGGCTGACAGGAAACTATGGTGTGGCCAGGGATATAATAGCCATCCAAGACTGCGCCGGCATCGGGCGTATATCTCGGAAAGCTCATGGGGATGGGTGGGAAAACTCTAAGTCCTTCCTTCACCACCGCATCCAGATAAGGCAATTGATCAAAACTCTTGTCGTTGCTGCTGTTTATTTCCTTCCGTAAGCGATCTTGAATGTGAGCGTTTTCAGGCAAAGAAATCTCGTGCATGAGGAAACAGAGTCCGTCGCCAGTAGTATCGATGCCGGCAGCCAAGTGATCCATACATTCTGCTGCTGCAGAAAGATCCTCCAGTTCCGAAGCTTTGGAATGCAGTTTTGAGAGTAGGGAGTAGGATGCTGGATTGAGTTTCTTTACTGCATCGAGGACGAATTCGTTGGCCAGAGGTACTGATCGCGAGCGCTTTGAGTTGAGCCTGTCGAACAGTTCGGCAAGCTTCGGTGCATAGTACTCCAGATAAGGTGCNNTTGTATCACATCAGTAACTGTTTCTAAACTTAGACTTGACAAAGAACAAACCTCGCAGACTATCCGCATAAGACATTTCCTGCATGATCTTAAAATTCTCGGGATCCTCGAGCGAGTTCGTGCCATAGGGAGCAAACAAATGCTGAGACGCTCCATCCAGCGCAAAACAATGCAAATGCANCCTGCCACTTCATCAGCAAAGCCTCCATTTCTACACTAGTCCCCTCGCAAACAAGAAACTCACATAAACATCAGCATCAGCCCCCTCCTCTCCTAAACAATTCTCCAAAAACCGATTCGCTCTCTTTGTCAAGCCCTCCACTGTTTCTGGCCTCAAAATATTACTATTCGCATATCTGTCCGCAAGCAACCGTTTCCTCTGACTATGCTCACCCCTCGGCGGCATGGAAAACAAGGTCTTGGTTCCAAATTGCATGAACAGTTCATAAAACTCTGTTCGGTCGTAGCCACTACCGCCAGAGGTATAAATCTCCTTCATGGCTTCATAGCTGGCGAAACTGCATTCGGTGGGGGATATGCGGATGACAGGGCCATAAGTAGAGTGCAGAGAGTCGATGTAGAGTCGCCGCTGACCGGTAAACTCTTTGTAGATAAGGTAGACAGGCGTGAATTTAGTATAGAAAGGGCCGGGGAGTTTGGAGAGGGAAGATGTGAGGCGGGTATAGAGGAAGTAGAGGATAAACAGGATGGGAAGTAAGTAGATGAGAAACATGATTGATGGGAATTGAAAGGTGGAAAGAGAACAGAGCTTATGGAACTGAAATCGTAAAGCAATGCAACCAATTCGGATAAGAAAGACCCGGAAAGATCAGCATGCAAGAAACAGTCACAAAACACGTAGTCCCAATCAAGCAACTTGATGCGCTACTGTAAAGCAAGATATCGACCGACCATCCATGAACAAGAGCTCTTATCGTAGGACCCTACCTCGGTAGCTACCCCGATAAAGGTCTCCGATACCGCTGACCAACCCATGACGAAGCACCTACTATCCACATCATCCACCATCATGGTGCGGATACTGCGGATAACCATCGTAAAAGTGTATATTCCAAGTATATAACCATTGATATCTTGCCCGAAACCCAATAGCAACTCCAAACAAATTACACTCTTCTTTACTCTCCTCAGCAAGAAACTTCTTAAACAACAACCATGCCTCTCGTTAAAATCGACATGATAAGAAACGTCCGCACACCAGACGAGATCAAGAAACTAGCCGACGTTGTCCAGGAAATCATGCTCGAGAAATTCGCAGCGCCCCCTAGAGACAGATATCAAGTAAGCAGCATCTTCCCTCCTCCCACCACTTACGCCCTCCTCCCCCTCCTCACCATCATCCTCTATCTTGCCCCTCCCTCCTACCCACCACTAACACACACCTAGGTGATAACCCAACACGAACCCTACGAGCTAATCTTCGAAGACACCGGCCTCCATATCCCGCGCACCGAAAAGTTGATCTTGATTCAAATATTCCAACAAGGCAGAACCGCAGACCAAAAGCAAGCCATCTATGCAAGCCTGGCAGAGCGCTTGGAAAAGGAGTGTGGTGTCCCAAAGACAGATTTGGTAATCAGTTGTTCTGCAAACAGCAAGGAAGATTGGAGTTTTGGGTTGGGTAGAGCGCAGTTCTTGACTGGAGATCTGTAATGAGAGGAGGAAACAGAGGATTAGGAAACATGATGATTGACTAAAAATATCATTACGCTGTAATGAAAGCAAAAAACGCTATGAGTAAGAGCGCAGAAATCAATTTATGTAAACCATTGTATGCGTGTCGTGTTTCGTGAAAAAGAGGCCGGAGCAATGCTGCCTCTCTCATTGTCCCGAATCTCATCTTCTATCAGGAATGGGTTCATAGTCGTCCTCAGCAGGCAACATCTTGGCTGCCACTGTAATGCCCACAACATCCATCAACAGCACAATCCAAGAAACCGTGCAAAGAATCCAACTCCTATCCAACTTCCAGCCCACGAAAAAGCGATTGTCGTGATCGAAAAGGAAAGCCTGTTCGCTTTTAATCAGCATGCCTGTCTCCAAAAACCCAAAGCAGGACACGCAAAGCAGACTTACCACAATACCCATGGCAGCAACCTGAACACTCACCACAACCGCCAGTAACCCCACACACATCTTCCACCCATTATCTCTGTTTCCTCTACCTCCCAACAACACAACTGCAAACGCGACAAGAGTCGCCAACTCCAAGACGACGGAAAAGTTCATCAGGAAGCCTACGCTCCTCCACATGGAGCAAAAGTATCTGTCTTCGCCATGGCAGTCTTCGGGTGCTGGGAATGGTGTACAGTTGCTGGTGAGAGAAGAGCAGCGGCGATGTAGACCATAAGAGACGTGGATGGGTGTGGTAGGGTGAGCGGGGTTGGGAGAGGTGGAGACAGGACTGGTGTACGAGATCCAATCGGGGAGTGCCATGGAGGTAAAGGTCAGGGCGACGGCTGTGTGAAGACCAAAGCATTAGTGTTTGATACTGAAAGGGCAAGACAAAGGACAAGGGAGAGACATACCAGCCAAAAAGACCCAGAGGCCTATACCATAGACCATGCGGCGCGTCATGTTTGCTGCAAAAGACGAGGAAGACCGAGTCGACTCTCCTCTCTGGCAAAAGACCAAACAGAGTCCTCGAGGGTGTATGGGAGTCACGACCCGAAGCCTGGCAAGAGCGATGATCGGATAGGAAAGATGTCGGTGAACAAGGACCTGTCTCCTTTGCGACAGCGAGCCGCAGGTCGCTTAATCCTGGCGCCTGTTCCTGCCACTTTATCGCTCGATCGCCTACGTCATCTATACCAAGAAGACAGGGTTGTGCTTCCGACCACTAATTTCCAATCGTCGACAACGATATCTCGACAACAACAATGCGATAAGAGAGTCTGTATGTTCAGACAGACTTATTGGGGTATAATTGGTTGCTCTGCGAAGATCTGACTTGCTCGCTGTAGATCTGAGGCAGATAATCTATGTCAACTAGAAAGGTAATGAGAGGCACACGAAGCCATGTCCACTCCGACGCAGACCAAGATCATTTTTCAACTGAACATTATCATCGCAGAACACAGAGGACACAAAGAAAGAGATAGAGATCCAGTGACGATAGTGAGAATTCATACATTATACAGAATACGAACGACAAGCAAAGAAACAATGGTATCATTCTGTCCCCTCCAGAAATCAAGAGCAAGAAGAGCCTCAAAAAAGATCCTAAAGCTCAATCTCTTGCTCATTTCTAATAACCAGACCTCGGCATAACAAAAGAAATATAAGTGGAAAAAAGACCAGGATTATACATTAACGAGAATTGCCTCTTTCCCTTTTGCCAATTTCCAAACACATCCCGATCTTTGACTGTTCTGTTTCTCCCTGTCCGTGATTACGGTGTAGACCAAACTTAGTCGTGTAAGCCGAATAGCTTCCTCAAGCCCGAGAACTTCTTCTTCTTGTTGGAGCTGGCGCTCTGCATGGTGCCTCCGTTGGCCATGGTGTTGAGCTCGTTGCCGCTCATGCTGCGCCTGTTGAGGTCTGGTCGCATGGTCTTTTTCATGGCTGGCACGCCGTCGCTGGTCGTTGGTCTGGGATTGTTACTAGCATCGCCATTTGTGGGTGCAGCGGGTAGAGGCCAATTCTGTGGTGTTGTGCGCCTTTGAAGCTTGGGCTGTTTGGGACTGCGCATTGTAGTGGGACTGCGCGGGTGTTGTGAATCGACCGGTGACTGTGGCACAACGGATGAGCTGTTTCTGCGAAGTACGCTTCCGAGGAAGCCCTTGCGTCTGGTGGGTGTCATGGGTGTTTCCGGCACTGTGGTGTTGCTTGCTGGTACTGGAGGTGCTTGAGGTACACCAGGTTCGCGACCACCGTTCATGGCAGCGACATTACGTCTGGCAGCCTCCATTGCTGCATCTATGTCTGATTGGCTGGGCACAGCAGGCTTGTTGCTGGCTCTTGCAGCAGACTTCTTTCCGTTGCGACCCTCATCTTCAGAGTCGGAGAGATCGGTTGAATCAGAATCTTGACCTCCACGCTTGGGAATGCCACGGACTGGTGCAAGATTGGCAGGCATATGCTTGGGAGGGCCGATAGGAGAATCTTCGTCATCGGAGTCAGCGAAGCGACTGCGGTATGCGCCTCGGGGAGCATCATCTTCGTCATCACTGTCCGCGAAACGAGATCTGAAGCNCCCGGACTTTGCCTTTGGTGTGGGTGCAGGTGCTGCCTTTACTTTGCCAAAGCCAGACATGCTGAAGCCGGATTGAGCCTTTGCATCACGCGAAGCTCTGCTGTTCTTGCCACGCATCGTTGGCGCATCATCTGCAGGTGCCCCACGCAAGGACTGCCTGATCTTCTCGCCTTGGTTGCGGCCCATGAAGGATCCTGTTGGTGAGAGAGAACGCAGGCTGAATCGGCCACTTCCGTTCTTGGCTGGCGGTGAAGCTGGCGGCGAAAGTGCTCGTCCACGCTCGGCGGGTGGAGGGCCAGCATCTACGGAACCAGAGCGCATTGAGCGCTTCATGGTGTATTTGCCGACTGAATCCACAGTCGAAACTGAACCACGACGCTTGTTCTTCTTGAAGCTGGATTCGGAGTCTGAATCGTAAGCTGGGAGAGGAGCAACGACTGGTTTGGAGGGCTTTTGCGCAGGCTGCGACTTGGCTGCTGCAGCAGCGGCCGAACCTGCTCCAGGAATGCTAGTCGCGACGGGAGCCGACACTCTCTTAGAGGCAGGCTTACCGCCAGCGTCTCCGCGCATTGAGGTTCTCATAGATCCCTCAGAGCGCATCGTTCCACCGGCACGCATAGACGTACGCATGTGTGTCTCGTTCGAAGGAGCAGCAGGCGCATGAGGACCTCGCATAGACTTGCGCATCTGAGTTTCGCTCGAGGTACGCTCTGACTCGCCAGATGTGCGCATCGACTTGCGCATGACAGGTGCACGCGACTCTTGCTGCTCGTCAGTCTCGAAGGGATCATCTCTGGTTGAGATGACAGCCGGCGCAAAGGTAGTGGGATTTGTTATATCCAACTGGTCGACAGGCTGCCTCTTCTTCTTAGGTTTGGGTGCAGCCTCGACGACGGGAGCGGCAATCGCGGCCTCAGCTTCGGCTTCGAGCTCCAACTTTTTCGTTCTGCTCAAACTGCTCCAGTACGCAGTTGCCGAGTTCCAGTCAGTATTGTCTGTCGTCATGAGCTGCTCGTCTGTGAGAACAGATGAATCTGACATGGTAGCTCTCGAAGGTGGAAGGGCAACTTGTGGGCTAATTGGAGGGCTAGGAATAACAGCTGCAGGCTTGACCACAGGACTCTCGACAATGGCATTGAGAGAAGCGAAACCACCATGGTGGAAGTCTTCTTCGGCATCTGCAAAATCTTCGCTTGTATCAGAATCCGATTCATAGATGGGTTGCAGCACTGGTGAGTGTTCATCTATCGTAGTCTGAGTGGGTTGCAGCACTTCTGCCTCGTCATCGCTTGAGTCGTTCTCGGACAACAGAGCTTCATCACGAATAGCTTGCCTCGAGAGAGCAGCAGGCTTGTTGTGCTCTGCCCAGTCTTCACCATCCCAAGATCCAGGCATACTGTTGCGCTGCTTGAGCGTGGGTCTCTGACCGGCCTGCACAGCTGCTGCTTCAAGCGGAGATCCAGTCTCTTCAGCGCCAGGTGTGGGAGGCTGGAGAGCGAGGGATGGCACAGCAGCCTCGATAGGGTTTTCTTCAGGGGCCTCTGTACTGTGTTCCGAGGTCTTGGACTCGTAGGTAGTCGATACTGTCTCATCCTTGGTAATCATGTTCTCAAAATGAGAAGATGGCTGGACATGCGGTTCCGTCTCGTCCTCAGAATAGGCCGAGTCTGACATGTCGACTGATGTTTCCTTGCTAGTTACCTGCGGAGGAAGCGGCTCGTTTGTGATGTGAGTCGTCTGGTTATCAAACATGCGATCTTTCTGGGCGTAATGCTGAGCTAGAACGGCGCCCACTAGATGGTCGTTAGAAGCTTCGCGATGATCTGGCAAAGTGCTTGCGCTGTTTGTCATGCTAGAAGATACAGTCTCGGTGATCTTTTCAGGCTTCTCAGCCTGCTCAAGCTTGCGACCTCTGACGCTGCTGAAGGATGGAAGTGCTGATCGTGGCTTCATGATTTCGTTGATGTCGTCGGTCGCCCATGATCCTGAAAGCTCTCTTCGTGCGTTGGGATCGATAGCGGGTGAGACGGGGGCATTGCCATCCTCGCTGATTCGAACGCTCTTCTTTACCTTGGCGGGTTTGATGCCGTCCTGAGAAGCCAAAGACGTGGTGTCAGATGTTTCGCTAGGAGGAGCTTTTGCTCTGCCATTAACAGCCACGTTAGGAGAGATATTCCTAACGGAGGAAGCAGGAGACTGTCTAAGTGCTGACTTCATAGGCGAAACAGATCGAGGAGGAGGCTGATGTCTGACACTCATTGGTGTGACTAGTGACGAGCCCTCGACGAAGTGTGCATGTACGTTGCGCGAAGGACTCAAGGAGCCAGCGCGCTGACCGTAGCCTCTAGGCACATCTAGACTGGCGGCTCTTGGACGAGTGCCTCCAGGCGCAACGTAAGCCTTGACCGCTCCTTCGGACGTGGTGATGGTTCCTGGCAGAGTACCTGGGTCAGTGTCTCGAAGCGACCTAAGCAGATTGTGTTTGACCGGAGTTTTGATCGGAGTAGATTTTGGCTTGGGCTTTGACTGAACCTCAGCAGTAGCTTCAGCTTCCGGATCTTCGCGAACCATAGATGGTTGCTTGTGCAAGGTGCTCGTAGGACGAGGGGAGCTTGGGCTGTTGGAGGCATCTGTGCTAGGAGAAGGATTGACGGGCGCGAGCGACGAGCCTCCAGAGGCTTGAGTATCTACGGGAGGCACGACTGTCGTTCTCTTCTTCTTTTTGGGCGTCGTCTCTGCTGGGATAGGCTGGGATAGCGCGGCTTTTGTCTGCACAGGTTGTTGTGGTGCGTTACGCACAGCAGAACCAGTAGGGGCTGTATTCATGGTACCGTTGGCGAGACGCGCGCCTTCAGTGACAGTCTTCTTGTTCTTCTTGACGGGCGCATTGGCAGCATTCTGCACGTCTTGTTGTATTTNTCTGGCCGCTGGCGAAGAAAGTCCGAGAGCGGATTGAGGTCTGGCGGGCGAAGGCGAGGGATTCGCACGAGGAGTTCCATTGCTGACCTTGGGCGAGGTGAACCAGCCGACGCTTGAGTTTGGGCGTGGTGGAGGAGACACGGCGCGACTGGGGCTCATGGGCCGTGAGAAGTTTACACCGGAGCTGTCTTCTCTCTTCAATTCAGGCATTGTAGGCAGGTTGAGCGTTCTGCCTGCTCTGTCGACACTGGTGTTGCGCTTGGCGCTCCTGGGGGTACTTGGGCTCTGGGGCACGCTGATGCGATTGGGCACGTCAAGACTTGCTGCCCTCCGCTGTGATTTCATGACGTTCTTGGGAATGGCAGGGACTGGAGGCGCATCGGGTGCAGGCGACACGGCTCTTTGCCTGCCTCCAGGCGAAGGCGATCGGAATGTTCGGTCGGTCATGGACGAATTGCTAGTCGTTCTGACCATGCCGTTCCTAGGGTTTCCGCCCATGACAGCGCCGCTCGCTACCGATGATTGAGAGCCTCTCCGGACCATGCGCTTGGTCTGGATAGATCCCACGGGTTCCGGTGACGACGTCAAGGATCTGAGGGCTTGAGCGGCGGCGGCAGAGGACAGCGAGGCGGCCGACGGAGACTTGTTAAGAAAGGCGGCGCTCGCTGCTATGGCGGCCGACGACGAACTCGGAGGGCCCCGGGGCAGCGGCTGGAGTTGTTGTGAGTGCTTGTTACAAAGATACATGTGTGTTGCACGGGACCGACCGGCTGCGAGCTCGCGCGCTTGCGAGCGAATAGAGGCATCGCGCAAATGAGGCCTCAATTGATGTCTAGGAATGCCTTTGTCTAGGAAAAGACGGATGACAGTACTTGCGACAAGACTCTTCCAATGGGTTCGAAGGGCGATAGAATTCCAGCGCGTCACAAAGCAAACATGACGTGCCTGGGGAAGTCTTGATCCTGTTTACTGCGAATGAGGCGGCGGCTGCTGTGCGAGTCGCAAGAGCCGGATGTATTGGTGCACAAGAATACTCGTGATGGATATGGCGTCGAGGACAAAAGGGAAGAAGACGAGGAGAAGCGAAGGTGAAGGCTCAGGCTCAGGCCCAGTTCGACCGTTCCAACATGCCTTTCTCCTTGTCTCGACATCCATCTCTTAAGCTTTTGCAACTTCAAGCCCATGACGATCCCGCTGCCGAGTGTGTCCGTGCCCTACCGCTGAACCACCCGTGATGCGCCATGACAACAAACTCGACTGACTGANCGGAATGCTGTGTCTCGAGTTTCCTTGCTTGCGCCTNNTGAAGATGCAACAATGTGTACGAGTGCACCATCGTCGGCTTCTATATCGCCTTGACATGGCTGTTGTCTTCGATCCNNAACTGTTTGTAGTTTTCGTCATCCTCCCGCAGATCCGTTTGGTCTTGGCTGACTTTCGAAGCCTCCACCAATTTGTCAACCCTGAAATTTGATGTTCGAGAGAAAAAGAGACAGCATGAGACATGAGACCGACAACATAGAATGCTTCATGGACATGTACTGTGACGGAGCCCATGTCGTAGCCATGAGGAGCATCAACAGTTGTTACACCTTGCAACCGCTGTGCTGGGATTTGGTTGCTGATCAACGTTGATCTGTACTCCGTATGCCGCGCTCGTGCCATGTTGATCTTGGAAAAGGTCCCTCCGAGGAAGCTCTGATACGCCCATGATGATGCTAAGAACATGGCATATAAAGATAGGTGGGAACCCAGGGAACAACAATGCGTCTTCAAATACTCCGTCTCTCGAGTCTGTCCGCTGTTGCACGAATCGTACACTCTTTGCGACTGAGCAACCCGGACATTGACAATACCGGTGGACTAATTGAACTCCGCCAGGATAGTGCCAGTCGTATATAACCTGGGCGGACCACGTTGATTACTGGCATTTCGAGTAATTACACATAGAGCACGTAACGACCTCGGTAAAGCGGAGAACGAGAGCTTGTCGACTCCTCTTTGACGCGTGACTGCTATGTTCCCACCTAACTCACCAACATCATCTCAACCGTAAACAGTGACCTGAGCAAAACAGCCAATCAATCGCTGTCAGCATTCCACCATGACTTCGCTCGAGCCATTATCGCTGCCACAAGGCCTCGAAGAATCCTACATTGATTGCACAGACTCGTGCGGTCTGGTATTCCACATCATTTCTGCCGGACAGAAAGACAAGCCTCTGATACTATTGACCCACGGTTTCCCAGAGATCGCCTTTTCATGGCGAAAAATCATGCCAGCTCTGGCAGCCCAAGGATACTACGTCGTTGCACCCGATCAGCGAGGATATGGCAGGACTACTGGCTGGGACACACGACCATTCCACAAAGTTGACCTGAACCAATTCACCATGACAAATCTGGTGCGAGATTTGGTTTGCTTGGTGTACGCGTTGGGCTATAAGGAAGTGCATTGCCACATCGGACACGACTTTGGAGCTGTTTCGAGTTCCACGGCACCGCTCATGCGGCCTGACATGTTCAAGAGCTGCATTCAGATGTCGCATCCTCATCATGCACCGCCGACTCCATCTTTTGATGTCAAGGCTTCAGCGGAGCCTATATCAAATCCCGGCTCTGGCTCAACTGGGAAAGTAGATATACAAGCAGAGCTTGCGAAACTCGACCCTCCACGAAAGCACTACAAGTGGTACAATTCTACTTCAAAGGCCTCGACAGACTGGGAGACAGCGTCGCAAGGACTGCACGAATTTCTTCGAGGTTACTTCCATGTTAAGTCAGCCGACTGGCCAAGAAACGACCCGAAGCCATTAAAATCATGGACAGCGGCTGAGCTGGAGAAAATGCCAAACTACTACATCATGCCCAANGGGTCCAGCATGCCAGAGACGATATCTGACATGATGAGAAGTGAGAATGACTCTGCAACGACAAATTGGCTGCCCGACTCGGATCTGGCCGTTTATGTGAAGGAATGGCAGCGTGTAGGATTCCAAGGTGGATTGAACTGGTATAGAGCGCAGACCAGTTCGTCACAGATTCAAAAGGCGGATATGTTGCTGTTTGCAGGTAGAAAGATCGAGGTGCCGTGTGCATTCATAAGTGGTGAGAGGGACTGGGGTAATTATCAGCAGCCTGGGGCGCTGGATGGATACAAGGAGAGCTGTTCGGACTTTCGAGGAGTCACGTTCATCCCACATGCGGGACACTGGGTTCAGCAAGAGCAGCCCGAGAAAGTGATTGAGGCGGTGTGTGAGTTTCTTGATGGATTGTGAATAAAGGTGCATAGATATGCATGGACGTTCACATGTCAAAATCGGGGTATAACAATGCACGAGTGCACACGCCACTTGTGACTTCCTTGGGCTTCGATGGTGAACAAAGAAAGAGAATCATGAGGACCGTTGCTGAAAAGACTTGATTGAAGATTTCTCAAGAAAGCTCTGTACTCGTTTGCCGACTCTGACAGCTTCGTCCTCTCCTGGTGTGTTGTCAGTGATATACGTCAGGGAGAAATTCCGTGCAAACCCCTCCACGCAGCAAAGTCGGGCCAGACCCCGCCTAAATCCTCTTTCTTCAGTCATCACATCAACCCACCAACATCACCCAAGAGTCACGACCATCGACCCTGTACCACCACCGACTGCACACAGCCCGTGCCCGTCTTCCTGACAGCAGAAGCGACAATGGACTCGATGCGCAGCCTCAACACATCGCTGCCTCGCACGTCGCCTCGTCGCAACCAACAACCNCCGGAAGAACTCCTCTCTGCCTTCAAAGCCGCCGCCCTCTCCGTCACAAACCTCTACAAGAACGCTGCGTCCGAGCAGGCAAGATCACGCGCTGCCGGCTACCAGGATGCCTTGGACGACCTACTCTCTTTTCTCGACAAGGAAAATCTTGGTCTCGGTGACGGCGAGGGTTGGCGGGTGAGGCAATGGGCCACCGAACGCTTTGATGGAGCCCCTTCTGCCGGACGCGAGAGCGATGATGAAGAGGAAGAGCAAGAAGAGCAACCGCGGAGCTCCAGCCCTGAAGTCGTCAGGAAACCCACCNNGCCGGTCCTCAAGCGACGAATGAACAACCACAACCCGAACCTATCATTATCCATCAGCCACAAGAACAGCAACCACAAGTCACTCGCCCAGACGCTGCTGNNTCCCTCAAGCNNAGATGCTTTCACCTTTCGCTCGTCCCTGGCATACCCCTCTCCACACCACGACCGAGAAGTAGACATGGATGCCTCCAACAACCCACCCATCGACTCTCCCAATCCATCAACATCCAACAATCCACTCAGACTCGAAGTCCATCCCAGACGACGAAACAACCACAACCGCTCCAACAACAATACCAATACCAACAGAATCACATCCATAAACCTTGGTTCTCTAGGCTCAGGCACCGGCTCCAAGCGCAAAAATCTGGGAGACTTTTTCGACATCTCGGGCCTTTCATTTGGGAACAATGGCAGAGATGGATCTGATCGTGGAGGAAAGAGAGGGAGACATGTTTGAGTCTCGCATTCCTGAATATTCGTTCAATTTTCGTCTTTTCTGCATGAGAGGAAGCAAGCCATGAATTACGAACATAACTTTGAGTCTGATGTTTCTGTCTTTTTGTTTTGAAAGCATTCACTGCGGTTTTGTTGCATTGGGGATGACTCAGCTGTCTATTTTTCTTGTTCTGCTTCGATTCTTACACTGTGGCATACCGAATGCGGTGTCTGCTGATATTCTTTCACGTTACGTGTTGAACATGAGTGTTTGGCTTTGCATGATCTTTCTTCATTATATACAACTGTTTTTGGTTCGTTGCAGCGTCTAAACCACTATACTCTTAAATGATAATCATTGATCAGCTTCTTGCAGCATCTTCTCATGCCGTACTTTCTGTCCTGTCGCAGTGTTCCCTTGAAGATGTGGGTAACCGCATGCATACCTACCAAATGCAGAAACACAAGACTGTCTGACGACTCGATGCTGTGCTTCTTCCGCTCCTGCAAGATTCCGTTACACGTTGCAAAGCATCCGCTCTCTTTCCTCCGTTTCACCACATGCAGAACTTTTTTCCTTTTCAATTATATATTGAAAGATGATATTCACATGAACGCCCTCCAAACCCCCAATCCCACCAACAGACTACTTAGTCCAGTAATCCCAAAGCGTCGAGCAGACATTGTGAGTTTCGAGGCGCTGCGAGCGATTTCTTGGGACCGGGAGGAGAGTTCGCGGTGCCCGGACCAGTAGGTATAGCCACCTAGAGCGGTAAATGCTGTTGCTCCNNTAGACAATGCCATCAGTAACCGAGATATAGTGGTAGGTAGATGTAGCATACCCATTACTCGACAACTTAAACAATCATAGTTTGCTTGTTCTCGGGCGAGGACTTNTTTCAGTGGTTCCGGGGTGTTGTCTTTGGCGGCTAGTTGAGCGTAGAGGTCGGAGGGTTTTGTGGTTGTGATGGCATATTTTTCTTGGGCTGGTGGTTCTTCCTCTTCTTCGCTGAACAAGGTGGGGTTATAAATGCAAATGTTTGGAGTTGATGTTCAGTCTTGTTGGTGGCTAAATGCAGTGGTGATGGGTGGTTGTGGCGCAAGGGTATGCGGTCGCAGACGGAGTAAGAGACTAGACTGATTGAGGCATGGTAGCCGTGGGCGAGACACGAGGCCTTGTGGGTCTGCTTGGCCGCAAAGGATCAAGGAGCTTCTCCAAACTCCCCTGTCTCGACGACCGTTCACCGTCCGTCTTTTGCGCAACCACTGCGATCTTCAACGCGACACGCAATTTCGCTGCTGCCACTATCCGCACTAATAACAACCTTGTATTAACTGACAGCACTCGCACTCGTTTTCTCCCGCTGCTGTCTTTCTTCTCGTCTTTCGCTTTTTGTTCTTGTTTCTATTCTAGCAGCGCAGGTCGTTTATTATACTTCTCCATCCACTCGTTCACGACCGTCTGTTTTCCTCTTCCCCCTCTTGCTCGCGCCGGCCGTTGAAAAGCGGTGCTCCTCTCCTTGCCATCTGCATCCACCCGGCCTTGTCGCACGACCCAGCCTCTCTGATTAATTACTACCAACAAAGCACAAGAGGACAAAAGAAACAAAGCAGTCGTCTTTGTGTTTCTCCCGCGAGATTGCGACGCCGCCTCCACCTCGACATCTCCAGACGACGCAACAAAGACTTTGATAGCAATGGAATCCTCCTTCTCCAACGGTGCGGCTCCTGTTCTCTCCCAGTATACCTCCACACAAGATGCACCATACTGACATTCTGCTATCAGTGCATCCCCATGTAGTGCAGGCAATGCACAGCCTGTTCAAGCGCAACTGCGTCGACTGTCCTGGAACCACACCTTCCTGCCCCTCATGTGCCGGAGGCAAGGTCTGCTCACTCGTCCCCCAATCTTGCGACACTTGCGCATACACAACTTGCGTCATCTCTAACGATGCCCCATCACACCACTCGGGTCCCAATGTCGGTGCCATTGCCGGAGGAGTAATAGGTGGTGTCTTCTTTGTCGGCCTCATCGTCTTCGCCTTTTACTGGTACGTGATACGACCGCGTCGTGTAAAACTGGAGGAAGAATGGGAAGAGGAGGACCAAGCCGAGAACCGCAAGTCCAACTTCAACATGCAGAGGTCAGAACGCGCGTCGGTGCACACGGTGCACTCGGTTGCCAACAGCATCCTCAGCCGCGCCTCCAACTTCATACCCATCGCCTACATTCCCGGCGTCATGAACAGAAACGGAAACCAAGAACACGTTCCTCCAGTCCCACCGATCCCTGCTGCTCACGGCCCTCCTGTCAGCGGCCGCTCGTCCAACGGGGAAGCTCTATTCTTCAGTCCTGCCGACCTTCGCGACTCGACATACTCGGATTCTTCGTCTTTGGACAACCGCAGTACCTTCTTCGGCCGCCCCAGCATTACACCCTCTCTGGCTCGCAGCAGTATAGCTTCCTATCGCGACGATGCCGTTGCAAACCCCATGCCCGCCCAAACCGTGCTGCGCGGAAAAGCAAACGTCGTTAGTGTAAAGAGCGGAAACAGCGGCACACCCACCTCAACGCCACCCCAAACCACCCCCGCCGAAGAAGTCGCCAACCCCTTGAATCGCAGCGCCAGCGGCAGAAAACTAAACATTGTCATGCCCACCTCCAGCGATGCCATCCGCCCTGGCTCCTCCAACTCATCCTCGTCACAACAAACCCTCAGCAGTGCCAGTTACGGCAAACCCACCTTACTCACCGTGGGCGGCTCGAAAGCAAAGAAAGGCCGATTCCCCGTCTCCTCTTCCGACTCTTCTCCCTCGCAAACAAAGCCCAATGTATCCTCTCCACTAGCAAACTCTGCAGCCACTACTCCAGATGAAGAGATCGACGCATCGCCATTCTCAGATGCTGCGTCTATTTCTCCTCCGTCGGCGAACAAACGTACGCCGGGAGGGTTGTCCGCTGTCATTGAAGAGACGGGTAGTATGAGGGGAAGCCTGGCGGCACGGAGATTGAGCAAGCAATTGGCGCAACAGGTTCCTCGTGGCCAGAGTCCTTTTGGGGATGAGCATGAGGCATAATGTTGATGCTTCGATTTGATGGCTCTTTTCCTTCTCTGCTCTTGAAATCCCCCTTGTCATGACTTCTCAAGATGTCTCTTTTATGTTGATGTCTCCATTGCACTGCACCTTTGAATTCATCTTTTTTCTTCTTCTTCTTTTTCTCACGTCAACAACATACCTTTCCACGAACGCCGGGATTTCTTTTGCTTCTCTCTTCTTCTTCACTTTCATGGTTCCGGCGCAATGAACACACTATGCATCATTATCTTGCGCTGGACGTTTGTAGATGTTTTCTTTGGTGTTTCTCTTCACAAAAGTGGGTGGTTTAGCGATGTTTCTCTTGCTCTTCTTGGATAAGCCTTTTATTCCACAATTCAAGTCTTTTTCTTTTCCTTCTTCTTCATTCCGATTTTTCGTGGTGTTTGGCGTGTGATCAGTTTCTCGCGTGTGCACTATGTGATGGTTGCTGCACTTCTTTTGGTCAAGCATTGCGAGAGTACCGAGGAGTCGATGTATGGTCTTTGAAAAAGGTATGTGTTTTGTGTCTATGTTTCCTTTTTCTGCACACGGGCATCTTTGATCCAAGCAATCCCTTGCAACAAGTATGGTTGCCAGTACATTTGTGCTGTTGTGTGTGTGTGTGTGTGTGTGTGTGTGTGTGTGTGTGTGTGTGTGCTTATTGAGCAACCTCATCTTTATCCTTTTCAGATCTCTTCAGAGCCCTTGATGCACGCCTGCGTGGTCGATTTTCAACTCAAACCCCTGTGCATCTCTGCTTCTTTCCGTCCATCCTTCATTGCCCCATTGGTTCACAACAACTCTAAACCCAGCTGCCGCAACAGCTTTATCCCTAGCCTCTGCTTGTCGTGTTGCCGTCTCTGCATCGACATCTTTGCTAAATCCCTTGACCTGATTTCTGCAAATGACAAGGCGGAGGGTGGAAGGCAAAGGCAGCTGTGGGCGTAATGCCATGTCTTCAGCCCCCGCACCAGCAGAAAAATGCTGCACAGTATAGAAAACAGGGGTTTGGAGAACAGCTCCCACGCGTTTTAGACAAGAAGCCAGAGCTGGGAATTTTGAAGCTGAAGTTGGTGGAGTAGAAGCGGCTTTATCGTCCCAGAAGTAGGTGCTGGGGGTGGAGATAAATATACCTCCTACTCTTTTGCAGAAACTGGGGTTTGAGGGCGAGAGAAAGTAGGTAGGTAATGAGGATACAGTGGCGATTAAAGAGGATATGGTGGAAGGGTAAAAAATGTGGATGTGTTGAAGATGAGCGTGAATGATTTGTTGGGCGGTGGAAAGGGGGAGGTTGGGTGATTCGGAGAGAATGTGGTGGAGAAGGGTTTGGGAGAGTCGGGGTAAGGAAATGGGCGTGCTGGAGAGGAGGGCTATTGCTGTTGGTGCTGAGTGGGAAGTTTCCTTGGATGGTGCTGGGATGTGGGTGTTTGGGTGTTGTGCTTGTTGTGTGGTTTGAAGGTCTGTGTCGTCTTCTCTACTAGCTTCTGGGTCTGTGGTTGTAGTGTCTTTGGCATGATCTTGCTGTTCATTCGAATCATCTTTCGCGGACTCGGTTGCCTGATTAAGTGGATCTTGTGCACCACTTTCCAGTACCAGATTTGCGATTATCCAGTACAAGAACTCGGTCTTACCAGACTTGGAACCAGGACTGGTGATCTCGATGATTGGAGGTGCAGGTATGGCAGAAAGGTTTGTAGGGTCGAATCGTGTAGTGTGGTTTGCAAGCAGTCTGTCCAGTGCAGGTACACCGACTTTTGAGTTTGAGGATGGGTTGTGTAACAATCGGAGAGTGGTGAGGAGCTTTTCAGTGTGAGTAAAGATTCAGTTTAGCGAGAAGAGTGATGATCGTGATCCAAAGAGGAAATGCTCTTGGAGTTGATGGAAGTATAACGTGACGATAAGGATGTGATTTTTCTTCTTGCTGCAATTCATGTCTTCTTACTCATGAATCAAGAACAATGTAACAGAAAAAGAACAACAATGATCGTCGCGGTGGTGATGGAACAAAAACAGAAAAAGGACAAAAAACTCACCTCATCCAACCTCTGGCTTCTCACCTGCCCCAGCTCCCTCGTCCCCAGATCTTCAGCAGACATATCAAACCTCTCTTTCCATCATCAACACAACTCTCTTTTCTTGTTTGAAAAAGACTCACCAGTCACTCAAAACTCCTTGACTACCACTCTCATCCACAATGGCACCAGCAATGACNCCCTTCCACCCCGCTTCCCTCGAAACAGCAATAAAATCTCTCCCCACGGGCAAAACCCGCAAACCCTCCAACCAGCAAAACTTGGAGCAGTGCAAGTTGATGGAGATTATGCAATTTGATTGCAATGTTGTGCAGCACAAGAAACACAAGAACGGGATGGTGGTGTGTGAGCCTATCCAGAGGGTGTTTAGAAGGTGAGTTTGGCCAAAGAGGAAAAGCAGAGGTAGAGAAAGAAGTCGCGGGGAACAAGGGCTGACGAAAAGAGGGAAATACAGGTGTAAAGATGGTCTTATGGTTGAGACAACGGCTTGGGAGATGGATGTTTGATGGATGGCGGATGGGATATTGATTGCGGTGGACGATAATGGCGCTATGGAGTTCGAGCGGCGGGCGTCACTGGGGTGGTTTATTTCTTTTTTCTTTTTCTTCACTACTGAAAAGGAAAGAGCTCATCGCATGCACGTATCGAGAAGGAAGGAAGCACTGCTCAAAAAATTCAAGATCAGAAGGCACATATGGATTGTGAAGTGCATAGCAATCGTGAATGATTCTTGGGGTATCTCTTGACTGCCTCGTCGTTTTGCCCAAGTCCATTCCATGTCCCGACCCCAGCCAGAAGTCCCAATGCCCAGAAGAAAAAGAGAAGAACGCCTCGCTAAAGATGCAGTTTTCGATCGGTCAGATATGCACAGCACCCCTCCCTCTACGCCAGTGGTTGCGGTCATGGTTGACCATCAGAGCACCACTTCCACGTATCAAATCAGCCATGCTGGACGGCTTGTCACTGCCATGATCTTCCAAGCATCCATCTAACCTGATGTCTCCGTCTGCATCCTGCCTTGTCGGAACAGAGTCGTCATCGTCGTCCAGCAGATCTAAAATGGTGTCTTGCCATAGCTTGTCCTTGGCCTTGTCGACGGTCGGCTGACGTAGGCGGGCTTTGTTGGCAGTGGTGAGCTTGCGCAAGGCATGCTCGGCTTGGACGCCTTCGTCTGTAGCGCGTTCGCGGATGCGTCGAGGGTCTTGCTCGCGTTGTGTGAAGAGGGCAGTACTCTGCCAGGCGTGACGACTCGGTAGCGGAGGAAAGTGTGAGGGTATGTATCCGTATTGTTGTGTCGCAGGTGTGGCCAACTCTTGACCAAGCATGGGCGCCAGATCGGNGGGAGGAGCCTCATTTGGTCGTGGAGGTTGGATGGTAGGATTGGCAATGTCGTCCGGGAGGCGCAAGTTCAGGTGCGGATCTAGGTGATGTGACTCCAGGCCGGCTTCGGCCAGAGCAAAGATAAAGTCTTGCGGTATGGCCGTCGTTCGTCGTGAGGCTATCATCGAATCTTTGACGGTTGTGAGGAAGTTCATCATGTCTGGATCGCGTCGAGTCAGCCAACTGCGCGCATTTGTTTCCTCAATGCAGCTCCTCACNNATTCTTCGACTTCTGCGCGAAACATTTCCAGAGCTGAGGGCTTGACGGTGTCATAGCCGACGACGGTCAGGGCGGTGCAGATGGAGCGCAGCAGCTGGGCCTGGATGAAAGCCTCATCTTGCGCCGCGGGCTCCGTCGCTGTCGGCAGTTGTTGGATGTGACTGAGTTGATGTGTGCGTCTGACTGTTGATCCAGCTCGTCGTCTCTTGAGTGGATTCTGCTGCGCCGATGACATGGTTTGTTGTGTGCTTGTGGCTAGAAATGATGTAGCCCTTCTGGCAGTCGCAAACCGCCTCGGAGCTTGCCGCGACTGCTGCTTCTCCGCGTTCTGAAGCCATTGAGCAACCCTGTCTCCGTCCGAGTAATACCCCATCATCTTTGTCTTGCGTTGTTCTCTAAATGTTACTTCTGAAAAAACAGAAGATGTTGAGTGAGGTCCAGAAGCTGCAGTTGTCGTTGGTTGGTGGCCATTAGTCCGTCGACGTGATCTTTAGAAGTATTCAGCGAGCTTGACGCTTTCACATGACGATCGCTCTAGCAACCATACAGCACTCACTTCAGTACTACTCTGTGTATGCGAATCTACCCAGGTAATCAACACTGATAACAGCCATTGTTCAGTGACGACAGACCTTGCCTTACAGCTTGACTGCATCTCGATCGTGTGAGACAAACACCCTCAAGTTCGAGCACAGGATGCTCAGCTCTCCTGTCTATACCAATACAAATCATCTTTCAGCTAAGAACAATGTAGAGCAACTCTGGTATGACAACCACATAAACTGCAGCATGATAGAAGGACTACTACCAACACCACCACTATCATACGCCTCGTGGACACCCTGCCGGGTTCAGAACTTTCTGTATTGACAGGAGAGTGTGACGAAGAACAGCAGTATGTCATCTTGATACTTGTTCGTTGATCTCTCTAGACCGAACGTCAAACCGACGCATCAATCTCATACTGATCATCTGGTTGGGCGGCCTCCAGGACACGGACGCGTCAAGGCCAGACCGGCACATGGCAAATCTGTCAAAGACATGTCAACATCTTCGGCGAGATCATGGAACATTCATCGCGGAATTGCCTTCGGGAATGAAAATGTCAGCCTGGCTGTCGTGATTGGCTGTAACATCCGAGAACAAGACAAAAGCTTGGGCACTTCCGAAGCCCTTCGGTGATGTGGCCAATCACAGTCCAACAGGCTTCGACTGCAACTCGGCATCTGTTCTGTCTGTCGTCGCTTTCAACGGTCCTGTGGACCTGTGCTTGATAATTGTGCGGAAACATCTAGTAAGCAGTTTTTTGCCGGCTGAGATATATAGCCCATGAGCCCCTGTAAACATGGATGTTCGCATTTGCATTTTCATCATCTCGCTGTTCTTCAAGCCAATTCTAGGAGCATACGCTCGGGCTTTTGACAATGGCTGAGAAAGAGGTACGCGATCAATCTTTCATTCTACTGACCCTCAGAATATCAGTATTGATCATTTGCAGATCAACGATCTGCCAGTATACAGACCAGACGGTCGCCGTCTTGGTGTCGTCTTTGAAAACATCACCGTTACTGGAGTAGCAGCCGAAGAGAACACAGTCACAGATTTCGCCCAAGTTCTGGAAAACATCATTACACTACCCTACCAGGCCGTCAAACTCTTTGCTGGAAATCGCCGCAAGAACGTCCGCAATCTGATTCAGGATGTCTCTGGAGTTGTCCGACCTGGAGAAACGTTACTCGTACTGGGAACACCCGGAGCCGGCTGCTCAACGACACTTCGTGCTATCGCTAGTGATGTCGAGTCTTTCGTCGGTGTAGACGGCCAGGTCTCCTACTCTACTATTTCTTCTGCTGAGGCTAGAAAGTTGTACAAGTCAGAGATTGTCTACAACAATGAGGAAGATAACCACTTCCCAAAGCTGTCTGTTGGAAACACGCTCGACTATGCCTTGGAACTGCGCAAACCGGCCAAGGATGAGCTACCGAAGGCCGAATTCAAGCAAAACATGCGATCAAAGCTTCTCGATAAATTTGGAATCTCACACACCGTCAACACTATTGTTGGAAACTCTTTTGTAAGAGGTGTATCTGGTGGTGAACGCAAACGTGTGTCTCTAGCAGAGGTCTTGACGACAAACCCAGCAGTCGCATGTTTCGATAACCCATCCCGCGGTCTGGACTCCTCATCAGCTCTTGCTTTCTGTCGCCTGCTCAAGGACATGTCGAGAAAGACCGGGATGGCCAACATTGTCACCATGTATCAAACATCACAATCCATCTACGACCAATGTTTCGACCGTGTGATTGTGCTCTACCAGGGCAGAATGATATTCTCTGGAAAGACGGCAGCCGCACGCCAGTACTTTATCGATCTTGGCTACCACTGCGAGCCTAGACAAACTACCCCCGATTTCTTGACTGCCGTCACATCCGTGACCGAGAGGACTGTTCGCAGTGATCATCTCGGTCCTGTGCCGTCAACACCTGATGAGTTTGCGCGAGTCTTTAGAGACAGCGAATTCTACCTGGAATTACAGGAAGATATAGCAGCCTATCGATCAGAGCACGCTTCGAACTCTGCCTACGTTAACGACTTCAAGGCTGAAGTCCAGCGCGTTCGCTCATCTGGTGTTTCGAAGAAGGCAGCGGAGCCACACTCGCTCCCTCAGCAGATTGTTACTGCAATCAAGCGACACTACCAACTCACGTGGGGCGATCGCAACACACTCTACACCCTCTTACTACTGAACGCTGTCAACGCTGTCATCACTGGTTCTGCTTTCTACATGGCTCCCAAGACTGCAACTGGTTCTTACGAGCGTGGTGGTGCCATTTTCTTCTCCTTGATCTACTTCTTTCTGAACGCGCTCGCTGAAACTCCCGCTACTGTTCTCTCACGTTCAATCGTAGTCAAGCAGAGGAAGCTCGGTCTTTCTCATCCATCTGCATACGTTCTAGCCCAGACCGTGGCTGATCTGCCCATCTCACTGTTCCAAGCTCTGGTCTTTTCCTGCTGTTACTACTTCATGCTTGGCCTTGGCAAAACGGCATCGCAGTTCTTTATCTTCACTCTCATCGTTTGGGTCCACTATGGCGCTACAAGTGCTCTGTTCCGCATGATTGGTGCCGTTGCCCCTAACCTCAATCTCGCACTGCTGATGGCTGGAGCTGCTATTCCTCCTTGTCTTACCTACTCTGGTTTCGCTCCTCCGTGGCCGACCTTGCATGCGTGGGGCAGTTGGATCCGTCGCATCTCGCCTTCGCCTTGGGCTTTAGAAGCCCTGACAGGAAACGAGTTTTACGACATCACGCTTTCTTGTACTGACGCCCAGATGGTTCCTAGTGGTCCTGGCTACAACAATCTTGCTAACCAGGGCTGCACGCTTCCCGGCAGTGTCAAAGGTAGTCCCGATGTGCCTGGTGCAACTTATCTCTCCTTGACATACGACATGTCCAGGACTCACCTCTGGAGAAACTTCGGTATCGTCATTGCCATGTGGATTATTTATACCATTATTGCAGCCGTCGGTCTTGCCTACACTGCTCGTGAGCAGGGCGGCGCTAGCGGTCATGTTTTCAAGCGCGGAGCTCAGACTGAGACTATGCCTAGCACTACTGCCAATTCCAGCGGTATGACCATTGGTGAGCAGGATCTCGAGAAACAGCCCAGCCGTACTGTTCATGACTTGACTCTGAACCCCGTCTCTTCTGCCTCCTCGGCCACACGCATCGACGACAATGGCAGTGACTACGCAAAGTCTGACACCAACGGATCATCTTTCACCTTCGAGAACGTGAACTATTACGTCAACGTGGCAGACGGCGAGAAGCAGCTTCTGCAAAATGTTTCCGCGTATGCTCGCCCAGGCCAACTCACAGCTCTGATGGGTGCTTCTGGAGCCGGTAAGACAACTCTCTTGGACACAATCAGTCAAAGAAAGAGCGAGGGACGCGTCGAAGGTGCAATGCGACTTAAAGGCCAGCCTCTTGATGCTACTTTTGGAAGATCTTGCGGTTTTGCTATGCAGCAAGATGTCCACGAACCGTTCTCCACCGTCAGAGAAGCCTTGCAATTCTCGGCCGAGCTTCGCCAGCCTGCTGATGTCCCTTACGCTGAGAAGATAGAGTATTGCGAGTACATTATCAAGCTGCTCGAGCTCGGTCCTATTGCCGATGCTCTGATCGGTACGCCCGGTGAAGGAGGTCTAGGAGTTGAGGAGCGCAAGCGCGTCACCATTGCTGTTGAACTTGCTGCTAAGCCCCTCACCTTCTCTTCCTGGTAAGTCTAGACAAACAATGATGCTTGTACGTTCATTATACTGATGTGATGCTCATAGGATGAACCTACCAGTGGCCTCGACTCGCAAGCTGCCTACAGTATTGTTNNTTTCTTCCTCCAGCGTATCGCTCGCGAAGGCATTCCCATCATCTGCACTATCCATCAACCTTCTGGTGTCCTCTTTGAGATGTTTGACCATGTTCTGCTCCTCGCACCTGGTGGTCGTACCATCTACTTCGGTGAGACTGGCAAGAACTCTGTAAAGGTTGTCGAATACTTCGATCGCTATGGCGCGCACATGAACGAGTCTGAGAACCCTGCCGAGTTCATCATCTCCACCGTCTCTGGCGCCGACAACTCTGCTGTCTGGCACGACAACTGGCTTCAATCTCCTGAAAAGGCACGTGTCTTGCAGACCATCCAGATGATCAACGAGAAGACATCAGTCGCTGGCCAGTCTACTTCTTCTAGCACCGGTCAATTCGCTATGCCTATCTGGCCTCAGATCAAGGCTGTCACCAAGCGTCACTGGATTTCCGTCTGGCGAGACGGTAGCTATAACTTCAGTCGCTTCTTCAAGTTCCTGTGGTGTGAGCTTTTCATCTCATTCACCTACTTCATGGTCAAGACGGATATCCAAGGCTTGCAGAATAATGTCTTGAACCTCCTCATCATTGTTCAGATTATCCCTGCTGTTGCCCCTGATCTCCAATCCATGTGGTTTAGCAAGTGGGCAACCTTTGAAGCCCGCGAGAGAAACGGCATCTATTCATGGAAAGCTTTGACTACCGCTATGATCTCTGTCGAGGTGCCTTACATGCTCGTCGGCTTTACTCTGATTTACTTCTGCATGTACTGGACCGTAGGCTACACCAACGAAACCACCATCGCAGGCTATGAATACCTTCAATTCATTACCTGCGGCATCTTCGCCCTGACTTGGAACCAGCTTCTAGCCACCATGTTTTCCAACATGCAAACCTGCGGCTTGGCATCTGCTCTCTTCTGGAACATCCTCATGATTTTCAACGGCACGCTGATCCCTCACGCCGCACTCAATGACTTCTACCGTAACTGGCTGTACTGGCTTGATCCTTTCCGCTGGTTCTTCGGCGGCAGCGTGAGTAACCTTCTCAAGCCCGTTCCCGTAAACTGCTCTGCCAACGATCTTGCCCGCTTCGATCCCCCTGCCGGACAGACCTGTGCGGCATATGCTGCCGACTACCTCTCCCGCAGCACTGGATACCTGGTCAATCCTGAGGCAACGCATGACTGTGGATACTGTCCCTACTCGCAAGGATCAGAGTATGCAGCCACCATGGACTATTACTACTCTCAGCGCTGGAGGGATTGGGGCATTTTCCTGGTGTTTGCTTTGGTGTCGAATGTTGCGCTGATTTACTTTATCACTTGGTTTACTAGGGTGAGGGGTAGAAAGACGAAGAGTGCCTGAGTTGAGGTCTTGATAGTTTCTTTGGTTGTTTGTATATTGTTTTGGTTTTAGCGTTCTTGAGATATACCCCTTTAGACTTTTATAGATGATCGTACGGATTGAATAGACATAGATATAATTGGAATGGATGCACCGTATCGGTTGCCTTTTAAATCTGTTTCAATCTGTAAGCAGCCACTTAAGAACTCCTTAAGCACGAGGGACGAGATCCTAGCATTGTCTGCTTTAAGTGTTCAGACCGGAGTTCAGATGTTATGATAGCTCGGTCCAAGCGGGATGGTCGTTGATGCACTTGTTTCTTTTATGGGAATGAAGTGACCCTGCCTCATGTGCACGAGCCTCAAAACTTCGGCTTACGTCATAAGCTGTCTTCCGTGCAATGTGTTCTTCACCTTTGTTTAACCACAAAGAGGGTGTAACAGGAAGCAGAGGTGGCTAGAAATAACATACAGGAGATGTATGCAAGTAGAAATAAGAGTAAAAGTAAAATAAAAGGAGGCGCTAGGAGGCTTGAACAGGGTCTCATGGACCCTTTTGACCAGGGCGGGATGAGCCGGAGGGGGAAGCTGCCAACAGTGGAGGTAGGTACCTTTGGGCAGGAACATCACGCCGTGAATAAACAACACAAGACACTTCTATCGCTATAGCAGATCCATATCACAGGGCAGAGCAGCAGGGCCACAGCTCGCATGCCGACTTGAGATTACACCGCAAGGCTCCTGGGCCATCGATTGTCCGTTCCTGACTGGTTCACCCTCTGGTCTACCCTCCCTCACTCACCTGACTGGCTATCAACAACATCATGTGGAACAGCCTCTCCAACTTTGCCCAAAAGGCGCAGGTCTTTGTCGACCAGAACCTGCAGACGGCCGTGACCAACCTCGCACCCTCGGACAACCGCTCGTCCAAGGCCGCCCTGTTCCGTCACCAGTTCCGACTGCCAGACTCGCAGAACCCGCTGTACGAGATCACGGCCGAGTTGACCCTCCCACCCAAGACATCCTCGTCGTCAAAGAGCCCCACAGACACACCACGCAAGAGCCACGAGCAGCGCAACAATTGGGACCGCGAGCGTGGAAACCACTACGTCGGCCGCTTGCACCTATCCGAGAAGTTCCTGTGCTTCTCTACGCAGAACTCGAGCTTCTCTCCTACTGCGAGCACATCGCTGTCTACTGCTTTCACGGGCCAGACCAACGGCGCAGGTCCTGCTGGCAATGGCTTCACGCTTCCGCTGTGTGCTGTGCGCCGCGTCGAGCGTCTGCACAGTCAGAGCTACATGTTCGCCCTGTCCATCACCACGTGGAATGGCTATCCTGCCCCCGACGAAAAGAACACAAAACACACTGGCAAGACGGCTCCGCCAGCGCCAAAGCTCACAATCCAGCTGGCTGGCAGTAGAGTACAATGCGAGAAGTTCTGCGACATGCTGAAGAAAGGATTGCGCGAGGGTATGCGCGAAGTTGATGGCATGCGCAAGGTTGTAGGAGAGTGCTACTCGGAGTACATGTTGGCTGCTGAGGCCAAGCGTCGCAATGACAAGGACACGCCTTCGGAAAAGTTGATTGATGATCAGAATTCGGAAGAACAGTTGAAGCCTCCGGATGCTGGTCTAGGCATGCAGTTCCGCTATCCTGGTGACCCCAAGAAACTCAGAGACAAGGGCAAGATGAGGTTGTGGTACGAGTATCTCCGAGGTAATGCACATCTGTACTTGATTAGAATATCAACATTTACTGACAGAATGCANGAAAACGGCAGAAATTCCACGCTCGTCAGACAGCCGGATCTGCCCCGACTGGTCAGAATCGGTCTTCCCAATCGTCTTCGCGGAGAAGTGTGGGAGCTCACATCTGGATCTTTCTATCTACGGATGCAGCAGCCGAAGCTCTACCAAGATACACTAGACAAGTACGAGGGTCAACATTCGCTTGCTATCGACGAGATCGAAAAGGACTTGAATCGTAGTCTGCCCGAGTATCCTGGTTTCCAGAGTGAGGAGGGTATCGGCCGTTTGCGTCGCGTTCTTACTGCCTACAGTTGGACTAACCTGGAAGTCGGCTACTGTCAAGCTATGAATATCGTCGTTGCCGCCCTTCTGATCTACCTCTCTGAAACCCAGGCTTTCTATCTCTTGTCCATTCTCTGCGATCGACTTTTACCGGGATACTACTCACAAACAATGTACGGCACTCTTTTGGACCAGCGAGTCTTTGAATCGCTAGTTGAGAGGACACTACCCATTCTTTCCGAGCATCTTGCCAAGTCGGATGTCCAACTGTCAGTCGTTTCATTACCCTGGTTCCTCTCGCTATACATCAACTCGATGCCCTTGATGTTCGCCTTCCGAGTCCTTGATGTCTTCTTCCTCGAAGGTCCCAAGGTATTGTTCCAGATCGGTTTGGCCATTCTCAGAGTCAATGGTGAGGAATTGTTGGACGCTACCGACGACGGCACTTTCATTTCCGTCCTAAAGTCATACTTTGCTCGTCTTGGCGAGTCAGCTCACCCCAAATCTGAGAACCCCAAACTGAGAGCAGTGACAAACTTCCAGGCTTTAATGGTTGTTGCTTTCAAGGAGTTCTCTGGCATCACACAACAAAGCATCTCTGATTTGAGAGCCAAGCACAAGGATGCTGTTCTTGACAACATCGAGTCTTTCGCAAAGCGCACCTCTATCAGAAACCTCGGTCCGGAGAGCAAGAAGCTGAGTACGAGCGATCTAGGTTTCTTGTATGATCGCTTCTATGGCGTGCTATACGAACGTCAACAAAGAATGGAGATGATCCAGCAAGAACAGGAGCGCAGAGCAAGGGCCGCCAAAACCAAGGCTGCTGAGATTGTTAGTGGCATTCCCAGCAATGTTGAGATGGGCAGAGTTGGCCTTGGCCCTAGTCCCACAGAGATGGACTATGACAGTTTCAGAGAGTTTTTGGCCGGTCTTGCTAGATGGGCCATCACAGACTCGCCCAGCTCAACAGACAAGCAGGATTCCGAGAAGAACGGTGGGTACTTTGCTAACACATTCCGCGCTCGCTCTATCTCTCTATCACCCTGGGGCTCTGGTCCGGAGCCTGCTGAGCACGAGTTTTTGCAACGTCTCTTCAAGTCTTGGGATACCGACAACTCGGATGCTCTCAACCTACAAAAGGTCGTTGCCGGTTTTGCTCGCATCAAGGGTCCTCGCGATATCATGTCTAACATCAGTTACTTCTTTGATCTGTATGATGATGACAAAGACGGCAAGGTTGATAGAGAAGGCATTCTGCGCATCTCGGAAGCTTTGCTCTTCCTGTCAAGACGTGGTATTACCGGGTCTGTCACGCCATCTGCATCATCTACCAATCTTGCCGCTCAAGCCGAGATTGGACCTGACGGCATGCCTTTGAGAGGCGCGAATAAGGATGAGCAGTTCTTGAGCAGCATATCGGCCTTCATTAGAAGATGCTTCGAGTACGCCGATCCAGACCAATCAACGGCGACTACGGAACAGTCGTCTGCTCCAGCTACTACAAAGATCGAGAAGGACTCGGATGATTCGGCTTCGGCCGCAGCAGATAACCTCAACTCCTTCAGTATTGGTGACGACGAAGACGATGAGGATGCTGAAGACGATCTGCTCCAACTCAACGACGAGAAATCGAAACCCGAGACCTCCAAACCAGAAGAGTCAACAACGGTCCCATCCATCACCAATACCCCTGTCACTCCCATCACAAATACACCCTTCAACTTCGGCCAAACTACACCAACAACACCAAACCGAAACGCAGCCGCCAACAAAGCTCTCGACCCCAACCATCCCCTCTTCATCACCCTTCCAACCTTCCGCATGCTCATTCTCGCCGACGAGGCCCTTGAAACCTTTTTCGACTCGGGCTTCCCCAACTCCTTCCATCTCGCTGATGCACCTCTTCCCGCTGGTACCGTCTCCACAGCCAACCTCACCACCTTCAGCAACCTCCCTGCCAAAGTCAACCTGCCCATCCTCAGTCCCGGCGGCCCTGGCGCTGGCGTCATGGCACCAGGAAAAGGTCTCCGCGGTATGCTGGACAACATTGTCACCGACGGTATGCGCGTAGCCGCCGAAGTGCGCCGCAGAATGGACGAAGCACAAAAGGAAATCGACCGAGGTGCTTCCACGCGTGGCACCGAGTCCGACGACGAAGAGGAAGATGAAGGCGGCAGAGATTTGTTGGAGGGCGCTGAAGTTGATGCCGCGGCGCCGCAGACACCTGCCAAGACCGAGAGTTCTGCTGAGCAGAGTATGGAGAGGGAGATTGAGGCTGCCAAACAGGCGGATAAGGGTAAAGGCAAGGAAAAGGTTGTTGATGATGTTCAGAAGAGTACGGTGTTTGAGCGATAGGGCGCTAGACGTGTTTTTGATAGGTATGGTCCTCGATGGCTGTCCGTCTTCCAAGAAGAGGAGGAACTTGGGAGTAAAGGCGAGTGGCCGGTCTGAGGAAAAGAGACTTTGGTATATGTCTAGACACGTTTTTTTTTCATAACAAGGTTTGGTATTTGCAGTGGATGGTTAGCATCTTTCGTCTTAACCTCCTGCAGTAGGTAGGCGTTTTTCTTTGCAGGACAGATACCTCTTTGACTGACAATCATCTGATTTGATCTTCTTTCTTCTTTTTCGCCCCTGTTTCTCCTGTAAGCGATGCTCCATCATAGTGACTATGACTCTTTGATTCCGAAGGCAACTACTTTGTTCCTAGCGACTGCAAAAATCACAAAGGCAGTCAATACCAGACTCACGATTGTCGAACAATCAAACACTCCTTCTTCCCGGAGGGGTATGATGTCTGTTGAGAGATCTTGTACTCCAGGCAAATTACTATCAAGAGGCATTCGTGCGTTTCCACAAATCGGTACAGCACAGGTTCCACTGGAGGAGAGAGATTGGTCAAACATGATCCACGTATCGCCGGGTCCCTACTGTCTCCGATCACCAAAATAACTTTTTGATAGCTAGAACGATCCCATTCCCTTCCGTGTACACTATCCCTTTCCACTTACATTTCCTTCGACTGCTGTCATCCGCAGAAACTTTGACCAACTTCCAACCACAACATCAAACCAACCGGCTGTCTATCGCTCTACTGATCCGCAAGCATGGCAAAGAAGGAAGAAAGGCTAAGAACCCTGTTTCAACACCTTTCAAGCAGAGCTCCGTTACAAACGGTTCTGTTTCATCTACCAGTGTGCTTGGTGCCCGCACATTCAGGGACAGGTCGCTGAATGGTTGTTTGACGTGTCGTGATAGACATATCAAATGCGACGAGGGTCGACCAGTCTGCTAAAACTGCACTAGGTTCAACAAGGAGTGTGTCCAAAGAGATGGCTTACGCTCATTGCCTTGCTCTGCGAGCAACACTTCAGCTCCTACTGACACTACCAACACCCATGCTACAAACACTGAGACTATCAATACCCATGATACCAACACTAACTCGGGCTCTTTGAGCGCTACTAATGGCACTGATCCCAACTCTAACAACCTTCTCTCCTCCATCCAGCAACTTCGCTACCCTCACTCCGCTACAAGCATGAAGAGTGCCAACTCTACCAAGGAGCCCAAGGCCAATGACATGGACGACTCACAGGTCTCCATCCATGAAGCTCCCCGATCGGTGTCCAACTCAAAGCTTGCCACATCAGCCATGAGCGCCATCAGCAAGAAAGGCCCTGGAGCCACCGCTTCCGTCCTCGCGAACGGCGCCCCAAAGGTTGCCAGCTCAAGCAACGTCCCTACCGGCTCCACTGTGGTCCCTATGAACGCCCATCCTCCCACCTCTACATCCACCGGTGCAATCATCTCTTCTATGCCTGTTGGTGCTCAGGGTACTGCTTCTACCCGTCTCGGCAACTCTACCACTGATGCCAACCTCACTGCTAAGCTTGTGTTCACCCTCTCCCTCGCCAACACAAGCACCGACCGCCCTCCCACTCGCGCTTTTACACCCCTGCGTCCCATCAACAACTGGGTTCCTTCCCGTCCTAAGATCATTGCTCGCACCCCTTCTCTGCCGAACAGATCGCCGAAATCAAGGCTGAGAAGGCTGCCAGAGAGCTAGAGAAGAAGGAAGCAGCTGACAAGAAGAAGGCAGAGAACGAGATGATCGCTGCTGCAATGGCTGCTCAGAAGGAGAAGCATATCGAGGAGAGAGCCAAGCAGTTGAGAGAGATGGACTGAGCTTGTTGCTTGATCAAAGCTCAAGCCGAACGAGAGACTGGACGAAGGAAGTGTCGCGTGAAGAGTGGAAAGGCATGAACCAACCGCTCGAAAGCGGAGATGGATAACGGAAAAGAAGAAGCAACCAACAAAACAAGGACAGCAGGAAAGAGAGGAAACGACCAATGGTTTCGAGAGGATAAGCATGGCATTGTAAAACAGAAGTCTTCACTCTTCCATTTCAATGAACCATACAAATACTTCCACCTCTCGACTAAAAAAGACACTCATATCCTAGCCACACATGTGCATGCCACGTTTGTGGAGTAGAGATTATACAGGAGTAGACTGTCGCATACGGATGTCTAGTGTCTATCAGCACAATGTGAGTTTCGTACCTCTTTGGTTTCTTGGTTCCCGTGAATCGATGAGTAATACCAGTACAATACGCTTGTCTTGGAGTCACATGGACGTGAACGACCAAGCTTCGACCAAATTTGGTACAACACGGAGTGTCTCTTCCACCACAACACACACGAAACTCTTCCTCACCATCGCAAACCAATCTTCCTCTCATACCAAAACACATAGCATCCTCACCATGGCAAAGGATCCCTCCAACACCTTCTCTCGCCAGCCTACCATGATATCGAAACCCTCCTTAACCGCCAACATCAGTCAAGCCGCCGCACAACTCAAGCGCACTCAGGAAGAAGCTCTTGAGGATGTTCGCTCTGCTCTCGAAAAGATGGATCAGCAGCTCCTCGACCAGAAGAAACGCTCCGACGCCCTCCGCAAGTCTATTCTTGAGATCAAGACCAGACTCCTCGCCAACGCCCGCAAGTGCAGAAACAGCGCAGGCAGCGAGACTTTCTGATCAGGTGTGTGTGTAGGATTCCAGTTCTGTGTTGGGCCGTTGCTGATTTGTTGTAGCTCGCGGTCAGTGGCCTAGTTTTTGCGGCAAGCACGATGACAGGGAGCACGCTTGTTACGATGGGAGGATACTCGCAAACAGACGATCGCTTTATTGGATAGGAAAGACGATGATATCCTCCTCCCATTTTCCATGTCCATGAATTCAGGTTGTTTCTCTGGTCATGCCTTTAGAACGTCAAGCACTGTGCATTTTGATAGGTTGAAATGGAGGTCACAATCTTGAGAGAGCGTGAGGTTCATATGAGGCTTGCCCAGACTGCACATTCCAGCGCTCTCTGCCGCGTCTTTGGTTACCCATCCGCTGAGTTTCACGCGAAAGCTGACTTCGATTCTTCCTCGCAGTCACCTTTTGCTGCGTGCCGCGTCCGCCTCGAAGACCATGCTCGAGAGTGGTCTGACTAGAGCCAGCTTCCGTTTTGTGGACCACCACGAGTACTTCGCACACAATTTCTCCCACGCTCGTGCTCAAGCCGTCTCGGCCTACGATGGTCAGGTCGAGTTTACAGCTATACTCAAGAGCATGATGAACTTCAACATTTGTTTTTTCTTCGTTGAAGTTCGTGCCCTCGCCAGCGCCTTTGGCAATGTTCGCTCATTCGCGTACATCGATTCAAAGGGCTTCCGGGCCCTCGCTTCCGTGCCGAATACTTCTCTGTGAACTCCGCCGAGGATGCTGTCGCCATGTTGGTCCAGCACGATGCTGTCTTATGCTCTGTAAGTGTGTCTCTCCTGTCCTGATTCCATCCATTCCTTTGATCGAAGTCATTGCTGAAAATGTTTGTCAAGGAGTATGGGCATCCCGGATATATGCACTATGTCCATCCTGCCGATACTGGTACGGCTCTTCCCAAAGCCACACTCGACACAGAGCTGAAGATGTTAAGTCTTGTGTTCTGGCAACACCTTACCTGCACGAATGATATATTTCCAGGCTAAGAAGATTTCTTTCACCAGAGCTTCCTTTGTTGAGGAATCAGATGATCACATAGAGTTGCGTCCCTGCCGACATCAGGAGTGACGAACTCAGAGTTTCAGTACCAGGTGGGTCCTAGGTCCAGGCAATTGAAGAGGTGGTCTGGCCTGGGGCCTAGCAAGATCTTACACCATGTCACTGGTCCCTGGTCCCGGCTATTGAAGAGATAGCCGGCCCGGGACCAGTGACAACTTAACTACTCATCGTGGTCGCATCCATAGCTATGGCTCTCGCCAGCCCACATGGTGGAGCCCCCTGAGGATTCACTCCTGGAACATGGCGTTCTGGCGCTTCAACCAGCCTCAGACAGTCAACCTGAAGAAGATCGAGGCAGGCATCGATGTTCGCAAAACCGTGTTGGGGTCGAAGATCTATAGCCTATCCTGGATGCCACTCCTGGATGCCACTCCTGGATACCACTCCTGGATGCCACTCCTGGATGCCACTACGATTTCACCCCAACCAACAGCCAGCCTCAGCAAGTCCCCAGCAACGCTGCTGCCTATCATAAATCTGATGATGACCACTCACACCCAGACTCCCCTTCCTCCTTGGTTTCTTGCCATAATCGCAAGCAGTCTCGACTCGATTCCCTTACAAAACACATTCTCGATCTAGCCACACGAATTGATTACTGCTGTCTCTGCCGATTAACACATAGGTTCCGGTGATTAATGGACATCGCAGCGAGCAGTTGAGATCAGAGAGTGCTTCTCTCACCAACCACCATTCTTTCGGTAGCTATTGCAACGCAGCAAGCAAAGTTGATACCACTACACGCCAAAGAAACCCTTCAGCACCGCAAGAACCTTGTCAGCCTTGTAAGCTACCTCCTTCTCACCCTGACTTACGTCCATGCTAAGATCTTTGCGCAGTCATCTATCATGTCCAACAACTTTCTTCTTTCCACCCATACCCACAACCTGCGCCGCCTGACCGCCATCAAAATGGCCATCGACCAACACCTCGACTCCGTGGAGCAGATGGTGGCAGAATCCCACCAACTCCTCTCATGTCTTCGAGACGCGGATCTCGCTCGCGCCGTTGACCGCGCTACTACCAACAGCTTTGCGCTGGCTTACCATGCTTTGCTCTGGGAGATCAAGAAGGAAGAGCAGGGGCTAGACGAGTTGTTTGAGGGGTTTGAGGGGGATTTGAAGAGGTGTGTGGGGGATGTTGATGACTTGAGGGAAGCTATCGGAGCCCTTCGCGCTCTGATGGCTGGGGAGGAGGAGGAGGAGGGTGAAGAAGGCGAAGAGGGTGAGGAGGAGGGTGACGAATTTGTTTGAGTAGGGGTACGGTCGAGGACAGAGAAACGCCCAGGGAGATGTTGTTGAAGTAGGTAGATGCAGGACAATACATTGAAGACAAGATCAAACGGTCAAAACGCACAAGACTTTCAACATGACGTGACATGGCCATTGAGATATATGAACGTAGACCCGCTTCTTGGGCTCTCGTTGAACAATCACACAGACTATGATTGCTTCCTGTATTTTTATAAGTTCTCCAAGATGTCCAACGTCCTATCGAGATGGTGAGACTGAACCGTTCCGCTTCAAGATACACCATCCTATGTAAAACAGAACTGATCCCATCACGACGGCACGAGTTTCTGTCATCCGCCTCAACTCTTGATCATCGCTGATGAACCCTTTGATAATGGGGAAACCCCATATAACAAACGGAGCTATCGCAATTGGTTGCTCTGTCGCCGCAAGAACAGCTGTCGCGGCCAGGTATATGATGAGCGTTTACGGACTATATTGGCCAAGATTCAGGACTAGTCGCACCAAACAGTAGTTAGATGGGAAGTATTAGGAACCTACTCTAGAAAAACAGCCCCAACCACGATGAAAATAGAGCCACGGATCAAGCGGAGTACATCTGGGATCTCCTGTGAGCCACTGTAAGAATATTCAAACGACAGAGGCTGCCACCTGTCTTCGAGCGGCAGCGTAAGTTCATGTAGACTTTGGGTTAGCTTGCGAGTATGAAACTCATAAGAGATCGCGATCATGACAGATAGACAATGTAAGGTTATCGACCGAGGTCGCGAGGTTCTAACGAGGTCGGCTGATCAATGCACAGCATGCAGTCAGTATAACGTCTGAGATTATGATGAACTGGCGGAAACGGCGAAACTGTAGATCTGGCTGATCGTCCCGGACAGCTTTACATAGTTGTCCATCTGGTATAAGTGACAAGATAGTGGATCCAACAAATGATTATGTGGTAGTATATAGGCTGGACACAGCAAGTATCTCGGGTGCTGGGACAAACTCTGTCTCAGTATATGATCTCTCAGCCACACACTCAAATCTCATTCTATCATATATTTGGGAAAAGTCCTAACTCATTGCAGTCAAACATTGAAGACTATTGGGAATCCAAGACTTGCGCAACAAGCAGCTTGAGATGGACTTTGTTGACAGCTATGGAGAGTTTCTCAAGAGTGCTCTCTATGGCTACTCATAAGTTGTCTTGCCGGGAGCATATTGGCAACAATGTTCATACCAAGATCTAGATTCCTGGCGCCAATGTTCAAGTACATTTTGGAATGGCTCTCCTTTGTGCACAGATGACGGTAGGTAGGCTGCCGACGCGTATGTGGACAATACAAGGTTCTGTTCTGTGAGGAGCTCGGAAGGCCGTTCGTGATTTGCAACAACACTCTCCGAAAACGATTGATTCCTTCAAGCAACCAAAGGTACGAGAGACAATCGTTCCTCTCGGGAATTAATTATCTGATGTTAAGCCAGCTCGCAGGATGTTCAAGTCTTGATCATGTCTCTATCGAAAGGGATCAACGCTATGGGGACGATGTACAGGAGACTCGAGGCACTTGCATCAGCTTGAACCTCAAGGCGATAAGACCTACCTGGGATTATCTCTAGTCCTTGGTTGAGAAGACTTGAATCGATCTTCTGATCCTCTTTCTCTCTGTTTCTCAGGACTGGAACTTCCAATCTCTGTCTTCTCCCCATGCCGCTCGCCAGCTCACAGCCATCAAACTCCTGTCTCTTACCCGCTTCACATATGTGAACAAGCAAAACTCGATGTCCCTCGATTTGAGCATCCTGACCATTCGAGTATTTCCGGCGTCCGTTGCTCAGCTCTCATTGTACCTCTCTTATATCTCGCCTCTCTCATAGCCTCACCGCGCTCTCGTGCGGTGTACTGGATGAGGTCACCGTAGTCACTGATTTTATGCAATGTATCCCGAGTCTTGCTGTGGAGCCCCGCTTGGTGCCAAATAGAGCGCAAGACACCATCAACCAGGGAAGAGTGTCCTCCATGCTGAACCACTTCTATGCCGTTGATAGAATACATGCATTCCGAGGCTTGACTGAGAAGAACATGGCTGAGACCATCGTCTTCCAGCTCAAGATATCTTGATGTTTGATCGCTCTCCCAGACTTCCCAAAAGACCTCTTTCTTGTTGTCTCTAAGAATCTCGAGGACCGACTCGAGGGCAAGCTCGAAGGCTCATCGGTTCATGGATCTGGGATATTCCTTTGGGCCGTTTGGCACGTGGAGGACGATCTTGTTGACGAAAGATCCGTAGCATTCGTGTTTGATAATCTGCCTCAGCTTCAATAGGCTTGAAGGAGTCGGTTGGTATGTGGTAGTTGAGAACTGGGTAACGGTGAACCGGTGCTGCGTAGCCGTGAGGAGGTATTTGCAGACGAGACGTAAGTTGGCGAGCTCGTGCTTGCTCAGATGTTCTGAGACGTTGTTCCAGATATCTAACGGGAGGTAATCATCCGCTGGCCATCTGGCCCGCCGTCCGATCTTCTGTACGCAGTCAGAACTCTGTCATGCCACATTGCCTCGCTCGCCGCCCGAATGTGCCTATCGCCCATAGATGTTGGGCCTTCGCTAGCTCACAGAGAAACATACGACCCCTAAGAGCAATGGTCGCGGTCAGGGAGCGAGTGCTCTCATGATTGCGTATCTTCTTGCTCAACAGCCCTTTGCAGGCCAGCGGCTTGCAAGAAAGTGGTCTCCGAGGCGATGGCGGTAGACAAGGCAGAGACGCACAGGAACCTGGGTGTGAGATCCCTTGATGTTCTTGGTGACAAGGTTGATTGACTTACCATCTTGCGAGATTGATACTGGGATAGATGATGCCGTGGCATGGAGAATATCTGGATTGAGTGTTGTGGTACAAGAATCGATCGTGAGTGTCAAGTAGACGCGCGAGAATTGTTAAGGAATATACGACGAGCTCAGTGAAACAATAAGTCTCGACAGCAGGTGTGTTTGTCCTGTTTGAGGGTAGGCGGAGAGCCGCGAGGCGGTGATGTCGTCGCCGTCGGTTCACTAGTGCGGTTCCATATTGGGATTGGTCTGAACAAGCTTGTTGTTTCCACTCCAGCTTCCTTTCCATACGCCCTGCACCTCACTACCGCAGCATCAAAAGGCTCATGTGCCCTTTCCACGAACATATCATAAATCTCTCTCAGTATGACATCCAGCTGCCTCAAGCTCAAGACTAAGGCCATCAGTCTGTTTCACAGAGTTCACGACGCCTTCATCTGTAAGATCTCCTCACATGTGTTGTTGCATATTCCTTTCTCATCATCACCCCTTTTCAGCCATCAACAACAAAGATCTCAACACCGCCAAAGACAATAACAAGAGCATCAACGGCATCGAGTTGCAGGATCGTACTTGCCAGT